TTTTTATTGACATTATCCTGTGAATCATGTAGGTACCGTTTGAAAGATGATGTTCGTGAAGCAATGTATGATGAAGTTAAAGTATTTTTAAAGGCTGTTGGCAAGAAGAAGTTTTTGGGTGGAAAATACCCAAACTTGGGAGACTTGGTAATAGTGTATTAAAGAAATTTTTTTTACCAGCTTAAATTCTCATAATCATGTTTTTGCAGGCATTGTTTGGTGTGCTACGAGGCATTGAAGGCTTGAGTACTATTGAGGATTTGAAGAAAAATACTCCCATCAAACCTTGGTTTGATCGCATGAAATATGCTGTTGAAAATCACCAGGGACTAAGTCTACTAGAGTGAACAGTCAGTATCATCAAGGACACATTATGATAGTTTAGGATAAGTATCGACGTCATAAGAATGAACTTAACGTCATTACGTCATCCTTGTAATAAAAAGATTTGCATAACGATGTTATTGAGGAGATATCTTAGGATAATTATCTCGTATGTATATCTCGTCGTACCGATGATCTATAAATATCCGATCGTTGATTTGAAGAAAGACATGGAAATTGGAATTCTGTTCCTTTAATTTTTTTCAAAATTTTAAACAAACGAAGAAAATGTTTTTAGCTACAGTAACTCACATAACCTACTCGTTATTCCTTCTTCTTTGTAGATGCTAATTTTTTATTTATGAACTAAATTATTCAGCAGCTATAGTTTGTTTAACAGATCCATGCTGATTATCGTGGATAAAGAGAAGAAATTGATATTTATAACCCACAAGTAATTTTAAAGATCTGTTCTGTCTCATTGAAGAACTGAATGCTTCGTCAAGAATGAACGTTGCAACGACAGGTACCTCCCTCATTTTTATTCTCGTTGAATTGAACTTTTTAACTTGACTTGTTACTTTCAATTGTTTTTGTTGTTGCGTGTATCGATACTTCAAACAATGAAGATATTAATTTTTGATCATGAGGCTGTGGTGTTGTTATCGTCAGTCGTGTTCATTGAATCATTGTGCGATCTTTTGTATTCAAAATTTCACTTTCATTCAGCCAATCGAAACTTCAAGTCGAGGGGAAGTACGGGATATCGTTTTCATTATCAAAGTAAATATGTACACGTTGCTGTTGGGTGTGACGTGTCACGAAAGAAACATCAAGAAGTCAAGACGTACGAGTTTACGTATGTAAGAAATTTACGTTTTTTGGATATCTATTTGCTATTTTATGAGTGTGATAGAATCTATATTTGCAGCTTTTCATCTTTAATGTTTCTTATATCTTTATTGAGAATGTCTCCCTGATAAAAAAGTCTTAAATGAAAAGTGAAATTTGCAAATTTCTTGTTTAATTAAGCAATTGAAATGTCGATGTGAGACAGTCTTCATGGCGTTTTAACACGTAAACGCTATTGCTAACATTCCTTGATGTAAATTATACGTTTTATATTATTTTATTCTTTTATTGTACAATTCATCTGTAGATTTCTTTAAGAAGACGACGTATCGAGAATCCTTTCTTGAGGCAAACAAGATATTATACACATTTATACTTGTAAATTGAAAGGTACTTGTTTTTTAACTTTTTGTTATCATATAGGAATTTCACTCATAAGATATCAGTACATTCCTAAACTCGTTCTTAAATATGTTGGCATTTTTAACATTCTGTTGATTGGCCACAACTTGATTATGAATTGAGCAACTTCTTTGTCTTCACAATACGATGATAAAAAAATCTCGTTTATTTATTTGAGGAAGCTAAAAGAGAATGGGAGATAAGAAGACGGTTTTACTTGTTCACAAACCCATATCAAACGATGGATATGGAGAATTTCATACAGCTTTGCAACGATATGGTGGTGAATCTATAAAGGCCCAAGATGTGGACAGCAACAATTATTGGCGTCATTTAAACACTTCCTGGTTGGATAAACCTGGCCATTTTGTTTTGCTTTGCTTTTCTCCTGACTCCATCGATTGATACAGAATATTGTCAAGGAATATGGGTTGATGAAAAATGGCATTCTTCTTGATAAGATCTTCACTTTGTCCTTAGGGAAAAGTTGTAATTGGCCTCACAAAACTAGGAAGGAGCGAGATTTTTCGTTTGATGTTGAAAGCATCGAAAATATTTCGGATGATCAGGAAGGTCGAATCAAATATTTTCAAGATCATGCAACCATGATGTCTTTGGTTGCAGCTATAAAAGGTGTTAAACTGCCTAGAGTAGTAATGAAACAGTCAAATCGTCATGTACTTATAGATACTTGATACTTAAGCTTGCATTGAAAATAGTTGATTAGCAATAACTAATGCTCAATTTTTTGTATTCGGAAATATACGATTTCTTTCAATTATCTTTGTTTCAATCCGGGACATCGTTATCCCCGAAGTTTGTCTCATCGATCTGAGGTTATAACTGGATATAGCTTGGTAGCAACTTGATTATATATTCAAAATGGCGTTCCGGGTACCACAAAAATAAGAATTAATTTTGATCATGGCTGGGTATTGTTCACATCGATGTTCATTGAATCATTTGCGATCTTGTGATTTTTAATTTCAACATTCAGTCATGGATAAAACGAAGTACGGTTAATCGTTTTCACATCAAATGTAAATAATATATTGCGTCGGTGTCTGAATGTGCGTGAAAGAATGACTTGTCGACGTGAAGGCAAGATATTCACAGCTCATTTTCCAAGTTCAGAGGCAGTTGGTGATCTAATTGTTTCGATGTTGGGATGTGTTTCATTTACTTTTTATCATTCTTTATTATCCAGACATTGTTTTATAGCATTTCATTGTAGCTGGGTACTGTTGTTGTAGGAACAAGACAAATTTACTGCTTTCTTCCTCTTTATTTTATTTTCATTTCTGTTTTTATTTTATAAAATAATACAATCACCACACCCTGCTGCGTAGCATTTGTATATAGCCATGAGTAAGTATGGTTGTTATTGACAAAAGTATCCAACATTTTTATCAATTGCAGTCTATACTGTAGCATCAGGAATTGTATTCCCAAGTGGTAAACTGCCATCTGAAGTTAAAAGCACATTTCTGTTTTATTGCTTACTTGAATAACAATAGCTATTGGTTTGAATCAAAGTACTCATGTCTTTTAAAGGCAGAAAAGCAGATTCACTTTAGTAATTTTTTCAACCAACAGCTTAACAAGTAGGGCAGGTGGTTTTCTTTGGAAGCATCTGCCTATAAAATTAGCCATGTATTGTATTGCAATCACTTTAAATTCAGAAAGAATGGAAAAGCTGTGTGCACTACTATAATCTTGATAATCATCACAGTATATATTTTGTCTACAAACAGAAGTAATTTGTTTCAAACCAACAGCTATTGTTATATCAACATGAAACAAGGCAGGATGGTGTTTTCAGCTTCTGATGGTAGTTTATTACATAGAAATACAATTTCTGTTGCCGAATCTTTGTATACAATGCAATTGATGCACATGTTATGTCAATAACAACTTTACTCACTCATTGATGAAGACCAGGTCCAAATGTATTAGCAAGGCGTGGTGATTAAATTATATCTGCAAAATAGAAACAGAAATGAAAATAAGAATAAAGAGACGAAGAAAGCTTAGTAAATTTGTCTTCTTCCTATAACAAGAGTACCCAGCTAATGAAGTCACGGCAAAAGTAACATAAAACAATGTCTAGATAATAAAGAATGATAAAAGAAAGGTACTAAACGAATTCTTTAAGCATCGAAACTCATTCTAGATCATAACTGCCTCTGAACTTGGAAAATGAGCTGTGAATTATCTTGCCTTTGCAACGATGGGGCAAATTCGATTCTTGCACGCGCAATTTTCAATTGAATACGAGCGCCGATATTTTGCAGATATTGGTATCATTTTGATGTCAAATTGATTAACATTACTTGTTTTATCCATGACAGATGTTTGAGATTAGTAAAATGTCACGAAATGCCTTAAATATTCGAAAATCCTTGTATGTAAACGTTACCCCGCCATACATTTCTACAGTAATTTGTATTTCTTGTGGTACCCGGAAGTGCATTTTGCATATATAATTAGGCTTCACTTTTGCTACCTATAGAAGCTATATCCAGTCTATTATTAGATCAGTGGTTTGCCCAGGTTGACATAAGTCACGTGACTACAGATGTTTCTAAATATGTGCCCAAAAACCAAAAAACAGTTATCAGAAATCGTTGATTACTAAAAAATATTTGTGAACATCCTTCGAGTTGTGGAAAAATGCCGAATTATACTTCAGTTGAAATGGATGAGATGCCACCAACTCAAGAACAAAAGGATTTAGAAAAGCCATTTGACATGGACTTTTATATAAAGGTTTAGGTACATTTTATTACAACTTTACAGTATGTTGATAACTTTGCATTGAAGTGTGCTGTTTAAGTAATTACGTAGAAATTAGAATATAGGTGTGTTTAGGTGGCAGACAAGATTAAAAAGGACCAACTGTCTGAAAATCGTGCCGTTGACGAAGTCCGTATAGAGCGTTTGAAAGAAACGCATAAGAAAAACACTTTGCTTGTCATTTTACGAGATTGGCCTAAAAATGAGAAGTACAAAAATAGACCAGATTTGATGGCAAGCTTGGAATACTTGGTGAGTTTATATCTGCATTGTATAACTGTATGTGTTATTGTCTCTGCATCCAATAATTTATTTAATCGCTTTATAGATAAGTCGTTTTACTGAGATAATTTTGGAAGATGATCATGCTCAAAATTTTTGTGACGAGAGCGACGACGCACAAAAGACACTGCTTCATTATGCTGCAAAGCAAAATTTTGTTCATGTTGCAAAGCATCTTGTGAAAAAGTATCCAAAACGTGTTTATCAAACGACAAAAGCTGTAGTCGGTAAAGGAGAATTTTTACCAGTTGAAATGGCTCTCGAGGAAAAGCAAGATGAAACTTCAGCATTTTTGATTAGTCAAATGACACCTGACAGGTGTGATTTCCTGCAGTTGTATTTATTTTCTTAGTTTTCATAATAATAATAATAATATTTGCATAAACATAGGATTTACGAGCTTTTCTTGTACGATGATTTGATCGAAGGAGCTAAGTTTGATTTACGGATGCTAATCAGTCAATCTAACATGAAAGTAAGTCTGCTTAATATTTGCCCACTGAATTTATGCAATCATTCTGAATTATTCATGATATGTCTCTGTACCAGGCAGCTTTTAAAAAAGCCTATGTGTTTAATGTGCATAGAAAACCGTTGTGGCAGTTTTGAACACCTTGATCAATCCCCATTGGCCTTACCTGCCTCAATTGCCTCCGAATGAGGAGAAGGCAAAGCAGGAAACCAAGGATCTTATTGAACGTGTGTGTAGCTATGTTCCTGATGATCCCTTGAATTACGACTTCTTTTATCATGTGTTGGAATGTGATAAAAGTGGAGTGCTGCCAAATTCTGAAACATTTGACAAGAAGTCAGAAACATGTTTGCTTCATTTGACAGCTAGTGATAATAAGGTATTGATGTTACAAAGTAAAAAAACATTAAATTCCCTTTTGACTCAGTGTGATGTTGATGGCATAGGTGATAATAATGCTGAATCTTCAGCTTGTAGCTGCAGACTCCAGCTACGAGTTTCAGTTTCCAGCTTTGTAAGCAAAATTTCTAGCTGAGCTTGTCTTGCCATAGCAATTTGGTAAAATGTAATGTTAATTGTTAAATAACCAAATGATTAAAGAAAAGTGATCTATAAGATTTATAAATATTCTTGGGGCAGACCAACCTAGTAAAGGCACTTGCTTGCAAAGGCCAAGAATCTTTTCCTTACAACTTGGCATCAATGTGATGTTAGGCTCTATTTAAAAATCAATTGATTCATTATAGGAAGCAATCCAACATCCTGTGATTCGAATGTTTGTCAAAAAAAAATGGAAGAATTTTGCTCATCGTATTTTTTGGTATTGTTTATTTATTCACTTACATTTTTAAAGAGTTAAATTGTTAGTTTTTGCAGTATTGTTTGATTCCGAAACTTCACTAACATCATTGTAATTTTTTCAGCATACAAGCGATTTGTTATTCCATATTTCTTGTTGTCCTGTCTTATGCTTTAATTTATGGTGCAACACGTGAACATCCAAATCATTATAATGGTCCATGGGATAGTTTAAGATTGTTTTGCGAGATTTTGAGCATCATATTTCTTATGATCTATGTATTGGAGGAGTTCTATCAAATATACAGGTAAGATGGAACAGTTAAAGCAACACATTACTAATCACCAAAAATGAATTGATGAAATGATTGGCGATGCCTGTTGGCCAGGTTTTTTTGGCTCCCTGCATAATTTAGGTTTTTGTCAAGCTTTGTCTGTAGTTTAGGTTTGTCTTGCTCCCTCCGTAGTTTGGGTTTGTCTTGCCCCCTCCGTAGTTTAGGATTGGCTGGCTACCTCCGTAGTTTAGGATTGGCTGGCTCCTCCGTAGTTTAGGATTGGCTGGCTACCTCCGTAGTTTAGGATTGGCTGGCTACCTCCAAAGTTTAGGATTGGCTGGCTACCTCTGTAGTTTAAGATTGGCTGGCTACCTCCAGAGTTTAGGCTTGGCTTGGCTCCCTCCGTAGTTTAAGATTGGCTGGCTACCTCTGTAGTTTAAGATTGGCTGGCTACCTCCGTAGTTTAGGATTGGCTGGCTACCTCCGTAGTTTAGGATTGGCTGGCTCCCACCGTAGTTTAAGATTGGCTGGCTCCTACCTTAGTTTAAGATTGGCTGCTCCCTCCGTAGTTTAGGATTGGCTGAGCTACCTCGTAGTTTAGGCTTGTCAAGCTCCCTTCGTAGTTTAGGATTGGCTGGTTCCCTCCCTAGTTGAAGATTGGCTGGCTACCTACGTAGTTGAAGTTCAGCTAATTTTTTATGATCTTTTCATTTTTTCTTCATATGCTTGTCTTAGAGAGTTCAAATCTTATTACAAAGATCCATACAATTATTTCGACTGGATAGGAATCATTCTCACCCTCCTTGTCATCCCCCTTCGCTATGTGGACGTCAGCGCACAATGGAGTTTTGCAAGTATTGGATATCTTTTCAACTTTTTGAGAATTTTTAAGTTCTCATGTGTGACAAGGTAGCTATATACCCAAGCCAATAGAAACCACACTTTTAATCTGTATTGTAAAATCCCAAATTTTGTTTTTGTGAACAAGGACAACTGGTGTATACACAAAGACTCTGGCAAAGATTGTCTATCGTGATATCAGTCGTTTTATTGTTGTTTTTATAATTGTCTTTATTGGATTCTGTGGATCATTTTTCATGGCATTGACTGCTGCTCACATGCAAGATCTCTTTACGTAAGGAAGAATTTCATTTTTGATCAAACTTTTAAAGATACACAGCCAATAGTGTTAAATTTTCTTGATCATTTCTTTGTGGGAATTATGGACACCAGACTGCATGTTCCACCTCTTTTTTTTTACTTAATAAAAGATCACCAAAATTCAATTGTGCCACACTCGGACTAAATTGCAATCAATCTTATCATTATCTATACACACATATTTTATTGTGTTTATGAAAATGGACACATGATCAGTTTAATTGACTGTGAACATATATTGTATTCTCTAGTGATTATGGACAATTGATGTTGGCAGCTGTTAGAGTTTTAACAGAACAACAACCTATTAAAGAAAACTATGGAAAGTTCAAGTAAAACTTTTATGTTTGGAGTGAATATTTCAACATTGCTAGATTTGGAGCAGTGTTTTTAAATCATGAGAAGTTGATAAAATTCAAGAATTGAATTTCCTCATACAATTCCATCATAACTTTTTTCATTTGTAGTTGGTTCATAATCTTGATTCTCCTTTGCTACATGGCTATGGTGATTGTCATTCTTCTCAATATTCTCATTGCCCAGTTAAGCTTTACATACAGTGAGGCGAAAAATCGTGCAAAACTACAGTATGCCATAGATCGAATGGCAATCATTTCAAGACTGGAAAGAGGTATTTTTGGAAATGTAAGTTTTCTAAGACACTTTATTTTTTTTGTCACTTAAAAATGGATCATAGGTGGTGGTTCTGTGGAAAATATATAATGTTTTGTGAAAAGGTGAATTAGTGATTCATTTAAACTATGTTTTTGTTGTTGTAGTATTTCCGGCTGAAATATTACCTGGAAGGTGACAAGGTGAACGAGAATGATCTTGTCAAAGGCAAGTATTATCTCTTCCTTACTATAAATGTATGGTACTTTAGTGCATGTCATACTTATTATGATTTCTTTTTACTCTTGCAAAAGAAATGTTGGAGTACAATGATGAACAACAATCACTGGAATCAACGGATGAAAAACTAACATACGTCAGGTATATTTTTTGATTTTCTATTCTGAGATGTTTTTTATGATCACCAAATGTTTACATGTTCTAGTTATTTTTGTTTCAGGGATTTGATGAAAAAAGTTTTTCGAAAGATTTCAAATGAATCATCATAAATGGAAAAACATTTAGATAAATTGTGCACTTTTTCTAATTTCGACAATTTTATTTCCTTTTAATGTGATACAGTCTAAATGTTGTAAAAATGCTGTTGAACAGTTTTTAATATTTCTGATATGTGTAGATATTCACTAAGTGTAGTGTCTCTATTGCGTAGCATAACAATGCCATTGGTTAATGTTGAGTCCTGTATGAGAACTGTATAAGGAGTACCAATCATATCTTCACCTAAGGTAAGTTTATCTACATCAAGAGAACATCCAACTTGGAAATGGTGACTATTTATACCTAAAACAATGTGAAAAAAAATAAAGAAAATAAACATATATAAAAGACATTGATTTAATGAAGGTTATCTTAACAACCTGCCTGTCTCAATTCTGTCGTCAGCTGCTGAGCTACATGTCCCAAATCTGTATTGATGGTTTCCAGTGAAATAATTGCAACTTTGACTGGAGCAAGGGCTGGGTGTAGTCTAAGTATTGTGTGCTTTGCAACATTTCTTTCTGTTATAATGGATTCATGCTCATGATAAGCATCCAAAAGATATCCTAAAAGTCCTATGTAGAAATATACACTTTATAATCTATGTTTGTTCAAAAATGGAAGCTAAATTGCTACCTCTTTCTATGCTCATTCTTGCAATGATGACCCCCATCTCGAGATTTGGAAGAGAAGACTTGTTCATCCATATTCCAACATCACTGTAACTTGTAATGCATTCCATAGCTTCAGATCCCCACGGGAAATTATACTGAATATTGAGAATGTCAATTTATGACACACAACCTTCGCTGCTAATCTCATGAAAGGTTTTAAGTGATTAAAAAGAGAGATTATTCCAGTATGTTTCATACCTGAACTGCCATTGTATCTGTTAAAGCCACATCATTATTTTGACTAAATTCTTCTCTAAAATCTCCGTCAACCAAGGAAAATTCTCCAGGTATATCTGCATATTTCTTCCACCAGGACAAGCGTTTTCTCATCCAGTAATCCATCCAATTATTCACCTTCTTCGTAGGACAGAAGAAACATAATTCATAAAATTCTTTTCTTGAAAGCTGTAGAGGAAAATGGGAGTAACTCAACAACAAATGTCGTCAATGAGTGAAAATTATCAATAAAGAGCTCAGAAGAATGTAACACACTTGAACAAAAATTGATCTACATTGTTATTATTTACTGTCTTTAAACAATGAGCAAGACCAATACTTTCTTCACCATTTATAATTTTAAGAGCAATTCCGATCACATCGGACAAATAACTAGGTCTTTCCTCCCAATGTTGTCCTTGATCATGGTTCCTCTTCCAACAAGACGGCTGATCAAGCAACGTAAGCTCAATACCGTGAACATTCTTACGAGATATAACTGTTTCATGCCACCATTTGGAAAGTAGATTTCTCTTTATTTCCACTCCAAGAGGTCCGTAATGACACGAGTGTAATTGTGGTAACAAATGAGAATTTTCTCGTTCGTAAACAAAACCACGTGCTAAACACAGCTCTCGTATTTTTTTCAAAACATGTTGTGATTTTGGCATTTAAACAACGTATTTAGCCACCATAAACAGAAAAAACAACAATGCAGAATCATGTGAGCGAACAACAGAAAATATAAACGAATAATAAGACAAGATTGCGTTAAATATTAAATTATTTATCCGCATAACCAACAGCTGATACTAGCCTGCCTTCGCCCTTAATGTGCGCATGTGCAAGTTAATGCCATGTATGAGCTGCTAATTGTTTATAAACTAGCTTCATATTGTCAACACTACAAAATTTACTCTTTGTTTTACAGAAATAATTCCTCACAATTTACAATAATATCTTAGAAATAGTACTTAATAGTTGTGTTCTTCAGTTTGTGAGTCCTATGGGTTACAGCATGGTAGATGTGGAAATAACCAATGAGCAAATACAATAAAGAATTTTTACAAACCATGAAAAAATAGTCAAACAAAATTAATTTATTTGATAAATAATTGTAATTTCTACATAACACCACAAAAAGCTTGTTTCTTAAGCGAGAATTTCACTTGAGACTTGTAAGATGATTTGCTTTCAATAGGTCGTAATTCAACATAATCCCAAAAAAAACCACCGCACCAATATCCATTCCTGCCAGTAATTTCAACATCAACATCAGTTACAGTATCCACAGTTATTTGACCCATGTTATGTAGGAACCAAGCATTTGCATGCTCTTTCTCAACACGTTCAAGTTCTTCTACACTCCACTCATAGACGAGCTGATTACCAGGACTGTCACATGACTCACATGTTCTTGCTTTGTAATATATAACTGGTTTTTCCTGGTCATCCATGTAAGCATTGGCAAGTTTCATTCTCCAAATGACCTCATATTTCCCAGGAAGAACTTTATTGAATTTTCCATCAAGTTGTAACCAGCATACTGTTTTCAAATGGATTACATAATCAGAGAAGCTGTCACGGACTTTTATCTTCCGAATATAACGATCACCAAGATGAACAATCCAAAAATCTTCAACTGGCATTTTCAGTCTTGACAATTTAAAATAAGCTCTTTTGAAGTCCATATCAACAAACTTCTCAATGGCATTTTCTCCAAATCGTTTTAAAGCTATCACTCTCCATACATTATTGTTATTTGCAATTTCATACCAATATTTGCATGTCATACCAAGATTTACTAAATCTATTCCATGGAGATGATAAGCAATGTTCTCAGCAACTAAAATGGGAAGTTTCTTCAAGTCAAAATAGTTCTCATTAGCTTCTTCTGGCTTCAATGCCATGAATGAACGAATCGGTCCAAAAAATGGTCAACAAAATAATGGCTAAAATTCACTCGAAGTTTTCATCTTTTTCATATTCTCCATCTTTCAAATTCTTCAATCTGTTCAAGTTATGACGTCGCATTGTCATAAAACTATATAGATGTAGTAGTACTCCTGACTTCATTTTTACTTGTGGTGAATTGATATTAATATGAAACATGGCGGACGAATGTGGAAAGTGTTGTTATAAAAAGTAAAGACAAAACAGAAGCATTTATTACTCAATTATTTGTTGTTTCATCAAAAAATGGGTCAAGAGCACAGCAGTGAAAGGAATAAAAGTAAATTAGCAAATGTTAAACCTGTTGGCGAGATTGTCGTTGTCAAAAGTGGTAAAAACACAAATAGAAACGAACTCATAAATAACGACGTCGATATTGTAAAACTTAACAACATCAATACATTTTCGCCGTTAATGAACAATAGCTTAGCTAATGAATTTGAAATCACCAACAAGCTGGATTCTCGTGTTGCTAGAAGTTTGTGCTTGAGATATGAAGATCATTTAAGGGCATGTGCTAATGCTGTCGCGTTCGATCAGGAGGCCATCTTGTTACGTGTAAAAGAAATCGAAAACCATTCGGGAAATATTTTACGAAATGTTATCGAACGATACAAAAGAATACAAAATGAAATGCATTTAATCTCTACTGTTGAAGATGTTAAACAAAGCATTGACAAAGTTGAAAATTCTCTGCAAAACATCATTCCATTAATGGACAAATTAAATTTATCGTTGCCCGAAGAGGAGAGATTGGAACCATTTTTGAAAATATAATTTAACTTATTACCTGTATTCAAAAGCAAAAATTGTTGTTTTTCAAAAAATTAACTTTTGCTTTGTTCTATAAACGAATTCATGATCACAGATGTTGACTGTTTGTATTTTTCTTTATGCATGAAATGAGCCATTAATTGCAGACATGCACAAAACCAAACAAAGTTTTGTCAGTTACTAATTTTGAAACTCCTCTAAATTATTAAAAGTATGTCATCTTCATTAACATATGAATATCCTTGCCAACCCTGCCTTAAATAATTTAATCTAACCAAATTTCCATATTCAATTTTTGAGAAGTTAGTTTCTCTTTCATTAAGGTGTTTTTAATGAGAATAGTTCTGTATTTTTCAAATAAAATGTTTGTAATGTTTAATTGCCCATCTTGTATATGTAACGAATGCTGTCAGAATAAAGTGCTTAAGTAATTGTCTTTGTTTCAAATTAAAAAACTTCTTTCAACTTCTTTTGCTCAAGCAATTAAAGTAAACAGCGTCCCATTCAAAAATAAATCGATCGAATTCAACATAAAGCTTTCTCAACACTGTTCAACAAATGGTGTTCACGTTTTTCGATTACTTCAACAGCATTAATGAGTCTGACAACGTGTTTATGCAAACAACTTTATCCAATTAAATCGTGGCGTGTTTGCGTATTATGCGGAAACCCTTCAAAAAAAGGGCGTCATTCTGTCTTTAAAGATACGCGTACAGTCTGGCGCATAGCTCTCTTAAATTAGTATTTCAAGTTGAATTGGAAAGAACTTTCTGTGGACGTTGCTTCAAACATTTTCATTGACTAGCTAGATGAACTGACATCGGAAGTCAGGTAAAGTTTTTTCACGATAAAAAAAAGGAAAGAAACAATAATTGGACATATAATTTTTCATTTTAATAGACGATTTATCAGTTCGCTACAAAGCTTTGTAATCTATATCTTTGAAGAAAATATGTCAACAAATATCACGGCTAGTCCATTGCTTCCTAAGTCAAACAACGATGACACAAGAACAACAACAAAAGTGATCTTTTCTTTTGTTGCAATTCTGGCGTTAATTGGAAACTTCATGGTTTTAATACTCTTTACACGTTTTCCAAAGTGGTTGAAAAAGAAGCATTATCAATGCATTATAAATTTAGCAATTACAGATGTTCTTACAGCCATTTCACTGTTGGTCGTGCCTAAATTCGTTCAGGATCCAGATGCGTACCCCATACCTTTAAGTAAGTGCAGAGATTCTATAGCAAGATATACACTACAGTAATCACGCAATCATTAAGCGTTTTTTTTTGTAACGTTTTTTCTTAATACAATAATTTGTTCTTAAAGTTTTTGATTTATTTGGACTTAAAGTGTTATCTTCTCTGAAAATTGACATCGATTTCTGTGACGTGTAGTGTTTGGTTTGTATTTCAGCGTCTTCGTCCCGCGAGTTCTACTGCCGTATCGTTTGGTCTCATTTCATTCCATTTTCTCTTGGTATAACATCTGTTTACACCTGTCTTGTTCTTGCAATCGAAAGATGGCTAGCTGTCATTCGTCCAGTGTTTTATAAAGAAAGATTAGATGTTCGTACGATGCGCATTTTGCTGGTGTGCTGTTGGGTAGCAGGTATAGTGTTTGAATCGCCTGTTATTTCTCATGTTGAAAGTTACATAAGTGACGACAATGTCACTGCACTGTGTAAATGGGTTCCCGAGAAAGAAGAAGGGAGAATTTGGGCATTGGCAATTTTCTTATTTGCTGGTCAAACGCTTATTCCATGTTGTCTTATTGTTGCAGCTTACGTTCATATCTTCATGAGGTAGATATCTTTGATATAAACCTTATACTATTGCTATTGAATGCATGTTTCATGTTGGTCTCTTTAGAGTCTTTATGCATGCTCTTGTTCGATCTCAGTTATAAAATGAATTTGAAACGTTTTTTCGCTTTTAGATTCAAAAATAAAAAAGTCTACAGTGTAAGTACTCGGCGGCCATTAAACAGCACATCTTCAAATGAAGAAAATTGTACAAGTCAAACTTTAAAAAGAGCAACAATCATGATGGCGATATCATCGCTTGCCCTCATTCTCTGTTGGTTGCCAAATCAGTTGTATTTTTTTGGCGCACAATTGGGCTACTTTGCACTTAAAGCAAGTATACCTGTCAGAATTGTTGGTGTTCTCGTCTTCATGAATTCTTTCATGAATCCAATCATTTACGGTTTCATGAATAGAACTTTTCGTGAAGGTTATCGTAAATTACTGCTTGATCTTCTGCCTTGGAAACGATCTTGAAGTGACTACATTTACGACCCTGTTAATGACCATATGCTTACAAACTCTGTTTTTCCTTTGTATGGGATTAATGGATAAAAAAAAGGCTAAGGATGGGTTCAACATTAACGTTTTTCTTATGGCTCATTAAAAGTTCTGCGGACATTTACTATTGTCCAACGCCATTTGCGTTGTGACACATTTTTTAGGTAACTTTTTTCGTCCAACTTAGCTTTGACCTAGTGTGTATCTTGAGTTGTCTTATGGTAAACTGCTTGGCAAGCCATGCAGCAAACAGCATGACTTGAATATGTTTGAAGTTTAAAATATGTCAATCTCAAAAGCAAGATTGTCTTTTGTCTCTATTGGTTGTAAGGGGTATTTTTATTTGCAAAACTTTTTTTTGAAAAAAAAAACTTCAATAAATTTTGTTGTAAAGTTCTTGATAAAGTTGTCTCGTGTTTCTTTTTCTCCAACTATGTGAAGTGTCACGTGATCGCATCGTGGATTAAATCAACTATATCAACTTATATTTTATGAAATAACGTGCATTCTATTGGTCACTTCGGAATTAAGGACTTATCACATGATTGATAACTTGCATTTTTATTGGTTAAAAATGCCCTACACGAAGCATCGGAAGCTAGTAAATTTCCTTTATTACCGCCATTTTGTTATCTGTTGAAGATTTCCATTTTCACAAAGCTTGTAAAATTCTCGAAGGAAGTTTGAATTTGATTATGGAAGAAATACCTGTGGAATACAACATTATTATCGAGGCATTAAATTGTGTCGTGCAGAATCAGCAACAAAGTTTAGGTCAAGTCGGTGAACAAACTGCATTTGAGTGTGTTGTGAATACAAGTGAACACACTTCGGAGCAATGTGAAGATGCACCACAACAAGCCGTCTTCCAGTGTGTCGTCGATACGAATGATGGAGAGCAAGTTAACTTTGAAGTCACAGGTTTGTCGTAGAAGATATTTTTGATCACAACTTGTTACCATTTCATATTTTCGTTTAATTTTTGAACCTTTCATTTGTGTTTGAAACAGGAGAAGCAGGCAATCGAAATCTTCCTGTTGATCAGGCGACATTTGCATGTGTCGAGGCTGCCCAAACATCTGAACAACAAGAGCAAGTGAATTATGAAATTGCAGCTCTTCCCCAACCACCCAGACAAAACAAACCTCCCAAAGAGAAAAAGATTTTGAAATGTCAAGTTTGTGATAAAGTTTTTTCTCATACTGGTAAGATCTTTAACTTGTTATTTGAAGTTTTGATTGAATAATGTTTACAGGATAAGTCCAGTTGAATGAATATGACTGGAATGGCATGGCATTTCTTGTTATATTCAGGTTCTCTAAATCGTCATGCAAGAACACACGAGGGAACCAAGTATTATTGTCCTACTTGTAATAAATCTTTTACGCAAATGGGAAATTTAATGCGACACCAGAGATCTCATACTGGCGATGCTCCTTTTAAATGTTCAATATGCGAGAAGACATTCAGAAGGTATTTAAATGTAATACTGTCAACTAACATTTGAGGCACTGTTCAAGATGTGATTTTACGATAATGCATTGCTTGGTTTATGTTCATTGGTCAATGTTGTATTAAATTGTTACTTATTTTGATATGATTTCAGGATGGATATAATGAAAGTTCACGAGAAGACTCATCTTGATGTAAAACCATTTCAATGTGACCAATGTGATAAATCTTTTGCTCAGCTTATCAACATGCTCAACCATAAAAAAACTCATCAAAAAGAGTTGGAATATAAATGTGAAGTCTGTGATGCAGGTTTTAGGAAGCAGTCAACATTGATCAAACATCTGAGAATTCACACAGGTGTTAAGGCATTTGTATGTAGTATTTGTCAAAAGTCGTTTGATCTCCCAAGCTCTCTAAAGGTACTTATTAGTGTGATCATTTTTATTCATAAATATGGTTATTCATCTTGATCATATTTCTTGTAAAATTTTAAATTGTTTGAATCAAGGTTCATGAGAGAATTCATACCGGGGAAAGGCCTTACGAGTGTGATGAATGTGGCAAAAAGTTTGCCCAACTTGGTAACATGAAACGACACAAGAAGACGCATTCTGGAGTGAAACCTTTTCAATGTGAACATTGTGAGAAGGGATTTAATAGAGCCGATCTCCTAAAAACACATGAGAAAATTCACAATGCAACAGCAAAAGAGCTGAAGTCCCAGAAGAAGTCAACTCACTCACATCAATTACAGTGTTGTGAAGGTAATGATGATCTGAAAGATCCTGAGAAAAATGCTCATCCTGATCAAGCAAAACATACAAATCACACTCTTACTCAACTGAAAGAAAAACCGTACAAATGTGCAATCTGTGAAATGAGCTTCAGTAATCCAGAAAGTTTAGTACGTCATGTTACGACGCATAACAAGTCCAAACGTGAACATCGTTGTGAAATCTGCAACAAGGTACATGATCTTACTTCTCCCTTTATATAAATTATGCTTCATTGTGTTGACCTTAAACATCAAACTTTCCATGAAAGTAGTTTACTGTCAATGATTATCTTGTGAAAATACAAGAAAAACTGTAGACAGTTGAAACTTTACAAGTTTCGTTAATTGTGTTTTCATTTCAGAAAGAAAGTTTTGCTTTAATGGAGTTATATAGTTGATCTTATTTATGTACAGGTTTTTGACCAACTTGGTTCACTGAAACAACACATGAGGAAACATACAGGAGAAAAGCCTTATACTTGTGACGTTTGTGGAAGATGTTTCAGTCAAGCAGGCAACATGTTACGTCATAAAAAGCGTCACGGGGTGGATGGTAAGATATCCAATTGCACGCTTTCAAAGAATCACCCTGAGAGTGCCACCGAATCTGGTGAGAAATCTGAGATTGAAGATGGTTTGAGCGGACAACTCGAGAAAGGAAAGGCTTATGAGGATTGTGGCGATGTTAAGGCCGTGGAGGACTTTAGTGTGAATGAAACTATTCATGTTGGTGAGAATTTTAAGAGTAATAAAGGTGCGCCGGCTGAACATGTTGTGCAGGCTGGAGAATTTGTGCAGGCTGGAGAAGATGTGCAGGCTGGAGATGGTGTACAGGCTGGAGAAGGTATATCTGCTGGAGACAATGATCAGGTTGAAGGTATACATGCGGAAGAATTTGTGCCTGTTAATCACATTGGTCTCGATAACGCGATGTTACAGGCGAATAAAAATGAAGGAAGGAAAGTTGATGAAGGTGCTCAGGCTCAACAAATAACTGAATGTAACGACGAATTTCCAACCATGATTGCAAGATACACTTGTGATCAGTTGATATCGCATGCTCATGATGTAAACGACGTTTCTTTGATGACCAAAGAAAATAGTGAAAAAAATGCTGATTCTGATATTTTAGTTAACAATATTCACGAAACTAACAAGAAAGACAGCATTGACGAGATGGAAACGAGGAATGAAGTAATTGAACCTGATTGTAGCTCCATTAGTGTAAGCAAAGAAATTGTCAACAATGAATCAATAAATGAAAACGCTTTACATGAAGTAGCTGTTGCGCAGTCAACAGACGATAGCATGTATTCAAATACCGATGACACCATGGCAACAACAACAACAGAGATTGTAGACAGTAATGAACACATGGAATGTGATAATGTTGATGATAACACACATATAGTTGTTATAACTGAGATGGATCAAGCTAATCTTCTTGGACAACTGGGCTTAGTGAGTCAAGTCAGTCGGTCTGATGATGGGGGGACTGGTAACCAAACTTTTATTACCGACTCTTCGATTATTGCTGAAGCCTTGGTTGGTCTCACTCAAGTCAGACATGAATGCGTCAATGAAGGTCAAGGAACGAATAACTTGAGTGAAAGTCCATCAAAAAAACCACCTTCAAAAGGTGGACGTAAAAAGCCTTATCCTTGTGATCAATGTGATAAATGGTTTGAGCAACCGAGTGCTTTAAAACTTCATGAACGCGTTCACACAGGAGAACGACCCTACAAATGTGCACAATGTGAGAAGAAATTTGCACAACATGGAAATTTAGTCAGACACGAGCGAACTCACAGTGGAGTAAAACCTTTCAAATGTGAAATATGCAACATAAGTTTTGCACGAAGAGATTTCCTGAAGCTTCATGAAAGCAAGAGTCATTCAATGGAAACCTCGGTTATTTTGTAATGAAGATCTTTTTTTATTGAGTGCAAAGATGTAACATTGAGACGAGTGTCAGTTCGTGTGTTTGGTCATTATACTTTATACGTATTTAATTTAAATATATGTATATATGGTATGATTCTTTAAATTATGTATAACGATGGTGTGATTCTTACAAAAAAGTTTAGGCTTTTTATGGCATCTAGATTTTCTGAGAAATGGATCTCTGGTTATTTATGAGGATGCTAACCAACCTTTCCAAATTGTTTCTTCATCTTCAATTAATTAGAGAGTGGTGTCAACTTGTCACATTAAATGCTCTGCAATTTTTGTTAAACATTTATGTGTACCATTTCTATGCCCTTTGTTTGAGAGAGTGAAGTATTAACTTCTGTCTTACTTGACTTAACAAGTACTAAATGGCTGCTGCCACGCGGATGCACACTATTCTTGACAAGACTCGACCCATTCCCCCACGCGACCTATATACTGGTGAAATCTCGATTTGTGTCTGTCTGTCTGTTAACAATTCCGGGGAGGATTTTTACGAATTGAGTTATTTTTTGCCGGAAACAAACCGTCGACTTTCAGAATGCGTGCCTTTGTTTGCATATATTCCAAATAAGGTATGGCACGTTTGATTAAGGCCCGTTCACTCGATTCGATTTTGTTAGATCCTAAAAACGGATCGTCTGAGCACATATAAAGTTAGTCTCCGACAGTCGGATCCGTCAATCTAAAAGAGGATAGAAATAGAACTTGCTCTATTCTCATCTGACCGACAAGATCAGAGGAAGCCGACTAGCCAAATTATATATATTTGAAAAAGACTTGGAAACTAGAGGAAAAGTACGCAAATACATCGATAAATCACTGGACAACACAAATGGCTGCTCTCAAGATTATAAATATCTAAACGTATCTGAATATCATCAAAAATATCCGACCGTCTGAACAAGCAATCAAAAGACGGAACCGAAACAATCGGATCTGACAAATCGTATCGTGTAAACCGGTCTTCAGATAGAAAGCAAACTCTAAACTTGGCGAAATAAACCTTGCTAACGCAAAGCTAAAAGTTAAAGAGACACGCTTGTAAAATTTCTTTGTCTATCATTCTAATCACCCAATCTTAACGTATGTATGAAACCACCTAGAATGCTGTACACGGAGGTGATTCCAATGGCTGTGACTTCGGTCAGAACCGTGCAATTTTTTCCAGACAATGGGCCGGGGCAGCACTCCCCCCTTGCGATAGAAACTTCTAGTTAAAAGTCACAATGGTGAAAAAAGTTTCGCTCCTTGACAGAGCGACATTTGATTAATGTATCATTTTACATTTGTTACCTTTTAACTAAGTGTCTAGTGCTTCTTTTTTTAAAAATATATTATTTTAAATCATCGATTTCTTGTTGCATAATTTATAGGATTAATCGTACCATTTTCTAAATCTAGTTAATATAAACAGGTCAGTTATACAAAGTAGTCATGGCCACAGACGATGTAGACTACGAAGATTTTTTGAACCATCATTTGACACAATTGAACTGTTCTGGAATTCTTGAAGTTCATCGAAAAACCTTGTTTGACAAACTCAAAAATGAGGTGACTACATTTACTACATTTGCTTCAAACTTAACACCATTTCAAAGTACAATATTTTCCCATTTCCAGGTGTTTGATGCAAGCGATTATTTCACATTTGTATACAACGAAGACGGTAAATTACATCCAGTTGTTTCAAGAGAGGAAGGAATAAAAGAGATGATTCACAAAGGTTGTTTTTAATTGGGTAATGTTTTGTATTTCAAGATAAATTTGTTTGAATATTGGTGTTTTTACAGCATATTTCTAATTGACCATGCGTGGACGTTTGAAGCGGAGTATGCTCGCCAACAGTTACGGACAATACCTGGACTTGCTAAGAGAATTGCAGGCTTAATGGACTTGATTTTTGACGATGAACAAAGCAGTATGATAGATAAGGACAATGGTAAAAACGTGGAATTGGAAAGAAGTGAAAATAAAGATGATGAGATAATTTCAAATGATGGATTTTATACTAATGATAAAGGTTTGTAAAATTTTTCTTAACGTCACGGTCATATGATAATTGTGATATTTTTTTAAGTGTCTATAATGTATGTTATTTTTGTTTTCCAGGCGAAGAATTGCCGAAGGAGAATGTTGTGGAACAGATTTTTTCAACTATGTGGAAGTATGTTGTATGTTTTACGTAATCTTCTTAATGTGAAGAACAGAAAATCCAAAATTAAATTTATTTTTAGATATAACAAAACATATACAGTTAAAGTTATGGTAAACATGTGTTTCTCTTTATATTTTTGATGGCAATACATATTTTTCTTATATATGGTTTGTGTACTTCCTTTTATTTCATTTTTTAGAGTAATGGCACAAATTTATCTGAGTTAAATGAACAGATTTGTTTTTGGTACATAATGGATGAATTTGGATCACGTATTAGACATTCTGATCATCCTTCAGTGTCAATCAAATGCTTTTACTATGCAAACAGTGGCATTTCATACAGTGTTATGTTTTTGAATAAGGATCTTAGTTATGGAGGTAACAAATTGACATACACTTATGAAAAGATATTAAACTCTTTGCTTGAATTTGACTATTTTGGTGGAACTTCAATAGATATCATCACCCAAGACTTTGCTGCTGGGGTTAACAATGCTGTGGTTAAGGCAACCATCTTATATCCATGGCAACCAGAAAACTTTAGTTTTGATCCAACCATTGAAAAGAAAGATATTGATGAGATTCTATTTCATAATGAGGTAGAGTAGATCTCTTAATGAGAAAACAGTTTGGTTGTTTAAAGTATCATTTATGAAAATCTATAAATGTTTTTTTGTTAGACTCGTTGTCAAGAGACTTTTAAAGAAGAGCCTGAAGGCATTGTTTATTTACCAAAGAAGGAGACTTATAATGTTTATACTGATATAGGCAATGTTGCAAAAAGTCTCAAAGCACCAAAATATTGTCTTGTTGAAGATATTAGTCAGGCGGACATTTTATGGATGAAAGAACATTACAAAGATTACAAGTAATTAAAGTTATTATTTACTATAAAGGATTTACTCTTTCCACTACTCATGCAGCAATAAGCTGACCACAATTTCAATTATTGGTTGCTTATGAGATCTGTAAAATGTAAGGAACTCAAACAAATATACCAGAGTCAAATTGTTCCTCTTTACCCCCCTTGTACTGAGGTGGAGCAAAGAGGGGTAATTTGCCCTATTCTCCTTTCTTAAGGAGAGCCCAAAAGAAAAAAAGATTGTTGGGTTTTAGAGAAAGGGGCGCCAGGCCCCTACATTTCACTGTACAGCGCTGAATATGTTCTTATACAAAAGTATGAAGACTTTGCTCAACATGTTTTCAATATTAAAAGGGGTAACAATTTAAATAGGACGTTTCCCAGTGGTCAGAAATGCTTTCTTTAACCATAAGTAATGATTGTTATTGTTGCATTTTAGATCCTTACAAGAAAACGGTCGTCAATACGTTAATCAATTTCCGTTCGAAAATATCATCACATGTAAAGATCTTTTAGCTCGAGTGGTTAATAGAGTGGGGATTCTATACCCTGAGAGATGTGATCATTCATGTACTAAGCGACCAATCTGGTTTCAAGCATCTTATAATCTTAACTTTGAACTTGCGCGATTTATTCATGATTTCCGTCTACGTCATAAAAGGTTAGAAAGCCTAAGTGTGTTGTGCGAAGGCTGTGGGGAATGAAAGCGAGAATGAGAGTTCTTGTTTTTCTCAAAAAATTCACGTTTTCTTTATTCTCAGCAAAGAATTTCATGGAATTACATGTATGTATGACGTATTTGAAACTTGTATTTTTGAAACTTAGTAACCAAGACAACACCTGGATCATTAAACCGTGGAATTTGGGAAGAAGTTTAGATACCCACGTGACAAATAACTTGAATCAGATTATCCGCCTGAGAGAGACTGGACCCAAGGTTGGTTTGTATTTCCCAAGAAATTTTTTCTGTCTTTAATATGAAATTGATAAGATTTTTTCTTCAGATTGCCTTCAAATATATTCACAATCCTGTCTTATTTCAAAGAGAAAATGTAGGAAAAGTAAAATTTCATTTTCGTTACATGGCTGCCGTAACCAGCATAAATCCGTTGCTAATCCATGTCGATAAAGTATTTTGGATTGGATGTGCGAACAGGTATTACATTTAATCGATATTGTTGTTTTTTTGTTTCATAAAAAAATAATAGAGGTATTTGAAAACATTCAGACCTTTTTCAATGGATAACTTTGATGTCTACGAGAAGCATTTTACGACAATGAATTACAGAAAAGATGTAACTTTTAAACAGGTATTTATTTATTTGTTCAATAACTTCACCTTTATCCTTGTGCTCTTAGCGAGCGAAAAACCTAGAAACGAGAATGGTATTTACATTTGTTACTATAATCACAGATAGTGTCGAACCTAAACTTTGGTACAATTCTTGGAAGCAGACAATGGCTGCTTTTGGGTTCTTGCCAATGTAATATTACTTTTCATAACCTGTCATTAACATACAGACGTTTCCCATAAACGGACAGGAGGTCTTGTTCCCAAGGATGTCTTCTTACGGGAAGGTCAACAGTTAGCAACATAGTGTTTTGAAGGACTAATTTTTAATCTGTATACCAGGTTCATCATAACGAATTTCCTGCGATGTTTGATAATCAGTATCCAGGATATCGATGGCATTCTATTGAGGTCAGTTTGTGATGATGTGGTGATATTTTTCGTCTTTCCTAACTACACATACATCACACTTTTATTTGTTTTTTTATTCATTTCGAAGACTGAAGTTCACCAAATTATAAAGGAATTGTTTGAAGCAGCAAGTTTTGAGAATCCACCTCGAGGAATGGGACATTGCAAGCTGGTACGTATTTCATTATCCTTCATTAACATTTAACCATCTTCATGATCCCTGGACAGGAAAGATCTTTTAAGCGGGGACGTGCTGGAACTTCATGTAGAACGATAATGAGCAAAATTTTAGGGTCTGATGGCATCTTTTGAACCAAAACAAACTTAATGTAGCTAGTATATAACTCTTCTACAGACATTGCTTATAATAACTGTTGTATCTTAAAGAATTATTTTAACTTTTTCAAAGTGTAAGGGGCACATAATGCCAAGAACCTTGCTCACAACGAGTTCTAGTTGTCCTGTCCATGGCCTGCACACTTGATCTCCAGACTTGCTGAAAAAATTAATGTAGTAATTACTTTTATTTTTGTAGTCAAGAGCTTATTACGCCATGGATTTTATGTTGAAGTGGGCTGATGACGGTACGTCATGTATTGTTTTTGGACATGCAGCAGTATTTTTGCAAAAAAAAAACCCTAGATTGTATTCTGCAAAAGTAAAGTGGTGTTTGCTTTGATGTAGGTTCAAAGATAATGCAACCTGTACTGCTTGAAGTGAACTTCAATCCAGATTGTAACCGTCTGGTTCAGTATCATCCTGACTCGTTTCATCATCTCTTTTCAATATTATTTCTCGGTGAGAAAACTCCTTGGCCTTGTGTACGACTGTAAGGTTAGATATGACTACAATGATCGTTTGCTTGCCTGCATAGCAATGTAGGTTATGTACGGCTACTATCTATGACTATGTTCATATTATATTTTACAATGATTTAGTTGCGAGTTATCAACTATGTGCAGAGGTCGGTCGTTCGTTGTAAAGTATGATGATTGCTAGTCACTGCTCACGCCATTCAATGAAGGATAATGTTTAATACACAAATTATTTCACAGGACAGGTGAAGCAATTAGCTTCATTTAGTAATCCTTGTTAATGCATTTTGTCATTCGTGAAATATTTTGCGGAAAACTTCCTGATTATTTGAAAAATGGTTCGTATGTGATATTGAAAGGACGATATATCTATAAAAGCCCAGTGGCGCCTGCCAGGACCCCAGCTGGAATGTTAACGGGCGGAAGGGGGTGGGGTGGGGGGGTAATCATGTACTCAGGTTGTGCCTGACCGACTTCTTTTGAAATTCATTTTCAAAAGAACGTAGTCGAGAACAGCACAACTGAAATATGAATATAGACTCCCCCCCCTTCATTTAACGCTTTAGAAAAGGTTTGGCGCAAGCAGTTGTCTCTTACCATTTTGAGGGGTAGTGCAAACCTCTCGCAAAAATAAAACCCAGCGCCATTGTGCAAGGCTAAGATACAGTCTGATGATCATGTCTGACGCTGTCACGAATGATTGAATGTTCCATAATTCTGTTCTTGTAATCACAAAATTTTATGTGAAATGTTGAAAATAGAATGTCAGCTAGAAGCTACTAACTTCAATGAATGTGATGAATAACTATTACTTTTACTTCTTTATGACAACGATGTCTGCTGAAAAAATAGACGATGTTGTGGGACAATGTCCTTTCGTGATGCTAATTTTGTAAATGTTAATGTCGTTTTCTTTAATTTACAAAACAAAGCCATTTGTGTAGTATGACTAATTGGCAGAATAATATGAATGTGTTGGTGTGTGGTCTCAACCGCAAGGTAGTTCAAATCTGTCTCACATTTATCAATAACTACTTCATCTAAACTATCACTGCTTCACAAAATTTTTGAAAATTTCCCCCCCACAGTTACAGTTGAAGGACATTCTTTGATACGGAATGCCAATATAATCAATATGTTATTGCACATATGAAAGCCCTTTGGCCGACCTGATAAAAACAAGCGATGAATATCCAAGAATTATGTCGAAGTTAACCTTTTTACATTTCACCAACGTGTTTAAGTCATATTTCAAGCAAGCGTGTTCTTTTTACCAGCGTCTGTTTTTAAATTATCTAAGTACACGTATTACAATGATTACAATACTGTCATATTTTGATGCATGTTTCGATGCGCTAGTGGTTGACAAGGTAACCAACTGCGGCAGTCGGTGTAATTCAATATTAGAAAAACAGATGAATGATTAGTGTTTGAATGTGGGTGACAAACGAAAGAATGACTGCGAAAGATTCATTATGGAGTCTATAGACTGCGTGTTTGCCCTTAACGGTCATAAGTTAGCTGACGATGATTGCAAGTTACAAAAAGAGCATTATTTGCTACTATCTTTAAACGATAAAGTTTTCAATAGCTTGTCACAAAATTAGGTCGTCGGGAAATCTGTCCTTGCCTCTGAATTGAGCGCAACCTCGACCAGTAAATCCATACTTGACATATGATTATTAGCGGTTAGGTTTTTTAATAGGGACAGTTTATCATTAGCTAGCGTGGTAGAGTACGGCATACAAGATGCTGTAAGTCTTTCTTCGCACTCTTTTGAAGAGTTCGAGTGAAGTTCTGGATTGTCAGAGTCACAACTCGACACGGAATCTTCGTCACTGAATGTTGAAGTATTATCACATTTTATCGTGTATTCCTCATGTGTATTGCTCTCCCTTGAACTTGTACTGCTTGTACTTCCCGTGCTTTTGGTTGCTCTTCTCGTGATTGTGTAATGACTAGGATCATGGCCTTCTCGCCTGATCATTTCAGGCAATATGCGACGTCTCGCGTTTATAAACCAATTACATACTTGCAACACGCTCAGGTTTGATGCTCGTGATAAGTTTTGTTTTTCGCTTTCCGAAGGATACGCGTTGAATCTGTGCTCCCAGAGCCACATTCTTAAAACATTTACAGAATCTTTGGGTAAATTTCCACGGCGTTTTTTCAGTGACGAGGTGTTCTTTCCGTGACCACGTGTTGTGGTAATCGTAGAGCTCCCATCGCTACTCTTGCTTATTCTCATGTCAAATACTGCGAATAAAAACCAAGACACAATACACAAAATCAGTTGAGATGTTTCACACTATCAACAAGTAAGCTCTGCGGTAATTAAGTAACTCCTACACTTTTGACAAGTCATGGTTAGGCTTGATTTAAGAGTCTCCTCTCACTACGAATACAAAATGAGCAATCGAATGTCATTTTAAAATATTCCAAAGAAATAAAACAAAATTTATCATCACATCCTTTCAGTGTGCATCACTTTGCCTCAAACATCGTTCTCCGATCACATTGTAAAGTCTTACGAAAATTCAAAAAAACGATATTGCGTTTTTGTATATTGAGCAACAACTGTCACACAATGCTTGTTTCAGGAGCGCAACGAAGCGAGTCAGGAGCACGTTTGTGAAGACGCCGATGTTATAATATTTGTCTGGAATTGTAATCAGTGCTTTAAACTCGCAAAAAATAGTTTCAAGCATTTAAAAAGACCTTTGAAACTCACATAAACAAACGATGATAAAAACGATAAAGAAATCGTGTTGAAAAATATGAAATTGCACTATCAATGAAGCTCTAATGTCTCGTCATTTCAACACAATTTCAGTCAATGGCAACTGAGCAAAATAATCAGTTGTTTGTCCCAAATTCACTAAACTAACATAATGGCTTTGCATGGAGTATTTGGCAAGCAGCAAATATTCTATAGGAATCGGATACTACTCAATAAAGGGAACACAATATGACCCATCATTCAATAGTCATTCAAGTCAAGTTAAATACCTGATCTTTTTTCTCGTTTTGAATTCTGTGGAGCCATTGAAATAATCGAGATTATCTTGCTCAAGGATTTCTCTTTAAGACAAAAGGATTTTCTAGCCTTTTGTATTATTTTTTGCGTGCTTCCTGGTTCGGCTACGTGTATTTACTAAGCCTGCTAAATCGTGGAGTACTGCTACGCTACTGACTGCTCTCATTTGACAATTATGACAGTTGGTGCTTGCAACAACCCGGCTCTGTTGTATTGTGTTTGTGCGATTTTCCTATTGCTGCCTTCTGATTGGTCGAAGTGCACTCTGTATTTACATGTTCCTCTTTTCTTATTGGTCTGCGTTTGTAATTTGCTTTTATAGCCCACGTGGACTTACAAAATTACAGCAAGATCAAGATCTTTGAGAGCTCCTTCATCTCCTAGGTGAGCGAGCATCTGACACTGACAGTTGTATTTGGTCGTGTCTGTCACACGACGAATCTTCCTTTATAAACCTTAACTTTTTCTTTGTCATAAAGGAGAACAGGCGAGCTTTGCCTTTGGGAAGCCTTTTCTAGACAAAACATTTTCTGATTGGCATAAATTGGTGTAACGTTGCTAGGATTTCTTTATGATTTCTGTCAAAGTGCATGAGGAATTTACGCTATGTGTCTTCTGTCAAAATACGATCTTGTTTCAGAGAAAGTGTTGAAATATTTCGTCAAGTATAAGATGGTATGCCCTGTTTAATAAGCTACTAAAAACAATTTAGGTGTGATTGACTAGTTGTAAGAAAATAAACATGTTTTTATATGATCAAATGCTAGATTCAAATTCAATTAAAATAAATGTAAATACGTTAATTTTCGGTGTAACATCATGGAGTTTTGTCTTCGTTATTTGCTTGCAGCGTTTATAAATCCTATAGTATACCGGTAATATGTCGCCTTAAATTAGTTTTAAACTTCTTGCATTCAATGCATTCATCATCGAGAACTCATGGCGATGTTTCTCGTGAATAGTAAGTCAAGGGAATTATATAACTAAGGACTTGGGATATCCGATTTTGTTTAAAATTGTGCATAAAATTATGTTTCATTAATCTTAGAGTGTGGTGCATGCAATAGCTTTGCAAGGAGTTATTTTACTTCGAAAGTTGGAATTTTCCCCACAATCCCAATATGTTGAAACTTGGTTATGTTGTGTTGTTATTAATAACGCAATTTGATTTTCAAGTGTTTATCACGCGATTTATTTCGAAAGCAAATGTTAAATTCCTTCTCTGTTGAGATTGACCTCTATTAACTTGTGACACCGATTGCATTATTAAAAGGCCATAGTACAAACGATTTTTGTATTTGATATCATTCACTCGGCCAAATGTCGTAAAAGTTTTGTTCTTCTTTTCCATCAAAATTTATCGTGTTCAGTCATCTTTTGATATATCACTAAGGGCGCTGTTGCACGTTGGAAAGTTGGAAATCATGCAGTTTTTCTAAGAACGACATTGGCAAATGTGCCAGTGAGTGGCGCTTAAGGCAAAAGTCTAGGGCCTAGACTCTAGGCAAAAGTGCTTGCATTCCTGGCTGCAACATCAGGGCAAGTGGAAGCCGATGAAAGCTGAAGAAGGTACAGGAGGCGGGTGTACTCTGAGACCATATAGAAAGTTTCCAAAATATTATTATTTCAAAACTAGAAAGAATGTTGTCCCTGTAAAGCAATGCAATGGCTAGCAACAGTAGAAGTGTGATGTCTTCTTTGTGCAAGGCACAAAAATACACAACGCAACAACTTGTGTAACTTGTCTCACAGTGGCACTTCGCAGCACCTTTATGGTAAATACACATTATATAAGTGCTTTTTAGTAAAGTTGTGCGTCTGTGATAAAAACGGGATTGGTTCTTGCGATATCTTCATTTCTTCTGTAGTGACCATTTTCTTTAACATTTTTGTCATTACCTTCATCATTTTTTCTGCGCATGTCATTTTTCCTATCAGCGGTTGTTTTCGTCTCACGATTCCTAAGTTCTGCACGCCAAAATTGGTGTTTGTAATAAAGTAATTCAAAGACAATAATAATAAAGACGGCTCCAATTCCAGCCAACATCATGAAAAATACACCTGTGATAGACGTAAAGAAATTTTTACTATGGACTGGAAAAAATGCTTTAATGGCGAAAACACAAAATTCCTAATCTCACCCATCATGTGACCGAGACCTAGCGTTGTCGAAACATTGGTATTTTCTGCACATGCTCCAGTTTCAATCCATAAAGTTTCCAAATCTTCCATCTTGCCGCTTTCATGGAAATTGAGAATAGCAAGTGATACTTCATTTGTCCATGGTGAATTTTTTGGGAGTCCAACTCCGTACGCTGAACGACCAAATAGCTCCCCTGCCGTAGTAAGCGAGCAATCTTTTGTTGTTTCATAGTACAAAACGGGCGAATCCCAAATGAACGCTTTTAATTCTCTGAAAACCGTATAAAAAGACAAAATTAACTTCTCTGCTGTTTTCATTTTTTTTTTAATGATATTAAATAGTTTTCTGTGAAAGAAAATGTTCATTGAATGTTTTAAGTAGGTGTTCTAAATAGAGTTCTAAATTCAGATATTGCCTCACCCATCACGAACTGCCTGTACACCATCATCGACCGAGTCAACATTATATGAATCCATAAATTTAGCCATTGTTGAAAGTTCTTCTTGACGTCGAAAGTAGCTTTCAACACTGCTGTTTGCCACTGTACCATACTTAAAATGGCTTGTTGGGTTACGAAGCTACAGAGAAAATGATTCAAATCTACCATTTAACATGTTTGCTGTGTTTGCACAGGCTTATTCAAACCGAGGAGACCTTCGGGAGAACTCGAGAGCAGATCAGTGCAAGCCCAAGACCGAAGGTCTAGGGTTGCACAAACGACTCCGAGGTTTGCATAAGCCAGTGCAAAGACGAAAAACATCTTTTATAAAATAAAAATAATGTGAAAAAGACAAATATTTTAATTTTTTCTCTAAAATGTCTTCATGATCCATTGCAAATTCTCTTTGACTGATTGATTGTTTTCATTGATTTAATTGGTTGAGCTCAGATGTGTTTTGCATAGGCTAATGCAAACACGTCTCTAGACCAATCACTGCACGCGTTTTATTGTTTTTATTTTATAAAGTAAAATAACGAAGGGTCGAGTCGTTACGTATTTCAACGTTATACTAACTTGTGGATCATCAATACCGCTGACCACTGACATTGGACGATCTAGGACAAGGAATGCAGCGAGATTGGCAGTATAGCTGGCGACAATAATCATTGCAAACCCTGCCCACGCCATGCCAAGAACTCTTGCGCTTAAGCTCCGAGGTGTACCTAGGTATACATGTAATGACTTAGTACAAGTCTATATATGTATTTCTGAGCATTTAAGCTTTCAATATTAACATGCCTTCCCCAATGCCGCTGTTCAGTAATACTCCCCATGCGAACCACATGGCACTTGTAAGATTTAAAGGTGTGTCTTCCCTATCGCATTTTGCCATTTGAAATCGTCCAAAGGGACTAAATCTATCGAGAAGATAGAGAAAGACGGCAACCACGTGTACGGAAAGGAGGACTAATAACCACAACTCAATTCGAAACGGTCGAAGGAACGACCCCAAACTACTGGACTTTTCATTCTGTATAGACATAATGGATGTTTTTAAAATGGTTCTTTTTATTTTCGATCTCTTCCCGTATATACTAACCTTTTTTACTAATATCGTTTTTCCTTCGTATTTGAATGGTTTTGTGAAATCGATTACTTTTGCTCTTTCGTTGTTAATAGTTAAGGAAGCAACGATCATATCTGCTTGATCTTCGAGTATTTCTTCAACCATACCATTCCATTTCTTATCTTTGTGACCTGGTTTCTGATGTTTATGGAAAGAAAAAAAAACTCCTACATTCGACTTTCCTCTCAAAGAGTCAGTATTTGGGACAAATATATTGAAAACATTTCCCTTCAGAAGAGAATTGCTTACTTCATTGTAAGAACCAAATTTTCCATCTTTCGACAAGTGAACTTCGTAGGTGAAATTTATATTATCGGCGAGCAATTGCAACAGGTCGATGCAGAAACCTTGATGGAATTTGAAATGTTCAAAACATTAAAACTTCCCAGCCTCACGTTTAGTAGCGAGGGATGTAAATTTTCATATATTTACCTCTGCCCTGCTGATTTCTTTTGAAATTATAATTACTTTCAAAACAAATAATATTCACCCCTCCCCCCCTCCTTAATAGGTGTTCAATAGTTTTCCTCCAGACCCCACCTGAACAGCAATAGACATCTTCAATTATAGCGTGCTCTTTGTCAACGCCATTTTGTTTCCCCGGACACTCCACGTATGTGCTGACGTCAGTATTTAGGTCAGAGCACTTTCCTGTCGGATTCTCGTGTACGTACACAAAAGGATGTTGCTTGATTGTGACGACCTAATTAGGACATGTTTGGATAGATGTCTTAAAGTTGTAGTTTGATCTTTACGTCATGATATTCATACCCTCATGTGTTTTGACGATTGTATTCCTTTCGGAATGTCTGTTGTGTCACCAGGCCAGACGATTGGACGAAAAATATTGAGTTTTCCTTCGTGGTGATTTCCTATTTCTTCCAAACCTGATTTCTGTACATTTGTTATTCTGTATTTGCTGTTTGCTCTTTCACCGTTTTCGTCAAATTTTACAACACCTGTACGTCCGTTTGGAATGGATGTGTTGAGTAATTTCCTATCGAAAATTTTAAAAACTTAGAGCTTGATGATCGAGTTTTGCTGTGCATTATTATAAGCATTAAGTCAAGAACGAAACGACAGTCAATACATGTATCGATCCTTGTTGAAAAAAAACACGATTAAACTCTTACTGGTACAAAGTTTTTCCTGTTGACCATGGTGTTAAACTGTGACAACCATTTGTCAGGAATTTTTTATCTGTTTCATTGTTATAGGAAACCCATGACGTTATAGTTTGAGTGACCATATCCACCGAGTCGTATAGATGCGCTATGAGGTCGGATTCTTGTGTTAGTTGTACACTGAGCGAACCTATTTTTTTACAAGGAAAGTGTCAGTGCTTTATTTTTTAATGATGGATATCTATGTTCATTTTGTACCTTGTGGGGCAATAATATTTTTATTCTCGTCCATCACTGCGTTTTCCATGACCAACCATACATATCCCTTTTTGTTTGGCAAAAGCTGCGAGAGTTCGTTGTAAATGATTTTTGCATCTTGAAGGCTAAATTGAAAAAAATGTGTGTTGGTGATTTCTTCTCTTCATTGTAGACACATTTCAATATTCTATGGATATATAACTTACTCAACAAAAATAAGAATCACTCGTGAAAGGGTATTTGAGAGTTCTTCCAGCTCTTTTGTGACGTTGGTTTTTTCTTGTAGAAGTTCAACGGATTTCTCGATCTTTCAAATATAAGGATGAAATTTTATTTTTAATAATTTTCTTCATAACTTCACTTTCGATGACAGACCTACTTACTTTAATGATACTATCTGATATCGCATCAACAAAGTGAAATAGAGCACGTTTTGACTCATATTTGCCTGTTGAGATTGTCAATACTTTTTTCCATCCAAAATGCTTCAAGATTTTTATCCAAACGTTTACTTGATCGTAGTATGGACTGACCGTTCTTATGAATGTGGGTTGTACGGTCTAGAAGATGGAGAGCATGGTACGAAATTTTTATTTGCATAGAAAAACAGTTTTTTAAGGAATGTCACCGTAAATCGTACTTTGTTAGAAAAGACAGAATTTCTAATGCCAATTCCAATCACTGGAATTTGAAAGAATCCGCAAGTGTAGGAGACAGCCATAGCAGGGCCATTAGTGAAGTTGGCGTCATTGATAACAAAAACAGCATGGACGTTTTTATTGAGAATGTTATCGCAGACATCGAGAGAAGCCTGTATAGGCTTCTTGTTCATCGAGATCGTTAGAGCTTCAAATTGTATTGACGTGTTTGAGAAATTCATATTTTTGTTTGCAAACTGCAGACGCTCATGAAAAGAACTTCTCAATTCATCCGATGTAAATAATGCGCCAATCTTGTAAACTTTAGGAGAAGATGATACGACTCTAAATGAGACGAATGTCAAGCTAAAAAATAAGAAATTTATAATCATTTCACTTTGTCTTTTTTTCCACAAAAGAACCTTTCTGCATTTTCGATTAACCATGCTTGAAGTTTAATGTTTGTGAATTTTGTTCAGCCTTTTGTTTACTTATACTTTCAAGTGTTGTGCATTTCTTCAATTGACATAAACTCTTATAAATTATTAATAGAAACATATCTCGTTATATCAATGTAACTTCAAACGTTTTCTTGTTGAGGTTTGTGTTTGTGTTTTTTTTTAAAAATTTGTTCGCGTGCCACGAGTCCACATTCAGTTAAAAAGTACTTTCTTTGTTTTGCAAAAGTTAGCATTGTTTTGCGTTGTTTTTTCACACGATTTGGAAAGGGGAATTTTTAATTAATAATATTTTCTTCAAGTTGAATGCAGTAATTATTTCTAGTTTTCATTAGAAGCACCTGTTCTCATATTTACATATACTGATAATGTGACAATATACTCCTTTTCAGACGTGTGCTCATACTTCTTTAATTAGATATACACTGATTGATTACATGAAATATACACGTCACTAGAAAAGATATGATAGCAGGAAGTAAGAAAGAGTACGCATTCAACGATAATGTAAGACCAGTTGGAGTGGGTCCATTTCCTTAACACATGTCGCTTATGCAAAAGGAAATACTTCCTATACAATAATTGGAAGTCTAGTCGATATAATGGTTGATCAATGATCATCGTGTCGGACAATCTAGACATTCTATTTCACTGTTCCCTGAAAAATTTAACATAAATTATTTTAAAGTGAATGGTTTGAACCCGAAGTATCGTTCGACTTTTGTAGATATAGATTCTTCGGTTAGTGCAGTTCTGAGAAGGACTGTTGCATGGTGTTGATGTTGACTGACGTTTGGACAGCCTTAGCGTTTGTCATATTTGACTCTAAAGATAAAGTTTTGAGTCAATACCAACACCAAAAGTCTTTCTCGGGATTGCACTAAACCGAGCGATCTACATCTAAAATCGTTTGAATCATTTTGTAATGTTCCAACTTGCTTAAACACCACTCTAACGACAGTTTATATGGGTTTTTTAAATTTCTTGTCTTTCGCTATGCGCAAAAGTCTCTACGACAAGTATCTATTTGTCTTGTTGAAATTTCAATGCACAGCATTGGTTCATGGTTGTCATTAAATTTTCAATCCACGTATACAACAGGATGTGATTGTTCAGAAATCTAATTGCAAAAATTGATCATGGTGTCAATTGGAAACGTTTCATTAAAACATTGCATTGACATGAAGTGAAATTAATCTCAGTGAAAGTGGCAAAAATACATTTACGAAGCACTTCAAAGTTTAAATGAAACACCTCTGTTGCTCTACCCATTTCATCATTCTGCTATAAATGAGAGTCTCTCAAGATGAAATATTTTACTGTACCTTGAAGAGTTAAAACTTTGCAAACAAGACATGGCAAGAAATCTTTTTGTTGTTTTGTTAATATCCATGTTGATGATGATGTTTCTTCTTGAAACACATTCTTTCAGTGTTGGTGGAGGAGGCAATATGCACCGACCGAGCAAGAAAGATAAAGTGTAAGTCTGTATTGAATGCTTTTTCATTTATTTCAACGACTTCAGCTCTACTGGTCTTTACATCTCATAAAATTTTTCGTTTTTTAAGGTTTTGGGGAACACGGTTTGGTTCAAGACGATACCCATTCAATCGAAATGAATTTTTGAGAAAAATAAACAAGGATGACGATATGGAAGCACTCTCGAATGATGAACTTTACTGAGATAATGTCAATGCGTGTTATCGTTTTATGAATTAAAACGTTCATGAGTAAGATTAGTTAAAGTATGAAATTTAATAAAGCAAATTAAATCAGCATACGGCTGGCGAGACTAGGAGTGTTTTTAAAACAGTTCATTCTCAAAAATAATAGCAAAACTATATGAACATATTTATGGTCAGCGGTTAGTCTTATAACATTCCGACATATATTAACATATTTATGGTCAGCGGTTAGTCTTATAACATTCCGACAAGTTCTATTTTGGTCACTAGTCTTATAACATTCCGACAAGTTCTGTTTTGGTCTTCACACGCTACCGGAACATGAATTGTTTGCGAACATATTTATGGCTTTGTATCGTGTTGTACAGTGATAGACACCTGTATTATTTCAAAGAAATTAAATTATATTAGATCCAAGCTGACATTCATCACTCAAAAAGGATTATATACCTAGCTTTTGACTTTCAAAGCATTTCTGTAGCCCCTGTAACTCGTCATTTTTGTCCGGTACCGAACTATTTGATGTTGCACACTCTCTCCTTATATGAATACGGGAAAAAATTGTCGTTACTGTCGAACTTTTCTTGGAGCAGAATCTCAGGCTCGGGTGTCACGTGACGACATATATTTTTATGATGTAAAGCGCCCTTTGTTTTAACATCATCGGTTTCTTTCATCGATTTGAATTTGATGTAGGTGAATAAAAGGATCACGATTGCAACGCACAAAAAAATCTTGAATAAAATATTGACATGTAATCAAAGTTGTGTTAAAATAAATCGATATATGAATCAACATGGAGTGTTTCCATTATTCCGAATACCTTCAATTTTTTTCTACTTGTTTTCTTTGATATCCCAATTGTTGATACATACTTGTTGTTTTCTGAAGTTATTATCTAAAGATTCATTTCGTTAAATATTTATTTCACACATCGCTAAAAGTTTACAACCAGCTAATACAGGTTGCGAGCGAGCTGGAAGCGTCATTTCCATGGTAAAATTTATTGAAAAGATTAAAGTGTATCATATAATATCCATGTACATACATACTAACCTTGAGACTTGTGTATGATGAATTCATTTTATCTATTACACATAACTAAACTGTTTCTTTACTGCCTTTATTCATCTGCTTTAAATTGTAGCTAATTGAACAAATGTTGAAGTTTTCTTACGGAAGGAACTAATGAGCCTCTTACTGTTAAATACATTAAGTAATGTAGATTATAGCCTACAAGGGGGCTCTTTAAATTTGAGGCCGATTCGACGTAATGACATCATGCTGAGAATTATTTAATGTTCCTGACGATGATCAACCAATCAGTTGATGTGTTCTACGTGAAGAGATTATTCGCCATCAGTAAAGATTGATTTTTTTGATGCTATTAGTCTGTTGGTTGACATACTCAGGAAGTTTTATTTTGAATGGATGTTTCCAGAACTATTACACTGACACAAATCGTGATTTGTCTAGTCTTAATTTAATGAACCATCTAAATTACAGTCGACATTTTAATATCATAAATCTCTTTACTTATTTACGCTTGTCTAGAAACTTAAATACACGTGAAACATGCATGTTTTAATAACAATAAATATTGTTTGAGTATTGCAAACAGATGTTGGCAAAGGAACTCATCATCATTTACGCTCTATCATCATTTGCAATATAAAATACAAAACGCTCTAAGTTATGTAAAAATTTTCTACCACGTCTTAATGTCAGAGTTGCCTTAAAGGCGCTCACATCTGTATCGTTCCTCGATTTTCTTGTGTAGTACGTACACAGAAAGCGTTTTAAATGCCAAAATTGCATCACTCTGCATGCAATATTAAATTATTTCCCTGCTGATCAAACTATGTGCTTCACTGTCAAGAAATAATATAACTCGAACACTCGCACGCTACGGGAACATATACCTCTTCACTTCTAGCGTTTTCCAAAGTAGTGTTCTTCGGATGCGTTATTCTCAGAAATTTCATCCTTCTATATCTTGTCACACAATGATAATGTCCGTTTAAGCAAGTTGCCCATGCTGTTCCCGGTTGATTTTTGTCATTATTTCCACTCACACATTTACGTTCCGTGTAAAACTGGGGGAAAAAGAAATCAGTCGTGTCGAACATGATGTTCAAGTAGATTCTAGGCTCCGGTGTTATATGACGACATGTGTTTGTATGAGTATATTGGTGCCTTGGAAAACTTTTGCCACTGCATTCAAAGACTATATTCAACAGACACAACAATACGAAAACCTTCGTCACCTTGAAAAAAAGAAGGAATCTATGTTTATATGAAGAAACTCGTGTCTTGGAATTAAAATGTCATTGCGGTTTGCGCAATGAGTATATTTTTAGTTTTTTTTTCAAAATAGCGATGATTGCCATCAGCTAAATGTGCTTTTTATTTCATTTTACTCCTACGCTGATCGTTTTCACTTGTGCTTCATCAGGAAGTAATTTAACATCTTGACCATTTTGCTATACAACAGCGAGGAGTACACAACGAAGACATTTTAGAAGACATGCGAATATTTAGATAGCAATAGGCTAATTAACTATGACATAAATTTCATCATTTAACAATAAGTCTTCGACGCGCAGGATGACAAAAGATGTTGCGCAAAGTATTTTCAAAACCGACGCGTGCATAATTTCCATTCTGACTTTTTCAATCGTGTTTATTGACACGTAAAAATCAAAACGTTGCGTATGCATGTTCAAGAGGAAAAAGTTTGATTGTATGAATGCTTACATAAATGAGTTACACATTGAGTAAAATCTATCTCTCACTTCACTTGAATTTGTCAAACAAGTTAAAAATCTGCGAATTTTTCATAGCTTTATTGAACAACTAAGCTTATGATCCGTTTACGACTTAGTAAAGTGTACATCGCAGACAAAGGGTTAATTTATATTTTCGCGTTGAAGGTGTGTTAATTTGCAAAATATTGTTTAGTGACATGGTTTTGTACAGTGGATTTGTCTACATGTTCAAAATTCATTTTGTGTTTAATCATTATTGTACTTGAACACTTTTTGCAATACGTACCTTTGAAGGCCTTCCAATAATTATTTTGAACAAGATTTTGCTGACTGTTTTCATTATCGCTGGTAATTTCTGCTCCTGATACTTGTTGTTGTTTTGTACAAAACTCTTCAAGTAAATATTCGATTTTATATCTAACCCTCCTGAGATCAAACTTCAAACCAATTGAGGCGATGTTTCAGCTGGTAATTGTCTTATATTTATAAACAAAGCCTGTGAGAAAATGAGCTTAGCGGAAAAGGCTTTCAATCACTAGAAAACAGGAAAGAAATTTATTGTTAGGAAATGGTCTCACTCGGGGATGCTGTCAACGAGCTTTTAATGACCTCAAACAAGGCCATCATCCCATCATTGATATGATCTACTTATTTATGATTTCAACATGCTTAAATTATTGATGTGAATAATGAGAATTATTTCGTGACGCATTACAAGTGCCCTTTACTTGCGTCTTACGTTTGACGTAAGAACTTTAATTTTGAGAGGTCAATATTTTGTTATTAACGCGCGGTTTAATTCATAGAAACCTGGGCCCGAAATACATAATGGCCGCACATTTTTGAAAGTTTGGAATATATTGCTTGTGGACTTCAGTGTGTGTATTGTAAGATTTTTATTTCTATTTAAAGATTGAAATATGGTAGGTTGCTTCTTGTGGTTATGTTGTATTGTGTTGTTTTTTTTTAAACTGCTTGTTGTTGAAATTATTTGCGTAATTTAGGGTAAAAAAAATCAAGCTAAGCCGAAACATAAACAAAGTGGGAAAAAACGCTCTAAGGGCAAACAAAATCGTGTGAGAAAAACTGTCAATGTGAACATGTTGAAGCAAGAAAACTGCCATGTGAAATACGCATCAAACCCAGAGGACTACGAGCCATCGAGAACATCCATGTCGGACGAGGGAAGTGAAATTGAAGGCGATGTTGAGGAATTATGTGAGCTAAAATTTCTAAGATCCGTCGATTTACAAGGGTATGTAATCTTCCTTCAACATGTCATAAAAGATTAGAATGATGCTGGAATGATTTTTGTTTATTTCAAAGATGTGATAACTCCAGACGACAGAAAAGGAAAACACTTAATTACGAAGCAGAAATATATGAAAAGAAACCAAGATTAGCAAACGATGAATGGAAACACGACGATTTTGTGCGATTACCTTTGAAAGACAAGACTGGAGTCATTCAGCAACATTTTGTTTATAATGAAAATGAAAATGGTATGCTCTTAAACATCTAAGTTTTAATATAGTTTTCATACCATTAAACACATCATTCTTTGTTTTGACTCTTTGTCAATAATAGACGATAGAAGTTGTAGAAAAAGCTGTAATATGGATGAATCTCAGATAGAAATGAGCTGTCAATCTATAAATGATAAGACGGAGGGAGTTTCATCATTGACATTAACAACAGTAGAGCTCTTAAAGTTGCGAAAGGATAAATTAGAGAAGAAAAAGTTATATATTTCAGAGCTGGTATCAAGCATCCTCGAAGATCCATTTGCTAATGTAAGTTACATTATCATTTGTACATTTAAAACTTTTCCTTTTGAAATGAGTTTATTATTTATTATTTGTTCATTGTAGGTTAATAAACTGAATGATCTTAATGTCCTATGTCAGGAAAATGATAATGATATTAAAGTAACTGTCCGAAAACTTGCTATTGTTTCCCAACTTGAGGTTTTTAAAGATATCATACCAAGGTAGCAAATAGAAATTGTATTTATTTAAAGATTTATAGCATGTCAAATTAAGTAATTATTATTTCAATTTATTCATTCCAAATTAGTTATCGTATTCGACCTTTGTCCGAGACTGAGCTAAATATGAAGGTAAAGACATTCTTGAAAAGCAGTGAATATGTTTAAAAATATCAAAATTTGATGTACCTTTGAAGGTTTCTAAAGATGTAAAACGAGTTCGCCAGTTTGAACAAGAATTGCTAAGAAACTACAAACATTACCTTGAGCTTTTGGAACAGACTATAAAAGGTTTTTCAAAATAATGCTTCACATATATCTTAGGCTGGTTTTCTGTCATTCATATTATTTCAAATAGAAAAAAAGATTTTCAAGAGAAATCATAAACTCTCAAGCGATGTAAGTCTGTACCAATGATTATGTGTGCATGTTCAGTAATTAAGTTTCTCCTTCATGTAATTTAAGTTTTTATCTATTTTAGAGTTTGTCAACGCTGGCATTCAAATGTCTTTGTGATTTATTAAAAACTGTCCCACATTTCAACTTTCGTAACAATATTGTGGCTGTTATTTTATCGAGAATCATCAATGACACATCTAATGAAAAAGCAAGTTTATTTGAAAATTTTGATGAATAAAAAAATAAAATAATAAGGAAGTATTTTTTTGTAGATTATTCAATTGTGTTGTCATACTATGGAATGTATCTTTCAATCTGATCATGTTGGTGAAGTGTCCTTTGAAGTAAGTTACCGGTATATAATAAATAAGATGATGAGACATTCACATAATGAATAAAGATTCTTTTGTTCATTTTCATAGATTGTTCAACTCGTTAATAAATTAATAAAGAGTCGGTCATTTAGAGTCCAACCATGTGTGAGCAGTGGATGATTTATTTAATAATTAATAAATTCTCATATCTTCTCATATCATTCAATTTTCTATGTCAAAAGGTTTTAGAAACATTTTTAACCCTGCATCTCGAAGATGCTCATCTTGAGAAGAAGGCAAAAGATAGTGAACTGGGTGAAGGAAAGTTCAAACGCAAAGTAGAGAAAATGAATAAGAAAAGCATGTCTAAAAATGGCAGAAAGGTTTTTAACCCTCATGACCATGTATCAATTTTTCTTCATGAAAATTATGTTATAATTTGTCTTGATGACTTTTAGAGACAAAAAGAAATGAAGAAAATTGAACGAGAACTGCAAGAAGCTGAAGCTGTAGAGTGCAGAGAAAAATCAAGAAAATTGGTGTGTTTGTTTGCTGTTTAATTCTCACCATTGTCCCACAAATTAAACATTTATTTTGTTTTTTAGCAAACAGAAATCATCAAATTAGTATTTTCCATATATTTTCGAGTGTTAAAGTCACCAAAGGCTTCATCATTACTAACACCAATTCTCAACGGACTTTCCAACTTTGCTCATCTCATTAACTTGGATTTCTTTGTTGATCTCATGTCTGTTTTAAAGAATCTTGTCAACTCTGAGGTAAACAAGTAGAACTTACTGAACTCTGAGTTGTACAAACGATAAAATAATCTACGCAGTGATCTCTATGGTGTACAAGGGGTAAAATATTCTCCGCAGTGATCTCTGTGGTGTACAAGGGGTAAAATATTCTCCGCAGTGATCTCTGTGGTGTACAAGGTGTAAAATATTCTACGCAGTGATCTCTGTGGTGTACAAGGGTAAAATATTCTACGCAGTGATCTCTGTGGTGTACAAGGTGTAAAATATTCTACGCAGTGATCTCTGTGGTGTACAAGGGGTAAAATATTCTACGCAGTGATCTCTGTGGTGTACAAGGGTAAAATATTCTACGCAGTGATTTCTGTGGTGTACAAGGGTAAAATATTCTACGCAGTGATCTCTGTGGTGTACAAGGGTAAAATATTCTACGCAGTGATCTCTGTGGTGTACAAGGGTAAAATATTCTACGCAGTGATTTCTGTGGTGTACAAGGAGTAAAATATTCTACGCAGTGATTTCTGTGGTGTACAAGGGTACAATATTCTACGCAGTGATTTCTGTGGTGTACAAGGGTACAAATAATCTACGCAGTGATTTCTGTGGTGTACAAGGGGTAAAATAATCTACGCAGTGATTTCTGAAATATACAAGGGTACAAATGATCTCATGAACTTTGAAGTAAAAGGCTTGGGTGTTAAAGCACAGTTATACCATGATTATTTCGATGTATTTTGTATTTAGTTCTCATTGTTTTATTTAAGGATGTTTCCACCAATGATAAACTACATTGCATTTTGACAGCATTTAAGATACTCTCAGATCAAGGTAGGTGAAGTTAAAGATGGAAACTTGCTTGTTTCTGCGTGTGTATTGTGTATATATATACTTGTCAGTGGGACAGTCCATCCAGCCTGTTTGAAGGCTGAATGGTTTGGAAAATATAAGAACGAAATATTTTTTATCTATCCACTGTCTTAACTTCATGTATTGTTTAGGTGAAGCTTTGAACATTGATCTGCGAACATTTTATAGTTATTTGTACTCAAGTCTTGTGGGTTTTCATTCAGGTGAAGTCATATTTTATGGTCATTTACTGAGAACAGACTTACACATCGTTCTGCCTTTTACCATTCGTACACGGCTTCAGTATTGGCACAATTATTGAGGACATTTCTACTAATTTTCACTTTCAGATCATGATATGAAAACTGTTCTTGGGTGTCTTAATATCATGATTAGTAAGAGAAGAAAACAGGTTCATTTAACATTGCTTAGTACTACGAGTTCACCGTTGAAAAGTTTTAGACGAGTATGTATTTTCATCGTTGTTAGGTGTCTATACAAAGACTTCTTGCTTATATCAAACGACTATGTACCGTTGCCTTATATAATTCCATTCCGAATTCGCTTTCTTTGCTCTGCTATGCAAAACTATTTCTGCAGGTAAGAATGAATATCTTTATAATATCATTTCTTATGATTGCGTTTTAATAATTACTAACGAGATAAAACCAACATTGTTTTCGAATTTTTTTAGATGAATGCTAAAAGTGACATCGTATTATGTAATGATAGTGCATTAAATGGACAGTTTTTTCCTGATATTATTGATCCAGAATATTCAAACGCCGATAATACATCGCTCTGGGAACTGACTTTGTTTCGTAAACATTATAACATGACTGTGAGAAACTATGCTTCTCATATCTCTTTGGGAATTCCAGACAATGGTCATGGATCTTTAACGAATCAATTATCACGAAAGTAAGTCGTATCTGACTTCCTACATGAAGTATAGAATTCGATTTTCTTCTTTATGAATTAAAATTAATAGTACCCTAAGAATTTTATTACTACAAACATGCACTGATTTCCCTTAATGACTGTTTGTTTACTAAATATACGAAAATATTTTTTATCTCAGGCATTGTGAATTGTTTCAGTTTTATAAACAAAGTCAAATAGCTACATATACTGTCTAGTTATGCCCTAATACAGCAAATGAATCTTCAATTTAGGACGCCAATAAATTTAATGGAGGATTTTACCGAAGACAAACTTCTCGAAGTTATAACTGAAATGAAGTCATTACCAAAAAAGTCTTTGAAAATACAAACTCGGACTGAGGATGTGAATGATTTTGTTACACGAGATATCAAAAAATATGTCAATGATTGCATGGAGTGGCTCAAAAAACAACGCAAAAGAGATGACTTTGAACAAGTACACTTTAGTAAAGTCAAAAGTTGAGAATTTTTATTAAACGATATGAAAATTTAAAAGTTACTGCATGATTTCATTTCCACGAAAACACCAGTTTTCCACCAGCAATGGGAAAAAATGTTGAGTTTGCTATTGAACAAGTGCTTTTATGCTGTCACTTTATAACATGATTATGTTTTGTTTTTAACACTTTGTTGCAATATGTTTAACATTATCGTGACGATCTTTTCTTCCATGCTAACAAGTAAGGAGTTTTTTTCTTTATGTATCTACATGAAGATCAAACATTTAGGATACATTCTGCGATATCGATTGTTTATTTTTGATACTTAAAAACAGTTACTAGCTGCAACACCTTGCTAGTTGACGATAATCGTGAAAAGAGAAGTCTATCAGAAAACCTTGTTGTTGGTATGGATTATTTGGGAAAGCCTCGAATCGTGTGTCATTGTTACGGTGAAGAAATGCAAAATTTGATATCAAAAAACATGTAAGAGTTTTTTTATTTTCATAGTTAGCTTTGCTGTGCATGAGAAAATATAATAGCCAACTTATTTTTATATCTTGAACCACATTTATTTTCTGAAAGGAATTTCTTTTTACTTAAGGAATAATCATATATGAAAACTACGCTGTAGTTAATGCTGAAATTGGATTCAATTTTACAGGGCCATGAATCGACGAAGTTTCATCGTAAAGGTGAACGTTGATTCCACAAAGAACTCTGGAATTCGTGAAAAACGAACGGTTGTGAACAACGCGGAACTTATATATGCACCCGTCTGTTGCAAGATCAATTTGTCAAATAAAAAATCGTGTAAGATTCCTTTGGTAGCTATGTTATCACATTGTTTTGATTATGATCTTTGATATCACATCGTATTTGTTTAACAATCTTTAAGTTAGTTTTATTTAATGTCTATTTAAAAAAATCAGTTTACAGTTATCCGTTCTCAGTAAACCTTGTTGCACTCAACTATACGGATGATCTAAAAGATGGTCACAGTGAAGCAAGCCAGGAATTGAGCACAATCCTTGTTGCTGGGGTTTGTTTTTATCAACCAGTTTTTACTTGACATGTGTGTGCATAGGTTTTCTAACGTGACGAGAAGCAAATATAAAATTAAAAACGAACCAGGTTATGGTGTGGAGATTTTTTTAATAACTTTATGTGAATGAATATTTTTTCTGTAGTTAAAAACAGTTCTTGCGAAGGAAAAAAGCGTCGTTTCAATTGGAGTTGATAAGTTTAGGTATATTAATCAAAAACAGTGATGTCATTATATTTATGTCTTTGTCAATTAAAAATTGATCTACAGATGTTAGCAAAATATGAGTATGTTTATTGCTTTAGTGATTTGAAGCCATTTTTACTATTGATGACAACGTAATCAATTAAATTTACAAAGGAACCTGGGTTTTGGTGGAGGGGAGATCAAAAAATATATCTATCAAACGCTCGATATTAGAAAAGCTGTTTATTCCTGTGTTTTTAAATACTATTTGATACAGCAGTTAGTGTACGTTTGTGTGAGAATACTTTATGTTACAGCAATATCAGCGGTAGTGTGTTGGCCAATATCTATCTAACAATCCATGGGATGATAACGCAAAGCATTGTGGACACATTAAAGGCAACAATTTCATCAGGAAATCTTGGTGGTATAGAGGTTCGCATTGTACCAGGTGAGTATTGTATTCATAATATAGAAATCTTAAATAGAAGTTTTACTTAAACAAAATAAATATCATTAGATCCTAACATTGAGAACGCTCAAGTGACCTATTTATCAAAATTTGACGATTCTAATTCCCCCCAAAGTTCCGCCGATTCTCAACCCACCGCAAGTAAACCCGCCGATCCTATACTCTCTGATTCTACCTCTACCCCTAACCCTACGCCTAACCCTACTCCTGACCTTTACTCCTAACCCTACCTAACCTACCCTTACCCTACTCCTAACCCTACCCCTAACCCTACACCTAACACTACCCCTAACCCTACCCCTAACCCTACTAGCAGCACCGTTTCTGATAGTTCCATTTCTCCTTCGCCAACAATCTCTGCCATTTCCGAGAGCGGAAGTACAAAAACCACAGCAGCGTTTTCAACTTCCTTCATCATCTCAACAACTTCAGAAATACAGACAAAGAGTTCTTCACTCATGTCCAGCTCAACATCTTTATCACCTACATCGACATTCATCGTTGTTTCGACATCAGGTATAAAACAAAAATAAATATCAATTTTACGTCTTGCATAAGAATGTTTTACTGTAAAAAAAAAGCAGTTCTTATGGGAAAGCACATTTATTTATTTGTATATTTGTTTTATATCTTAATGAAGAACATCAAAACTCATAGAAAAAACTCTAAATATGCGTGATGAAGATTTTTTGATTTATAACAATTTCTATAATATTTATTATTCAGCCATTGTACCGATCTTCTGTCCAGCGATTTGTGTTGATACAACTTTATGTCAACCTTCATGTCCTGCCAACTGTTGTGCTCCCTCTGTATCTGTTTGTCAGCAGCCATCATGTCCAACCGCATGTGCTCCAGGCTGCACTGACGCTTGCTGTTCAATTGGGCAGAGAAGAGTTCGTCAAAAGTATTAATTATTGGGTTTAATTTATTTTAAATGTAGAGCTCATATAGTAGTTTTTATGACAGTAAACTCTTCGTAACTTAACTGTTCTTCATTGAGTTGACAAGATGTCAATTGAAATACACTTAAAAACAGAACCTTAAACATTGTTAAATCTGTTTGTCGTTGTCAGTAAGTTCATATTGCTCAAAAAAAGAATAGTCATATATAAAGGGAACGTAATAAATTATGTTTAGCTAACAACTTGATATACGTAGCGTTAAAAAATCAACATGAAATTCAAGATAGAACTAAGATAAGATTAATCTTATGACGCTTAAAACTACATTTGACGAGGTCATGACGAAAATCAGCGGAAATGATTGTAAATAAGAATCAGTTCTCTGATAGGCAAAGATAGTGAACTGGTGAGGAAAGTTCAAAAGCAAAGTAGAAAACGAATAAGAAAAGCATGTCCAAAAATGGCAGAAAGGTTTTTAACCCTCATGACCATGTATCAATTTTTCTTCATGAAAATTATGTTATAATTTGTCTTGATGACTTTTAGAGACAAAAAGAAATGAAGAAAATTGAACGAAACTGCAGGAAGCTGAAGCTGTAGAATGCAGAGAAAAATCAAGAAAATTGGTGTGTTTGTTTGCTGTTTAATTCTCACCATTGCCCCAAAAATTAAACATTTATTTTGTTTTTTAGCAAACAGAAATCATCAAATTAGTATTTTCCATATATTTTCGAGTGTTAAAGTCAACAAAGGCTTCATCATTACTAACACCAATTCTCAACGGACTTTCCAACTTTGCTTATCTCATTAACTTGGATTTCTTTGTTGATCTCATGTCTGTTTTAAAGAATCTTGTCAACTCTGAGGTAAACAAGTAGAACTTACTGAACTCTGAGTTGTACAAAGGATAAAATAATGTGCATAGTGATCTCTGTGGTGTACAAGGGGTAAAATATTCTACGCAGTGATCTCTGTGGTGTACAAAGGATAAAATAGTGTGCGTAGTGATCTCTGTGGTGTACAAGGGGTAAAATATTCTACGCAGTGATCTCTGTGGTGTACAAGGAGTAAAATATTCTACGCAGTGATCTCTGTGGTGTACAAGGGTAAAATATTCTACGCAGTGATCTCTGTGGTGTACAAGGGTAAAATATTCTACGCAGTGATCTCTGTGGTGTACAAGGGGTAAAATAATGTGCGTAGTGATCTCTGTGGTGTACAAGGGGTGTAGGATCGAGATGCATGGAGCTTAGGTTATGCTAATTATTATGCTAATTATTATGCTAATTATTATGAAAACAAAAAGGGACCCGTATAAAAGCATGGTTTTTGGGGTCTTTTGAGATTGAGCACAATTCATGTATAGTGGTGTATTTTTGTACATGGATGTTTATATTTAGTGGCCAAATTACGAGGTAACGATGATTACGGCTCTAGGCCTCCTTGTCGGTTATGTTAATATCTATACTCTGTCGTTTAGAACCGTACGTTTGACGCATTGCATTGAAATAAAGACTTATCTTTATACCGGTCGTCGTTTTAATAGTAGTTTATGTACGAGTATCTTGCTGGTCACATAAGCCTGGAATTGTTGAAGCTTATATAGTTCTCGTAATTGTTGTTTAATCGATCAGCAATGACTCAGAAAGAAAGGGTCAAGGTAAAAGTCGAAAATTAAAGGCTTATCAAAACGCGTACTTCAGCCGTCTGGCGAACAGTTAAGTCCTCCAGGTCAAGTGAGTCGAGCTAAATCTGGAGAGAATTCGCTTAACAATACGAATCAAGACATGATTGAATCCGCTGAAGATGACGGTAGCGAGCGAGCTGAAAGCGGACCGAACGTCGTCGTACAAAACAAGCAAGTTGTCGTTTCTGACGAGGCTTCGACGAGTTTGGGTTCGCCGGAGCGAGTAGCAGACGAACAGGAACAGGAGCTTGAACTTGGTCTAAGTCAGGTCGCTTCATTTTTGAAGGATAATTCGGTTTTATCGCCTCTTGCTCCTGTATTCCAGTCCAATTCTAATATCGGTAAACAAGCAGCTTCTCACGTGAACGTCACGCGGACTGCTCGTGCGTGGAAAAGCCGACGCAAACAACAAATTTTGAAGACAACGGGGCTGGAGTAACGAGCGCGCTTGATTCAAAATGGGCAGAACGGTTTCGTGAACTTGAAGAATTGGAAATTAATAGAAGAGAAGAGCTGAACAAGCAGATGAGGGAGGCAAGGCTTAAACTAGAGAAAGAAATGCATCAGGCGAGAATTGAGCATGAGATGGCTATGAAGAAACGGGAAATACAACGACGTCGAGATGAGCTTCGGAAGCTTGAAGAAGAAGTTTTTGGTAATGATATTGAACATCAACTGTCGGACAGGGAAAGTAGTAGTAACGCTCGTGAACCAGATAAAACCCAGTCCAGCAACCTTCAACCCAATCGACAGAAGCAGTTTAAGTCAGCGCTTGGCGATACCTCCTACCGGAAATTGTGTACCCCAAGAAAGTATAATAACCAGTGGAACTGGATGTCAAACTCAGCAAAGCTTGCAACGAGACAATTCGTCGCAGTTACAATATCTATTAGAGAAGCAGCAGATTACGATGGACGAAGTAGTGAAGGGATTAAGAATGCCTCAAAGGGAATACATGAGTTTTGATGGCGAACCTCGCAACTTTCCGTTGTTCATGAAGAATTTTGAAGTGAATGTCGAGAGTAAAGAAAGTAATGATGCAGATCGACTGAATTACCTTATTCAGTATTGTAAAGGAACAGCAAGACAAGCGATAGAGCATTGCATCATTATGCCTCCGGATCAAGGATACAAGCGTGCTAAGGAAATCCTGAGAAAAAACTTTGGTCGAAATCACATCGTAACCCAAGCATTCCTTGAGAAAGTCTTGAATGGACCGCCAATTAGAGTAAACGAAGCCGAGAAATTGTCGCAGCTAGCAAGAGATATGGAAACGTGTCTCCTTGGTTCTATTCAGTTAGGAAATCGGGCAAGTATCAATTCGATGGACACTCTGGGAAGGGTAGTTAGCCGCCTTCCAATGCATCTCAAGTCAAAATGGGCTGATAAAGCAAGCCATATGTACGACAATCACATCACACCAGATTTCTCTCATTTAACTGAATTCATACAATCCCGCGCAGCCGTGGCTAGTACGTACTTTGGTCAAATGATTACCTCGAAAAATGAAACCCGAAAGGATGGAACTGACAGATTGAAGAAGAAATCCTTCTTGTTTAGTGGGAATAGCACAAACTTAGCAACTCACAGCCAGAGAATATTTGACAGTAGTGAATCAAAGGGAAGAAATTTATCCTGCGTACTATGCAAAGGCACACACCATCTTGAACGCTGTCACAAGTTCAGGGCTCAAAATCTTCAGCAACGACAAGACCTAGTAAAGACGCACAAAGTTTGTCATGCTTGCTTGAGCCCAGGACATTTCGTGAAAGACTGCAGAGGTGCCCGCATATGCGGTGTTGAAGGTTGTCAGAGAAGGCACCATCCTTTGTTACACTCATCCGAAATAAAGGCTAAGGATTCTAAATCAAGTGAAAGGAGTAATTCAAATCCTGAACCATCTGAAAGCGACAGCCAATCCAAAGCACTCCCAACGTCTGGAGTTGGCGCGACAAATTCATCATATAGCAGTTGTCGTATAGGTTTGCAAGTTATTCCAGTTAAGGTCAGCGCACCCTATGGTAGTCGTGTGATAGAAACTTATGCGTTCTTAGACAGTGGCTCCAACACAACCATGTGCTTAACCAGTTTAGCTGAAGATCTTGGAGCCGATTGCTCACCCATCGAATTCACGTTAGCGACTGTTTCAGGCAGCCACAAAAGTAAGGGTCAACAGTTATCTCTCGATGTGGTTGGAGTATCCACGGGCAAAGGTGTCAGACTAGATAAAGTTTGGACGACCAACACTCTTCCTGTTGCTCTAGAAAGTATTCCCACGAACACTGATGTAAAAGGGTGGTCTCACCTTAAAGGCGTTAATCTAACCGATTTAGTGGATAAGAAAGTCACTATCCTTATTGGAAGTGACGTTCCCGAAGCTCTTTGCCCCCTTGAAGTGCGTTCTGGAAAAAAAAATCAACCCTACGCAATACGGACAATCCTCGGTTGGACGGTGATGGGACCTCTGAAGGGAAAACCTTATCAAGAAGCTCAGATGAACTTCATTCATGTTGATCAAGCTCTTGGGTGTATGGAAAGGGAAGATGGTATGAGTTCCATTCGTCAGCAATTGCAAAATCTCTACAATTCAGAGTTTAGCGAGTCGGCTGCTGACGTTAAAGAATGTCTGTCGGTCGAGGATCGTCGCGCAAAGGCAATAATGGATAGAACTGTCAAGCTAGAAAATCATCAATATGAAATTGGTCTTCCTTGGAAATACGATGACCCACTCCTCCCGTACAATAAGTCTATGGCTGAAAGGAGACTTGCTTATTTGAAGAAACGACTTGAGAGGGACCCCATACTTCACGCAAATTATAAGGCAACGATGAAGGAATACATCTCAAAGGGCACGCTAAAGTAGTTCAAGTGGATAAACAAAATACACAGGACGAGTCACTCAAAAACTGGTTTGGTATCTGCCTCATCACCCTGTGACACACCCGCAAAACCAGAAAAGACAAGAATCGTTTTGACTGTGCTGCGAAGTTCCACAACGCATCCCTAAATAATCAGCTTCTTCAAGGACCAGATTATACCAATTCATTAGTTGGTGTATTGTTGCGGTTCAGGCAGGAAAAGATAGCGGTAATGGCAGATATTGAGAAGATGTTCCATCAGGTGAAGGTTAAGCCAGAAGACTGTAATGCACTGAGATTTCTATGGTGGCCAGAGGGAGATCTATCCAAAGAACCAGTAGAGCATCAAATGACTGTTCATTTATTCGGAGCAACCTCTTCCCCAAGTTGTTGTTCTTACGCGTTAAAAGAACAGCTTCAGATAATCGGGAAGAATTCAGCAAACAAGTTGTCGACACAGTTGATCGTAACTTTTATGTAGATGACTGTCTCAAGTCTTTACCAGAAAGGAAAGAAGCAATGAAGTTGGTAGACGAACTACCAGTTTTGCTGTCTCGCGGTGGATTCCATCTCACAAAGTGGGTGTCAAATGATCGAGAAGTCTTATCTCACGTACCTAACAAAGAAAGAGCGCCATGCGTCAGCCTTCAGTTGGAGAAGTTGCCGATGGAGAAAGCATTGGGCGTTCAGTGGAATACGGAAAGGGACACGTTGGGATTCCGGGAAGCAAATTGAAAGCAGAGTCAAGAAGAGGGATTCTATCGTTCATAGCTTCGGTCTACGATCCCTTGGTCTAGTCGCTCCTGTCGTTTTACCAGCCAAACGCATAATGCAAAACCTGTGTCGAGTAAATCACGGCTGGGACGAAGATCTCCCAATCGAGACAAGCGAAATATGGCATGATTGGCAAAACGAATTCCATTCCCTTGTGAAATTAGAAATACCTCGATGCTATAAACCGCACGAATTTAACAAGACAAGGAATGCGGAACTCCACTATTTTGCTGACGCATCGACTGAAGGATATGGGTAGCAACGTACCTTCGGCTGGAAGATACCCAAGGAAGGATTCATTGTACCTTAGTTATGGGCAAATCAAGAGTTGCACCTCTTAAAACAGTCACGGTACCCAGATTGGAACTAACCGCTGCAACATTGGCCGTGAAGCTGAATAAACAAATTTGTGATGAGTTGGATCTGTCAATAAGTCAAATTGTTTTCTGGAGCGATTCAATGATAGTGCTGCGTTACATTAAGAGCGAGAACAAAAGGTTTCAAACCTTTGTAGCGAATCGATTACAAGTTATTCACGATGCTTCTACTCCGAATCAATGGAGACATGTGCCAACCAAGCTCAACCCAGCCGACCTTGCATCAAGAGGTATAAGTCTTGGTCGCGCAACAGGCCAAGACCAACGGGACTTGCAGTTTTGGTTGAACGGACCCGATTTCCTTTGGAAAGATCCCAAATTATGGCCAACGCAGCTAGATGACATACCAGACGTAGAAGACACAGATGTGGAAGTAAAGAAACCTAAAGCAAGAGTTGGTGCCGTCATCAACTCAAAGGATGCACCCCCTGATTCGCTAATACAACTTATCCATCGAACATCCGAATGGTACAGATTGCAGAAGTCGGTTGCATGGCTGCTAAGATTCAAACAGTACATCTTAAGCCGTTATCCAAACGGTCCAGGATTAGAAGTACAACGTGGTCCTCTAAAGGTAAAAGAGATTGAATCGGCAACCCAGGAAATAATTAAACTTACCCAACGAAGTTCATCTATCAACGAGAAAACTATGAGAGAGATACGCTAAACTATGTCCAGTCATCGCCGGAGGAATTGTGAGAGTTGGTGGACGTTTGGATAAATCATCGCTGCCGGAAGAATCTAAACATCCCGCAATTCTTGATTCCAGTCATCACGTTACAAAGCTCATTGTCCGGTATTACCATGCAAAGGAAGGTCACGCTGGAACCAGTCAAACTCTAGCAGCAATACGGCAACGCTTCTGGATAATAAAGGGACCTAGCACTGTGAAGAGTATAGTCAATAATTGTGTTCCGTGTCGTCGCCGAAACCAGTCTCCAGGGAAGCAGATAATGGCCCCACTGCCAAAAGCTCGTGTGAAATCTGGTGAGTACCCGTTTTCATCTGTGGGAGTCGATTATTTTGGACCTCTTAAAGTCAAATATAAAAGAGGAACTGAAAAACGATATGGCTGTGTATTCACTTGCTTAGCCATAAGGGCCATACACATTGAGATTGCACATGACCTATCGACAGATTCCTTCATTCAAGCCGTATGTAGGTTCGTCAGTCGACGCGGACCGCCGAATGAGTTGTTCAGTGACAACGGGACGAATTTTAGAGGAGCGGAATCTGAAGTTAAGCAAATGTTGCAAAATTGGAATCAAGCTAGAATATTAGATCGTCTAAGAGAAAAGGGAATTCAATGGCATTTCTCTGCTCCGAAAGCAAGCCATAGCGGGGGAGTTTGGGAGCGCATGATCAGAACAATCAGGAAGCAAATGCGTGTTATAATAGGAGACCGAGTTGTTGATGATGAAACACTCCTTACAGTAATGTGCGAAGTCGAGAAAATAGTGAATGATCGGCCTCTTGTACGGCAGTGTGATGACCCTCGAGATTTATCAACTCTTACACCAAACACTCTACTCCTGCGTTATCGAAACATAAGCACAAGTGCAAGTTCTTCACCTACGGCAAATAACCCCCGAGAAATATGGAAACGAGCGCAGAAGTTAGCTGACCAATTTTGGGCAAGGTGGTTAAAAGAATACCTGCCAAGTTTGCAAGAACGACAGAAATGGCTACACCCAAAACGAAACTTAATCAAAGGTGATGTCGTTTTGATGGTGATGGAAGATACTCCCAGAGGTGAATGGCCTCTAGCGATAGTTGAAGAAACATTTCCGATAGCAACGGACATGTTCGGCAAGTAGAGATCCGCACGGCGAATCAAAGTCGTTATCGTCGAGATGTCAGGAAGTTGTGCCTATTGGAGACTGCGAAGTAAAGCGAGAAATTCTTCAGAAAACGAACGTTATTGTTGTTGTCACTTAACTGTTATTATTATTTTGTTTACGTTAAACGACGGTATCTATTGGTTTATGTTTGGTTATTCGACAAGATTGGTGGACACATTGTTTAAAACTTGCGCAAGTTAACATTGAAAACATTTGTATTGTAGCTCTCGATCCTTTTTGAATTATTGAACGACGTATAGTAGGTCGTTCGGGGCTGGTATGTAGGATCGAGATGCATGGAGCTTAGGTTATGCTAATTATGCTAATTATTATGCTAATTATTATGAAAACAAAAGGGACCCGTATAAAAGCATGGTTTTGGGGTCTTTGAGATTGAGCACAATTCATGTATAGTGGTGTATTTTTGTACATGGATGTTTATATTTAGTGGCCAAATTACGAGGTAACGATGATTACGGCTCTAGGCCTCCTTGTCGGTTATGTTAATATCTATACTCTGTCGTTTAGAACCGTACGTTTGACGCATTGCATTGAAATAAAGACTTATCTTTATACCGGTCGTCGTTTTAATAGTAGTTTATGTACGAGTATCTTGCTGGTCACATAAGCCTGGAATTGTTGAAGCTTATAAGGGGTAAAATATTCTACGCAGTGATTTCTGTGGTGTACAAGGGGTAAAATATTCTACGCAGTGATCTCTGTGGTGTACAAGGGGTAAAATATTCTACGCAGTGATTTCTGTGGTGTACAAGGGTAAAATATTCTACGCAGTGATTTCTGTGGTGTACAAGGGTAAAATATTCTGCAGTGATTTCTGTGGTGTACAAGGGGTAAAATAATGTGCGATCTCTGTGGTGTACAAGGGTAAAATATTCTACGCAGTGATTTCTGTGGTGTACAAGGGGTAAAATATTCTACGCAGTGATTCTGTGGTGTACAAGGTAAAATATTCTACGCAGTGATTCTGTGGTGTACAAGGGTAAAATATTCTACGCAGTGATTCTGTGGTGTACAAGGGTAAAATATCCCACGCAGTGTTCTGTGGTGTACAAGGGGTAAAATATTCTACGCAGTGATTTCTGTGGTGTACAAGGGTAAAATATTCTACGCAGTGATTTCTGTGGTGTACAAGGGGTAAAATATTCTACGCAGTGATCTCTGGTGTACAAGGGTAAAATATTCTACGCAGTGATTTCTGTGTACAGGGTAAAATATTCCGCAGTGATGGTGTACAAGGGGTAAAATATTCTACGCAGTGATTTCTGTGGTGTACAAGGGTAAAATATTCTACGCAGTGATCTCTGTGGTGTACAAGGGTAAAATATTCTACGCAGTGATTCTGTGGTGTACAAGGGTAAAATATTCTACGCAGTGATCTCTGTGGTGTACAAGGGGTAAAATATTCTACGCAGTGATTTCTGTGGTGTACAAGGGTAAAATATTCTACGCAGTGATTTCTGTGGTGTACAAGGGTAAAATAATCTACGCAGTGATTTCTGTGGTGTACAAGGGTAAAATATTCTACGCAGTGATTTCTGTGGTGTACAAGGGTAAAATATTCTACGCAGTGATTTCTGTGGTGTACAAGGGTACAAATAATCTACGCAGTGATTTCTGTGGTGTACAAGGGTAAAATATTCTACGCAGTGATTTCTGTGGTGTACAAGGGTACAAATAATCTACGCAGTGATTTCTGTGGTGTACAAGGGTACAAATAATTTACGCAGTGATTTCTGTGGTGTACAAGGGGTAAAATAATCTACGCAGTGATTCCTGAAGTATACAAGGGTACAAATGATCTCATGAACTTTGAAGTAAAAGGCTTGGGTGTTAAAGCACAGTTATACCATGATTATTTCGATGTATTTTGTATTTAGTTCTCATTGTTTTATTTAAGGATGTTTCCACCAATGATAAACTACATTGCATTTTGACAGCATTTAAGATACTCTCAGATCAAGGTAGGTGAAGTTAAAGATGGAAACTTGCTTGTTTCTGCGTGTGTATTGTGTATATATATACTTGTCAGTGGGACAGTCCATCCAGCCTGTTTGAAGGCTGAATGGTTTGGAAAATATAAGAACGAAATAGTTTTTATCTATCCACTGTCTTAACTTCATGTATTGTTTAGGTGAAGCTTTGAACATTGATCTGCGAACATTTTATAGTTATTTGTACTCAAGTCTTGTGGGTTTTCATTCAGGTGAAGTCATATTTTATGGTCATTTCCTGAGAACAGACTTACACATCGTTCTGCCTTTTACCATTCGTACACGGCTTCAGTATTGGCACAATTATTGAGGACATTTCTACTCATTTTCACTTTCAGATCATGATATGAAAACTGTTCTGGAGTGTCTTAATATCATGATTAGTAAGAGAAGAAAACAGGTTCATTCAACATTGCTTAGTACTACGAATTCACCGTTGAAAAGTTTTAGACAAGTATGTCTTTTCATCGTTGTTAGGTGTCTATACAAAGACTTCTTGCTTATGTCAAACGACTATGTACCGTTGCCTTATATAATTCCATTCCGAATTCGCTTTCTTTGCTCTGCTATGCAAAACTATTTCTGCAGGTAAGAATGAATATCTTTATAATATCATTTCTTATGATTGCGTTTTAATAATTACTAACGAGATAAAACCAACATTGTTTTCGAATTTTTTTAGATGAATGCTAAAAGTGACATCGTATTATGTAATGATAGTGCATTAAATGGACAGTTTTTTCCTGATATTATTGATCCAGAATATTCAAACGCCGATAATACATCGCTCTGGGAACTGACTTTGTTTCGTAAACATTATAACATGACTGTGAGAAACTATGCTTCTCATATCTCTTTGGGAATTCCAGACAATGGTCATGGATCTTTAACGAATCAATTATCACGAAAGTAAGTCGTATCTGACTTCCTACATGAAGTATAGAATTCGATTTTCTTCTTTATGAATTAAAATTAATAGTACCCTAAGAATTTTATTACTACCAACATGCACTGATTTCCCTTAATGACTGTTTGTTTACTAAATATACGAAAATATTTTTTCTCTCAAGCATTGTCAATTGTTTCAGTTTTATAAACAAAGTCAAATAGCTACATATACTGTCTATTTATGCCCTAATACAGCAAATGAATCTTCAATTTAGGACGCCAATAAATTTAATGGAGGATTTTACCGAAGACAAACTTCTCGAAGTTATAACTGAAATGAAGTCACTGCCAAAAAAGTCTTTGAAAAGACGAACTTGGACTGAGGATGTGAATGATTTTGTTACACGAGATATCAAAAAATATGTCAATGATTGCATGGAGTGGCTCAAAAAACAAAGCTAAACAGATGACTTTGAACAAGTAAACTTTAGTAAAGTCAAAAGTTGAGAATTTTTATTGAACGATATGAAAATTTAAAAGTTTCTGCATGATTTCTTTTCCACGAAAACACCAGTTTTCCACCAGCAATGGGAAAAAATGTTGAGTTTGCTATTGAACAAGTGCTTTTATGCTGTCACTTTATAGCATGATTATGTTTTGTTTTTAACACTTTGTTGCAATATGTTTAACATTATCGTGACGATCTTTTCTTCCATGCTAACAAGTAAGGAGTTTTTTTTCTTTATACATCTACATGAAGATCAAACATTTAGGATATATTCTGCGATATCGATTGTTTATTTTTGATACTTAAAAACAGTTACTAGCTGCAACACTGTGCTAGTTGAAGATAATCGTGAAAAGAGAAGTCTATCAGAAAACCTTGTTGTTGGTATGGATTATTTAGGAAAGCCTCGAATCGTGTGTCATTGTTACGGTGAAGAAATGCAAAACTTGATATCAAAAAACATGTAAGAGCCCACTTATTTTTATATCTTAAAGCACATTTATTTTCTGAAAGGAATTTCTTTTTATTTAAGGAATAATCATACATGAAAACTACACTGTAGTTAATGCTGAAATTGGATTCAATTTTCATTTTACAGGGCCATGAATCCACGAAGTCTTATCGTAAAGATGAACGTTGATTCCACAAAGAATTCTGGAATTCGTGAAAAACGAACGGTTGTGAACAACACGGAACTTATATATGCACCCGTCTGCTGCAAGATCGATTTGTCAAATAAAAAATCGTGTAAGATTCCTTTGGTAGCTATGTTATCACATTGTTTTGATTATGATCTTTGATATCACATCGTATTTGTTTAACAATCTTTAAGTTAGTTTTATTTAATGTCTATTTAAAAAAATCAGTTTATAGTTATCCGTTCTCAGTAAACCTTGTTGCACTAAACTATACGGATGATCTAAAAGATGATGACAGCGATGCAAGCGAGGAATTGAGAACAATCCTTGTTGCTGGGGTTTGTTTTTATCAACCAGTTTTTACTTGACATGTGTGTGCATAGGTTTTATAACGCGACGAGAAGCAAATATAAAATTAAAAACGAACCAGGGTATGGTGTGGAGATTTTTTTAATAACTTTATGTGAATGAATATTTTTTCTGTAGTTAAAAACAGTTCTTGCGAAGGAAAAAAGCGTCGTTTCAATTGGAGTTCATAAGTTTAGGTATATTAATCAAAAACAGTGATGTCATTATATTTATATCTTTGTCAATTAAAAATTGACCTACAGATGTTAGCAAAATATGAGTATGTTTATTGCTTTGCTGATTTGGAGCCATTTTGATTATTGATGACAACGTAATCAATTAAATTTACAAAGGAACCTGGGTTTTGGTGGAGGGGAGATCAAAAAATATATCTATCAAACGCTCGATATTAGAAAAGCTGTTTATCCCTGTGTTTTTTAATAGTATTTGATACAGCAGTTAGTGTACGTTTGTGTGAGAATACTTTATGTTACAGCAATATCAGCGGTGGTGTGTTGGCCAATATCTATCTGACAATCCAAGGGATGATAACGCCAAGCATTGTAGACACATTAAAAGCAACAATTTCATCAGGAAATCTTGGTGGTATAGAGGTTCGCATTGTACCAGGTAAGTATTGTATTCCTAATATAGAAATCGTAAATAGAAGTTTTACTTAAACAAAATAAATATCATTAGAACCTAACATTGAGAACGCTCAAGTGACCTATTTATCAAAATTGGACGATTCTAATTCCCCCCAAAGTTCCGGCAATTCCAACCGGCCGCCGATTCCACTCTGATCCTAACCTACCCCCCTTAACCCTAACCCTTCCAACCTTATTCCTAACCCTTCCTAACCCTCCCCACCCTTCCTAACCCTACCCCTAACCCCCCCCTAACCTACCCTAACCCTACACCTAATTCCTACCCTCCTTCCACCCTTCCACCCTATTCCTTTTCACCCCTAAACCCTTAACCCTACCTTTCCTAACCCTCTACCCCTATTTAACCCTCATTAACCCTACCCTCTAACCCTACCACCCTAACCCTAACCCAACCCACCTAACCCTTAACCCTTCCTTCAACCCTCAACCCTAACCCTAACCCTAATCCTAACCCTAATTCAACCCCCCTAACCCTAACCCTAACCCTAACCCTCCTAACCCTAACCAACCCTAACACCTACCCCTACCTAACCCTACACCAACCCTACCCTACCCCTACCCTACTAGCAGCACTGTTTCTGATAGTTCCATTTCTCCTTCGCCAACAATCTCTACCATTTCCGAGGGAAGTACAAAACCACAGTACCGTTTTCAACTTACTTCATCATCTCAACAACTTCAATATCTATATCACCTACATCGACATTCATCGTTGTTTCGACATCAGGTATAAAACAAAATAAATATCAATTTTACGTCTTGCATAAGAATGTTTTACTGTAAAAAGCAGTTCTTATGGGAAAGCACATTTATTTATTTGTTCAAAATGTTTTTCTTTTTTTTAATTAATATTTTTACATTTTGTTTTTGGCCATGAAGTCCCCCTTAGCGATCCTTCTGATAAACCAGGCGCAAAACCATATGATCCAAATACTCCAGGTATGTCTTTATTTCATCTATTCATTGATGGACTATTAATGTACACAGTGCGTTAAAAATCTTTTCATTTTACAGGAATGTTGTTTTTTATTTCAATGTTGTATGTTGTAACGAAATTTTACTTAGTGTATCGATATGCACATTAATGACAATGTTTTTACACATTTCTATAGCGAAGTCATTTGATGTAGTCATGGGACTGATTCTGCCCAGTGTTACCGCAGATATTTCCAATCCCAACAGTGCAGAATATCAAGAAATTAAATCATCAATTGAAGCTGGGGTTTGAAAGAAAATCACAATTTTTTATGTAGCAAAATATCAATATCTTTTAAACTAGCCTAAAATAATTCACTTTTCGTATGTTAATTTCTTTGAAAGCCATTGATTTTCGCTTAATATTTTATAGATCGCCGAAACTTATAAGTCAAATACAGACTTTGCTTCTGCTGTACTTATCAGTTTAAAGTAAGAATTCGTTTATAAATATTTGATATAATACAGCAACTACATTCCTATTTCTTGATTCTTGCCTTGTATTTATGTATTCTCAGACATTTTCCATGTTTGCGTTGGTAATGTATGAATGGTAAAAAGCTATTTTTAAAACGTTCTGACCTACATGTTTACAGTAAAATATCTTTTGATTTCCGAGTACTGCGTTGGTGTGCCATCTCTTTTTTGTCTACATATTTTTGACGAGAGGACGAGAGGGGGTGATGAGTATTGCGTTGGTGTGCCATCCCTTTTTTGTCTGTACATATTCTTGGCAAGAGGGGGTGTGTGTGTGATGTGTATTGCGTTTGGTGTGCCATCTCTCTTTTGTCTGTACATATTCTTGACGAGGGGGGGTGATGAGTATTGCGTTGGTGTGCCATCTCTTTTTTGTCTGTACATATTCTTGACGAGGGAGGGATGATGAGTATTGCGTTGGTGTGCCATCCCTTTTTTGTCTGTACATATTCTTGACGAGGGAGGGGGTGATGAGTATTGCGTTGGTGTGCCATCTCTTTTTTGTCTGTACATATTCTTGACGAGGGGAGGGGGGTGATGAGTATTGCGTTGGTGTGCCATCTCTTTTTTGTCTGTATATATTCTTGACGAGGGGGGTGATCAACTATTTTATGCAGTATTTTGATACAAATTACATCTCAATATTTTAGATCACTGGGAGTAAACAAAGTGTATGCTGCCGTAAAACGATCTACAACAACAGAAGTTACAGTGGAAGCTACAGTGAAGATTGAATTCAAAGTAGAGGCAACCGGTCATTTGGCTGCTTTGAATGAACAAGTCAAGAGTGGTAGCTTGGGTGAATTAAAAGTTCAACCTAAGTTAAAAGCAGGTATGTATGTTACATTATCATTATGAATATATGTTTCACTAGTTGCATTTTTTTGTTTTATATCTTCATGAAGAACATCAAAACTCATAAAAAAAACTCTAAATTTGCGTGAAGAAGATTTTTTGATTTATAACAATTTCTATAATATTTATTATTCAGCCATTGTAAGCGAGTACAATCCGATCTCCTGTCCAGAGATTTGTATTGATACAACCATATGTCAACCTTCATGTCCTGCCAACTGTTGTGCTCCCTCTGTATCTGTTTGTCAGCAGCCATCATGTCCAACCGCATGCGCTCCGGGCTGCACTGACGCTTGCTGTTCAATTGGGCAGAGACGAGTTCGTCAAAAGTATTAACTATTGGGTTGAATTTATTTTAAATGTAGAGCTCATATAGTAGTTCTTATGACAGTAAACTCTTCGTAACTTAACTGTTCTTAATCCAGTTGACAAGATGTCAATTGAAATACACTTAAAAACAGAACCTTAAACATTGTTAAATCTGTTTGTCGTTGTCAGTAATTTCATATTGCTCAAAAAAAGAATAGTCATATATAAAGGGAACGTAATAAATTATGTTTAGCTAACAACTTGATATACGTAGCGTTAAAAAATCAACATGAAATTCAAGATAGAACTAAGATAAGATTAATTTTATGACGCTTAAAACTACATTGGACGAGGTCATGACGAAAATCAGCGGAAATGATGGTAAATAAGAATCAGTTCTCTGATAGGCAACAGATAGTGAACTTGGTGAAAGAAAGTTCAAACGCAAAGTAGAGAAAACGAATAAGAAAAGCACCTTTAAAAATGGCAGAAAGGTTTTGAACACTCATGACCATGTATAAATTTTTCTTCATGAAAATTATGTTATAATTTGTCTTGATGACTTTTAGAGACAAACAGAAATGAAGAAAATTCAACAAGAACTGCAGGAAGCTGAAGCTGTAGAGTGCAGAGAAAAATCAAGAAAATTGGTGTGTTTGTTTGCTGTTTAATTCTCACCATTGCCCCACAAATTAAACATTTATTTTGTTTTTTAGCAAACAGAAATCATCAAATTAGTATTTTCCATATATTTTCGAGTGTTAAAGTCACCAAAGGCTTCATCAAAGGCTTCATCATGTTTTAAAGAATCTTGTCAACTCTGAGGTAAACAAGTAGAACTTACTGAACTCTGAGTTGTACAAAGGATAAAATAATGTGCGTAGTGATCTCTGTGGTGTACAAGGGGTAAAATATTCTCCGCAGTGATTTCTGTGGTGTACAAGGGTAAGATATTCTACGCAGTGATTTCTGTGGTGTACAAGGGTAAAATATTCTACGCAGTGATCTCTGTGGTGTACAAGGAGTAAAATATTCTCCGCAGTGATTTCTGTGGTGTACAAGGGGTAAAATATTCTACGCAGTGATTTCTGTGGTGTACAAGGGTAAAATATTCTACGCAGTGATTTCTGTGGTGTGTAAAATATTCTACGCAGTGGTGTACAAGGGTAAAATATTCTACGCAGTGATTTCTGTGGTGTACAAGGGTAAAATAATCTCAGTGTTCTGTGGTGTACAAGGGTAAAATAATCTACGCAGTGTGGTGTACAAGGGTAAAATATTCTACGCAGTGATTTCTGTGGTGTACAAGGGTAAAATAATCTACGCAGTGATTTCTGTGGTGTACAAGGGGTAAAATATTCTACGCAGTGATTTCTGTGGTGTACAAGGGTAAAATATTCTACGCAGTGATATCTGTGGTGTACAAGGGTAAAATATTCTACGCAGTGATCTCTGTGGTGTACAAGGGTAAAATATTCTACGCAGTGATTTCTGTGGTGTACAAGGGTAAAATATTCTCCGCAGTGATTTCTGTGGTGTACAAGAGTAAAATATTCTACGCAGTGATTTCTGTGGTGTACAAGGAGTAAATATTCTCGCAGTGATTTCTGTGGTGTACAAGGGTAAAATATTCTACGCAGTGATTTCTGTGGTGTACAAGGGTAAATATTCTACGCAGTGATTTCTGTGGTGTACAAGGGTAAAATATTCTACGCAGTGATTTCTGTGGTGTACAAGGGTAAAATATTCTACGCAGTGATCTGTGGTGTACAAGGGGTAAAATATTCTACGCAGTGATTTCTGTGGTGTACAAGGGGTAAAATATTCTACGCAGTGATTTCTGTGGTGTACAAGGAGTAAAATATTCTCCGCAGTGATTTCTGTGGTGTACAAGGAGTAAAATATTCTCCGCAGTGATTTCTGTGGTGTACAAGGGTAAAATATTCTACGCAGTGATTTCTGTGGTGTACAAGGGTAAAATATTCTCGCAGTGATTTCTGTGGTGTACAAGGGTAAAATATTCTACGCAGTGATTTCTGTGGTGTACAAGGAGTAAAATATTCTCCGCAGTGATTTCTGTGGTGTACAAGGGTACAAATAATCTACGCAGTGATTTCTGTGGTGTACAAGGGTACAAATGATCTACGCAGTGATTTCTGTGGTGTACAAGGGTACAAATGATCTCATGAACTTTGAAGTAAAAGGCTTGGGTGTTAAAGCACAGTTATACCATGATTATTTCGATGTATTTTGTATTTAGTTCTCATTGTTTTATTTAAGGATGTTTCCACCAATGATAAACTACATTGCATTTTGACATCATTTAAGATACTCTCAGGTCAAGGTAGGTGAAGTTAAAGATAGAAACTTGCTTGTTTCTGCGTGTGTATTGTGTATATATATATTTGTCAGTGGGACAGTCCATCCAGCCTGTTTCAAGTCATTGCCAAAAAAGTCTTTGAAAAGACGAACTTGGACTGAGGATGTAAATGATTTTTTTAAACGAGATATCAAAAAACATTTCAATGATTGCATGGAGTGGCTCAAAAAACAAAGCAAAACAGATGACTTTGAAAAAGTAAACTTTAGTAAAGTCAAAAGTTGAGAATTTTTATTGAACGATATGAAAATTTAAAAGTTACTGCATGATTTCATTTCGACCAAAACACCAGTTTTCCACCAGCAATGGGAAAAAAACGTCGAGTTTGCTATTGAACAAGTGCTTTTATGCTGTCACTTTATAGCATGATTATGTTTTGTTTTTAACAAAATATTTGATTTGGTATTTAAATAGTGCTCACTTTGTTGCAATATGTTTAACATTATCGTGACGATCTTTTCTTCCATGCTAACAAGTAAGGATTTTTTTCTTTATACATCTACATGAAGATCAAACATTTAGGATATATTCTGCGATATCAATTGTATATTTTAATACTTAAAACAGTTACTAGCTGCAACACCGTGCTAGTTGAAGATAATCGTGAAAAGAGAAGTCTATCAGAAAACCTTGTTGTTGGTATGGATTATTTGGGAAAGCCTCGAATCGTGTGTCATTGTTACGGTGAAGAAATGCAAAATTTGATATCAAAAAACATGTAAGAGTTTTCTTATATTCTTAGTTAGGCTTATTGTGCATGAGAAAATATAATAGCCAACTTATTTTTATATCTTAAACCACATTTTTTTCTGAAAGGAATTTCTTTTTATTTAAGGAATAATCATATATGAAAACTACACTGTAGTTAATGCTGAAATTGGATTCAATTTTCATTTTACAGGGCCATGAATCGACGAAGTTTCATCGTAAAGGTGAACGTTGATTCCACAAAGAATTCTGGAATTCGTGAAAAACGAACGGTTGTGAACAACACGGAACTTATATATGCACCTGTCTGTTGCAAGATCAATTTGTCAAATAAAAAATCGTGTAAGATTCCTTTGGTAGCTATGTTATCACATTGTTTTGATTATGATCTTTGATATCACATCGTATTTGTTTAACAATCTTTAAGTTAGTTTTATCTAATGTCTATTTTAAAAAATCAGTTTACAGTTATCCGTTCTCAGTAAACCTTGTTGCACTCAACTATACGGATGATCTAAAAGATGGTAACAGTGAAGCAAGCCAGGAATTGAGCACAATCCTTGTTGCTGGGGTTTGTTTTTATCAACCAGTTTTTACTTGACATGTGTGTGCATGGGTTTTCTAACGTGACGAGAAGCAAATATAAAATTAAAAACGAACCAGGGTATGGTGTGGAGATTTTTTTAATAACTTTATGTGAATGAATGTTTTTTCCTGTAGTTAAAAACAGTTCTTGCGAAGGAAAAAAGCGTCGTTTCAATTGGAGTTGATAAGTTTAGGTATATTAATCAAAAACAGTGATGTCATTATATTTATATCTTTGTCAATTAAAAATTGATCTACAGATGTTAGCAAAATATGAGTATGTTTATTGCTTTAGTGATTTGAAGCCATTTTTACTATTGATGACAACGTAATCAATTAAATTTACAAAGGAACCTGGGTTTTGGTGAAGGGAGATCAAAAAATATATCTATCAAACGCTCGATATTAGAAAAGCTGTTTATCCCTGACTTTTTAAATAGTATTTGATACAGCAGTTAGTGTACGTTTGTGTGAGAATACTTTATGTTACAGCAATATCAGCGGTGGTGTGTTGGCCAATATCTATCTGACAATCCAAGGGATGATAACGCAAAGCATTGTGGACACATTAAAGGCAACAATTTCATCAGGAAATCTTGGTGGTATAGAGGTTCGCATTGTACCAGGTGAGTATTGTATTCATAATATAGAAATCTTAAATAGAAGTTTTACTTAAACAAAATAAATATCATTAGAACCTAACATTGAGAACGCTCAAGTGACCTATTTATCACGTTTGGACGATGCTTTCTCCGCCACCCCTAGCGTCTCCAGCAGCACCGTCTCTGCTAGTTCCATCTCTCCTTCGCCAACAATCTCTGCCTCTTCCGAGAGCGGAAGTACAAATACCACAGCAGCGTTGTCAACTATCTTCATCATCTCAACAACTTCAGAAATACAGACTAATAGTTCTTCACTCATGTCCAGTTCAATATTTATATCACCTACATCGACATTCATCGTTGTTTCGACATCAGGTATAAAACAAAAAATAAATATCAATTTCACGTCTTGCAAAAGAATGTTTTACTGTAAATGTACGCAGTTCTTATGGGAGAGCACATATTTATATATTTGTTCAAAATGTTTCTTAGCCAATCAAAGCGCGCCATTTTGCCAGAAGTAACGCTTGCCATATAGCAAATTATTTTAATTAATATTTTTACATTTTTGTTTTTCGCCATGAAGATCCCATTAGTGATCCTTCCGATAAACCAGGCGCAAAACCATATGATCCAAATACTCCAGGTATGTCTTTATTTCATCTATTCATTGATGGACTATTAATGTACACAGTGCGTTAAAAATCTTTTCATTTTACAGGAATGTTGTTTTTTATTTCAATGTTGTATGTTGTAACGAAATTTTACTTAGTGTATCGATATGCACATTAATGGCAATGTTTTTACACATTTCTATAGCGAAGTTATTTGATGTAGTCATGGGACTGATTCTGCCCAATGTTACCGCAGATATTTCCAATCCCAACAGTGCAGAATATGAAAAAATTAAATCATCAATTGAAGCTGGGGTTTGAAAGAAAATCTCAATTTTTCATGTAGCAAAATATCAATATCTTTTAAACTCGCCTAAAATAATTCACTTTTCTTACGTTAATTTTTTTGAAAGCCATTGATTTTCGCTTAATATTTTATAGATCGCCGAAACTTATAAGTCAAATACAGACTTTGCTTCTGCTGTACTTATCAGTTTAAAGTAAGAATTCGTTTATGAATATTTGATATAATATAGCAACTACATTCCTATTTCTTGATTCTTGCCTTGTATTTATGTATTCTCAGACATCTCCCATTTTTACGTTGGTAATGTATGAATGGTAAAAAGCTATTTTTAAAACGTTCTGACCTACATGTTTACAGTAAAATATCTTTTGATTTCCGAGTACTGCGTTGGTGTGCCATCTCTTTTTTGTCTGTACATATTCTTGACGAGAGGGGTGATCAACTATTTTATGCAGTATTTTGATACAAAATACATCTCAATATTTTAGATCACTGGGAGTAAGCAAAGTGTATGCAGCCGTAAAACGATCTACAACAACAGAAGTTACAGTGGAAGCTACAGTGAAGATTGAATTCAAAGTAGAGGCACCCGGTCATTTGGCTGCTTTGAATGAAACTATCAAGAATGGTAGCTTGGGTGAATTAAAAGTTTATCCTAAGTTAAATGCAGGTATGTATGTTACATTATCATTATGAATATATGTTTCACTAGTTGCATTTTTTTTGTTTTATATCTTAATGAAGAACATCAAAACTCATAAAAAACTCTAAATATGCGTGATGAAGATTTTTTGATTTATAACAATTTCTATAATATTTATTATTCAGCCATTGTAAGCGAGTACAATCCGATCTCCTGTCCAGCGATTTGTGTTGATACAACTCTATGTCAACCTTCATGTCCTGCCAACTGTTGTGCTCCCTCTGTATCTGTTTGTCAGCAGCCATCATGTCCAACCGCATGCGCTCCGGGCTGCACTGACGCTTGCTGTTCAATTGGGCAGAGAAGAGTTCGTCAAAAGTATTAACTATTGGGTTGAAGTTATTTTAAATGTAGAGCTCATATAGTAGTTCTTATGACAGTAAACTCTTCGTAACTTAACTGTTCTTAATCCAGTTGACAAGATGTCAATTGAAATACACTTAAAAACAGAACCTTAAACATTGTTAAATCTGTTTGTCGTTGTCAGTAATTTCATCTTCTTTATCATTTTGCTCAAATATACTAGTCATATATAAAGGGAACGTAATAAATTATGTTTAGCTAACAACTTGATATACGTCGCGTTAAAAAATCAACATAAAATTCAAGATAGAACTAAGATAAGATTAATCTTATGACGCTTAAAACTACATTTGACGAGGGCATGACGAAAATCAGCGGAAATGATTGTAAATAAGAATCAGTTCTTTGATAAAAGTGGCTACGATGCTGTTGCCATCCGAAGTATGTTATTTTTGTGTTTTAAATGTAATCGTTCATATATAGCGTCAACACTTGTCCTCATACAAACGTGCAAATCGTAATTGAGTCGTTTCAGTTGTTTGGATAGAGCTCTGTCCAATTGATTTGCCATCTATGGGTCACTGAAACGATTTGGACAAATATTTGAGGACGGAAAAAAGAAGGTCCAGCAAAGATATTTATACGTTGACAATCTTGTTTGAATAGACATTTGATTTTCATACACAATATGTCAACAAATATGACGGTGATTACACGAAATTAATTAAAAAAACAAAGTAAAAAAGTCCAAAGAATTAAACTAAAACAATATCCGTAGATGATAATTTTTATCAATTCAAAAGTGACTGCATAATTAATTCACCACCAGTCGTGCAGAAACCGTTATGTTTGCAATTGAGCAGGTTGTCTGTATTACTTAATATGATGATTATTATTTTAATCTTATCTCAAAATTTTCTAGCTTCATCTACTATCCCCTTTTGCGTGCATTGAATCATGGGACACCTGAGCACCGTTTAGTCCCAGTCCCTGTCCGGGAAGCGGTGCAAGTTGTATATCCTCTCGTTGGTCCTTGTTTCTTATGACCCCAAACAGAATTTCAGAAGTTATCAGTAGCAATAAAGGTAAATCTGATTGCTATTTAAAAAATGTAGTTTGTTGAAACTTCATGTGTTATAATTTCGGTGTTCCATAGTCTTGTATGTTTTCTTAATTCATAGCGGATATTTATCATACAGTTATGACAGGACGCTTGCTTGTTATTTTTGAAACTTGGTTTGCTTCGTAAAGTCTTTTTTTCTTTCATTTCTTCCACTTCTTTCTGACGTGATGTTTTTCCTCGCGTAGCTTCGTGTCGTCGTCGTTCGGCACGCTTGTCTTCTGCTCGCCACTCCTCTCGAAGTCTATTGTGGAATTCTTCCCGCCGCCCAAGTTCCTTCATTTGACGGTTGGCCTGGGAGTTGAAAAAATAAAACTCAGTGGTTTTTCTTTTTCATTTGACGCAAACTAACTAAATAGTTTACCAGTCTTCTTGCTTCTCGTTCTTCACTCTTTATCTGGTGACTGTCTTCAATATCAGCAAATTTCATCCGCTTTTCTTTCATCACTTTACAACGATCGTGTATCAGCGTCTCTACTTTCTCTCTTCTTTCTTCTTCCTGTCGAAGTATTTCCTGGTGTTTCATTTGTTTAGTTTCTAATCTGGAAGTTTTACTTTCTTCATTTTCTGATTTTGCTTTTTCCATTTTATGCTCGTGTTCTATTCTTCTATTCCTTTAAAAAAGAACACATTTTTAACCGTCTTCTCTGTTCCTGATATAAAGCACAATGTCGAAAGGGTACTCTTACTTTCTAAACTCGATTCTTTTCTTCTCTTTTGCTTCTTCAAGTGCAACTTTATCTTCTATATCTTGAAAACATCTCTTGTCCTTTGATCTTGTAAATTTCAACGTATAAGCGCAACATTTGTCATCATTTTGCCCCAGTTGTTCGTTCCTGTTGTGAGATCCCACTGATTTACGTATTACAGTTTCTGGGCTCCAATTTTCATTTATAATTCTCGTAAATTTTCGATCTAAAGAGAACGCGAATAAGAATAACTTTTCTTGTACATTCGGTATTGTACATTTTCTTGTACATTTCAACATTTTTCAAATAATTGTCGTGAGAATTTTTAAAACATTTCATCTTATGGGCAACACAGTTTTTTCCTGAAATTTCTTTACAATTGTTTCGTTCGATGAATGCTTTCACCTGTTGCTTGTGGAAACTGGACACCACTAACATCCTGATATTCAGAATAATTTACATGTTTTCTTGCCAAAACATTAGGAGTATATTTGGTCACGTTCTTTTTATCTTTAACCAATCTAAGCGCATCCTGTTTTTCTAATTTATCTGCAAACGTATCATATATTAAAATTCATATATATAATTTTAACAAGACTGTAAATGTATAGTCTTATAACACATTCAAAAAAATGAAAAGTTTGACCATAATTAGCTGTTTCCGTGAAGAAAGGGATATCCTTCGCTGTTTTATATTTCTCATGTGTAGGACGATTTGGTTTTTTCTCATCAATATTCACTTTCATGGTCGTCTTGCGAAAAGTAGCCCGTGGCGCGGAAGAGACTGAACCCGAGTATTGCCTTGAGGTTTTTCCTTCGTTATTGATTGAAAATTTGAAAGTGTTTCTTTGTCGCGTTGGACAGCTAGATATGATCTTTCTTTGTCCTTTTCAAAAAACATATTTTTATAAAGTGATCCATTTGTGCCTTAAAAAAAAGATAATGAAAAACATACTATTGTTTGTATTTTCACCAACTTGGTTTTCGCGAAGGAAAAGGTCTTTCTCAATATGCGTATATCCGTTATTTTTATTTTCTTCGTCAGAAAAAAATCCACTGTCATAATCTCTTAGTAAGTCACGAGACGACGCCCTACCAATCAAAGGCGGAGACTTAAGATGGCATGATGAAGCAGAACCAATCATTCGCGGGTTAAGTTGATCACGTGTTGTCCTTTGCCCAATCATTGAGGAAAAGCGCTCATTTGATTGCTGGTCGATATTCAAATCCAAGGCTCGTATAAGGTTGGTGTTCTCTTCAATTTTCTTCTTGATCATTTTCTTTAGTTTCTCGTTTTTCTAGAACATACATAGCAAATGTTTTCCAGGAAATTTTTAACTGCTTTCAATCAACCAAAATTCCTCATTACTAATGAATGGAGAGAAATGGCTACTACCAGCTTCAAACGTCGTTTCTCCTCCATCCAAACCTGTCCTGGAATTTTAAAATGTCGGAATCTTCAACGTGCAGTCGTTGTTTTCTTCTTTGAGACTCTGGCAACTGAATGTTTAGTGAAATGTGATCGAAGATGGTTGGAGAAATGCGTAAAGCCGTTCTGCGTTTTATAGAAACCGTCTGACCATTAAAAAATGTCACCAGAAGATAGTTGTTCTCCTCCTCTAAAGCAAGATGTGAATTTTAAAACCAAGTGAACTTAGAAGAAATTAGTCGTGTATTTACCTAAATTTAATTTGCTTCTAGTTTCATATCCATCCAGAACAGTCCCAGGGCCATATCGTCCATCGTTTTGCCAAGAAGCTAGAACTTTATCGCCCAACGAAATGCTCAGGCGATAGGCATCTTCGTAGGCTATCATGTTGTGATGTGTTATCTCATGAAGTGATGATTTTCTTAAAGCTGGACAAGAAGCAAACTTTACAAGAAAAGCGTCATTTAGATCCTAAAGAAACCAATGTATGTCTGATAACTTGTTCGGTACATAAACAGTATATACGTTAGTTGTTGACAGTATTATTACTTGTTGTTTAATCTCTCCCAGATAAAAAAGACCATCTCTGTCCAATCTTGCCAAAACTTTAACACCTTTCATAATTGAAGATGCGAGAGGAGTTGTTGACAAGTTTATTCCCGCACATTTCGCTAATGCTCGAGATTCAGCCAATAAAACTCCAGATTCCAATATTTGTGAATTAATTATTTTATTTCTGTTTCTATGGTTGAAAATCGATCCACAATAACTACTATCGCATAAAGTTGAAGTTTGTGTAAAATCAACTTCCACTATTGGTAAAATGCTATCGATATTTTCACAGTCTGGTGACAACGAGACTGTATAAAAAGATCCTCGCGTTAGTTGAGCCAGATCTCGAAGAAATCCACATACTTCTGGATCACAGGATGTATGTTTAAGATAAATACCATGAACTGGCTTCTTGCAGGTTGGCTTGAGTTTTTCTAATATAATCGAGGGTCTATCTTTTAAAAAACTGCTAGTTATTAAACAAATCGCATCTATATCATGATGTTCATAAGCCTCGAGTAATGCTGAAACTATATCAGTTTGTGCTGAAGGAGTACATGTTATACTGCCTATCCATTCAGTTGCGATTTCCACAGTTTTTTTATCACAGAAGATCAAATGTTGTGCAAATTTTGTCACGTTGTCGCTGAATTGAATCAAGTTGAACTTAAAATCTCTGAGAAGATTTGTTCTTTCTTTGAGTACCTGACATACAACATAAAAAAGGAAATTTATTAATTTTGCAGTCAAGGAAAGTTATGGGATTTATACCTGGATAAGTTGACCTTTTAAGAACTTCATTTGATTGTTCATCGAACGAGAGGTATCAATGACGAAGCAGACGTTTCTTTCAAAGATATGGCTAAGCATTGTTTGATTCATGGTGATTTGAACGTTCACCAACAGTCACTGGCTCAAATTGTGCACAAAACAATGCAATAATCCAAATTCCAAAGTTTTTTTTCAGTTTAAACTTAAGTTATTGCGACAATATACAAATGTTGACATAGTGGCATGGTAACAACTTGGTAAATATCCTCGGTTGTACGTCGGAATTCTCCGTTCAAAACTCGGAAAATTCATCAAGTGAAGGCGCGAAGAGAAGTTTTGATTTTGAAGCTGTTTGTTCACGTAATCGTCGTGTTTTCAAGTTCCTGCTGAAGAAAAACGAGGAGAAGAAGAATCTAAATGCCTGATAAAGTCAGTTGAGTTTTTTCTTTGTAGTGTACGTTTATTCCGTATATTGTGTTGTATCTGCGGTTTTGAGCACAATTTACAAATACATAAAAGAAATTTACACACCAACGACAAATGAATCTGAACTACAAACCTTATTTATATCCTAGGTTGATGAAATAAATTGTATTCTATGCCGTTCCGGACGTCAAATTACAAGTACATTGGAACGAGCCAGAAAGAGAAAGATAGAATGGCCTGCTCCGAAAGAATCATACGGACATTTCGAAAATGTCTGTCACGAATCTTAAACAATATTTGTCAAAATATTCTTAAGTATTTTGGTGAACTTTTGACTTTATTACACATAGGACATTGCAATCCATACCTCAATTGATGATGCATTTGGCAGTATCTTGCAGTACATGTCTGCTACAAGTCGACAATGTCGGGTAAGTTCATTAAACGTTGATGAAATTAAAGAAAATCTGCTTTTTGTTTACTTTATGTGGACATTTAATGTGTTATTCAATCAGGATATCTATAGGGACAGAAATATAAAGTATTTTAAAGGTACTGAAGGTGGTCAGGATATAAAAGGGACACTAATATACAATATTTTATTTTTATTAGAGGTACTACAGGTGCTAAGGATGTAAATAGGGGCACCAATATACAATATTCTAGTTATACTACAAATGCTCACAATATAAATAGGGAGACTGATATACAATATTATAGAGGTACTACAGGTGCTCATTGTATAAATAGGGACATTAATGTACAACATTTTAGAGGTACTACAAGTGCTCATCAAATTGCAACAAGTATGACAAAGAACACGTAAATCGATTTCATCATTCTAAATATACGTCAGTCAGTTATGGAAATCCGGTATGTATTTTACCAAAATACAGAAATGACTAAAAAATCTAATTGAAAAAGGTTTTTCAATACATTAACCTTTATCTTTATGTATTCAATAATCATAACTTTTTAGCTTCAAAAATCTGAGGATGTACATGTTGAACTTACTCCTGGAACATATGCTGTTACTGCTGGTCAGTGGGGTGCCCCTCGTCACCATACTCAAGTTGTAAGACTTGACCCTGGACAAACTGTCAATATGACATTTACATGTATTTAATAATGACAGACACAATAAACTCTCTGAATTTTTTGATTCCTGGATTGTAAGCTCTGGTGAAACTCATTTAAAGCGATTTCCTTACGTAGTTATGCTTCGTAATAAACAGCCATCGTGTAAATTTTTATTTTTTTTCATTGCAACAAATATATGTAAAATTTTATGTCAACCTGAACTCTTGAATTTGCGCAATAACGATATTGTTGCCCATTCTTCTTAAAATTACTTTATTTTACCGTCTACATATTGTTGTATTGAGAAAGAGCAACCTTCAGGTCAATGGATAAAACATGTTTGTAGTGTTTAAATTCTGTTAGTTTTGTCAATGGTCGGTATACATCCTGAGCAGGTACCGTCGTTTTCTTACTTGTGTTTAATGCAATTATTTTACGCTCAGATAGATTAACTTCATGCCGTTGCTGGTATTGTTATGCACGATGTCAGCCCGTTAATGTAAAGTGTTTAATTTAAAAAATACAACTGGTTCAAGGAAAAGAAATCAAATGTGTTTTAATGGCACCTTTGACTACTGCCTTCATTAAAGCGATTCTTTTTCGCAGGTAATAGAGATTATCTCTATGAACATCTGATCCATTCATTGTCTGAACCGTGTAATTAATTGTGAAGAGCAGGTAAGGTGAATTAAGTTAATAAAACACTATTGACTGCAAATGTTTCTACTCCTTGTTTTATAGTTGGCAGTGTTATAGTGGAGAGTAGAAGATTTTACAGTAGCCATGGAAATGTTCCTAAGAAAACAAGTTCTGTGTTAAAACGTGTTCCATTTCTTTTTCAACCTACCGTCATTTGTTCGTGTGATTATCTAAAGTATAAACAGTTGATGTCAAGAAGACTGTAAGTAAACATGAGCGTTCAAATATATTATAATACATAGAATATATCAATATACTTATTTAATACCAAATAAAATGTTTACAAAAATTAGACTGCTCATTATCAATATCAGATAATGCTACATGACTTTAAATATTTAAACAATAAAACAATAATTACGGCACAAGACAATAGACACTCTTTTAATTAGATTAAATAATGTTTACTGTATATGGGTGTCTTTTGTTTTGTGTTTTACTAAAACAATAATACAATTAAAAAATAAATTAATTAAACAATAGTATAATCAAACAATGTGATATTTTGATGTGTGAAACATTGAAACATTGTTTAATTATAATTTAAAGTTATAAATATATTATGAACTTCATATTACGTAGTTTATACAAGTTCATATTACGTAGTTTGTACAAGTTCATATTACGTAGTTTATACAAGTTCATATTACGTAGTTTGTACAAGTTCACATTACGTAGTTTATACAAGTTCATATTACGTAGTTTATACAAGTTCATATTACGTAGTTTATACAAGTTCATATTACGTAGTTTATACAAGTTCATTACGTAGTTTATACAAGTTCATATTACGTAGTTTATACAAGTTCATATTACGTAGTTTATACAAGTTCATATTACGTAGTTTATACAAGTTCATATTACGTAGTTTATACAAGTTCATATTCGTATTACGTAGTTTATACAAGTTCATATTACGTAGTTTATACAAGTTCATATTACGTAGTTTATACAAGTTCATATTACGTAGTTTATACAAGTTCATATTACGTAGTTTATACAAGTTCATATTACGTAGTTTATACAAGTTCATATTACGTAGTTTATACAAGTTCATATTACGTAGTTTATACAAGTTCATATTACGTAGTTTATACAAGTTCATATTACGTAATATATACGAGTTCATACATTTGATTGACGTTTGCAACTAATTCCTAGGTTACGTCGTAGTCATGTATTTAAAGTGGAAAATAAAAACATGGAGAAACATCATGATGCCATTTACTCTCACTTGTGTTGTTCCAATGATTTGAGCAATCCAAGGAAACGTATGTCCATGTTCTTTTTTTTGGAAAATGTTTTCCCTGAATTATATTAATATTTTGGAGAATCGAGAGAAAGTAGTTTTGCACGACGAACGAAATGAATAAGAACATGAAAATATGAATTGTTTGTCCGCTTTTAGTTTACAGATATCCGATGAAAATACGTCTTTCAAAGAAAGTGTTTGTACCCGCGTACAACGATGTCAATGATCTCCAATACCAGACATTGGCCAATGAATTGATTAACGCTGTACGTACCAATGAAAGAAATTTATTTCAGAGGAAGTTACAGTTTGTCGAAAACAACCTTTGTAATGTATAGTCCTTCTTTATAGGTTGAACAGCTGTTGGCTGGTGTTAAATCTACTTTAGCGAGTGTTGAAGTAGAAAAGTTCAGGTTAGTTTGCGATTTCTCAATGACTATTAACTTTTAAGAAAATCTTTATGAAGTTTGATGTTTTACAAACGTGTTTAAAAAAAGACATGCGACATTTATTTATATTTACTCTGAGTTATTCTGCATATTTTAAATGTAGTAAAAATTTACACATTGTACACGATGATTCTTTCTCAGTATAGGAAGTGTTGTAGCCCATCTTGTTCTTACTACAAAAGGACTCTTCACTCAAGAGATGTATGATTTATTAAAAAGAACCATTGAGTCTGGAAAACTGGGAAACTTAAACGTTGACCTTGTTGGTACTGTATTCGCATGTCGAGTTGGTAATTCATTTTACTTTTATTTATGTATGCAATTCTCTTGTCGTTTAGACTCACCTTCTAAAATTCGTGTGATAAGCAAGATTTCTCAACCCAGCATGAGTCCTGAGACAACTGAGATTCCTGATGTAAGCGAGACTTCTCCATCCAACATGAGTCCTGAGACAACTGAGATTCCTGATATAAGCGAGACTTCTCCACCCAACATGAGTCCTGAGACAACTGAGATTCCTGATGTAAGCGAGACTTCTCAACCCAACATGAGTCCTGAGACAACTGAGATTCCTGATATAAGCGAGACTTCTCAACCCAACATGAGTCCTGAGACAACTGAGATTCCTGATATAAGCGAGACTTCCACACCCAACATGAGTCCTGAGACAACTGAGATTCCTAATATAAGCGAGACTTCCACACCCAACATGAGTCCTGAGACAACTGAGATTCCTAATATAAGCGAGACTTCCACACCCAACATGAGTCCTGAGACAACTGAGATTCCTGATATAAGCGAGACTTCTCCATCCAACATGAGTCCTGAGACAACTGAGATTCCTAATATAAGCGAGACTTCCACACCCAACATGAGTCCTGAGACAACTGAGATTCCTGATATAAGCGAGACTTCTCCATCCAACATGAGTCCTGAGACAACTGAAGTTCCTGATATAAGCGAGACTTCTCCACCCAACATGAGTCCTGAGACAACTGAGATTCCTGATATAAGCGAGACTTCTCCACCCAACATGAGTCCTGAGACAACTGAGATTCCTGATATAAGCGAGACTTCCACACCCAACATGAGTCCTGAGACAACTGAGATTCCTGATATAAGCGAGACTTCTCCACCCAACATGAGTCCTGAGACAACTGAGATTCCTGATATAAGCGAGACTTCTCCACCCAACATGAGTCCTGAGACAACTGAAGTTCCTGATATAAGCGAGACTTCTCCACCCAACATGAGTCCTGAGACAACTGAGATTCCTGATATATCCACCCAACATGAGTCCTGAGACAACTGAGATTCCTGATATGAGACTTCAACCCAACATGAGTCCTGAGACAACTGAGATTCCTGATATAAGCGAGACTTCTCAACCCAACATGAGTCCTGAGACAACTGAGATTCCTGATATAAGCGAGACTTCCACACCCAACATGAGTCCTGAGACAGCTGAGATTCCTGATATAAGCGAGACTTCTCAACCCGGAATGATTCCTGAGACAACTGAGATTCCTGATGTAAGCACAAATCCTAGTTCTGCATCTGGTGATGATTATGAAAACGAGTGTCTTTGCGCTCACAATCAAAAGAGAACAGCTCACGGTGTTCCTACTTTAACATGGTCTACACAAATCACTTCATCTGCACAGGCACGTAACAGTGTTTACAATTTTAGTCGAAATGATGTTATTTTAAGACTGTTTTGATTTCAGAAATTCGCCAATAAGTTAGCTGCAACCGACACTGGTGATCTTTACCATGAGCCGTCAACTTATGGTGAAAATATCTACACGGAGTTTGGTGATATTTTGATAAACAAACGTGGATCTTGCTCTAAAGCTGTTGATAGTTGGTACAATGAAACACGACTTTATGATTTCAATAATCCCGGTTATTCTGAAAACATTGGTATGAAAAATGCCCTCAGCTAATTATTTTGCAGATTTTAGTTGAGATTACGTCTTGGACTCCATCTACGTAGAATTTTAACATATGTTTTTTTCAGGCCATTTTACGCAGGTTGTATGGAAGACAACCATACAGGTTGGCGTAGCTGAAGCGTTAAGTAAAACAAATAAACGTTTCGTTGTCGCTCGTTATTCCCCCCCTGGAAACATACTAGATCATTTTCAGGAGAATGTTCCTCCGCCTTTGTCCGGTTTGTTTAATTTCGATTTGTCGATTTGAGTTCAGTGAACGTTGAATGAAGTTTCTTGCAATCTTTTCTCAGGTTCACCAGCTTTCCAAGTATTGAATGTACTGCTGGAGAAAAGCCTTCAAATACTGTAGACCAAACTAATCCCACCGTTACCCCCAATCCAAATCAGTTGCAATCAACACCATCAACCAACACTGATACCCTCACAGGACCTACATCCAGCCCATCATCATCAACACCATCATCCAATACTGATACCCTCACAGGACCTACATCCAGCCCATCATCATCAACACCATCATCCAATACTGATACCCTCACAGGACCTACATCCAGCCCATCATCATCAACACCATCATCCAATACTGATACCCTCACAGGACCTACATCCAGCCCATCATCATCAACACCATCAACCAACACTGATACCCTCACAGGACCCACATCCAGCCCATCATCATCAACACCATCAACTAACACTGATACCCTCACAGGATCCACATCCAGACCATCATCATCAACACCATCAACTAACACTGATACCATCACAGGACCTACATCCAGCCCATCATCATCAACACCATCATCCAATACTGATACCCTCACAGGACCTACATCCAGCCCATCATCATCAACACCATCATCCAATACTGATACCCTCACAGGACCTACATCCAGCCCATCATCAGCACCATCAACCAATACTGATACTCTCACAGGACCTACATCCAGCCCATCATCATCAACACCATCAACCAACACTGATACCCTCACAGGACCTACATCCAGCCCATCATCATCAACCCCATCTACCAATACTGATACTCTCACAGGACCTACCTCCAGCCCATCATCATCAACACCATCAACCAACACTGATACCCTCACAGGACCTACATCCAGACCATCATCAACACCATCAACCAACACTGATACCCTCACAGGACCTACATCCAGCCCATCATCATCAACACCATCATCCAATACTGATACCCTCACAGGACCTACATCCAGCCCATCATCATCAACACCATCATCCAATACTGATACCCTCACAGGACCTACATCCAGCCCATCATCATCAACACCATCATCCAACACTGATACCCTTACAGGACCTACATCCAGACCATCATCATCAACGCCATCAACCAACACTGATACACTCACAGGACCTACATCCAGCCCATCATCATCAACACCATCAACCAACACTGATACCCTCACAGGACCTACATCCAGCCCATCATCAACACCATCAACCAATACTGATACCCTCACAGGACCCACATCCAGACCATCATCATCAACGCCATCAACCAACACTGATACCCTCACAGGACCTACATCCAGACCATCATCATCAACACCATCAACCAACACTGATACCCTCACAGGACCTACATCCAGCCCATCATCAACACCATCAACCAATACTGATACCCTCACAGGACCCACATCCAGCCCATCATCATCAACACCATCAACCAATACTGATACCCTCACAGGACCCACATCCAGCCCATTATCATCAACACCATCAACCAATACTGATACCCTCACAGGACCTACATCCAGCCCATCATCATCAACACCATCAACCAACACTGATACACTCACAGGACCTACATCCAGCCCATCATCAACACCATCAACCAATACTGATACCCTCACAGGACCCACATCCAGCCCATCATCATCAACACCATCAACCAACACTGATACCCTCACAGGACCCACATCCAGCCCATCATCATCAACACCATCAACCAACACTGATACCCTCACAGGACCTACATCCAGCCCATCATCAACACCATCAACCAATACTGATACCCTCACAGGACCTACATCCAGCCATCATCATCAACACCATCAACCAATACTGATACCCTCACAGGACCCACATCCAGCCCATCATCATCAGGACCCACATCCACCATCAATCCAATACTGATACCCTCACAGGACCCACATCCAGCCCATCATCATCAACACCAACACTGATACCCTCACAGGACCCACATCCAGCCCATCATCATCAACACCATCAACCAACACTGATACCCTCACAGGACCTACATCCAGCCCATCATCATCCATCCATCCATCACATCCAGCCCATCATACCCATCCAACACATACCATCACACCTACATCCATCCATCCATCCATCCATCATCCACTGATACCCCACAGGACCTACATCCAGCCCATCATCATCAACACCATCAACCAATACTGATACCCTCACAGGACCTACATCTAGCCCATCATCAACACCATCATCCAACACTGATACCCTCACAGGACCTACATCCAGCCCATCATCATCAACACCATCATCCAATACTGATACCCTCACAGGACCTACATCCAGCCCATCATCATCAACACCATCATCCAATACTGATACCCTCACAGGACCTACATCCAGCCCATCATCATCAACACCATCATCCAATACTGATACCCTCACAGGACCTACATCCAGCCCATCATCATCAACACCATCATCCAATACTGATACCCTCACAGGACCTACATCCAGCCCATCATCATCAACACCATCATCCAATACTGATACCCTCACAGGACCTACATCCAGCCCATCATCATCAACACCATCATCCAATACTGATACCCTCACAGGACCTACATCCAGCCCATCATCATCAACACCATCATCCAATACTGATACCCTCACAGGACCTACATCCAGCCCATCATCATCAACACCATCATCCAATACTGATACCCTCACAGGACCTACATCCAGCCCATCATCATCAACACCATCATCCAATACTGATACCCTCACAGGACCTACATCCAGCCCATCATCATCAACACCATCATCCAATACTGATACCCTCACAGGACCTACATCCAGCCCATCATCATCAACACCATCATCCAACACTGATACCCTCACAGGACCTACATCCAGCCCATCATCATCAACACCATCATCCAACACTGATACCCTCACAGGACCTACATCCAGCCCATCATCATCAACACCATCATCCAACACTGATACCCTCACAGGACCTACATCCAGCCCATCATCATCAACACCATCATCCAATACCGATACCCTTACAGGACCTACATCAAGCCCATCATCATCAACGCCAACTACTACACCCATTGGTTCATCAAGTCCTGGAACAAATCAGCCTTCTTCTAATGAAACAACAACTCCACAGCTTTCTCCAGGTAGTTTTTAACTGAAGGCTTAATAAAAATTTGAGCTTGTTGGGGTAAATTACATTCATTTATTGGTTCAAAACGTTTTTTATTTTCTTTTAATGATTTTTTTTTTACATTTTGTGTTCCACCATTAAATACTGATGGCAGCAGACTTGAGTGAACCTTCAGATATTAATGCCAATACACCGTATGATCCGAATACTCCAGGTATGTCTTTATTCATCCAGCCATTGATGGACTGTTGATGGATGGAATGTACACAGTGCATAAAAAATTATTTCATTTTACAGGAATGATGTTTTTTATCTCATTGTTATAACTTGTATCGTAATATTACTTAAATCTAATGCTCATTCTGAGAAAACTAATGACAATGTTTTTACATTTTCTTTCAGGAAAGTTATTTCAGGTGGTTCTGGGAGTGTTAGGACACACTTTTACACCAGAGCTTTCCAATCCTAGCAGTGAAGAGTTTCAGAAATTGAAAACATCTATCGAAAAAGCGGTTTGAAAGAGTTTCATATATTGTAGAAAACCCTTTGTTGATGCTTTAAAATCCATTATATTTTCTTAATACTTTCAGATTAAGGCAATTTACGATGGAATTGAAGCATTTCGTTCCGCTACACTTATTCAACTCAAGTAAGAATTCTTTTATAATATTTGAGAAGCAGTTTCCTATTCCTTAATTGCCATGTGTCTATGTCATACATGGTTCTCGTGCAATTCATTCATTACTAAGGATTTCATGTGTACAAAGACAGTTGTAGCTCTTTATTGTCTACGATGTGTGAACAAGAATACCAAGTTTTCACAGCTTGTAGCGTTGTACTGACAGTCGTTCCTAATGCAAAGTTATCTTTTTTGTGTGTTTTTTCTTACGTATGCGTTCAGATTTCAACTCGGTTGCCTTTGGAGCGTTTTTTTATAAATATTTTTTGTAATCTAGCTATACTACTGTTTTGAAAGTTTCGTGAAATATATAAGCCAATTAAAAATGTTTAAAAAATGTTTAAGGTTGTGCCTTAAGTTTTAAGTAAAAAGGCAGAAGCTGTTTAAACTTCGCATTATCCTTGGATAATCTTTAGCGATACATGAGGACTATGTGTACCTTAGTGATGCATGAGGACTATGTGTACCTTAGTGATGCATGAGGACTATGTGTACCTTAGTGATGCATGAGGACTATGTGTACCTTACTGATGCATGAGGACTATGTGTACCTTAGTGATGCATGAGGACTATGTGTACCTTAGTGATGCATGGGGACTATGTGTACCTTAGTGATACGTGACGAGATTTTTATATGTAAACAATATGATGCCATCTGTTGTTCTAAACTTCACTTGAATGTTTAGAGAATTTTTAAATTGGCAATTTTTAAGAGAGTAGAAGACAGTCAGCGTATATCTGTTTTAGACCAAAAATTCCTGGGAAAACACCAAAAAATGAAGTGGAAGCTGAAGTAAACTTGGAATTCAAAGTAAATGCACCCAATCATTTGGCTCTTTTGATTGAACAAGTCAAGAGTGGTAGCTTGGGTGAATTAAAAGTTCATCCTGAGTTAAATGCAGGTATGTATGTTACATTATCATTATGAATATATGTTTCGCTGGTTGCATTTTTTTTGTTTTATATCTTAATGAAGAACATCAAAAGTCATAAAAAAAACTCTAAATATGCGTGATGAATATTTTTTAATTTATAACAATTTCTAAAATATTTATTATTCAGCCATTATAAGGCAGCACTTCTGTCCAATGATTTGTGGTGAAGCGACTTCATGTCAATCTTCATGTCCTATCACCTGTTGTGCTCCCTATGTATCTGTTTGTCAGCAGCCATCATGTCCAACCGCATGCGCTCCAGGCTGTTCTCTCGCTTGTTGCTTAGTTGGGAAGAAACGTCGTCGAAACCATTAATTATTGGGTGGAATATATTCTAAATTTAAAGCTCATATGGTAGTGCTTACGACAGTAAACTCTTCGTAACTTAACCGTGCTTGATTCAGATAAAGCTAATCTATTTACGGATTATAATGATCTGGTAAAAAATGGCTTGTGTAAATAACTTTGATCGCTTGCATTGAATACTGACTTAGAGACCTCAGTCATCAAAAAATATCTTTTGCTTTAGCAGAACATATTGCTCATAGAGCGTTGAAATACAATTAAAAACAGGGTCATAAACATTGTTAAATCTGTTAATATTACTCAGAAATGGGAAATGTCATTTTCTGTCATTTCATTTTGTTTTTTATTTCGCTCAAATATTCGTCATATATGAAGGGAGCTTAGTAAATTATGCTTGGCTAACAACACATAATATACATAGCGTTAAAAAATCAACATGAAATTTAATCATTAATTAATAATTGTACATGGACGCTATCTTCATTGCAGCTGCCCTTCCATAGAACTAAGATAAGATTAATCTTATGACGCTTAAAACTACATTTGACGAGGTCATGACGAAAATCAGCGGAAATGATTGTAAATAAAAATGACTGCGAACGTTGTTTTGTCATCCGAAGTTCGTCATTCTGGTATTTTAAATGTAATCGGTTTGAAAGGAAGTTCGTTATGAGTTGTTTTTCTTTTGACAATCTTGTTTGATTGGAGCTTATTCAAGAGCAGTTCGTACTCAAATGAATATTGGATCGTGTTTGGTGGATACAAGAAGATTTGATAAAATCTATACACCCTCACAAAAATCTCTTTTTGAAAGACGAAGTTTGTTGTGTCTTTGGTGGTTTTTCAGTTTTTGACATCATCCATCAATGTTAAATCCATTGGAGAGTTTATCTCTTGCATTACAAATGTGGTGATTATTTGAAGTTCACAATTGTTCGTTATATTGCGTGAACTTCACGGTTTCCCTGAAAGTCTTTTAAAAGAAGTGTTTTCTTTTTTGACATTATTTGAATGCTGTCACCCTAAAGTGGATTATGATTTGTGGTGTCTAATGATTTTCAAATCGTAGACGTTTGCGTGGCTGCGCTTATTTTTTGTCGGTCTTTGATTTATTAAGCAGGAAATCAGAACAACTTCGATTTGTTTTCGCAAGAGAAGGAGAAATTCTAGTTTATTTTATGGTCTATTATAATTGACCTCGTTAATGTTTTTTTATTTGACAATGGGAAATAGTATAGCTAAGAATAATAACTTGAATGGCAGCCATAAAGTGCCAAGTGTCATCACATCCCGTGAAAATGATGCATTTGTCGAACTGCAACAGCAACTGTTGGAGAAAGATGAGCTTTTGACAAAGAAGGATAAAGAACTGGACAAATTGCATTGTATGCTGTTGATGAAAGAGGAAGAAAACACAAAATTGTCTAAACGTATTCATGAATTTGAGTGCGTTGTGGCGCAGACTTCTTCAACGCTTAAGATGGATGAATCGCGTCAAATTCAAAAGGAAAAGTTATCATTTTTAGGAAGAAGTTCCTTGAAATGGAAACGACTAGCTGTGAGTGGAGAGAGCAGTTCAAACATTCGTCGACAGGAATCTAATCTAGAGTTACAGACAATCACAAAAGATTCGAGGTAAGCGAAACTGATGATCTTCGTCATTATACGGACTATCGATACTGTATGTCAGTAATGTTTTAAATACATAAAAGTTCTTTTTAAAACATTTCTATTTTTAATATTTTGTTGCATGTATGAAATATAACGATGAATTTATGCACGTTGACGTGGGTTAAAACTTGAAAATCAAGTAGTGAACAAGAAGCTTGTTTTGATTATGGAACATCGATAACAAGAGTGATTAAAAGTAATTTCATAATTACTTGAATATAATTAAAATGATGTTTCGAATGATGAAGACAGACAGGTTAAACAAATGTATGCTGTGAAAGTATTGAGGGAGAAGTCGAAGTTTCAAACTCCTCAATAATTTTGCTAAAAATATTTTTTGCATATAGCACGATTTTCTCCCTAATGTTTATTAAAATCTTTGTAGTTGTCGGCATCTTATCCGTAAAGCAATCTATGCTAACGATTTCCTTAAGAATCTGGAGAAGTTTCAAGTTCGTGAAATCGTCAGCTGTATGTATCCTAAGAAATATAACAAGGATAGCTTCATTATAAAGGAAGGTGAAACTGGTGATGCCCTCTTTGTTCTCTCAGGTTGTGAGCTCTGAACAATAAAAATGTGCAGCTTTTTATTAGCATCTAGTTAGAGCAAATCAATAGTTTTTATTCATTTATAGATGGCACTCTTGAAGTGAGCAAGGATGGTAATGTTCTTTGTGAAATGTCAAGTGGAACGGTGTTTGGAGAACTGGCAATTTTGTACAATTGTAAACGAACGGCTTCTGTTAGAGGTTAGTGCATTATATATATATTCTAAATAGAAAATTGCTATATTTCTTGCACCAAGAAGTTCTCGAAAGTTAGTACTCAAAATTTAACGTGCTTACTGCTATCTTTTTCTAGCCAAAGAACATTCTAGACTGTGGGTTATAGATCGTTCTGTTTTCAAAGTCATCATGATGCGTACTGGTATTACAAGACTTAAAGAACATCGTAAATTTCTTAAAAGGTTGCACTTTCATCAAAGCCTGACTAAAACCTTCATCAAAGCCTGACTAAAACTTTCATCACAGCCTGACTGAAACTTTCATCACAGCCCTAAAACTTTCATCACAGCCTGACTAAAATCTTTATCACAGCCTGACTAAAACCTTTATTACAGTATACAAACTTGCTTACAGCCTGAGTACAACATTCATCACATGTTCGACTGTTTCCTTCATCATATCGTCTAATTACAAACTTCATCACAGCGTGGGAACAACCTTTCTCACATGTCCAACTTTACATTCATCAAAGCCTGATTACAAACTTCATCACATCGTGGGAACAACCTTTATCACATGTCCAACTTTACATTTCAAAGCCTGATTACAAACTTCATTGCAGTCTGAGTATATACTTCGTCACAGTCATACTATAACCTTTATTACATCCTGACCATTACCTTTATCACAGTCATAGTATAACCTTCATCAGAGCCTGCCCATTAATTCCATTATACTTGAAGCCCTACCGCAGGTGTATTTACTTATTTATAAACTACTTCACGACATATTCTTTAGTGTGTCATTGCTCAGCAAGTTGCCAGAAGAAAAACTCACAAAGATGGTCGATGTTTTACAAGAAGTATTTGAATTCATTCTCATACTTTTAAATGATTTACCACGTGATATGTATATATGTGTGTGTGTGTTTGCTCAAGAGAAATATGCTGGTTTGCACGTGATTTATTGGTTATTTTTTGAAGGAAATTTATGATGAAGGAACAGTGTTAATTCGTGAAGGAGAAAGTGGTAACACATTTTTTATTATCATTGAAGGCATGGTGAGTGTTTTATTATACATATATCCATAAATGTCGTTTAAGAAAATTTCATATATTATCGTCAAAAGCTCCACGACAAAAAGAAAGGAAAATTAAGCATTCAATTTATCAATAAAATTTTAAGGTTAAAGTAACGCAGACTGTAAACAATTCTTCTGTTCCTCAACTTGTTCGAACACTTAAGAAAGGAGATTATTTTGGTGAAAGAGCGCTTCTCAGGTTTTTAAAAGCGTCAGTTCTCCTCATATGGGGACCTGAGCTAATTTTTTTCTTTCCTTGTGTGCAGTGAAGACTGCCGGACGGCAAACGTTATCGCTTGCGCCAAAGGAGTCTCGTGCTTGGTTTTGGAACGAAAGTAAAGTTAATACTCTAAATTAATTGTTATGATCGGGATAATTTCTGAAAAGATTTCATTGTGGTTTAGTGCATTTAAAGAACTGATCGGTGATTTAAATGAGCTAAAGATTAAAGATTATGGTGATGAGCAGCGAGGAGCAATAAGGTTAGTCAATTTTTAAAATGCTTATCTTACCAATGGTGTACAAAAGGAACAGTTTATAGTGTTGCGTTATTTCCTTCAAAAGTATAAGAAAGAACACATGTGAATGAAAACCTTATAACTATTTTTTAGGTTTGCTATATCGAGCGAGAACTTGGTTAATATGAGTAATATCTCAAGAAACACGCCTAGATGTATAGCAGAACACGAACTCAACGATTTTACTGTAGTAACCACTCTTGGTATCGGAGGATTTGGACGTGTTGAGTTGGTAAATGTGTTTAAGTTAAATTGAAGTTGATGAATTAATTTGTATACGTACACTACCTCTTTCATTTATTTTTCTATTCAGACTAGTTGTACTTGGAAAATATTTTCCATTTTCACTCGTGATAGTTTACGTGTGAAAAGTGAAAGTGTTATTTTGTGTTTACGAGTGCAATAAATTTAATTTCTAGGTTAAAAGCAATAAAGATAGAAGTACTTTTGCTATGAAATGTTTAAAGAAAAAGCATATCGTCGACACTAGACAACAAGATCACACTTATTCAGAGAAAAATATTCTTATGGAATGCACGAGTGCCTTTATTGCAAAGTATAAAAATATTAAATAAATTATTCATGCATATGTGTTTATTACAAGACCTGTTTTATTTACTTAGATTGTACAAAACGTTCAAAGATGATAAATACGTTTATATGCTGTTGGAGGTGTGCTTAGGGGGTGAACTATGGACTTTACTACGGAATAAGTGTGTACATTCCAGTATTATATGAATTAGTTATGAAGGTATTTTAGTGTATCTTCTATGTTGTTGTATATTTACAGGAAAAAATTCGATGAAATTGCTGCAAGATTTTACGTTGCTTCAATGGTAGAAGCATTTTCCTATCTTCACGGTTGTGGAATTGTTTACAGAGATTTGAAAGTAAGATAACTTGAAATGTCTTGGATATTTTATATTGAACTTTATGCTCAAAAACTCTTCCATTTCAGCCAGAAAATATACTCCTTGACAACAACGGCTTTGCTAAACTGGTAAGACGGATTTGTCCGTAATAATGTTTGCTTTTTATTTGAGTATTTTTAATTATTTTAAAAGGTTGACTTTGGTTTTGCAAAAAAAATTGGTTTTGGCGATAAGACCTGGACATTTTGTGGAACTCCGGAGTATGTGGCACCTGAGATTATCTTGAATAAGGTGCAGATTGTTTTGTCATTGAAATCCAACCCTTGGTTATCCCTGAGTGTCCATCTACGTCTTTTCAGGGTCATGATTTTTCAGTTGATTATTGGTCTCTTGGTATATTTGTGTTCGAACTTCTAACTGGACAGTAGGTTATCATTTGTTGCAAAGATGAGGCAAATTTTATAAGTTGTGATTGGTTTTGAAATAGTTAAATGAAAACGACGCTCGCTGTAATATATTCTTATCTTTAGGCCACCATTCACTAGCAATGACGCCATGAAAACCTATAAAATCATCCTACGTGGTATGGATTGCTTAGAGTTTCCTCGTACCATCAGTAAAAACTCCGTTCAACTCATACGGAGACTGTGTCGAGACATTCCCACAGAGAGGTTGGGATATCAAAAAAATGGCCCAAAGGACATCAAAAAACACAAGTAATTTTACATATCGATTAATAAAATGTAACCTTCATAAACAAATGGGTTTTTTTATGATCTTCATCAGATGGTTTCAAGGTTTTCATTGGCAAGGTCTGCTTGATCAAACTATTGAACCTCCACATAAACCAAAGGTGACGGCTAAGTAGTTATTATATTAGAGCACTTGTTTTCTATGATGAAAAAATATTTTTTATGTTTTTAGCTTTCTAGCAACGTTGATACATCAAATTTTGATAAGTATCTCCCAGAAAAAGATATTCCTCCTGATGAGTTCAGCGGATGGGATGAATATTTCTGATTAATATTTTTAAAGAATTTATTTATTCCTGTCAATAGTACATCTCTTTGCTCTTACACTTACCTTGAAAAACCCTGATTCGTGAAAAAATATAACATTTGAATGAATGTTTGAGTGGTTTCACTTTGAATGAACGGAGAATTTGTAAGCCAGCGTTGTTAAAGGAGACTAATCCATTGCCAATATAGTTCAGTGGCAATGTCTCGTTTCCAGTCCTTATATATTTTAGTGACGTCATTAGAACTCGTGACATGCTCTGATTTGGTTTCCTGTGTTTGTATTCTGATGAGATTTTAGGGGAAAGGTTGTCGTTGATAGAGTTGTGATTTTTTATTTGATAAAAACTTAACGAAGAAATTATTGATAAAAATGAATGGTGCTACAGCCGGCCTGCTACCACCAGCCTCAAGACACATCCCAACTAGGAGAATCGAAGTTCACGATCCTTCTCATATGCCTAGTGCATATTCAACTACTCCTGGAGGCACAATATTTAGTACGACACCCGGAGGTATTAATGTTTTTCGAATTTTCATGTTTTAACTTCATACTGCTTGTAGAAATCCGACAGAATCAAATTCTAGGGCTTGTTTCGACCTTGTGACACGTATAAGAAATGAATACTTTTTCAGTTCAATGTCGTGCAACGATAAATTCAGATGCAAATTTATGTTGCACTATGTTTTGATTTCTTTGTGTTTTTAATGGCTTGAATTTGTACATTAACGATTATATTTTGCACGATTGCAGTAGCTGTGAAACCAATTAAAGTTAAAGATATGTGTAGACGATATTTATGCGTGAAATACTGATTTTCACGCGACGCCGTTAGTGTCGTTAGTGAAAAATATTAAACGGTATTTCTGTACAGATCATTTTGTAAGTGGGTCTTTTGACCATAAAAAAGTCGTGTTCTGTAGATTTCTTGCTGAATCGGTTTGTTTTGCTTTTAAAACGTGGGTGGATGGCAAAATACTTTGCCTCGTTCCGGAAATGCGTCGAAAATATTATTAATACGTGTGATTTATCACTTTTGTGGTGTTTAAGATTTTTTTCTGTGGTAGTTTTGCTTTCCATCATAGCAATTTATGAAGATATTGCTGAGAATATGCTTTTTAGGTAGAGATTTTAATGGATTGTTTCTTACTTTATTTACATGTGTCATCTATTGTTCCATATTGTTGACATAAATTACTATAAATATATTTTATTTGAAAGTTACGTTTAACTATTTTTTGTACATGTTGAGTAAGAAATGGCGATTGTATTTCTTTAAAGAAGGATTCTGACATATTTTTCATTCTATTAATTTGAATTTCTGCTGCAGTCTGTATAATATATGATATTTGTGCATTTTCTGATGCAATCAAGCCATGTCATGTGACAATAACAATTACAACCTTTGCAGGAACCAGGATCATCTACGAGAGAAAGTTTTTGATGGAATTACGTAATTCACCTTTATCTCGAACCCCTCCATCAAATTTGCCAGTAATTCCTGGCATAACATGTAATAGTAAAGAGAAAAAGCAAGATGCTATTCCTGAGGAAGACACACATGGTAATGAAGGAGTTAAGACAGCGGCTGGTATGTTAAACAAATTATTGCCTATTTTATCTTTTCCAAAGTAACCTTGTTTTGCACATTTGTCATTTGTGTAGCTGGCATTGAGGATCATACCCAATTTCAAATGGATATTTGAAGTGATTTTCTAGTGAAAACCTCACGATAAATCCAGTTTATTCCTCACTTATATTGCGTTAGAAAATCTCTTTGAATTATAAATTGTTGTTCTGCTTGCATTGAAGTCTTATCTCAAGTTTGGCTTACTATATCTCATCAAGTAATTAATCTGTTCTACCAAAGATTTCTGAAATTTTTTGTTTTCTACACATCTGCCTTATTTTTATGTTTCAATAGTAATTGCATAGTGAATTTATGTAATTTTAATTCTTGTCCAAGTAAGATCTATGTTCAACTACCACTTGCTGGGCATTTCATTATGTTTGGCAGAACAACTACAACTTTATTGAAGATTGCTTGAACTTAATGTACTCTTTTGGTACTTGATGTTTTTGTTGTTAAAGTGAGATGGTTTTTATGGAAGAATGTTGATGTGAATAATTGTTCCTTGTTAGTGTTTTGTATGTTAAAATTTACACATAAATGTTAGATTTTTTAAATGGTTTAAATAGAATTATCTCACAAAAATTGTAAATATATTTACACACAAAAAAAGGACTATAAAATGACCTAACAGACGTTTATACCAAATGTCATCAGAATATACTAATCTTCTTGTCTTTATCATTCATATGTGCAAAATTTATTGAAGTCATTGTCCAATAATTTTTTAAAATTTTCAAAGAATTCAAGCAAATTATAATAGTCTACCTTTCATAATTTGAGCTCATAGTTTGGCAATACCATCATATAGTTGTACAATGGCTGCAAATACAGGTATCCTAGAATTCAAAGTAATTTTCTCCGAAGGTTTTTTGTTCAGGCAATATTTCTTATGATTTGGATGACAAATGCCTATCCTGATGATTTGGATAACAAATGCCTATCCTGATGATTTGGATAACGTACTTTTAGTTCGAGTTATATCAGTTTTTTGCATTTGTCAACTTCTTTAAAGATGGCAAAAAGACGACTTTAGAGCCATGCTCTTCCTGCTGAGACTTACTACGTCAAAACGAGCAAAAGCTACTTTTTTAACATCGAGACTGCCTTGCAAATTTACCTTGTGCTGATGATCATTGGTCACTACGCACGTTTATGATCAAAATTGTACGTGTTTTATGTGGATAAGACACAAAAATACAGGAGCATTATATCTGGCATCTTCTCATTAGCTATTAGCCACACGTTTAAACCATTGGTTCATTTATCTTTATGCGGCGTTTTGGACCCAATTTAGAAGGGTAGCATTTACTACCTCTAAGGTAACTTAGTAACGTTCATATTTTGTTCAGACTCCATATCTGAGCTATGTTGAAGTCATCAGCGGTAAGTGCTTACGCTTTTTCTTTGAGGAAAATGAAGAATTTAGTAATAATTCATAGACAGTTCACAGTAAGACGTCGAGGTTTGGCAGCTGGCATGAATTTACGTTGTACTCAGGCACGAATTACGTTTGTGAAGCTATTTGATAAAGTTTTCAGTCTAACAAGTCTTATTCAGGTCGTATTGAAATTTTCTAACTTAACGTTCGAATATGCGTAGCTTCATATCTATGACATTGATGGCTTGGCCCATCAAAGATTGTCATTGTAGAAACTTTAAAATCTTGGACTTGTGATTATTCATTTTGACGATTGAAACAGACGACGAACGAGTCACGTGGAGAATATTCTAGTTATTCTAGTTTCTTTCACGAGAAGAACTCCTTTAAACAAAATTAATTAATTATTGACTAATCCAGGTTCGTTGTCAAATACAAGTCATGGGCACTAGCTGTCACCAGTGGCCGTCGAGAGCGAGTCACATTGTTTCATAATTCCACATGGAATTTGGTTGTAATCCAGGAGTGGATCTGAAGAGACAATTCCAACGTTCAGTCGCTCACGATCTTCCTCCGTCAAATTTAATGTAAGACACTGTCAAATTTTTCTTCTATAAATAAGAAGTGGGCGCGTTGTGTAATCCTAAATGTTTTATACATCTTTGAATAAGAAAGATGTATTATTGAAAATAATGTTATTTATCAAAGTGTTTGAAAACAATTTCTTGGCGATTTCGACATTGGTTTATACCTACGTATGAGCAGATTTTTGACCAGATATTGGATGTACATTGCAATATCAGCATTAATTAGTTTTGTCTCTCAAACAATAAATGAGATAAGTCTGTGATTCCAATTGTCGCAGTTAGTTGATAAACGTTGATTGACGTGCCTATACTAAAATGATTTAACTACAGACTATCATTGTAAATAATTTCATTTACTGTAAACACGAGTAATGTAATTATTTTAGAAAATATGAATTCTTTCTCTCTCTTTTTTCCATAAAGATTCCAAAGCTTGCGATTTGGGAACACAATGTTATTTGCAAAGAACGACTTTGGTATCAACCGGGAAAGTTACATCGACTCGTAGCCTTCCATGCAGCAGTAAGTACACTTTATATGGTAAACGTGCTATGTCCTCTGTCACTATAATACTGCTTTGAAAAAGTCGTTTATCCTGCCTACGAATAATAATATATGTTATTGAAATTTGATTTATTGCTCTCAACAATTGATGCAAATGCAAATATTTGCAAAAGCAATGCACTTTTAAGGCTATCAAATGTCTTATTAATTAGTCTTCTCCAGTTTGTACGAACAGCAAAAATTACAACACCGCTTCCTTTTCTAGAATAATATCATTTTTGAACATAGGGTGAAAAAAATGCACATATAGTAATTCTTTTATAATTATCTTGCTGTTTAAAATGATGTTCGTTTTTTTCTTCTTTGCCTCCAGGTATGTGAACATATTGCGTGCAATAACATAGATTTATTATCTCCGGCTTATAGTCAGCGTTGCTATAGTGTTTATTTACTATTTTTCTTTGAAATCTCACAACATTCCTAATACGAGCCATGCATGTAGACCTCGTACCAAGCAGGACTAATAGCTATAGATTTTAAGTGACTACATTGTTCTTTATTTGTTTATTTTTTAAATATTCGTCGTTTTCATCAAGAGGTATGACACTTTCATTAACGTCCTTGCACGTACGAAGCGTGAGAGAATTTTCAAAGGAGAAGTGCCTTTAAATTTAAACCCGGAAATTTATCATATATTCTCATGGGCAATTTAACTTGCACTTTACATTTTTGACATTGCAGTGCTGTTCCTATGTATGATTAAGCTCAGGGATTAAAACACACTTTGCACTGGCATTTTAAGGCGGCACGGTTTTGTGAAACTTTTTTTTAATATTTGTCATATTTTCGATACTGACTAACCAATCTCTATTAATATATTATTCCAGTTTCTTTCAATCAGAAATATATTGTCACACTTCGAGTGCATTACTAAAATTTCAGCCATCCATCTGCGGTGTTAGTTGTTTTCGTGTGCATTATTCATTTCTATATCAAAGCAATTGATCAACCATGAACTAAACAAGGGGTTATGCGCGATTGAGGTAACTATATATCTGTTTTTTACGCTCGAATGTGTTGGCTTGCGGAGAAAATAGGCGTTTCTTAAAGCAATAAGCACAACATTTGTATGCAGTTTACGTTAACATAATTAACCAAAATATTCCTACATTCATTTTTTTTTGTCCATATTTCCCTGCATCCAAATTTGAGCAATATACGAGTTGCTATCCTTTTTTAACATTTCCACAGTATGCATCAATAAAACTTTGACGAGAGTGAATAAACAACAACTGCTATCTATATTTATATTGCGAAGAGTAAAATTTGATGTGTAAACTGTTTTCTCCGTGGGAATGTATAGCGGGTTTTTAAGTATCTTTGAAGGTCATCTAAATAACCTTGTTGTTCACATGACGTCGACTGTCGACTTCTGTTACACTTTATACACTTAACAACGGTCATGGAATCATTTAGTTTATCTAGTTTATCTAACATTAGTGCATCGTTTTATCTGCCATGAAAATGTGATATTTTCATTTGCTAAAAATGGTGAAAATATCACAACTTTCTCGTGTCTGTCTTCACTATGAATCATAAATTCAAATAATTCAACACTCATATTGCTTCTGTTGCTAAACAAATCATGATGAGGCGTGAATAGTTCGTACATTTTACGATTTTCGATGATACGAAGAGCATAAAATCACTACAATTTAAATGTGAAACCATACACCGACTTCCCACGAATCTCGCATATATATTCTCTCGACGTCTTCAAGTCGGTAAGTTAATCTTCCAAAGCTTTTAAAATCTCACGCTGTTAAGCTTTCATAACTTATACTCAAAACCATATTGGGGTCATATGGAAAACATTTGATCTAAGCAGTTCGTCTGTCTGTTCTTCCTTGATTGAATTTGCTCGGCCGTTACGCATTTTGGAATGAGAAGGCAAACAAATTTCACCATCATTTATGAGAAGTAAAGGTATTTAGTCCTCTTGGTTAAATCACTTATGCAACAAATAAAGACGTACATTTCTTTTAATGCATAGCAGTCAAATGTTTTATGTTGCGTTCATGTAGCCAGGTTTAAGATGTTTTGCCACGAGTCTTCTGTTTTGATTTCCTTAATTAAACTTTTCGGAAAGAGCGCTGCGTCAAAGATTGAAAATCATTAATAAAGTTCAGAGATTTGGTTTCATTTGATAACTTGGTTGCTTTGGTTCATTAGATATGCTTTAAATGAAGAAACTTTGCAGCGTTATGGATCAGATGAATCAGCTATATATAACAGTGGTTCTGAATTTTTTCTTAAATTTATTGATATTATACGTGGTTATTATGAAGCTTTATTTTAGAGTATTAAAGGATTTCCCATATAAGAAATCATAGAAGATGACTGTTGTACAAAAGGCCAGAGCGATCGTACATTTTTTTGAATATTTTTGCGCAATTTTTTGCATTTGTTACACACGATCGGATAATATGTGTCATGAAGCTATTTCAATGTTTAATAAAATACACAAATAGGTTGAATAAGAGCTTAACAGCTTCAAGAAACATAGCAAAGTGTGAAGGAATTAAAGTTCAAAGTAGCTTTTCTGTTGCGTATTTAAAACATCTATAACTCGTCATCTTCGGCAATTGTTATCGATCTTTTTGCTCCCCCATAGTTTCTTATCAGTTATGTGATATCAAACGGTATTAGACGGTTGAAAGTCTGTTTGGTGAAATTACGAAATAAAAGTTATCCCATGGACTACATTTATAAACAAACTGCGGCAGCTGCACCCTACGTCAGCACGCGCCATAAATGACCAGATTACCACCTATTTATGGTTGGTAATCTGATTCTGGAAGAATTAAGCTAGACGTGTTTGTTACAGCTTAGAAATTACGACCTACAGTGTAATTGACTGCATAAAATCTGTCCTGTGAAATGCAGTCACAATGATACCAGTATCGGAAAGAAGGAATTCAAAAAATTTAATGTTTTTATGTTTTGAAGAAGTTTGAAGAACGGCTGAAGTAAACCAAACAGATAATGATTTTATAAATAATTTTTCATGTTGGTATTTGTGATGTTGTGGTGTTGTGTTCACCTTCCTATTTTAATGCTGTTGGTATTAAGACATAATTTACTTGTGATTTTTGATTTTTCTTCAATAAAAATAAAGGAATAATTTATAAACGTCTATATACAGTGCAGTTGATGCATCTTGAAAGAATCATATTTACATGTGTTTAGGCTCCGTTGATTGCTTTCTCTCTATCTACGTTTATATCTTTTTTCTGTTTGTCCGTTTTCTCATGTTATCGTCGTGTTTTTGTTAAGAAGTTTATTATTTTACCAAGGATATTTGTTTGTATTTAGTCGAGGCAAGCTCTTCCTTTCACCTGTAGATGTACATTTACAATTTTTCCATAAATCGGAGGTTAGAAGAAACTAAGCATGTACGCTGTACTTAATAGAAACATGATTTTTTCACCTGGTTGAAGTTTGTACCTACGCACAGCATCAGTGTGTTGAATTTTTTAATGTCATATTTTCCTGCAACGCAAAGCGTACATAGAGACGTTTCCTCACATATTTTGTCACCTTGAATTTATAGAAATTTTAATGCTTTGATCGTGAAAATGTCAGAAGAGAAAGTTGTGCAACGTCGTCTAAAAAACAACCGACGAAAGACTACCGATGGATACAGGACAGACTCAGGATGTTTCGAAGATGTCGATTTACGACACTCACCGACGCTAGTTTGCTCAGAATACGTCACGGACAAACATTCCTCCACTTGTGACAGCAATAACCCAAATCAAAATGAAGTTTCAAAACAATACTTAAATTCAACTCCTACATCTATACCTACGTTAGCTGAAGATAGTGCAGAAGACAAAGACTTTCATGATATTTTAAAACGATTGTCTGAAATAACTGGCAGTACTGGGGATCTATATCGCTTATGTTTCAACTCAAGATTGTCATTTGGTGGTCACGCTACGAGTGGAAGCGAAGAGACAGGTGAACCAGAAGAAGGCATTGAAAAAACGTTTATCGTACAACAGAAAAATGAAAACTGTGAACTTAAAAAATCCAATCATGATGAGCGGTGTGCAGAGTTTATGTCTCTTTTGTCTTCTTTAATGTCGAAAGTAAGAGAAAATCCAAACATTTTAAGCCACCCAAGTTTAGGAAATTCTTGTGAAAATCAGCTGTCATCGCTGATCACATCTATAAATGAGGCAAAACAGATTGAAGCTAAAAAAGAAAAACAAAAATTAGAATCTTCAAGTCTGCAGGTTTCAACAACTATTAATGATCACAATACTCCACCACCAGTATCGTCTCTTTCGTCTGCAAATGCCGACTGGTCTAATCTTGTTACAGCACAAAAATCATTTGATGAAAATAAATCGTGCATTAATGAAACAGAGAGTGATGATGAAAGCGTGTTTTATATTCTTCATGGTAACACTGAAACCGATAATATATCTAAAGATAAAAATGATATTTCTCATTCTTTGAAAACAGACACATATTTTGATTCTTCAACAAATATAAAGGTAGGAGAGGAAAATGTTAGCTCGTCTACAACTGACGAAGAAAGCAATGACATCTCAAGCGAGGGCTCACACGCATTGTCAAGTAGGCTTGATGAACATGTTGAAGACAATAAACAAATGAACACTAGAAAGTTTGAAAATCTTTTGCCGGAGGGTGACGGTATGGTAGCTAATGGACGTCGAACAGTGAAGCCTTACAGTTGGGATTATGGTGATATTTGGGAGAATGAAGTGCAAGCAGGGAAACGTTGGGACTCGTTTTCTGGAGAACTGGGTTATTATAAACAACGAGATCTTTGCCATGACATGTCACCATCTTTTGAAGAAATCAGAGATGATTTATTCCACAATGCTGGTTTTATTTGTCGCGATTGTTGTCGCATTGAAAGCACAAAACGACGTAGTCGCTCTGCTGATGCAAAGTAATTTTCTTATCTAATATTGAAAATTGAACATCATTTCATTATGTTCAGGTTCACAACTTATATATATTTTTAGATGTTTGCCAATGCATTGCAAGTTATGCCCCTCTCCTCTTCAAGGTGATTCACCATTTGCGAGAACAATTTATCACAATGATCGTAATTCTGGTGTTAAGTTGCGTCGAAGTTGGAGTTCTCAACATATCTCTGCTGACTCCATGATGGTCAGCGTGGACTGGACCAGAGGAAGAAAGGTTTGTTTATTCAAACAAAGATCACGGTTTTTATTACTCAAATTATGTCCTTCTTCATTTTTAGATGAGGGTTTTTACTGACTCATCCAAGGGAACTTTTGATGACATAACAGCTCAAAGTATCAAAAATTCAGTTGCTCGATCCAGTACATTCCGTGGACCCCGTCCATGGTCCGTGTTGAAGCGAAGACCATCCGGGCTGCGACGACGTTCAACGAGAAATCAATCATATTGCTCTAGCTCTTGTAGTGATGAATTATTTACAAGACGGAATTTAGAAAGTAGTGCCCTATCTAGGACAACATCATCCGACTGTCTTACCACTACGTCTGATGAAAGTTCAAGCATAAATTCTTCACCATGTGCCTTATCTTCACCATCCGTGAGCAATCGAAACAGTGGTTGTTTCTCTGACATTAGCTCTTCTGATTCTTCAGACATTCGCCGTGTTGTATTTCAAGGTTTGCCATCAGAGTGTTCCCCTCGTGATCTGTTTAATAAAGGCTATGTTAACTATAACACCACTAAATTGACGTTGAATGAACGATTTGGACTCCTACAGAAGAACTGCGCATTACAGAAATCGTTAATGCGAAACTCTAAAGAAGATTGTAATTATTACAATCTTCGTAGATCAAATCTTCATCGTCATATGTCGAATGATCAATTAAATTGTGGGAAAAACAAAGATCAAAATTACCTCACCAAAGTGAAATTTCTCGGTGATTCTTATTCTCGTTCCAATATCAGCAAGAATATTCGACATTCCAGGAATAGATCGCGTAGTCCATCTCCAGTATCCTCTTCTGTTCCTTGTACTCGTGTTTTAAGTTGTGAGATAGTGAAAAGTGATCATCATAAGAGAGATGTCTATACAAAGGTAATAAAAGTTTGTGTGTAGCTGTCAAAACCCTGAATACGAGGAAAAAAGTTCAATTTTCTTTTCAGGTTAGCATGACTGGTTCTCTAACAGATAAGGACTCGTTTAAGGTTAATGACACAAAGCTTGGTAGAGTAAAAACACGACGAAGTTGGCATGGACATTCTTCTCTGCGTTCTTCTTCATCTTCTTCAATCAAGAGCTTTTCCACATTGCAAAGACATAAATCTCCGACCACAAATACTGGGGACGCACCTTTACTTGCAACATTAGTTACAGTGGACAATCCATTAAAAACAATCACATGTTCCAAGAGGTCCACAATTGATCTTGGAAAACCTTCAGTGAAAAGAGATAGAATATCTTGGGAGGCATTTCGTTTCCATAAACGTGAAAGTCAACCATCCTCAATGGTGGATCTTTCAAACCATGTTTACTCACGTTCTAAGCAGCGACAACCTCCTCCTGACTATTTCACAGCTGTAAAGTGTTCGCAAGGTATGATATTAACTCTTTATCTGCGTAAATTTATCAATTAGAAAATCTATTTCTTCTTTTGTCTCCAGGTTTTCAACAAAGCAACAAAACAAAGTATATTGAGCCTGTGTTTTCAACGCTGAGACAAAGCGTCAAAAAAACACAACCTTCATCAGAAATGATCGAACAAAAAACTCAAAGTGGTAAACTTAAGTCTGTTGGACCATCATCTCTTAAGGAAAATCTTATCATGTCAAATTCACCTCTTACTCCGGGCTCAAGACGTTGGAGTAGTTTGAATGAAAATAACGCTTTGGCTAAACAAAGGCTTCAGAGCTCTGATGTGTACAGAAGGCGAACAATTGAAATGAATCAAAAAAATTTCGATGTAACAAAACTTGGCAGGTATAACTTTATCATTGTAGATTATTGCAATGAAGATTGACAATGATATATCACAATGATGTTCTGGTTTCATTGAAATGTTCCATTTTTAGCTTCAATCATCTCGATCAATCTCTTCCCGTCGGTCGTCGTCGTTATAACTCGGAATCTTCAAGCGTAAGCGATCTTTTGGAAAAGGCTCGTTGAAGAAAATGTCAGTATCAACAAGATAAACATGAATAGGGAAAAGTTAAATGAAAACAGGAACGATAAGCAAAATAAAGCTTTTGAAGTTGCTGAGCTTTCTGTGGACAAGACAAATAGATTTAGGGATATTTTGTCAAACTTTGATATGAACATAATGAAGTTTTCCCAACATGAACTTAATGGAAAAGAAGAAACATCTGCAATTCATGATGAAGTAAATCTACGACAAGCGAATGTAGAAGAGAAGAAAAGTAACTCGAACAACACTTCTTTTTTGGTTGACAAATCAAACAACAATGATGTGTTAAATTCTCCTGTTTTACCTCACCATAAGATCCAAAATCAGTCAAATGATGTAAAAGTTTTTATTGATTATCGTTGCAAGCAACCTGTGTCGGTGGAATATACGGATGAAGACGTTTCCTTCCTCAAAACGCTGGGAAACACTGCTAGAAGTTCAAGGAAAGATCGAAAGAGTATTGGACGAAGTAATATATCATGTTCTGTTCTTGACGCTGATGAGATCGTCAAAAACGTAGAAAACATGACTAAGGAAATTCATGGTTTGAGCATGAGTTGCAAAACGCAACCAGAGCAAGAATTGTTGAAAAACGTAAACACTGGAAAAAGTAAGAAAGCTTTTAACAAGCTCATTTCTAGCATTACTTAATTTCTAGAGAAAATCTTACAGTCGTTTATGTCGTTTTATCGTATTTTTAGAAGTTACTGATAAACGACAGTTATATCCATCACCTCAACCCTATCGAAAGGATAGCACTATCATTTGCACCGACGCAAGAAGTGACACCGACAGTATATCACGTGACAGCACGGTGTCATCCAGTGGTTCGGATATGACCGTTATACTTCATGAAGACACGAATATATCAGCTGAAGATTTGAAACATATGACAGAGAGTGGCGCAAAGATTGGTATCGAATTAGATGCTGTTTATGTCGAAGCGACTGATGAAGAAACAAACAAACGTCAGAGCTTTCTTGATGAACTTCCTCCTGCTATGGAGCTGTCAAACACATTCACCAATTATCCATTGAAGAACACAGAGGTTCCCCCACCATCCCAAGAAAGCACTTCAAAAGATGATCACGAACCATCTTCCTTACTAACAGCTGAAAGAAACTCAAAAAATTTTAGTAGTCCTTTTCCAGATAAAGGGGCTTCTTCTGGTTCTTATTTAGAGACGAAAAATTTAAACAATACCCTTCCATCTTGCATTTCTCTTGCATCTTCACATGCCAGCAACAAAAGCAACGATCATACGGAATGTTCCAATGAGAAAAACTTGTCCAGAAACGTCGAAGGGAAGGGATTTTTTGCTCGATTGAAAAGCTTTCGAAAAAGTTTTCGTCGTACCAGATCGATGGTTGGTTCTAAAGAGTCTTTACGGACGACATCGCCAGCGTTTGATGCCAACGCTAATTTGTTGTCTGGGCTTGATATCAAACCATCGTTGAAGGGGATAAAAGCACAAGATCTCTCACGAACCTCTAGATTTAACAAAGGTTTACGACATCTCGATAATTGTCATCAAAGAGTGGTCGGTTTGAAATCTGTTTCCTCCGATCATTTAAATCACTATCGTATAAGCACAGTTTCGCAAACTGATGCAATCTCAGCGAAAAGTCTCGAGATTCTTATTGAAACATGTATATAGTACAGATATAGTTACCAGCAAGGATCGTCTGCCAAACGTCACCTCTAACCAAAGGTTATGATTTTGGTGGATGATAATTAGTTCATCCATATTCCATCCAATATGGTGGATTTCTTGACTATATTGCATGGTTCTCTCGACTGTCTTCCTAAAAACTGGGGAAGATGTTCTTTAAACATAAAGTAAACTGTCAAGATATCTGGATTTTTAAATAATGGTGCTTTCGTATTATTTTGAGTATGTATACATAGAAATTTAACGTCGAAGTTTGTGTTGATATTTTGCATTTTTGACCACTGTTACCTTGTAATCAACGATTTGTACTATGTTTCGTAGAGTGAACTTTAAGCAACGGCTGTTATATATTTTTATTGTGCTGAGTATTGTTGTCTTTTTTGCACTTATATGGTTGCTTTCTCACAACGATTTAAATTCCTCGAATAGCAAAAATAATGGACTAGACAGCCTTATTGTGAGGACGCTTTCGTCAGATAAAACTTTGCCTCTGGCGTCCGTACAAAATTGTAGAATGCCTTTCAACGAGTGTTTTAATATCTATCGATGTGCTTACAACCGAGAAAATAGAATAAATGTTTATGTGTATCCATTCACGAAGTATTTGGATGCATATGGTGTGCAGATTTCACCTGACATTTCAAGAGAATTTTACGACTTGGTGAAAGCATTGAAGGAGAGTGTATATTACACATCAAATGTAGAAAAAGCATGTCTTATAGTTCCACCAATAGACATGTTGAATCAGAGAAGACTTGATGTTAAAAATGTTGGTAGAATTCTCAGTAATTTACCCAGGTATTAACCAAAAATGAATTTTCTATAAAAGAATTTTGTAAACATTGACCTCACCAGTGAATATTTGTTTTTAGCTGGATGGAAGTTGGTGGATTGAATCATCTTATCTTTAACATGATTCCTGGAAATGCTCCAGATTTTAACACATCATTGGATGTGCCAATAGAAAGAGCTATTCTTGCTGGTGGTGGATTTTCCTCTTTGCGTTATCGTCTTGAGTTTGATGTCAGTATCCCTGTATTTAACACCTTAACACAACTTTCTCAAAATGAAAATGCTTCACAGTAAGTATTGATATCTTCTAGTATTGATATCTTCCAGTATTGGTCTTCCACACACTTAAATATTCACATTTGTCTTCATTGCACTTCAGGGAAGATTATTCAATGAAGATATTTTTGCTGGCAACTCAACTTAACTATAACAGAAAATATCGATCCATTCTTGAAGATTTACATGAGGAACATGATGATGTTTTAGTTTTAAAGGAGTGTCTTATCCACAATGATAAAATTTATTCAAGATGTAATGGATTAACTATCTATAAATATCCTCTTATTATGAAGGTAAAGATTATGACAAATCACCTTTCTCATGTCTTAATTTGACATTTTAGATGATTGTGTTTTAGTATGCCACATTTTGTATGGTTATTCGGGGTGCAAGATTGGGACAATCTGCTTTGTTGGATGCTTTAATGATGGTGTGTGTTTTAATCATGCTTCTGTTAGAAATTGCGAATTTTTACGACTGTATATTTGTGTTTGATAATTTTAGGGTTGTATTCCTGTTGTTGCTGCTGATGATTATGTCATGCCATTTTTTGAAGTTCTAGATTGGTCCAGGTATTAGTATGGAAACACTAAGGGAAACTTGGGTACAATACTTGGGTACACTTAGGGAGACATCAATACACTAAGTTAAGGTTGGGTCCACCAAGAGAAACTTGGATGCACTAAGGTAAACTTAAGTACACTAAGGGAAGCTTGGATGCACTAAGGTGAACTATTGCATTTAAGTTTACTTTAGTACATCAAAGTTTCCCTTAGTGTACCCAATCTTCCCTTAGTGTCCCTGAGTACACAAAGTGATTGTTGGGTACATTAAGGGAAGCTTAGGTACACTAAATGAACCTTAAGTTGTAGCCAGGGTACTTTGGGCTACATGAGCAAGCCCTTAAGTTTTTTCATTTTGATATGCAGGGCCGCTGTCATTATACGAGAGGATGAAATTCAAAGTGTTGTCAAAATCTTAAAAACATACACTCAACAAGAGATTATTGATATGAAAAACCAGGTTTGAGAGAAGATTTTCACTTTACAGTGTATACTTGTCTACTTTCTGCTGTTGTCAGACTCAGTAATTTCCTCTAAATTTCTGTCATTTTTAGGTTAGTTTTTTTGGAATAATTACTTGAGTTCAATGAAACAGATTGCTCTAACTACGATCAAAATTATTAATGGAAGAGTTTTTAAAAACTCTGCTTTGTCCTATGAGGTTTGATCTTTCATCTTTTTCATATTTTTTTCCACCAATCTTTGAGCAATGCTCTTCAACTGTCGTTGTTTAGGAATGGAACACTCCCAATATTCCTTCTCAAAGAAGTTCGGTGCGTTCTTGTGATTGAAATGGTTTCTAAGCTATAAAAATGGATTTTTTATGATATATATGTATATATATTTGTATTGTATAGTTTGTAAAACCACCATTTGTCACCTTACCTCTTATGTCATCAAAAGAAAAAGGATTTACAGCTGTCGTCTTGACGTACGATCGCGTTCCATTGTTATTTCGTGTTTTGAAACAAATCGACCGTACACAAAGTCTTGTTAAAGTATGTAGTAGATAACAGTTGTTTGTCATTTGCAACTGATGTAACATTAGGTAAACATCTTTACAAATACCGCTGTAAAGATATTGCGCGTCTAGAGGAGACTTCCCGCATTTTTTTCTTGCTATCGTAATTTCCTTTGGTCGTGAGTAAAAGGACTGAGATTATTTAAATTGCACTTTTCAAACTTTTGCTACTTGTTACATTGGCAGTTTCAATGTTTGCAACTAATTTAATATAATCTTAAATGCTTTCATTAGATTGTTGTAGTTTGGAATAACGTGAACAAGCGTCCACCACCTGGTAATGTTTCTTATAGCTACTGACGTGTATCATGCACGTTGTGTGAAATAACTTGTTTTGTAGTAATTTTTATTCTTTTAAAGTGTCAGAATGGCCAACATTGACAAAACCTGTTAAGATCATTGAAACGAAGGCCAACAAGCTTAGCAACAGGTATCTTTATGATTATGAACATTACTTGACCAATAAAGTTCATGTATTGCCATAATCAGACATTTATAGTACAAGGTACAAGCTTATTTTGTCTACGTTTTCTCCTAGATTTTTCCCGTACAACGAAATCGAAACAGAAGCAGTTTTTTCACTGGATGATGATATTTTTATGTTAACTGTTGATGAAATAGAGTTTGCTTTTGAGGTGTGAAATGTCGTAGTTGCTAATTATAACTTTAATTCGTATATATTAGTCACACAATTTTTATTTTAGATTTGGTCAGAACATCCCGATCGATTGATAGGTTTTCCCGGCCGCCTTCACACCTTAACTTCTGGTAAACTGAAATATGAATCAGAATGGCTTGATGATGTTTCGTTGGTTTTAACGGGTGCTGCGTTTTACCACAAGGTAAATAGTTTTGGATGATTTTCTGCACAACTGGTTGATTTTTCTTTATTTATCTAGCCTGTATTGAGAAGAAAATACCGTGCTGTTTAAGGTTGAAGTTAAAAGATTGGGAATTGGTTATATACCCAAAATGACTTGCGGTGTACTCTCTCATTTTGTGCAGCTAATTATTGTTTGTGTAATCACCAGATAATCCAACACACATTTCTTGAAAGCAATTTTCTATTTTAACATAAATATTTTATCTGCAGAAGCCAGTATACCAGAAATAACATCTCAAATCTTACAGCATTACTCTAGTTTAACATAAAGATTCAGTCTGCAGAAGCCACTATCCCGCGGAGATAACATTTTACAGTATTATAAAAACAGTACTGGAAACGAGGTTGAAAGTAGACTGGACCGAGTGATTATTTATGCTTATATTTATAAGAAAATGGTCGTATTTGCCATGAAGTCAGTGGATGCTCTCTTCATGATACACGAGTGTAAAAATTAAATGGGAATTAATGGAGAAATCATGTTAATGTATTTAAAAATATTCAATGCTGCTTATCCTCGGATTCCATTGGATCACTAAACCTTTGTATCTAAAGCTTCGCGTTTTTTACTCTTTAGTTTTACAACCACTTGTTTACATACAAGATGCCGTCTAAAGTACGAGAATGGGTGGATGAACACATTAACTGTGAAGATATAGCCATGAATTTTCTTGTTGCTAACTATACACATAAAGCTCCTATCAAGGTGTGTGAGGATATTGTTGAATTCATTTTTATTGCTTTGCAAAGCCACTTATGACTTTATTTAAGAATCAATTGATCGGTCAATGAATTGCAAAGATTATAATTATGGCTACTTGAGAAGAAGGACAAAATTTCCAGATGTTAATGTATTTAAGAGCCGTTAAATTACTGTGTTTTAGGTAACTCCTCGGAAGCGATTCAAATGTCCAGAATGTGTAAACGATGATGCTTTAGGTGTAAATCAAACTCATTTCATAGAGAGATCGAAATGTATTGAGGAATTTGTACAATTCTTTGGTTCTCTTCCCTTGGAAAGTGTCGAGTTTCGTGTGGATCCTATTTTACATCTCAGTAATGTATCACGTTCTTTGAAGAGGTTCAAAAATGTGGGGACAATCTAAGTGATCGTGGTCTTGTTGTGTATTTTGGTGAGTAAATCCATGCCAAATCACTTTTGTTTCATCAAACAGAGATATACATCATACCAAGAGATTAGTGACTGATATATATTGTCCTTTTCCTTTGTTAGCATTATTTTAAAGCCATTACCTAATTATCTTCACCTCTCATTGTCCATTGTATTATATCATAGAATCCAAAAGAATGTTACGACATTAAGTCGTCATATAACCATTCTTAGATCTTAATCTGCTCTCAGAGGCTAGGAAATAGCATTGATGTGAAGGATTGTTGACAAATTGTTTGATTCATTACAATAAATTAATAATCTTATATCTCAACAGTGAATTCAGGAGTTTGTTGTCATGACAAATAGCGCGTATTCGGCACGACATTTATCACAAACATTATTTATGTTTTTTATTTCGTTCTTGAAATATCTTTAATTTCGTTTATCCAACTCGTTAACCAATTTCATTTTACCTGCGTTAAATAAATATGCCAATTCACTAAGTTTTTATCCGTTCCACATGTTTTTGCATGTATTTTAGTCTAATGATAAGATAATTTTAGTTTAATTATCAAGAGAAGTAAGCTCTCATTATATACTCATTGATTGACAAATACGTTATTAAAATGTTTATTTGGAGTTTGTTTTCTTGTGAAATGACGACAATCTTGTTAATATGAGATAATTGGATACTTACAAAAGAAGGCCTTGCATGTGTTCCTACAACATTTTGCTAAAACACGCATTCCATCTTTTGGTGCATTACAAAATCAGTCAAACAAAAAGTTCTCAGTGAAAACATTTCATATGAATTTTAGATAATTTACTTTACAAATGTACATAATATATAATTTCTACTTTGTATAGTAGTTATGTTTTTTTCATGCAGCTTATATAAATATTTTTATATTGCCTTACGCTGTCTACGATTCTCTATTCATAATGTTCTGTGTGTTCCCTTGTGTTCCTGCTGTCTACGATTCTCTATTCATAATGTTCTGAGTGTTCCCTTGTGCTCCTGTTATGTACATGTATCATCCTCTTGTTGATTTTTTTCTTTTGATTCCTTTACGATTCAGAGAATTTCACGCCACGTTTAGTCAAACTTCATGATTTCTCTATCGTAGTAAGGTCCTCTGCTTTAATCAACTACATAGAAAGAGATGACAGATGATTTATTGAGGTGTTGGAATCACCAAAGTTTACGAACATTTTAACGAATTTTTTATTGCTTGGTTCTCTTGCTTTTGTGGTATGGTTATGGTCAAAGTAAATTACATCATGATGTCATGCGATGTACACGAATATCTCCTTAAGTCCTTCCTTTCGTCTGTTATTTATATAGGATAAGCTTTATGTTTCTATTAGTCATAACTCTTAAATATTAGTTAACCAATGGAAAGTCTACTTGGTTTGTATTGTGTTTGATTGGTTGAATTCTATTTAGCTTTATGTATGAATACTAACCACTTATTCCTGGAAGACGTTGTCTCGTTCGATCTTTCATCTTAATCTTATTTTTAAGGATTGCTCTGTTTCGTAAGAATTTCTTCTTTTGGCTTTGTAGATGGTGTTTATGGTTACGCCGTCTTTCAATGCGGTACGAACGCACTTTCCCTGTGATGATCAAAATACCATTGTTCTCATCCACAAAATACATCAAGATGAAAGACACAGCGAACAGTAAGATGATTGCCTTTGAACAACGCATGATTATGATCCTGTATCACGAACGTAACAGATATCTGTTTCTCTATGTCTCTCTCTGTCTTCTTTACTTTTCCTCGCTTGCTTGTGTTTAATACCTCGACTGTGTTGTCTTTATAAAGTATTTGTTAGGTATCCCATGATACATTGCAATCCTGTGTCGATCATTATCTGTATCTTAATTAACAGTTGATATGCGGCCGCCTTTGCCAGGCAGCCTGCATCTTCCGACAATTGTATGCTATATTTAAAACGTTTGTTGTAGTGTTAGAGTGGCAGGTCTGATAGATCATTTTATTGAGATAAGAGTTTTCATCTTTTGAACGCATTTTTTTCGTGAAGGCAACTTCACAAAAAGAATTTTTTGTTGATTGTAAAGAAGTGCTAAAATACTGCCTGATGATAATGTAGATTTACAATGTAGATTAAAAATGTATAAGTTCAATGATCAATGAACGTCTCGTTGCGTCCGTTTAAAATTATCTAAATACAAGGGCAAATTTAATGAAATTGAATTTCCACACGACCTTAATAATAAAAAAAAACAGTTATAACTAAAGATACGTAATTAGTGGAAAATCTAAGGTCGTGATCCTTCATGATCCTTCCTATAATTTGGATGTGTCGTGTGATTAGTCAAAATTGCATTATTGTTAGTATTTTTTAACATTGTTAGTTCTAATGAAAAGAACATGTTTGTTAATCCACTGAATTTTGACATCCATATATACAGATCTTTTTTCTGTGTATTTATCATTGTAACTCGTACTTCCATGTATTTAATAATTCAAAGTATCTTTTCATTGTTCAAAGTGCCAAAATGTTCTCATAAGTGTTGAAAATTTGCATCAGATGTATGGAATGTTGCCAAACAATGATTGCACATGAAAATCATTAGCGATCATTGCGTTATTTGTTTTTTTCTGGTATTAATTTAAAGTCTGATAACTGCGGTTGATTTTTTTTGTAAATCTCCTTGCATATATTTGCAACATTGTATGATCTTTTAAAACCTTCAAAAGCATCAATATCATTCTTCTATTTTTCATTCTTTTTTGTGCTTGTTCTAAGATTCTTGAAAGTTAAATTTGTAGATTAAGCATCATACCAGTAAACAGCGTTTTGATATAAGTTTAATAATTTGGGTGTGTTTATGATTGCAAATGTACTGCAAGCAAATTGACGTCTAATAATTTTGGCAAGTCAAAACTACCTCATCCATCGCTTGAACATGATCGCGTTGAATTTTACACAGAAATGTAAAAACATGAAAAAACTATGTTGTTACCTTTAATATAAGAATTTTTATCAGTTTGAAAATTTGCGTTTTTGGGTTTCTTCGGAGTGTAAAACTTAATTCAATGACTTAAGTTTTCAGTCTTGTTGAATGTATTTAAAACCTCGGCTAGCTGGCTCTCATGAAATCAGGTCCATGTTCAGTGTAAACGCTGCCTATTTGCAGGAACATAGTTTGAAAATATAAATGAATGTATTTTATATCATCTATTGTACGGTCAAATTAAGTATTTCTAGCTCGGGATTTTACTGTATACGTTGCTGTTAGCCCTAAGAAATATGTAGTTTTATGTTTCTTGTTTCAAATGCTCGTCTCTTGACAACACTCTCTATCTTTCATTCTATGACAAACAGAAAATTTTGTCAAAATGAACTCTCTCTTGACTAATTATCTTGTTTGTTTGTTTGCAATTCCACTTTCAAAATATGTGAATAATTACGTTACCCAATTTGGTCAATAATATTTTTCTTTTGACGAAAGGCAATCTATTACACCTAAAATCCTTGGTACGCGCCTTGTTCATGCTTGTAATATATTTCTGTTTCTCACTCACATTTTGTAGATTTTTACATTCACGTTTTCACGAACAAGGCTGTTTGAAAAAGGTATCTTAATGCCAGTATAGATGTTCTTGCAACGTTTTCTTGTGTGTAGGTTGCTTTTCCAAATTTTAAAATGTTTTAAGACGAACGATATTTACTCTGAAGGGACGATATATTTGCAAATATTTGTCCTACGCAGTATGCTTTTTTATTAATTTTGATAAACGCAGATTTAAAGTTCTATACAACCACATTATCGGCTAATACATGTATGAATTGTGTTATGAGTTGATGAACAAATATATTTTTGCGTGAATGCACGAAACAACTAAAGAAAAAAACGACTTTAAAACTGTTTCACAAACCATGCTTTTCTGCGTCATACAAATTTTTTAATTTTGGAAAACAAGTGAAAAAGATAGCAAAATATTAACGACTTTAAACTGTCAATGAGAGCATGCAGATTATATTTTGATAACTACGTATTTGATACATCTGCTTGTTATTTAAGTTGCACTTCCAAATTATTGCACCAGGCGCTTTTGTGCATAATTTAAAACACAAGTTCGTCATTATTCTGTCAGGTTTTATTTTAGGTATGTATTAATTTATTTTTGAATGCTCTAAAATAGACTCTTAACCATTTTAGTCTGTGAGCTATGTATAACTAGCACATGTGAGTTTCTGTCTATTCTTAGTTATGCTTTACTTTTTAGTTTGTAAGGATTTTATAAAACTCAGTGAATTGTCTCTCTATTCATATTAATTTGCAATGTGATCACAGTGTTGATTATCTAAAGACTTTGTTCTGTTTCTTATTGCTTTATTTTCCTCCTCACTTATAACATACGTATGTTTTTTTTTTTGCCTAAAGTCTTTGGGTAAAAATGTGTGTAATTTTAGATGTTCATCATGTAGGCGGTAGCTTGTGTAATGCTTGCATATAAAGTTACTTCTGACGACGAATTCCCGATTGAAATCAAATTAAGATTATCGACGCTTGCACGAAAAAAATGATATGATGTCTTTGAATAATGATTGAAGAAAAAACTTAATAACCAATATAGTCATAATTTATAATATCGGTAACATTTTGCACGAGGGTATAGCGTTGGGTCTCGTCACGGACGGCAAAATATACATAATAGTGTATTTTAAGATAGCAAACGAGTTTTCTTGTGAAGAGTAATTTTTCCATTTCACATGTGTATCTTAACGATACGAGATTCAGCCTTTTAAGAGACTTATTGCTTCCCATGAACGTGATCATTTAATTTCATAAAACAAATATTCACAGCATCTTCAAATCTTACGGGTTTAATCGCATTTTATTGAGATCACCTGTTCCAATATTGACAATAAAATTAATGATTCTACTGTTGGCAATCAGTTCTGACTTCAAAATGTATTTTTTATCTCTGTTTTGTTGCTTTGCGTTCGTTATCTCCTCCTTCACATGGCAAAAGCATATAAATTTAAAAACAAAGGAACCATTACTTTTTAACATCTGCTCCTTCAAATTGAACGAGTTGCTGATAAATAAGTTTGGGTGTATTCTTTTTCGACTAAAACTATGGCTGCACATAGATGTCTCAGCGTTCTGTTTCTGACGTTTATGGTCCTAGTTCTATACATTCCCTATAATGAAGCTGTTTTTGGCATTCTTGTGCCAAAAGAAGGCAAAAGAACTCTACATAGGGAACTCTTCAATGGAAGGATGACGACTAAGGCAGCAATTCTGCAAAAAATACGGCGAAGGAAATTTATGAATTCGTTAATTGAAAAATTGGTAGGTTTTACTGATGCTTGCTTTTCAAACTTGCTTTCATAGATCATATAAAGGTTAGATACTCTATAGTATCTTTTCTATATATTCATCTGCTTCAACTGTCAGTTATTTTTCATGTTTTTTTTTTGTCTATTTTGCTTGCAGAAACAAGACAAAGATGGGCAGCTAGCAAGAGAGTTATATGACTTCAAGAACTAAACATATTAAATACGGATAAATTATGAACAAGAAATATACGTAAATGTGAAAAAAAGATAATTTATTTTTCATTGTGACAAAAAAATTTGACATCAATTTGGACATAAACATCATAAATGTAGTCAACATTATGTTAATGAAAACAAATACAGACAATCAGACATGTCTAGCTTTCGTATAGTCTGTGTTGTTTAAACTTTCAATAAATCAGTAGCGAATCTAGGGGTAGTCACAGCAAAAATTCTAAAGAATATAATTTCACCAATGGACCTGTCTCTGAGGGGCTTAGAAATATTTATATATTCCAAAATGTGCAGCAGTAATTTATTTTGACTAACCCTAGATCCGCCACTGCAGAGAATCACTGCAATTAGTAAGTTCACTTTCTCAATGTCCTACTCCTTTTTTTTTCCTTCTTGAAAAATGATTATTTTAAAAAATTCTTTAAGAGGGAGTGGCAACCAATTTTTTTACCTACAATTATTTAAGGTATTTAATACAGAATGAATTTTATATGACATCGTAATTCTCTATAGAACTCTCCTTAAATCACTATGAATATAAATAAAATTGAAGAAAGGAAGCCATCTTTAATTTAAGAGCAAGCTATTATGGAAATATGCATGACGTAACAACAGGGCATTAATTGTTTTAGGAGCCTAGAAAAAGTGAATTTTTTTGTCGGGATTTTTTTCAGTGCTGCTATTAAAGAAATAAACCGGACAATACATGGCTATATGTTAACATATAAACACAAGACTTGTATTTGCCGAGAAACGCTTACCCTGTTGTGACGTCTTTTGCTAAAGCATGAAGAAGTTAGCATAATAAAAATCTTTACAAGATGGCGACGAACACGCTATGATATAAATCAAAAAAGAGACGAATCTTTCCAAACAAAAGACAGCGATGACAACTTTTTGGTGTTTTTTTCATATTTAGAGGTAATGTACTGTAATTATTATAAAAAAATATATTGCCATTTCCCTTTAAGGTTGAAATTATAACTTGAAAATGGAAATACCTTTACCCAGCATGCTTCACGTTACTATTAGCAAATCAAGCAATTTCATGTTCCTCATGTTTACAAATATTGATTTTGTTAAACTGTTTCGTAAATTCAGGTTGTTTTCTTATCAAAATAGAGTTTATCGAGTATAGACGTCATATCAACAGCTACATGCAGATGAATAAGGTAACGTAGTTGTTGTAACGAGAATGAGATCGTTATTCTGTGGTTACAAAATATGAATCAAAACAAGACGTGAAGTGACATTTTCTATATGACATTTCCTGTGGCATCACTGGCATTTTATTTTGCTTTGTTTACTTTGAAGCTGGTTTAAAAACGTCCGATGTAATTTCCAAAGATGTTCATCAACATCACACTCCAATGCTCCCAGCCAGGCATTGTCCTAATAATCCCCCAGAAAACTTGTCCTCATCCATCCTAATTACCCCATTCTCTTCTCTAAGCCCGTAACCTGTGAGATAATCATCATAAAGTTGCTATTTTTAACTGTACGTAGAATGGCATACCGTAGTAAAAGTGAGAGAGGACAGAAAGCTGAAGCACGGTTGTTAGCTGATCCTTATGATACAGAATCATGGAATGTGTTGCTGCGTGAGGCTCAGGTATTCCTCCTTTGAAAAGTTGAAATCCTCTCAAATCAAAATCTCATATTGTCGAAATATATGTAACAATCATTCACAACTAAGTATTAGTATTCATAACCTTTATGATAGTACAAGGAGAAAATATGTTTATCATTATAATAGTATTTTGGTCAAATATTTTGCAATAAAACAACACATTAGTGGTTTTCTGGAAATTTAAATTTAAATTTTATCAGGAAGTTGAAATTGGAAAATCAATTGTGAATTTGATTTTATCTTGCAGCATCTGCTGAAACAAATTTTGTTGTTTTAGTCATTGCCCATAGCAAGTGGAAGAGCTCTGTATGAGAGACTTGTTGAAAGATTTCCAACATGCGGCCGTTATTGGAGACTCTATATAGAACAAGAGGTTGCAATATTTGCGTATTTGTTACTGGAATAGAAGTTATATTTAAATGTTCACCAAAGCAATAATGTCAAAGTACTTTGTGTTATTGTAGAGCATTTTGTTCCACCCACATCATAAAAAAAGTGTTATCGTAAAAATTTAAAGATGATGAAAAAATGTTTATTTGTAACAAATGATGTTAGCATATAAACAACTTTGAAATCATTTTAGTGATGATTTTTAAAACCAAACTGTTGTTTTGTCTATTTACTGTGTAACGTGTTTTCTTTTGTCTTGTTTATTTGTTAAAATGAACTGAAATATTTACCTTACGTTGAGTTATCTGGGAAAATGGTGCTAGATTGACTCTCATTGGTTGCAGTACTTGACTGATTGTAAAAGCAGAATTCAACAATCACATTGAAAATTTATCTTACTTTGAAAACAATGTGACAGGTCACGGCAAAGTAGATAAAGTTCTGCTAAAACAATCGTTATCGTTAGATGATGGTCCAGTGGGGTGGGGTGGGGGGGTTAGTGAAAATGAATTCAAAAATAGTTGCTGCTATAGTCTAGTTACGTGGATATATCGTGGATATTTCGTGGATGTTACGTGGATGTTACGTGGATTTTGCTAACTAAATGTGTGTTAAATGTTTGCCATGAAATCCATATACGTCCTTAATGAGTTGTGTTTTCAAATTGAAAGCGTTTTTGTATTTTATCTTAAAACGAAATATTTATATTCCATTTCACTTTGTAAAACTTCATATCTTTACAGATGAAAGCGAAAAACTACGAAAACATTGAACAGGTGAATTTACAATCTTGTTTCCTGTCATGTCTTCCTCATCATTGACTGTCTTTGGTTTCATTTTAGTTATTTCAACGTTGTCTCATGAAAGTCCTAAATGTTGATTTATGGAAGTCTTATCTACATTATGTGAAAGAAACAAAAGGCTCGCTACCAACGTTTAGGTACGACTTATTGATCAATGAAATTAAAGTCAGTTGAAAGTATTTAGGTTTCGCGTTGTCTTAGGGACAAAATGACGCAGGCCTTCGAATTTGCCTTGGATAAAGTTGGATTGGACTTTAATTGTTATCAGGTTTGCGTTTGTGTTTTAAGTTTGCAGAAAAATTAGGTTAAGCACAATTAAAAAAGGTTTTGTGAATATAGCTATGGTTGTTACATAGTACTCTATGGATGTTTCATAGTACTATATGGATGTTTCATAGTACTATATGGATGTTTCATAGTACTATATGGATGTTTCATAGTACTATATGGTTGTTACATAGTACTATATGGATGTTTCATAGTACTATATGGATGTTTCATAGTACTGTATGGATGTTTCATAGTACTATATGGATGTTTCATAGTATTATATGGATGTTTCATAGTACTATATGGATGTTTCATAGTACTATATGGATGTTTCATAGTACTGTATGGATGTTTCATAGGAATATATATATACGTAGAACTGTATACTACACAATACAACTTTCTGATTAAGTTTTACCATGTTTCTTTTTATTTGTTTTTATTTTTACATAAAGATATGGGCAGATTACATTGCGTTTTTAAAAGCAGGGTAGGTGTTGTGTTTTGTGTCGTATCTACTTACTACGTAAAAAGTCGTTTTAAATTGAAAACTTTTGTGTGTGAAATAGTTTTACATTTTTAGAGAAGCAAGCGGCTCATTCGCGGAGAATCAAAAAATCATGAATTTACGTAAAGTTTATCAGGTAAGCTCGATTTCTTTCTTTTTGCAATGAACATATGTATTATAAATGTTACAACGTTGTTTTTGTCATTAAAGAGAGCTGTGTTTACTCCCATTAATAACCTTGAGTCACTCTGGAGAGATTACACGTCATTTGAACAGGTATAAAAACATGGTTTATGTACCTATTGAAAATGTATTTGTTTACCATAAAGTCACTGGATGTTCACCTCATTATACACGAAAACAAAATTAAATGGGAATCAATAGAAACATTTTGTAGTTTATTCAAGTCAAAATGCAGTTTTCTTTTTTCACAGTTGATCATTTTTTTTGTTATACTCATCACCTTCGATAATGACAAATTTTTTGAACAGAGTGTAAACAAAGTATTAGCAAAGAAGTTGATCGACGAGAAAACGCGCGAATATATGAACGCCCGCCGTGCAGCTAAGGTACAAACTGCTGCATTAATTCATTCTATGATTCATGATTTTAAAGAAAGCATATTTGCCTAACCAACTTTGACAGCTATGCTGAAACAAGCTAAATGTATTCTGAAATATAATATAAAACAAATTCCGCAGAAACAAGACATCTTGAGATTGCAAAATATGAATCGAAACAAGACGAGAAGTAAACTGTAAATTTTCGACTTTATTTCAAAGTCATCCTCAGACAGAATGATGTCATCTCAAGATGTCTTGTTTCTTCGGAATTTGTTTTATATTATACTTCTTTAAATTGTCGGCTGGTCATGGTTTTTGGTATTCTGAAATGATTATCGTCTTGCTTGTTGCAGGGTGTAATTGAAGCTGTAAGTGTTCTCTGATATTATTTCTAGGAATATGAAGCAATTACAAGAAATATTACTCGTGGTAACCCGTCTGTGCCACCACAAGGGACCCCTAGTGAGATGAAACAGGTTAGTCAGCGAGTAAATGATGAACTGAGTTAGAGAAAAGGCTGTTAATGGTAACACAGTGTAGCCTACGGTCTTCATGGCTGATTCTAACGCGCTGGAAACATTTCTATAGTGCTGTTTACAGTATAGCATATTTATGACTGACGTCAGTATAACATACATTTCTCTATGGTTGATGACAATATAACATACGCTTTTCTATGTTTGATGGCAGTATAAAATACACTTCTCTATGATTGAGGACAGTATAACTCTCGTAGCGTTGCTTATGATTTCTATCGATCTATGTTTCTCTGTAACTCTTTTCTTGCTGCTCTTCTTTAGCTTAATTTATGGAATAAGTATCTCCAGTGGGAAAAAAGCAACCCTTTAAAAAGTGAAGATATGGCTGTTCTTACAAAGCGAGGTCAGCATTACCATTTTGTGGTTGATCCCACTCATTACTCCTTGTTTGAGTGCATATTTTGAGCAATATATGATATTTTTAATTACAGTAATGTACGCCTTTGAACAGGCTTTACTTGCATTGTCCTTCTATCCAAATATTTGGTATCAGGCTGCTTTATTCTTGGAAGATCGTAGTCGACAGCTGTTTGATCAAGGAGTGAGTTGCTAAGACTTATAACTCTTTTATGTTTTGTGGTGTTTAATGTCTCGTTTTCAAATGGCTGCCATTTTTATACACTCAGGATCAGCAAAATGGTAAAATAATGGCAGATGAGGCTAACGCGATTTATGAAAGAGCAACGTCTACCCATATGAAGTTTAATGTCATGTTGCATTTTGCATGGGCGGACTTTCTTGAGGTACTATCACTACTCTCTGTATTTTATTGCCATGTCTAATGATTCGCGCATTTAAGCGGTATTTTTTCATTCTGTTTACTTAGAGTCAAATGAAGGTTAATAAAGCAAAGGATGTTTACGAAAATTTATTAAGTACACCAAATATTGACCACACTTTGGTAGGTTTTGTCTATTGATTCAATGTTAATATGTATGAAGTAAATGGAGACAAAACATGAAAGGAAAATAATGACTTTGCAATATTCAGTTCTGCAAACTATTTCATAATTTTTAAACAGATCTATATTCAATTCATGAAGTTCTCGAGAAGATCCGAAGGTATTAAAGAAAGTCGAGCGGTTTTCAAACGAGCCCGCGAGGATACGAGATGTTGCTATCATGTAGGTTTAAAACGTCATCTTATAATGTTTATAATTTAAAGATAAAGCAATATTGTTGTTCAGGTTTTTGTCGCAGCCGCTCTAATGGAATATTACATAACGAAGGTACAGTCAGATCCCCTATTGCACTCGATATCCCATAGCTTCAGAGTTACAACTGATTTTTTAAATATTATATGTTATTTTGTTTGTCTTCTTCTTCTTTCTCTTGTTTTCTTTTTGTCTTTCTCTTCATTTTCTTCTTCTTTTTTCATCGTTTTTGTCCCTTTTCTGTTCATTTCCTACTTCTTTATGTTTCTCAGGACAAAGTTGTGTCGATGAAGATTTTTGAGCTAGGTTTAAAGGTGAGCTTTAAGCGTTGACTTCCATCTTGTCAAATAATGTGTCGTAAAGAAAAAACTTCGTTTGTATTTACAGAAATTTGCGAACGAAGCAAAGTATATTCTCGCCTATTTAGAATTCTTGATTCATCTTAATGGTATGTTTATTGAACATTAGGAACTTCAGTATTACATTTGTAAATCATGTGATGTTTTATAATCCAGATGATAACAATACGCGAGTTTTATTTGAAAGAGTTCTCAGTAACCTTCCACAAGAAAAGTCAAGGTATTTTATTTATTATAACGTCGTAATAATTACGTCAAGACAATGACGTCATAAGAATTACGTCAAGACAATGACGTCATAAGAATTACCTTGGAATAACTACATTGTCATGCGAAGTGAATGGCTTGAACCTGGGAGTATCGTTCGCGTTAGTAGTAGAGTCCTGAGAAGGACTGTTGGTATTGGTGTTGACAGACGTTTTGACAACCTTAAGTCGTCATCAGAGTCAAGATTGTTAAAACGTCAGTCGAAGATGTACATTGTAATTTTCATCCTTGTAATGGCTTCAACTATTTCACATTTGCTTTGTTTTTACTCTTAAATGAAATTTCTCGAACATTCTCGTATGTAGGGAAATTTTCAAAAAGTTCCTCGATTTTGAAGCCAATAGTGGCGACCTTGCGAGTTATCTAAAAGTGGAAAAAAGAAAATTATCTTTGTTTAAAGAGGTAATGCTAATCACTTTTTCCTTAGAGAATTACAAAGATAGTTTTCTTGGATCTTGTGTGATTTTTTAGGAGCTCGAGTCACGTGAGACCACACTTCTGGTGGATAGATATCGCTATTTGGATCTTTATCCGTGTACAAAAACTGAATTAGCTGTTCTTGGCTACGAGGTGTGTGCACTGAAGGGTTGTCAACTTTACTTTGTTTTACACATATTTTGCAGGGTCAATTTATGGTCTATTTTATCTGTCGAATGGATAGCTGAATGTTAAAGGAGCTTACGTTATGATTTGACTTTATGTTAGACTCAAGAAACTGAGGAATGTAGTCAAACTTCGACATCTTTGCAAGGATCACTTGTTGACGAGACGATGAATTTGCCAACGAAGTTTCCCGCACCGAATTTGAGTCAAATGTCGCCATTCAAACCTGTACCTAAAGGGACTGGTACGATCAGAGTGATTATTGATATTAAGAAAAGTTTATAAACCTTCATCTTATTTTTTAACTTTTCGAAGCAGAAATTTTCTATAAACAGTTGGTTTAACGGCCATATACCATTTCCTTTGCTATCTACAACGTTTTTTAAAAGAAAATTCAAATATATTTGCTGCAATGTATAATTTATCCTCTTACACTGATCTATATATTTCTTTTTAAGCTGGAGTTCATCATATTCCCGGTGGTGTATTTCCTGTTCCACCCGCGGCAGCTCATCTGATCTCTTTAATGCCTCCACCAATGTGTTTTCAGGTCAGTGCTCTTTTTTGAATGAAGATAGAATTATAAATGTCACCAAGAGCACATCACTCAAACATGACATTATATTGATTGTTTCTTTAAAATAACCCTTTCTGATATGATGGATTTATCAATATACACATCTTTTGATGTACTTCTGTTTGCTTCTATCGATGGCCGTTCATGGCAGAAAATTGAATTAATATAATGACAGTTGCTATGATTGTCTCTTTTGTTTATTTTCCTCAATTTGTTCTTGAATTCGCCGAGTAACGTGGCAAATAATCTTGTTCAGCGCTACTCCTTTACCATCCCTCACCACCCCTCACCACCATCCCGTAACCACCCGCTCACCCCCCTCCCCTTGTTATTTGCTTATTGACGACAATACTCGACATAAAATATATAGGGTCCTTTTGTTATGGTGGATGAATTGCTTAAAATGATTGCTGACTGTCATCTTCAGAAACCTCAAACAACATGTATGTTTAATGCTTCTTGATTTCACGCGTGTCTTTGTTGATTGTTATTGCCGGTTTTAATCTCATTCGGTATTTTTAACAGCTCTACCTGAAGGCAGCTACAACGGTGGTGGCATAAGGAGTGAAAGTATGATAGTTGAGGATGCTAGAGGCAAGAAACGATCATTAAATGGTAACGATAGTGATGATGAAGAAAAGCTCGTGAGCCTTCCACCCGTCAATGATATCTATCGCATGAGACAACAGAAAAAAGTTGCCTTCTGAAACTGTGAGTTGTGGAAATTTTTCTCAAAATATTCCTGTCAGTATGTCTATCGTCAACTGTGATTGCGACAATCAGTTATGTATCTATGATGAACATTGACCAGACCTTGTCATGCTTAATTGTGATGTGCTCTCGTGCATTATTGCATGCAACGATTCACTTAATCGATTATTTACTTTACTTTAAGATTACTCATGATTTTTTTATCCGGAAAAACTTTGCCCTATCAATCATTTCACTGCAGCGTGGTGGGTAAGACGCAGTAATATTTGTTTTTATTACGAAAAGCTTCGCTTTACTAAATATTTACGATTTGGCATACCTTTTTTCGGTACGTAATTATTAAGCTGTTAATCTCAGTTTAAAAGCTGCTGTTTTAATGGGTTAATTTGCATGAAAAGATCGCAGGGAATCATATGTACAATTAGCACTTTTTCTGTTGGTAATTATAGCCGTTTCTTCGAGCTTTCGTGAAAATCCTTTTTTTAAGAAGTGGAGTAAATCCATTTGCGTTTGTGTTGTCCTAGCAGTACGACACACATGAAGAATATTTTGTGTTAGTATATATAACTTAGTAAAACTTGATCTGAATATTTACTATTTAATAAGATTATCTATATTGTGCAAGACTTGTGTTGCCGAAAAAACATTGAGGATAAGTGTGGACAAATACCGTTCATTTACTTTGCATCATATGGCAGATTTAAGACCTGTAAGTGAGTAAACACTTGTGTAAAAAAAAGAGGGGGTGGATACACTACACCTTGCATTATTTATCAAGATTTACACGATAAAGTTATAATACAGTTGTGGTACTTTGAATATCTGGCTGGATAAATTCAATATCTTGTCACCAGGTGTTTAAAAACGAATTTGCCAACACAACTTAACCTTCAATGAACGCAATTTATAAAGAAAGAAACTGTGCAGATTTCCTTGGAGATTTAAGTCACAAAATCTTGGTGTACGATTCACTGGTGTGTTTATGTGGGTGTGTGGAAAGCTCTTCACAAGTTCATTGTTATAAATGATTAATTTAGCTATCGAAGCAGTTTACAATGGCGGTGCGTTTTGATCTTCATCGTTGATCGCTGCTGGTCATTTGCTTAAAATCTAAAATATTTGGAATTTGGGAGGTTCTTGTCGTAGCAATGACATGTCCATCTCTATAACGTGCAAATTAAGAGGTACTTGGTTTTACTGAAGTACGATGTGGTTTGTGAGATTCAGATAACAGAAATATTCTTTTTTTGCCGAGCGCACGTGATTTTTGTCAAAAAATGGTGATCAATCAGGCTAAGAGGATTAAAAAAAACAGGATGTGGCTTAGTAAATCAGTCAGTATATAACGACGGAGTTTGAGCTCTCGTTAAGGTACCGTTGAAGAAAGCTTGAAATTGCCTGCAAACTGCAAAGTGTCGTTTGATCAATTGCATGCAAGTCCGACATACTTGGAACACTTACTTAGCTAGGTCCTTTTGGCTAAGCTTTGAGAAAAATTGTCATACTTAACTGCAATATTACTATTGATGAAATTTCATTTTGTGCTGAGGATACTCAGTGTTTGTCTCACGCTTGTCATGTTCTTTCCTGTAAATGAGGGATTATATCGAATAGCGGGCTATGGACGACGTCGTATGCTTGGAAGTTTCACAAAGAATAAACGAGAGGGATTTCTTTTTCCACGACAGTTGTTAATTAAACGTCGTGATACGGTACAGGAATAAAATGTTTTGTTACACGACTCGAGATTGTTTGTCTTACGTTACGAATCGAGGAAACGAAATGACGTAGTTGTGTTTTTGTTACGTGGTAAAGGAAGACGGATTTCTATTGATGTCAATGTATTTATTGCGTTCTTCTTATTGGCTGGGACATTTGCTTAATTTAATTGCAAAGGAAGAACGCTCGTTGATATAAATTAAACTTGCTCTTTAAAAAAACACGTCAAAGGATGGCTATAATTATCGTATGTTAAATAATGTGATAAGCGAAGAACGCTCTAATAACTTGGTGTTTCCTAAGAATATTTTACTTAGATACCGCGCAAATTTATTGTAATGTTGTTTATGTGACCGTGATATCAAATATCGTCGTACAAAAACAGTTTTAATAGTTTATTTATATAAGTTAACATTGTTTGTTCCTTGTTTTGTCTGCTGCGAAATGCACTGAATTTATTGCATGTTGTTATTTTTGTCTTTATATGATCATTTATTTTGATCTCCCTTTGATAATGTCCATATTTCTCTTGTATCATAGAAAAAATCTTTACTAATGACGTCATTTACAGAACTGTCAGAAAAATGTCAGTATTTCGTAATCATTTCCTTCGCAACTAAAAACTTCTAGTGATGATTTTATTTTCAGCTGTATAGCATAGCGCTGAATAATTAGCACTCTTGGCAGTATAATGTTATCATGTTGTTTAGTGTTATATATATTCCACAGCCATTATCGGAGATTATATATAATATAAATCCTAGGATTTATATTATGTGTAGTGTTATATATTATATAACGTTGTGTAGTCGTGCTGTAAAGTATTGTGTACTGCTCTATAGTATTGTAAAGTATTGTATCGTGTTGTATAGTGTTGTATAGTGTTATTTGGTGTTGTTTTGTGTTGTATGGTGTTGTATAGCGTTAAATATTCAATTCGAAGCTCTTTTTCTAATCTAACGCGTTTGTTGAAATTATTGTTTCTTGTTCCAATGGAAATGTTAGGTGTAAATTAAGTATAATCTTATCTATGTTGATTCTCGCTGTGTGAAAGTAAAATTCTCTCTCGTGTTTTTTCACAGTCATTTTTTTGTCCAAATCTATCAATATTCCACGTTATCTTTTAAAAATATGCCACATTATCTTTTAAAAATATGCCACATTATCTATACAACCAGCTGCTACTTGATAATGTTGTTTCTAACTGTTCAATGGTCGAGAGGTTTCGTTGTCCTGAGGAATGTTGTACTTAGTTTCAATAGTATCGTAAAGAAGGCAAGAAGAGACGATATTAAATAAAAAATATGCATCATTAATTTTGTGTATTGGGAATTTTCTATCGCACTACAAACTTGTGTAAGCATATTACGTCAGGTGTGCCTTTGCAAGACCTGTCAAGTCAAGCTATTTATAAACTCTAAAATTGTTCGTGAATATAAATAATGTACTTGATTTATGAATTCACTTAACGACAAATTTTGTTCGTTTTGCAATACTCCATTTGTCTTTCTGTTTAGACTTAAGGTAAAACATTGCTGATTGCCGGAATGGTTTTTTTTTTACCTAGTTTATTTTTGTGAAATTCCCTTTCTATAAACGTGCAATGTTTAGTTTAGATTTTGAATTGTTAACCAAAATATTGTGATAATGTAAAAATGTCGTATATGACATTTTTTTTACTCTTCATTTTCTCCTCCATCTAACGTCGTTTCTACCATCCAATTTGCAAAACTTAACCAAATATTTTAATCGATCTTCAGATTCATCCAATTATAAAGAAGTGTTTCCTGATCAACCTACTGAGCACAGAGATAGATTCCAGATGGTAGAATTCAGTGAAGTCATATATTTATGATGTCAAGGCTTCTAAAATGAAGGACTGTTTATATTAAAGGAAAGTCTGAATTAAATATTCAATTTTAGTTGCTAAAAATATTTAAGTAATATTTTTAGACTTTAAAAGGAAAGAAGGAAAGGACTTATTCTCAAGTAACTCGTGTTAATTTCTAAGAAAGTGTAGTATAATTCATTGGGAGTAGCTATCGTTATAATTTCGTTAATTCCTGAAAGTATGTAAGAAATGCTTTTCTGACCTTAAACTTCCATTTTTTAACGTTTTTTGAAGGTCTTTGTTAAATTCTAACCTTCTTAAGTAGCTAAAGAAATACAACTCCACATTATTTTTTAAAGCTGCTTTTAAAGGTTGAAAAGAAGAGTTAATCTGCACACATTTCACCAAGGCAAGAGAAGAACATGGATGAATTTCTCGTGTTCTTACCACCACTCCACCCAACTTGTCAGGCAATGAACAGATCATTCGACTGGAAAGATTATTTAGCAACTTAATTAATTAAGTAGTCGGAAAGGTTTTCGCCAGATTAATGTCAAAGGAAATATTGCAAAATTGATAAAAGATGTTGAGAGAACCCTGGATTAAATCCAAAATCGTTAGATTCTGAATGTCAAACTATACTGAGAGATTATACTCTGTTGATAGTTGTTTTGTAAAAAAATTTCAAAAATTACGATAAAAAAATCGAAGAGGCTGACAACGATCAATATGATGTTTTCGACAGTTCGAAGTTGTAGCAACGTTGATGTCCTGTAGATCGAATAAGGACAGGTAGAACAACAGCAAAATAATATTTTTGCATCCTCGAATGGACCCATTTGGTGCTTGCACTATTAGATTAAACATATTTATTTTCTTATCACTAACAATTATTTTTTTTGGATGAAGCTGAGATCGGTAAAGTAAATGACCTGTAGACATTTTACGTATTTCCTTTGATGTTTCGAGAGACCGCTTTTTGAGTCTTATTTATACCCGCCCCCACATTGACATCATGACATATGTTTATGTCACCTTAATCTTACACGTATCTGAAGTGTGCGAGACATGAAAATATTGGGTTTTAATTTACTGAACACCTCATAAAAGTATTAAAATATTTGTCGACCATACTTCAGTTAACAGTAATGTGGTTTAATTATAGCAAGGCAGTTGTGCGCGGAATTTCAAATAACTTCGCTGACGGCGCACTGAAGCTCGAAGAACCAAATGAGCCTATTGATACAGAAAAAGCAAAGCAGCAGTGGAGGAATTATGTTATGGCGCTCGAGAACCTTGGTCTGGAGATCATTGAAATTGAGTCTGACAATGATTTTCCAGACTGCGTTTTTATTGAGGACACTGCCGTAGTTTGTGATGGCATTGCACTAATTACACGTCCTGGTCACAATAGCAGACGGAAGGAGACAATGGCTGTGAGAAAGACTATAGAGAAACTAGGTTATTCATATATGAACATTAGAAAGTTGATGCATGAAACTATTTTATACTTGTCTTAATCTTGAAATGCTGCGTTGTCCTTATTTGGAGGATGACCACGGCATAACCAGTTCTCTGCTTTTCCAATATGTGTTTCAACTTTCAAGTTTCAACTGTAGGTTTGAAAATCATCAATATGATTGAACCTGGATTGATGGATGGAGGTGATGTATTGTTCACTGGCAGAGAATTCTTTGTTGGTCTATCATCTCGAACAAACAAAGCAGGATTTGAAACAATTGCCAAAGCCTTCCCTGATTACCCTGTTACTAGTGTTGACATGGGAAAGCATGGTATTTTATTAAAATTTATTAAATGTATGGAGTTGATAGCATTCAAATAGACCAATAATCTTTTTATCATAGGCAGTGCATTGCATTTAAAGAGTTGCATGAGTATGGCTGGACCAGATCTGATTGCTATTGGACAAAGTCAATTTGCACAAGATTGTTGGAAAGTCATTGAAGACATGGGCAAGTTTAAATACCAAAAGTTGTCATTACCAGAGGATAAAGCAGCTAATGTACTGTATATAAATGGAACACTTGTACGGCAATCTGTGACATGTATACCAAATTCGGTAAATGTGTTTCGCAAGATCAACTGTCGACAAATGGAAGTGGACATGTCAGAATTAGCTAAAGCTGATGGATGCCTGTCTTGTTGTTCATTATTAATGAAGTAGATGTGTTAATAATATTAAAAAATGATTAGGAATGGTGTTAGATTTTTAGTTTTTATGGTTTGAGTTCGATTGGCCAAAGTGTATTTATGCAGTTGCCAGTGTGCGACTTTAATATGTATCAGACCAACACACTGACAACCATACCAAGCAGAAAGTTTTGCTCATCAAATTATTGACAAAATGAGTCATGAGAAAGAATGTAATGGAAACAATCAGTGATGGCATCAAATTTTTCATTTTCAACCTCCTAAAATGTTATTTTATCCAACTGCAAACAATAATGCAAAAAAGATATAAGCAAATCAAGGTCTTTCAACCTTGTTGCCGGGCAACAAATCAAGGAGCCAATCATTTTTCGATATTTCCCAGCGCGAAATTTAAAGGACAGTAAATGCTGCACTGGGAAAAGTTTTCATCAAAAAACACAAAACGAAATGCAAATTTTTTAACCCAACTTAAGAAATGAATATTATTATGCAAGGTTTTACAGAAGCTATTGTTTGGTTGAACACATGGGTCGGTCAAAAACCTGAATAAAATACCCGAAGAATGTTGAAAAAGCTCGGCCATTTTCTTTTTCCTTGGTGAAAAATTCATTGTTTGAATTTTGAATACCTTCTAAAGCTCAAATGGATTTCTGTGTGAGTATGTTTGGTTGTATTTTTCACAATTTAAGTTGTTCCTGACTAATTGTAAATCTCCAAATCAAAAAGAATGAAGGTGATGACGATCTTAACGAAGAAGCTGTCTTAGAAAGTTTATTTACAAGTTGCGATTCTGCTTGTACTGGTTTTGTTAAAGTTTCAAAACTGATAAAGTATTTGACTGCAGTTGTTGGTGATAATGTCGAAGTAAGTTGTGTTTGTTATCCACGCTCTTGTTGGCCAGTATATTGCCGTACCCGTGAAGTAAATACGAATAATTATTTTCATGGCGAACAGGTCTTCTTTGAGCAACTTGTTATTACTATTTGATCTTGTTTTGCAAAACTTTCCTTCTTAGTTTGGTGGAAATTTTGAATATCTAGTGACACTCCTTGATCCAGACGGAACGGACACAGAAATCGATATTGAAACGTATCGTTATGGGATGCAAACTTGGATTGAAGATATACGCTCACGCAAGTAAATGGTCAACGAAAACAGTTTTGTGTATTTAATATTCAGTTTTGAAGATGATTATATGCGTATTTTCCCTGTAGTTTAAGAGAAGACATTTACTATGCTGATACATCCATTGACATCGATAGGCCATCTGTAAGATACGATACATTTTTAGCATGTGTAATATTTGTCAATAAATACGTAAAGGTTTTAATGTGTCATATACAGACATTGCATTCTATACAATGCACGAAATTTTACTAAATTATAACCGTTTTCAACTCTGTTTAATTTTCATTAGTCATGCAGTGAAGAATTGAGCTCCCTAAATGACAGTTACAGCAAAGGTAAATTTTGGCACGTTATCATTGTTCCGACTACGAAATAGAAATGCATGGTTTCATCCTTTAGAAGATTTAAGCTTTCCATAAACTTCTATTGTGGGTTTTTTATATCACTGTTCCAAGGATGCATTAATGTTTATTTAATAAACCTGTTTTACGTAGTTTTGTTGAACAGGTGAATAACAGCATGCATGTTGATTGGCCTTCTTGACTGTAATGTATTCGTATCTAAGAAGATGTAATGTATTTAAGAAGTCCTTCACAGGTGTTCTTTATGTAAAATAGGGATTATAGTAGTATCTAGATGGGTGATATAACGCATTTATCATAAGCACACGCAATAAAATGTATTATATACTACAGCAACAAATTAAACGAAGAACTCTGTCAATCGTAAGTTCATAGGAAACATCTTTACCATCTATAATCGTTTGAAAATAATCGCTTTACGTTGACTTTTTTCTCAAATATGCTTTAATTGTTTGTTTTAGAACTTTCTATATAACATTGTTTGTTTTGCCTCACTCGTTTGTCCTTTAGATCTGTTACTTGTTCCTGTTGTGTTTGGCTCAAAATGTGTTCAATATTTCTTTAAAATTTCTTCTCGCATTTGTAAAAATATTCAGAATTGTCAATGGAAGTGTTCATATACGAGCGAGCTGTTCAAAGTAATTAAGCTCTTATGACATCACGATTTTAATTTTCGAACAGAAATTCACCGAAGCATCAACGTCACAGCAGAAAGTGTAGAAGGGCTTGGAGGAGAATCGCCAATAAAACAGGACTGGTTTGTGTTTGCAGACTTTTTATAACATAGTTTGTAAGAGATTTATACTTTGTATAATCTTATTCCAGTGCAACCATTTTATCTTTCTTTTCTTATTAAGGGAGTTAGTTACAAAGATTGAAGATTTACAATTAAATAACAAAAGACTCGTCGATCACAATACAGAGTTAAGTTTCCAGGTTTGTCGGCGATAATTTCATTACAGGTTTTTGTTCTATGCTGTCCGCTCATGTCTTTTTATCTTTTCGTTATCTTTATGTTACTGTAGATGGAATGTACAGAGGAAAGTAATAATCAATTGTTGAAAGAAATGGAAACTCTACGTAAACAATTGAGAAAGTAAAATCTATAAAATGAATATTTTAAAACTCTATGTTTAAATTTGACATGTCGCGTTTTTATATTTGTACTTAAAATCCGGACCATCGGGTTTCTCGTGGTCATTTCCTTTTGAAATATTTTGTGTTACAAACTATCTGTGTTTTTTCGATTATTTTTCGTAATGCGTTCAAATTTTCGTTAATTTTTACTCTGTCTTTGTGACGTGAATAGTTATCAAACATTGGACAAAAAGAATAAAACCATTGAGAAAGAAAACGAGGAATTAAGAGTCACAGGTTGTGAGAATATATTGTTGACTGCATGCTGTAATGACTACGTGCATTTATAATGATTAATTTTTACATCGTTTTTACAGTGACAGAACTTCAAGAAACAAATCGAAATTTTCAAAACAAGACAAAACAATTGGTAAGTTTGCCTTCCACGTTATGTACCCTTAGATCCATTCTTATCCCTTTCTTTTCTTTTAAGGAAAAAGATCGAGTTTTGTTGAATGATTTTCAGGAAGAGCTCCAATCAAAGGTTTCTTTATTTATAATTCTAAGATTTTTCATCAATCTATCCTTCAAATGCAAAGCTCTTAATGTTTATTTGTTATATTTTTCCTTCTGAAAAACTCTCTCAGCTATCGGTTGCTCACAAGAAGTTGGAAAGTCTGTCCAGTGATCATCAGAGTATTTGCTTGGCTTATAACGAAGAAAAAGTAAGAAATAGATTTAAAAACTCATTATAGTTTGAGTTAAAAACTAACAAGGTTAAACACTTTGTCATGTTTAGCAAAGGTTAATTGAGCTAGAAGAAATACAAGACTCAAAAGACAGAAGTGACGAGGTACAAATGCTCCAACCAATATCTACGTCGTTTTCATGTTCTTCATTTCGTTAAATATTGATCGTTAGGATTTGCCAAGATCACAAGAATATTTCACGAATGTGATATCAGATCTTACGACACAAAAACAGGTAAAAGAAACGGGTGTACGTAATTCATTGCGGGAAAAAGGATAATCAATGTTGTAACATGAAGAGCCAGTATTGTGAACTCTTAACGTTTGTAATATAGAATGAAGATAATGTTTAAAAGATACTCTATGTATATAAGAAATAGGCATGGGGATGTAGGAAGATTGATAATTGTGTGTGATGGTCATGTCCATATGTATGCATGTTTTACACGGTGAATTTCAAATGATTATAACCATGAGCACCCCCTCCACCAACCCACCCCCATCTTCCACCCCCCTCCACCTACACCCCCAGTTATCGTTATTTCCACGTCTATTGAAATAGGTCAATGTTTAAAAGGAAAGTGAGACTTTTAGCTATGCTTTCTTCTCTCGTGGAAGTCACCTTTCAATTATATATTTAAAAAAAACTGATGACTTTACTTGTTTGCATGAATTACGCACAATAGGTTCTACAAGCCGAGAGGAACAAAATGGAAACAGAGTTATTTCAAGTTCGTGAAGAGCTCAGTCGTTTAATGTTGAAAAATGCATCAACAATAAGAACAAGTGAAGGAAGAAATTACTTGCAAAGTATGGCAGCGTTAAAACCCATTGCTCCAAACTCCTTACGGGAAGAACTACAGGAAATCACGGTAAGAAATGACTGTTGGTTTAATCTCTTAAAGACCACAATATGTGGGTATTTTTAAATGAAAAATAACAATACACACGTTATAGATATGAAGAGTTGCCTCAAGGACCTAGTACCTGTTGGACTAATGTCTAAAATGGCTAATCAAATATTTACCGATACTTTTATGCAATTAAATTGTCAGAAACAGGACGCGGAAGTCATTAACATAACATAGTTTTGTGACCTACATTGAAGATAAAATACTCCTTGCACAAAAAAAAACATCGTTTCCTCCAAAACAAAGACTACGGTCACAACATTGTGTAAACATGTTATTGTCTAAAACATATGTTTTTGTCTGCGCAATTTCACCAACATGTTAACAGATGCATTGTACGTGGTGCTCTAAATGAACATGCTGTTGCTCATTAGTTGACCTTTTCAATTGTTTTACACTTTTCACACTTTTTTTTAAATTCTTTTTCAAACAAATAACAGGAAACAATGACAAGATGCTTAAATCAGATTAGTTGATCTTTATGATCTGAACATTTGGGCACAATATGTTTTGTTTATACTACTAAAAAAAATCATAAAATTTCGTTTCGTGCTCAGAATCAAAAGGAAATACAAATATATTGTACAATATACATGTTATGGCCATTTGAGTTGCGATGGTACTCACGCGTAAACTGTTGCGATTTTGTTATGTGTGAAAATTATTAAATTATAGAAAAAATAAATAACGCGACATTATATCGTCTACAATATAACTCATAATAATTAATTAAATATATGATTTATTATTAAATACGTATGATTATATTATATTAAATTTTTATTATTTTTGTTATGGTATATTATATATTATATTTTCTAATTTAATAATTAATCGTTATTTTTTATGTCAGATGTACAATATTTTTGCAGGTTAATGATTTTCTACCATCACCGATCGTTGGCGACTTTCCATCTGTTGGCACGCAAAATGAATCGTATGAAAATGATGTTTTCGATAGCCCCAGCAAATCGTTAATATCTCCTCTTTCGTTGGTATCGTTGTCTAATTCATCAAACAACTCGTCGTTTGCAAAATGTAATGACTACTTCACAGCAATATCTCAAGTAGTAAGTTGAACTAATTAATTTTCTAAAACCTTTGAGTTTAGCGCTTCACTTTTTTTTCTTTTTAAAGTACTGTAACCACAATATCTGCGTGTCACTAGGCTGCTGACTTTCGAGATAAGAAAGAGAAAGCTTTACAAACCATTTCCGACTTGGTGCATATGGAAAATAATAAAGAAAACAAGGAAATAAGAGAAGTAGTATTTTGTGAATGAAGCTTTCGTAATCGTAAATTGGATTTTATCATTGTAATGGTTGGTATTTATTTCAAATTTGAATTAGAGTCTACATAGACAGCTAGAAAAGGAAATGGAGTTTTTTGCTGAGAAAATATGGCTCTTGTCCCTTGCTAGAAAAGCATCACAAAAACGGTGAAATTTCTTTAACTTTAAAGAAACTGTTTTTCTATATGACTTTAACAGCTTATATTTTATGGTCGACAGAGTTTCAAAATTGTTGGCATTAATTGAGAAACTGAAAGGTTAGAAACGACGCTTTGCTTTTTTTAGAATAATTCTATTTCTTCTTTTCGACTTATTTTAAATTTTTTCCAGCTTTCTTTTTAAAGCATGTATAAGTTTAGAATTATGGAATACCAAACACACAATATGCTTTGCGATGTTGTTTTTTGCTTACTTTTCTAAATTTCAGACGAGAATCAACAAATGCAAGAAGAAAGGGACAAAGCTTTACAAAAGATTGGTGATCTTTCTTTAGGTAGTGAAGATTTGGAGACAAGGTAGCCCGGAGAAAACTTTACAAAGTCAGATATATTTCAATAAATGAAGATCAGAGATGTTATTGAAATAATTTTGTTTTATAGAATCGAGGAATTGTCTTGTGAGCTACATGCAAAGGTTGAACATAGTAGAAATTTAGAAAAGCAATGCGATGAACTCACCATGAAAGTAAGTGAAAATATTGTATTTATTCATTGAAACAACAACGACTCATTTTCCATTTTTTTTGTAGCTGAAGAAAGCAGAAAGCGAATTAAAATATAAAAAGTAAGATTTTTTTTACCTTTATTTTCTACTTCTATTATTCATTAGCGATCACTTCAATAAACTTACGACTAATTTTTGTTTTGTTCTTTGTCAAGATTTGAAAAAGACTCTCTTTCAACATCGATCGAGGCAAGTGGGAACTCCAACATTTTACTTAAAGTTGTTTCTAATCTTCTTTAGTCATTTTTTTCAAGCATCTTATGCTATTTTATTTAGCATGAAGACTATGACGGACTCACTGTTGAGTTTCGTGAGCTGCAAAAGTACGTTATTAATATCATGTTGTATGTTTCATCCAAATGAATCACATTTCATGTGTCAAAAAATCTTCCTGTTTTAGAAAATATGAAGAACTTGAGATAGAACATGGAGTTGTCTTAGGTATGATTTATAGCTAGACACAGACAGAACTTGTGATAACTTTTGTTAACCATAGCTTTCTAAATGATTTATAGCTAGACACAGACAGAACTTGTGATAACTTTTGTTAACCATAGCTTTCTAAGTTTCTAACACATACAACTGCACCATTTAAAGTTCGTTTACTCTTCCAGCTAGAATAAGTGAGATCGAGCAAGCATCAGAGAAGACATCTTTTGATTTAGCCGTAGAAAAAAGGAGAGTAGTAGATTTACAGGCATGTACTATATAGCGACGTTTACTGATTCGAGATTTTAATTAAATTAAAAATTATGAGAATTAAAAATTGTTTTTTCGTCATAGGAATCCTTATCAATGTGTGAATCAAAGCACGAACAAGAACTTCAAGATATCATGGACTTAATACCAGCTGATGATACGGAAAATAATCGGGTAAGAACAACAACGAATCATTGTTGATCATTTAAAGTTAATGAACAAAATTGTTGAAATTCCGTTTTGTTTTGTCTTCTATAGGAAAGTCAAACGTCACCCTCCGGTATTACAGGACACCAAGTTCGCACTAAACTGAAATCATTCTTATCAACCAATTATAAGGCATGTCCTTTTAATTGCTGTCTTTTCGAATAAACTTCTTCTCACGAAGTCCACCACTCTGCTTTGCAGACAATACGAGATTCGCCCGATGGTAAACCGACTCATTACGATGACAAAAATCCACTGAGAGTCAGCACTCCTCTTGATTGCAGTAGGTTGATCTCTTGTCCACACTCAAATGAAATTGGAAATAACTTTGAGGGAAACTCAAGATTATTCAATACACCATACCCAGAGATAGATTTAAAAGGTACGGACATGGATGTGGGAAATATATTTTGGTCCACGATATTTGACAACCATTATGGCCTTTAAAAGAGTTTTGTTTTTTTGTCACTTTTTCAGTTTTGTATTTTTCATTTAATGACTGACTTTCGTTTCATTTTTTAGAGCACACAGTACTACTTGAGGATTGCAGTTTGAACTCCTCTGATCAACACGAGTGTTCTGGTCCATCAAGTGTTTCACCGAACCTTATACGACCTTTTGATGTGGTAGATGATAGCTGTGTCTCGCCAAATCTTATTGATCCTTTCAAGAGATTAAATAATGAAACATTCGTCAAGGTAAGAGAGGATATGGAACTAGACGAAGAAATACTGCTATATAATCACTCAAGGTTTATAATAAGCATTGGCAGTAACGATCTCCCCCTAATAATTGACTTATCTTTCATTAACTCCTAGTCTGATGACTGCATCACAGATGATATGACGAATAAATGTACAGGGAACACATATAGCTTTGTGAATGAAACGGGTGATGCATCAAATCGCAAAGAAAATTGCGTCAAAAATCTACTTTCTGATTTTGCATCCGACACATCACAAAATCATCATCAAGCAACTAACCTTCCTCATTCACATTTGAGTACCGGTCACTGTTCGAGAAATAGCCGGTCGAGTGTCGATGGTGGCGAGTCGTCACCAATCTCTTCTACGATTCCCGCAAGATTTCGCAAAATCAGCAACATAACACCACCTAGTTGGCATTGTGAGAGTAAGGACGGTGAATACAAATGCTGCACAAAAATATTTATGTAGCTTTATTTATTTCTACTTTTTATAGAAGTCTTTGCTTTACTGTTTGTTTAACATAACATCAGCTTTCTATGTCCTTTACAGATGGAGCATCACCAAAGGTTGTATCCAGTACAATTGATAAAGGCAAAGAAAGAGTTCAGTCAGGGACTAATCATAAACTGGATTTTAAATATGATGGGCGTTCAAATGGTTTTAATCATATTGATGAAAGTGTTGTGTCTGAAAGATTGAGATCGTTAGACAATGAGGAACTAAACGACAGTGACTGCTCATCTCCTTTATTAAATAACTATATTGATGGAGTATCGTTAAGCTGGAGGTGTATATTATTTCAATTACTAGGTGTTTTTATTTATATTCCAGCATCATTACATCAAATGCTATATATGTGAAATCAACTTCTTTTTTATTTCAGTTTGCCTACAGATGAAAAAGAACTCGAGGTATTATTTTTTAGCCTTCGTGTGACCATTGATCACTAGAATCACCATCAAACTAACGTTATAGATAACTTTTTTACAGAAACTGTTTAAAAGTGTTTCACTTGCATTTCGCACTGATAAAGAGAGTTTGCAACAACGGCTAGAATACCAGGTTTGTATTGTATTTGTGTAACCAAGTTTTGGTGTTACTTAATCAATAGAAGACATGTATTGTACTAACATTACCATGATTTTACTAACATTATTCGTGATGATTCCATGACATCTTTTTGTTCAGGGACGAGCTTGTAATGCAGCCAAAAGGGACATTACAAAGTTACTAAATATTTTCTCAATTTCTGTCCAGGTATCATAAATATACGTGGTTTTTAAGACAGCATTCTGTTTTTTCAATCACTAAATATATTTTATAACATGTAGAGTTTGGAGCGAAGCATTGGTGAAAAGGTTTGCTGATCAAGTCTAATTGTATAGTGACAAGTCGAGCTGAGCACGAAAATGTTTTTTGTATTCTAGGATTGTAAAGATTTGGTGTATTCATTATATCATGAAATTGAAAAAGTAGAGAAGAGTCTGCGGACCTTATCATTACAGTATCAACAATTCGGTGGATATCAACAGGTGTACAACTATTCACAAATGCAATTTCAATGACTGTTTCATGGTGTTGATGTCGATTGACGTTTCGAAAACCATGGCGGTAGTTATCTTCATTTGACTATGATTATGACCACCGCTTACCTTGTCACAACGTTTTTCTCACGACTTCACTTACCCAGACGATCTACATCTACTGATCTATAAACATGTAACGATACACAATGCAAACCATTCACTTCATTCACAAATGCATTATTCCTTTGTTTGCATCAATGTCGTTTTTTTCTATCATTTCCTCAACGTAGGAAGCAAGAATGATGTCTGGTGTTAATGTTCTCATAAGTTATGGTGAAAGTCTTTCCAGGCACCTGGAAACATTACAGGATACAATTTCTTGCAAAAAGTCGGCAGTTCTTGTATTAAATCTTTGGTGTGTTAACTTTACTCTCGCTTATAACTTTTGTCTAATTTTTTATTAAGGGAGGAAGAGAATTCACTTCATTATTTAAAAGGTATGCTGTACAGTCATAACTTTGTCAAATATTATGATTTTTCATTTTTACCATTAATTTTAACAGATCCTGTTCCAAATACCCGTCAGAAGACCGTAAGTGTTGTGCATATAGCCACATTTTCAAGATGGATAATTAGCATTGTTAATGTTTTTCCAGAGATCAAGTGCTACATCACGCAGTGGTAGTAAATTCTACAGTTTGGTGTCGTCAGTTGCTCGTGCAAGTGATAACTTTCGACTGTTTGGTGATAATGATGAAGATGATGAAAAAATCTCACTATCTTTTCAAGACGATGATATGAAATCCGATGTAGCTTTTGATGATAATGATGATGATGAAGCCATTGATCATATCGCTGATAAAGTGGATAGACATAACGAGAGATTATCTGTGCCAAACCAAATTACAGTCACAAAAAGGTTCGTTTGAAAAATTGACTTGTGATTCATGCTACAGCTCATGTAAAAAAATGTTTTAATTTTTGTCATCATACAGATCGTACTTGGGCAGATGTTTTCATTATTCAATCAACCTCGTCATCTTCCTTGCGCTGATTTTCATATTAGTTTTCGTGTTGGTACGCTACAGTGTCTGCGATCGTTATTTTATCACGACTAAGATTCATGATTATATCAAGAGATTTGAGATCATCCATTACGTAAATGAACCCGCTGTTTGATCCAATGCGTAAAATTTTTATCCCAATGTAAATATTTCGTATCCGGTTTTGAGCAACGTCCACTTGACTAAATCTAACATTTTAAAATAAAGTGCAAAGCAATATTATAGTCTGCATGCTTGAACGAAAGTTGTAAAATTTCTTTGCTTTGTTGTCATGACGTATTTATTTTCTTAAAAAAACTCAAAGTAAAGTGACAAAGAGTATTTTTTAAGTTGAAAGTGAATATGACACATGCAATTATTCAAACGCTACGATGGTGATACTTTTTTAACAAATGTTGAATATCTTTGTAAATCAATCGTTCCGCGTCCATTCCCCATATAAAGTCGAGATGATCCCATGATTTGATTTTCTTTTGATACACCAAAGTCTTGTTAAGTTTAGGCACCAGTAACGCTACATCTTGTGGTGTCGCCAGCCGATCATTTTGCGCCGAAAACAACGCCACAGGTACTCGAATATTTGAAACATCGTACTCAATTGGTGTGGACTAGAGAATATGAGTAACCGGTGAATGTTTAAGTAATTTGAAATGGAAACAGAGCGCGTTAAAATCCCTTCTCTTAAATGATTAACGCCAAAATTATTTCAAGTCCTACCTGACCATAACGAAGACGGTTTTTGTAACGCCACCCATAGTCATACATTTGAAATTTACCTGAGCGGTACATCTAATTGAAATGTTAAGGATTCGTTATAAATTCTGAGTCTTATGAGCCACAATTATCGTTGTCTAATGATGTTTGTTTCATTTACCTGTGCAAAATGTGCGACATCTTTGACGGATGTTCCTGCGGGGGTATGAGCTAAGTAGACTGGTAAGCGCGTCTAGACGTAAACAATGTAACAACAGCTTCAATTTTGAGCATGAGCGCTTTAGGCAGAAAGTAGGTAATTCATTGAACATGTCGGCATTAGTTTTTGATGAATTATTAGGATTTCGTACCTCGTTAAGTTGAGCTTTATCATAACCACAAAGAACAAACATGATATTTGTGCACCATTCACTGCCAAGGTCATCTTCACAGACATAACGAGCCAATGAACGAGTGACAAATGATGATGGTAGGAAATCACGAACTCCAAAAAGCCAAGACAGCCACTAGAAGTTGAAGAAAATATTATATTCATGAATGGTTTGGAAAACAATAATCTTTTTATTGGAATGATGACGATAGATGGACACCATCTCTGCCTCAACTAACCTGGATTCCACCACTTAAGTATGAAAAATATTTAATTGGACTCTTCATATTGGCAACGCTTACCACCGGAGCAAGAGCAATGAAAATAATGACTTTTGATGCAAGTGTTTGATTTTGTGAAAACGCTGCGAACGCCAAGGTTGTACCTTGAGAATGGCCGATGTAAGAAAGACGTGAAACTCGGGAACAATTCAAAGCAAACTCAAGCGAAGCAGGCAAATCATACTTGGCAAATTCATCGAAACTAAAGCATAAAAAAAATTGGTGCCATTGCGCCAGACGATTAGAAAACGGATAGAATTTATCACAGATCCAAGCTCTCTATACCTAAAATCCCAGAATTCATCAGTGTTTGTTGTGTATCGTGTATTTCTCAAACCATAAACATTCCCTCTTGAGTTTCCCAGCCAAACGTCAAAACCACGATCCGCTAATACAAAACCAAGAGCTTGATTTGGAAGATTCGTGATCCACTGACTTGATGAACCCAAGAGGCCATGTTGCAGGAACACAACAGGACGTTTGCCAGCTGACCTTTTCTCGTTACGTCCGTGAGGAATGCGCTGAATGGTTAAGATATAGCCATCTGAAGTGGTGACGTCATATTCTTCAACAGGATAGCCCCAGTGTCGAATGATTTGAGACTACAATGGGAACGAATTAGTTCAAGTAGAAAAGTGTGGCCAGGATAAAATGATAATGCATTTTACAAATGCGCAATATATGCAAATTAGTAGTAGACAGACATGTACTGCTTTCTACGTTTTAATCTTTTAAGAAGCGTTAACATTAACGACATATTCAGAACGCATTAAGCTGTTTATAATGATGATGTCTTGATATTTAATGAATATTCTAACCCGTGTACCTACCACATTCATGTTAATTTCAGGATCATCTGCTGAATTGCCATGAAAATGACAAAACAGGAACACAGTAAAAACCAACCACTTCATTGCGTTAAAAAAATCGTAACAACTGCGTAAGTCATACGTTCTCTGTATTATATCCTGTCAACAGTCAAATCTATGGCAAATGCACAGTATGTGTAACATTTACTCTCTAACCTTGAGCAGCCTTGACCTTATCTTGTGTAATTGTAACCGATTAAATTTCATGAATGAAAATTTCGCTCAATTTAACCTGTGACATTGTTCTAAGAGTCTAAGACCTAAATGCTCAAAACAAACAACGAGCTCAATCAAACTAGCCAATGAACAGTTGGGATTTACTCTCACTACTTTAGTCAGCTCCACTGAAAGTTACGAAGTAACAAAAAATGATAAACAAAAATTTTACGGCTCTTTCAAAATTGCAACGCGCGGGCTCAGTTAATTCTGAAGTGAGAGTCAGCGGTCAATATACATAAAAGAATTAGAGTTTTTCTTTGTACTCACCCTTCCCTCGGTGCCTACTCAATTGTTCGGCAATCGACGAAATGCTTTGATTTGAAAGACGCCATTTCTGATGTTTTGATAAGTTGATGGCAAATTAAATCGACGCTCGGCCATTCAACTCTTTATTGAATGTTTTATTGATTGTTCGGTTTGCAAGACGTCTTATTATAAAGAAGTTATAAAAATATTTCACTTGTTAACATGAAGTGGTGTGTATTTATGGCAGGGTTTTTTCTCTGTCTTCATTCATTTCGTGAAACCACTGCAATCAGCCCTATACGTAGAAACGTAAGGAAGCGCCTACGCAAACGTATGTATTTTACTTCAATAACTTTTTGATTTCTCTAAGGACTTGTGGAATAGGGAGTAAAGGTTCTTTTTTCAATGTTTTGTGTAAAACTCTTATGTTGTGTTGTTATTCTTCATATTAACTTATAACTCATTCTGTGTTACTGTCTGTGGGTATTTGCAACGCAAAAGTGTGAAATAACTAAAGAGTTTACCAAAGAATTTTGTAGAAAGTGTTTTAACAGTCTTTCAAACAATTCAACAGCAAGTGGTTAATAACAAGTTATTCAATATATTTGTCAAAAAAAAATACATTAAAAGATGGTTGTGTATCAAGAATTTATACATCAAATATTGCTTTTGGCAAAGACCTTTGATTATTTTAAGACTCTTTCAACAATTACTTTCAATTTCATGAAAGGTCACAACTTTCTTGCTAAAACACTAAAATTGAATGATTTGCAGCCTTACAAGTATAATTTAAAAATAAAATGATTATTTAATGTTTTTTTCCAGAACATGGCAATAGTTTTTCCCTTAACATGACAAAGCTAAAGAATATTGTGTTGAAACTTAATTGTAAGTAAAGTTAAGTAATTATTAGTTGTCAATGTCTTTAGTGAATTTCTTTAGTGTTTTTGCAATTCAAAGAAGAATGTGGCTTGATATTTTTTTGTTTGATGTTTGATCAACAGATGATCACAAGAGAATGTTGTTTAATGCCTTAATGAATAATTCAAAATGGCAAAAATTCCTAAAACCAAGTAAGTTTACTCTAAGTAATTAAATTTAAATTCATTGTGTTGCTGAAAATAAAAGATTACCACTACTCAAAACAAAATATATGATAATGAGTACAACAATGTCCTTTATAGCAGCAAAGACTCCAACACGTCATACAACTTTTATTACTGTAGAACAAAATCCGCAGGTTTCAGAAGTTAGCATAGCTCCTGATAGCAATGGGAAGAACGCTGAAACAGCTAAAGGAGATGTAAAACACAGCACTGAACAAACTGAAGCTGCCAAAAAAAACAACCCACCAACAAGTGATGATGGTGAAAAGAGCAAATCATCAACAAGTGATGATGGTGAAAAGATCAAATCATCAACAAGTGATGATGGTGAAAAGATCAAATCACCAACAAGTGATGATGGTGAAAATATCAAATCATCAACAAGTGATGATGGTGAAAAGATCAAATCACCAACAAGTGATGATGGTGAAAAGATCAAATCATCAACAAGTGATGATGGTGAAAAGATCAAATCATCAACAAGTGATGATGGTGAAAAGATCAAATCATCAACAAGTGATGATGGTGAAAGATCAAATCACCAACAAGTGATGATGGTGAAAAGAGCAAATCATCAACAAGTGATGATGGTGAAAAGATCAAATCATCAACAAGTGATGATGGTGAAAAGATCAAATCATCAACAAGTGATGATGGTGAAAAGGTCAAATCATCAACAAGTGATGATGGTGAAAAGATCAAATCACCAACAAGTGATGATGGTGAAAAGATGAAATCACCAATAAGTGATGATGGTGAAAAGATGAAATCATCAACAAGTGATGATGGTGAAAAGATCAAATCACCAACAAGTGATGATGGTGAAAAGATCAAATCATCAAAAAGTGATGATGGTGAAAAGATGAAATCATCAAAAAGTGATGATGGTGAAAAGATCAAATCATCAACAAGTGATGATGGTGAAAAGATCAAATCACCAACAAGTGATGATGGTGAAAAGATCAAATCATCAACAAGTGATGATGGTGAAAGATCAAATCATCAACAAGTGATGATGGTGAAAAGATCAAATCATCAACAAGTGATGATGGTGAAAAGATCAAATCATCAACAAGTGATGATGGTGAAAAGATCAAATCATCAACAAGTGATGATGGTGAAAAGATCAAATCATCAACAAGTGATGATGGTGAAAAGATCAAATCATCAACAAGTGATGATGGTGAAAAGATCAAATCATCAACAAGTGATGATGGTGAAAAGATCAAATCATCAACAAGTGATGATGGTGAAAAGATCAAATCATCAACAAGTGATGATGGCGAAGAGAGCAAATCATCAACAAGTGATGATGACATCGTAAACAACCACAATCCACCTGAAGATGAGTTAAAACATCGAGGTTCGCATTTCATTTTTTATTCTTTTTTTATGGTTGTGTTTTTGATGTCAACTTTTTTGTATTTGTAGTACCTTTAAGACAAACTCCTGAGTCTGGACATTTTGCTTTTGTATTTCTTGTAATGATTGCATTATTGTTTGGTCTATATGCATTGTATCATAACAGACAAAGGGTAAGTGAATATTTTATTTTTGATTTATCATCCAGATGGAGTGGAAAGTGTACTCTGGAACATGATTATAGTGCGTCCAGACTGAGTGCACCCACGCACAGTACTCAGGCACGGGCACCAATGTAAACACAACGTCATTTTGATGGTACCCGAGTCTAAGTGCTCTCGTCTGGGCACCACAAAAAGAGGTAGTACCCGAGTACGGTGCTTGGGAATGGGCACTAATGTGAATGATGTCACATGAATGACGTGTACAGAAAAGCACGTATTCAACACATTGTTTTAAAACTTGTGTACAGTGAAAAACATAGAATTATAAACAAACGAAGCTAGTGGGTACTACATAGTGTGAACGACCTATAGATTTGTACCCGAACAAGGGTATCGTACTCTGGCACTCAGTCTGAACGCGCTATTACCTAGAACGAATGTTCAGCTATGAATGGAATGGTAACCCAGATTAAACAACTGATCATTCTTTGAACAATTGATCCCGTTGGTCAAATGTAGATTTGCAGTTAAAGCAGATTTCTGTTTTCTGTTTAAGTCAAATTCAGATAAGTTTCAACTAAAATGACCAAAGTGTCACTAAGTCATTTCTCCTTGGAAAGATGAGGAAATTTTCTATGCAAATATACGAAATAGTCAACTTGTGGCGTATACAGAGCATGAAAATTGAATTATTGTGTATTTGATAAGATTTATTCTCTCATTTAAGATTATCGCAGTTGTTGTCGAAGGTCGATCCGCAAGTGGTCGTTCTGCTCAACGTGATCGTTACAGTAAACTGGAAACTAATGTTGATGTACAAGAAGCAAGATTAAAGAATAGTAATGAAGTTTATGTTTACTAATTTAGCTTTCTTGCACGTATTTATACAGACATTTTGATTCATTTCAATCTTTACGTTAGCCATTAGGAATAGTTATCGTAGTTTATCGTTGATTGTTGTGTAAAGACGGTAGGAAGCTTCAGAAAGGGGAAAGCTGAGATCTCTTCCATTTCTATGATATTTTTATCGAAGAAGAGATAGAAATTTTCGTAACTTAACTCGCTTCTTTACCACACAGTCATCAGTGATATGTATGGAATCATCTTAAGAAATGAAACGATGACCGTCCTGTTTTTGTTCTATTGAACTTAGTTTGTTTTTGTATTATAGCTGAAGTATATCACAGCCAAGGAGCATATTTTTGTTAAAGTTGTCAACTAGCAGTAAAGATTTTTTCCAATTTATTTAATGTTTCATTGAGTTAATGTTGACTTTGTTTCGTCTTCTTTCAATGTCTATGTAACATTTAGTGTAAGACCAGCAAAAGCCCAACTACCAACACACTCACATGGACTATCTAATAATTTACTGCATATTTGAATTTTTAGAATCTGTCATAGGACTATTTGCACTCATTGTTGTCAACTCTCCCACACCCTCCCTCTTGCAATCTGGGACGGCGCAATAAAATTGAATCTAGGGGGAAGCTACGACTTATATTTAACAAATTTACTGCGTCTTGCTTTGCCTGAAGTTGAGCTAAAATGTATAAATGTTAGCAAAATCTTAATCTTGGGGAAAAAGTGGTGATGCTAGGGATGGATGTGTGAATGGGGTGGGGAAGGCTCAAGACTGTCAATGTCTCATTCCTATGGTTATGCTAAGTGTACAAGATGTTTAGCTGGCATGTATTGTGAATTGGTGAATTGTGAAACGTCGCGACAATCCTGGAATTTTAAGATCTTCAATCACCCTGAAGTGTGATATGGATATAAACGCCAGTTAGTGTTCTGTGAGACAGAAGAAATATTCATGTCTCTATTTCATGTGTGGGCTCACAGTATATGTGTTTATGGAGAAAGCTAGCAAAGAAATGGTGATGTTTTTGTTCTGTGGTTTGTTTGGGTTTGGTATAGAATGGTATAAACGGGTGCAAAGAAGTACACGGAGTTGTATGCGCACACCACGCATGCTGTGTGGTTGAATTGACGCGGTTGCGAAGCCGTATATCCGGGAGCTCCAAATGTATTGTAATGGCCGCCGATCTATTTAAAATCTGAGATCCTAAAGTGGACGTGTATTACTATTTACGCTCTTAGGGATTTTATTTCTGTCTCTTATAAAATGAAATATAAAATAACTATTTTTCTATTTTAACCAACGAAATGTCAAAGGGGCAGGAAGAAGTCAATGCAGTGAAAAATGGCCCCGTAATCTTGCAAGGCCAAGCTCACGGGCATTCGCCTTGTGTGTCCGACTCGTCTGACGTTGATGAAGATATTGACGAGGAAGCTGCGGTAGTTATTGAATTTTTTATTTTTAAACAAAATTTTTATGATGCTAAAACTTTCAACAATTTTTGATGAATAAATGAGAAATTTCTTTTGAAAGAAAGTGATATATGTTCAATGCTTCAATTAAAATTTGTTCATATGAGATTTTTATTGATCATATTGAACCGGTGTTATTGCGATCTTATGCTTCGTTTGATGTGTGTTTTAAGTAATGAGGATTTCATTTGAAAACGTTTTTGTTTCGCATGAAGTTTTAAAGAATTTTGTATGTATAATATTTGTGAAATATAAACACATGACTATACAATACCTCTTTTGAATTTTAATGAACGAGAGAGCAAAGAACAATTATTCTCTGTAGTTTGAACATCTTGACACAATTTTCCCTGCCTGTCTTTAACATTTTAATGAGTTTCTTTCCATAAATATGATGAGCATATTTATATATTAAATTTTTGAGTTTTAACAACAGTTACCCAGATCATGACTTTTCATGACTTTAAAACTTTTTCAACGTTTTCAATTTAGTAAATTTCAAATACAGTATTATTTAAAATTTCATCAAGGTTATGTATGTTGGAGAAAATAGATTGTTGAAATTCATTGTTATATTTTAACTGCTCAGTAGCTAGGTAGAAGTAGTTATCAACTTTTTCAAGTTGGTATGTTATTAAAAGATTACACTTCAAATTGCTTTTGTTTCAATTGTTTGTAGTGCAATTGATGTTTGTTTAGGTGAAGTATTTTTAATTTGTGTCATTGTAGAAACAAAACATTAGACGATATCCATAAATGTCTTATATACTGTACTTTTTGCTGTTTTCTGTTAATCAACAACAAGGTTTTAATAACTTGCATTGGCAAACTGTTATATCTGTTCTGACAGTATGCTCTTATAGCACCAACTCAAAAAACAAGCTTTGTTCACTTCACTAATTCTAAATTGTAGTAAAATAGTTATAGTCTTAGTGAACACTTATCATTGTCGAGTGAATTATTTTTAGTCCAAGGTTTATGTGGTGTTTATCTGTTAAAATTTAGTCTCTCATTGTCAGATGTTAAAAATGTAAGTTTATTTTTCAGTTGGAGTATATTCTCAGAGGAAAACAAGACTTCTTGACATCAAAACTTAAATTGCCCAATGGATCAACAGGAAATGCTAATGATGTGCAGACTAAAATTGATCCTGATACACAAGCCAGACTTGAAGCTCTATTAGAAGCTGCAGGTAGGTGATGTTTTATGTGGATGTGTATGATAAATATGTATACATTTAATGTATGCTTGCAAGGGAAAGAGTGAGTTTTGTTTTCTCTTGAGTCCCAATGTTTCCCAGACAAGGTGGAGAAATAAGACTACTCTACATATTATAAATATAGGGTATGTAGGTACGTGATAAGGTTAGGGTTAGGTTAACTGTGTCTTAATCACTTGAGGCTCAAAACAACAACCAAAATGTCTTTTCAAGATGACTTTTCAACTTCATTTTAGCTTAGTCTAAGTCAGTTTTTAACCTGGTACTTATGTTTTTTGAGACTTGTGATTCTCATGTTAGATTTTAATAATTATTACAACACATTTCTTTACAACATATATTGCTTTTCAAAGCTTCATATTTTAAAATTGGCTTACTCACAAATAATAATTAAGTGTTGATGAATGAGCTAAAAAATCCAGTCAGAAAACTTCATAAAAATGGAAATGAAGCCTTCTATCCAAGTTCACACAGCACTTAATTAAAAGAGCAAACACAGGAATTTTTAGCCTGTCATTGAATGGATGTTATTTTGAGCCTTGCTTAATGATGGTTTGTTTTTTATTTCCCCTAACTTATCTCTTGGAAGATGAGATTATCCTACTATAATCTTAATTCTATTACTTTGTGATCATTTAACCTTTATTTGTGATCTTTTTCAGGTGTTGCAAAGTTGGCTGATGGTAAGGCATTTGCTGATCCAGATGTATTGCGTAGGCTTACTTCATCTGTAAGCAGTGCTTTGGATGAGGCTGCAGCTGCTCTTACGAGAATGAGAACGCAGAATAACGGTGTTCCTTCATCACCTAGTCATACAACAGACACTGGTAAACAATAGTTACGTTGAGAATCATGCCTTTTACATTAAATATGAAGATAGATTCTTGTTTTGTAGGTATTCACAGTCTGGCTAGTGCTTGTCTTGAAGGTAATGTCAATGCTGTTCGTAAACTTCTTGAACAAGGATGGAGTGTCCATGATTCTACTGATGAAGGAGAAAGCCTCTTGTCTTTGGCTTGTTCTGCAGGTAAAAAAATATGAAATAAAGCCAAAACTGAAATAAACAATTATTGGTGCTTTGATAAGATCAGTGATTGTTATCTTATCATTAAGGTTACTGTGAGCTTGCACAAGTATTGCTTGCTATGAATGCTGGGGTGGATGACCGAGGGAGTAAGGGCGATTGTACACCACTCATGGAAGCATCAAGTGGTGGATTTTTGGATATTGTTCATCTACTTCTTGATCGTGGAGCGGATGTGAATGCTCAATCCCAGGCAGGTATGTAAATAAATTTAATTATTATCATCTAGTCATTTCAATTTACATTTTGTTTACTGTTCTACTCTCATGGTTATTCTCACTCTAAATTTTTTTTAAGGTAACTCGGCCTTGATCTATGCTTGTTGCGGAGGTTACGAGGACGTTGTGAAAGTTTTACTTGATCATGGTGCAGAGATTGAGTCTCATAACGAGAATGGTCATACACCATTGATGGAGGCAGCAAGTGGAGGACATGTTAATGTTGCAAAGCTATTGCTTGAAAGGGGAGCATGTATAAATTCTCATTCAAACGAGTTCAAAGAAAGTGCTCTAACATTAGCATGCTATAAAGGTTTGATTATTTCAATTAATGATGAAAGTAAAAGAAGTTCTTTTCATTTACTTTCAATGTTCATTGAAGGTCATGTTAATATGGTGAAGTTTCTTCTTGGTGCCGGTGCTGATCAAGAACATAAAACTGATGAAATGCATACAGCTCTAATGGAAGCATCAATGGTCTCGTAAACATCTTTGTTTAAGTCATTAGTTGATAGAAAGGCATTAATAGCAAGTGTAATTATTTAATATATTCATATTATATATTATTGTGATTATAGGATGGTCATGTTGAGGTTGCTCGTCTTTTATTGGACCATGGTGCAGAAGTATGTTTTAACCAACGTTGTTTTCTTTGTTTTTAAATGATCACACAGTTGGTTGTTTAGTACACATGTAAACTTTATGATTTGCAGGTGAACATGCCTGCCGACAGTTTTGAATCACCGTTGACACTTGCTGCATGTGGCGGACATGTTGAACTCGCTTCTCTTCTCATCGAACGTGACGCTTTTCTGGAAGAAGTCAACGATGAAGGGTGAGTTATGAAACGACAGTTTTAATTTTCTATTCTATAATTGATACATTGCATATTCATTTTTAGTTATACACCTCTTATGGAAGCAGCAAGAGAAGGCCATCTTGATATGGTCGCTCTCTTACTTGATAAAGGTACTTAATAATTAGCTACTGCACACATACGTGCTCTTTGTGAACTCTTGTACTTCATTCACGTAAGACAATCATTTTTAAGGTGCCGATATTCACGCTCAAACTGATGAAACACAGGAAACTGCTTTAAGTTTAACGTGTTGTGGAGGTTTCCTTGATGTGGCAAGTTTCTTGTTAGAACGAGGTACACACACACGAATCTCCCATTTATCATCGGTTGATGTACTGCAATAATTGTTTTTTGTAAACAGGAGCAAATATCGAGCAAGGCTCGTCAACACCGCTTATGGAAGCTGCACAGGAAGGTCATGTTGATTTAGTGAAATTTCTTTTGGAAAAAGGTTTGTAGAGTATGTGAGTTAATACTTGTCTATGTTTTATTATTTACTTTTTAAATTTTGACTAACATACCACAGGAGCTGATGTAAACTCGACGACAGCAACAGGTGATACTCCATTGTCGTTTGCATGTGAGAATGGTCATACGGATGTTGCAGATATTCTTTTAGAAGTCGGAGCTGAATTGGTGGGTACACTATCGTGTGTTATCAGTCATTTTTATGTAGTTTGATTGAATTAGTTTTTATTTTCAGGAACATAAATCGGAGGGTGGACGGACGCCTTTAATGAAAGCGTCCAGAGCTGGTCATCTTTGTACTGTGCAGTTTCTCATTTCACGAGGTATTTTGTTATGTAGCTATAACGTGTGTTAAAAAAATGATTGAAATTTATAAAATTGTTGGTGTTTTCTTCACAGGAGCTGATGTGAATCGTGCTACAACAAGCAATGATCATACAGTGTTGTCTTTGGCTTGTGCTGGCGGTTATCTTGCTGTTGTTGAGTTACTTCTTGCTCATGGTGCCAAAGCTGATCACATATTAAAGGTTCATATCATATATCAGTAAATACATGGTGCATAAAAAAACTAAAAAGTTAGGCAAACGTCGCTAAGTTCATTTGAAAACGATAAATCCAAAATAATCCGCTATTTTAAAGCCACAGCCTTTCCATACTCTTTAGCCAAATTTTCTAAAATTTTCTTATTTTGAACAACTTGTGCCATAATTTAACCCTATGTCTTCCACTTGCTTTTTAGCTGTTTTATTTTTTGTGTGCAAGTATTTCAAAATTGCTTTTCTTTAACATAATTTTATCGTAAAAATGTTTATAATAGGTGACAATTTTATTGTGATATGAGCCATCAGAAGTCTATCCATCCATTCCATTCTTGCGCGCTGATGAATTTAACAATGTTGTTCCAATTGTTCATATATTTTTTTGATACACACTGTATGTTATTTTGTTAAGAAATCAACCTTCTCAACACTAATAATGAAAAGTATTTTAGGACAATTCAACAATGCTTTTTGAAGCATGTAAAGGAGGTCATACGACCGTAGCCAAATTTCTTATGGATACGCCCTTACATGGAAACAATTCACAATACCGTTTTACAGCAATCCAACCACCATCGTCACCCTCTTCTCCACCACGTGTACCTCCAGTACACTCATTAGATCAACTAGATCCTAACTTACCCCTTCTTGGTCTAAACAATGCCCACGCTGATTTTTTATCCTCGTCATCCATCATGGTTTCACCAGGTCTCCTTTCTACTAATTTACAAATGACGGACGATAAAATGGACTTTTTTACGAACAGTATGTGAAAGAATAATTATTATATAGTTATTATTAGTGAAGAAGTACTATATTTTTTATGTATTTTTGTAGACTTCCTTACGGAGTTGGGACGTGAGATACCTTTACCGGAGGAACAGCAACATATTGAGGCTAAACTAGCTCGTGCTAGGACTGAGGCTCTTGAAAACTCTCCTCCATTACCATTTCGATTAGAAGCCGCTCCTGCTGAGGTAAATAGCATTGGAGATGACGAGGATTCTGAAGGAAGCGACGATCGTGGTAGTCTTGGTAGTGCTTTTTCTGGTTTGTAGAGTAATTACAGTTCAAGATTTCTTTGGAAATTTTTCTAATGTTTTTCATTGTTCAGGACACTCAGACGAAGGTTCCCATAATGGGTTTTCCGGTCCGTCTTCAATGCCACTGACACCAACGCCATCACCTGTGCCTGTGATTGACATCGAGCAGCAAACCGACAGCAATCACGATACTGCATTATCAGTAGCTGCTGCTGGTGGACACGATGATCTCGTAAAATTGTTACTGGAGCGTGGTGCTGTATTGGAACATAAGGATAAGAAGGGTTAGTGTGTGTGTGTGTGTTGTTACAAGGCTAAGAATGTTTTTGTTTTAACTTTGGTATTTTCTAGGATGTACACCACTTATTTTGGCCGCTACAGCTGGTCATGCTTCAACGGTTCAGTTGCTGTTAGACAATAAGGCAGAAATAGAAGCACAATCGGATCGTACTAAGGATACTGCATTATCTTTGGCATGTTCTGGTGGTCGTCAAGAAGTAATGTACTTTTTTCTGAAAGGATTTTCTTGATCTGTCTTAATATGATTTTGTCTATATTTTTGCAGGCTGTTGAAGTACTGATTGGAGGAAAGGCGAATTTTGAACATCGTAATGTTTCAGATTATACTCCATTGAGTCTGGCTGCTTCAGGTGGTTACATCGGGATTGTAAAGATTCTCCTCGCTAATGGAGCGGAGATCAATTCTCGTACTGGTAGTAAACTTGGTATATCGCCACTAATGCTAGCGTCAATGAACGGCCATGCTGCCACAGTTAAACTTCTGTTAGACATGGGAGCTGACATCAACGCTCAAATCGAAACCAATCGAAACACAGCGTTGACACTTGCCTGCTTTCAAGGCAGACATGAAGTGGTCAGTTTGTTAGTAGAGAGAAGGGCAAATATCGAGCATCGTGCTAAGGTATTTACAGTACACATCGTGTAATGAATAACTTGACAGTCCTTTTCTCTGTTTCACGCAACTGTTTTATTTTGTTCAGACTGGATTGACACCGCTCATGGAAGCTGCTTCAGGTGGCTATGTTGACGTTGGCAAAGTTTTACTTGACAAAGGTGCTGACGTAAACGCACCGCCGGTACCTTCGTCACGTGACACTGCACTTACAATTGCCGCTGACAAGGGACATCATAAGTTCTGTGATTTGTTATTATCTCGTGGTGCGTTAGTTGAAGTACGCAACAAGAAAGGAAGTACACCTCTTTGGTTGGCAGCTAATGGTAAATTTTCTCTCGATGTATTCGTTGTTGCGAGTACTCTGTAGTAGTATGTAATGTTTGAATTATTTTTAGGAGGTCATCAGGAAGTGTGCCAACTGCTTGCTCGGTATGGTGCAGATGTTAATAGTCAAGATAATCGCAAAGTTTCAGTCCTTATGGCAGCGTTCCGGAAAGGACACGTGAAAACTGTCAAGTGGATTGTACGTCATGTCACTCAGTTTCCGTCAGAATCCGACTCGGCCCGATTCATCTCGACCTTACTAAATGATAAGGTGGGTCGTCTAGTCTGATAAACAAACGCGATTTACTACTGGATTTTACGTTGACATGTGTCTTCTCGTGTAGGAGCTTTTGAAGAAATGTCAGCAGTGTATGTGTGTTATACGTCATGCAAAAGACCTGCAAGAAAAGGAAGCAGCTAAGAATGCATCGATTTTGCTTCAAGAAGTTGACATGGAGAAAGAAAGGGAAGAAGTTAAGAAGCAAGCAGCTGCAAGGAGACGCGAGAAGAAGAAAAAGAAAAAGAAGAATAAGATGGCCGGGAAGGAAGAGAACGACAAGATGGCAGAAAAGGAAGAAGATGGCGAGGAAGATGAAGATGTCGTTGTAACAGAACAAAGTGATAATGTTAACGAGAAAGAGAGAAATCAAAGTAAGATTGGTTTAGGATTTTTTGTTTAGAGATATCGAAGTGAAAGAAAAATAACGTGATGGTTTGTCCATCTGCAATTTCGCGATCGTCTTATTTCTTTAGATACGGTGGATGAAAGTTCCTGTATGATTGAGTCGTTGAATGATTCATTGAGTCCTAGTGAAGAAATTGTGAAGAAAGAAGAGATGAATACACTTTCTAGTATTGCCATTACAACTGCTTCTCTCACTGCAAATGCATCGAGCAAGTACGTTCATTTAGAAATGTCTAATTCGTAGCCAAAATAAGGCATATTCATGCACAAGAGATATTTTCTGCAATTAGATGTTTTCATTGCGAGTTCTAGGCTTTCACAATATTACAAACGAAGTATAGGTTCACCATAAGTTGTCTAAATCTAATGTTTGTTTGTTTTTCGGGTCCTATGCATTTTTACCAATGTTTGCTTTACTTTTTACATTCACCATGTTACTTAAGTGTTCTTTCCTTTTTGTATCGAAAGATAATTCTCGTATCACAAACTATCAAACAATTATCAAATAAATGTATTGCAAGTTGACAGCATATTTTTGTTGCAGACTTGTGGATAAAGAAAGCGCAGTTACTACGTCGGAGATCACAAAAGTAGTCGCTTCAACCATGTATAGCAGTAATGCTCGTATAAGTGATATATCACCTATCACTATAGCAACAGCTGCTGCTCAATGTGTTACAGTGACGTTAACAACTACCACTGTTCCCATCATGGTTACTTCAACTTCACATAGCCGTATTAGATCTTCACCTAGTTCCAGGAGGGTCAGGAAACATGAAGAGGGATGGAACGTTGTTCTCAGAAGGTGCGGGGGATTATTTTGAGAAACGGATGAACTTTAGTTGCTAATGTTGTGCGTATTTTGAAGATTTTTTTATTTTAATTCTTAGATCGAAGAAACTCTCTGTTCCTTCATCCGTGATAAGTCGTGTTATTGGTCGAGGTGGTTGTAATGTAAACGCAATTCGTGATGCAACTGGTGCGCATGTCGATATTGATACGAGCAATCAGAAAGCCACTGGAACATGCACTGTTACCATAAAGTATGATAGGTTTTTTCCCATACTTCATGATGTCTTTATATATAACTTCTACTGTTCTACTTTACAGGGGAGCTGTGGAGGCAACGAAAGAAGCTCATCATCTTATTCTCACGTTGATCAAGGATCCTGAATGTGATATAAATGATCATATACCACGTTGTAAACAAGCTTTGGCCTCTCATCGTCCCTACGACATACCGGCTGCTAGCAATCATTTCACCGTTCATGATTCTTCACGTGTTTCATCGAGCAATGCTAGTAGTACATTGTCCTCAAGTAACACTTCATATCCTACTGCTGTTGTAACATCGTCCAGGGATGTGTCTCGCTCTGAAAAGAAGTCTCGATCACATGGTGTTGCTGTGTCCTGTTCGCATCTTCCCGGAAATGCTCGGTGGGCGTCTCCAACTTACCAAACATCCGGGATATCAGATCAACCATCGAGTAAACGAAGTAGTGTCTCGGAAGTCGAACCAAGTAATTCTTCTCACGTAATCTTGTCTTCCCGTTCATCTTCTTCAAGGCAACTTCATTTCTCAAATGTATCATTACCTTCAGCTAAAGTACCAACCAATCGTGTGATGGCGTCTAATTACCAAAACACCACTACCACTACTCAAGTCAAAACAACCAAATCAAGCTCTTCATCTGGCAAGCTCATTGTATCATCAAAAAGCAACATAACCACGTGTTCTGGTACCGTCTTGTCAAGTCGTGTAACGCCATCAACCGTCGGGATAACTTCGTCAACAACTCGTGTCACTGCGTCGTCTGAGTATCGTAGCTCAAAGCAGCTCAGTTACTCTAACGTTGCAGGTGGTGTAGTACCTACAGTTTGTGAGCAATCGTCAGGGATTACGTCGTTGAATGATGGAATGAGTGGTACACCACTTCCTCCTGCTATCACCAATATATTGTCACAGGTTTGTCAAACTCGAAGTCCTATCGTTTGGAACGAGAGTTATTACCCGAAGACAAATCATGACATTGAGGAGTCAACAATGAATGCTTTGGGGGTAAACATGGATTTTACTCAACCGCTGTCTGTTGCTACATCTGGAGGAATATTCAAACCCCTTCCTCACGAAGTATCTCCACCTATCGCGTCTAGCACTTCACCCAGCTCGAGCTGCTCACCTGTGGTGAATACACCATCACCACCAGCAAGCATGACAACAACTATAGAAGAGAAACCTATTCAACCAATAGGAACAGAGAGAGCTCATCGTAGAACCAATACTAGTCCTTCGCCAACGTTGACTGGTGTACCCCCTCTCATTTCCACTGGTGAGAATTGTAGCACTAGTAGAATTTATTGATTTCAATGAGCAAATTTTAAAAAGCTTTTTATTTCTCTTTTTAGAGGGTTCTGGTGGAACTACGAATAGCGTGTGGAGTTACTATCCCAGTAAGTAGATAAACTCCGTTAATTTTACGATTCTTATGACTAATGGTTTGTCCTATTCCTCAGATACGTCACCGTCTTCAGCTTGGCCGTCTGCATCGCTTGACAACCATCATGGAATGCCTTCGCCATCATTGGTTGCTTTGGATACGTCTACATCACCTAGACCCATTCCCTCCTCGGCAATTTCGTCAGTCGCTCGTCCCATTGATGGTCTTCAGGAGTTTTTGGATAGACTTGGCCTCTCCAATTATCTCGTTCTGTTTCAGGTTCGTCAAAAAAGCGTCTGTATTTATTGTATTCATAATTTTAGAATAAAACATTTGCATTTCTTATTATATATATTTTAGAAAAATGAAATCGATCTGGAAGCTTTACTGTTGATGAACGAAACAGACTATGCTGAAATTGGTTTACCAAAGGTAGTTATCAACAGCAGGCTTTGCTCATGTACAAATCTGCGTTGAAAACTGTTTTGTCGATTAAAATTATTATTTTATTTTTTTTTTCAAAATTTATCTGAAACATCTGCTTTTTTCAGGGTCCTAGTAACAAGCTGTTGGGCTTCATACGACGAACATACAATTCTGCACAGTTCAGAAACGAAATGATTCGTCCGGCGGATGTTAGGCAAACTACATTACGACTAGCCTATCCACGTACGGTACGCCCTCCTGTGCGAACAAATTTTCACTGGAGGCAACCACTTCCACAGCGTTCTGTATTGCAGCCTCACGCTTTACCAAATGGTTCAATTCCAAATCGACCGGAGACGTATAATGGTGGTCATGGTACTGGGGTAGGTTTCAAAAAATATATCAAAAGTTTTATGTTTTATTTTATTTTATTTTTGAATTTCGAAGTTTAAATGCTATTTTTATTGCTGTGTAGATGTGGAATGCTTGGAGCAGAACGGCCATTTAGAAGGTAAAGTTTCATGAAATTTTTGATTTTGTTCTTCTTTTTACAATAAGGACGTCGATTACGATCTGTAACAAACATTCTTTGTGTTTTGCAGATGCTGAGTTTTTGTTCGTAGATTTTGTTGTTTTGTTGGTTGATGGTATTTAACAGTATTATCATAAACATGTAACATGAACACTGTATTGCCAGAATACCCAGATAAAATTCAAACGAAACTTTAATGAATGATCGATCATTTTTGTTTGTCTTCTTTGTGAGCCAATCACAACCCTTTTTCTCTTTTCCTCACTATTTGAATTTTACCCATTTTATTTTTTATTATCGTTGCCCGCGATACTTTTGCTATGCGGCTTCTACCATGAAATGAGAACATGTGCTCATCAAGAAAACAACATGGCGTGCAATTTGAAAGAAAAGTGCGTTTAACAGTATGGGGAGATCTACAAATATCTTTAGATTTATTTCCTTCACAGAACGCATATCAAAACTTCGTATTGATGTTGTTCATAAGATTGAAAAACGTTCTGATATTCCCGACGAATCTGACACATTTTTTAATCAAAGTTTATCAAAATGGAGGGAGTTGAATTGCTGTCTCGACTTTCAGGAATTTTACAAAGGCGTCTCTCCGCTGGTGAAAAGCTTATCACTGTTAGTTCACCATCAAAAATCTGTCATTGACATACTCCAGAAATATTTGAAGAAGAAAGACACTTTAGCTCTTGAGGCTTTGCTTCAACTATGTGTTGAACTGGCTCGTGATTTACAAGGAGATTTTACACAGTATTTTAGAGACTTTTTAGGTATTATCACGAAACATTTGGATACGAAGGATGCCGAAAAGATCGAGAATTGTTTCAAGACGTTGGCGTATCTTTTTAAGTTCCAATGGAGATTCCTAATTAAGGATATGAAATCATTATTCCGGTATTAATCTAGAGTTTCATATTGAAAGATTTTTATATTTATTTAAAGCATTATGTTTACTGAGAGAGTCTTTTTTATCACCACCAAAAGCAGTCAATGGCTGTCATATTTTACCAAACAGACAATTATTGTTATCTGACAAACTATTGTCAACAAATTTATTCCTTTTACTGTCAAACATGCCAAATATTTGCACTGGAAGTTTACTTATCAAACCAACCATATCTTTCTTCCAAAAATACTAAATGCTTTGTATGATGTTCACATTTGTTGAAAAAACAGTTCTTTACTAAGTGTAGGGTCATTGATGTTAAATGGTTAGATTGAAATTGAGACAAGTTAAATATAATTTATTTTATTTATGTCTTGTATTGTGGAATTTTGAGGACACTTAGTGATTACATTCAGTAAAAACAATTTTTTCTTTGCTTTTTACACACAAATGTATGTTTTGATTATATTTGTAGGTCATACAGTCCTCTTCTCAGTGGAAATCAGCCTGGTCAAGTTGACAGATTTGCTGCAGAAAGTCTGGCATTTCTAGTTCGAAAGTCTAAAAATTTATCCAAATTATTGGACTTCATATTTCTCTCTACATTACAAAACCCTCAAATACTACCAGGAGTGGGTAGGTTACTATCTGAGATGTTACGTGGTGTGCAAAATAGATTCCATTCTTCAGCAGAGGAAATTATGAAATTATTGCTGAATAAACTAGCTCCTGATGTCATCTTTGATGAAGAATTCAAATCTGGAAACAAGGTTAACATCTATTCATTATTGTTAGCTTTTAACACACTCACATGGAATATTTCCTCACTCCTGAAATTATTTTTTTTAGATTTTTCAGCTATTTACAATAATGTTTGAAGAAACGGCAAAGTTTGCCAAGAGAGAGCATTGTCAAGTTATTTGGAGTTGTTTATATAAAGCTATAAATGATCGTCTTTTGGACAATGATGTAAATGTGGTGAACTCTGAAATACTAAGATATTTAGTTGAATTGATGAACATTTGGGTGGAATGGAGTCATGGAAAATTGATCAACGATGCAACCAAGTTACAAAAGGTGCAATTCAATTAATCTTCAAGATTCATTTATTATAATATTTCATTTTTGTTAGAAATGACTTATTTGATCATTGTGTTTAGAATGTGAGCAATTTGATAAAGACGAAAACTGACCATGATACTTTAAAGTCATCAATTTTTAAACTGGCTTCATCAACTCTAAAACTCAGTTTTGACATAGATGAAGATCTTGAAGAACAGCTGCTTGTTTCGTTCTTTGCTTCAAAACACTTCTCCATCAGTGATGCCTGCAACTTTTCTCGTAATCTCAAGATGTGGGCAAAATTTAATGATCTTGTTTTACCAAGGCTTGTGAATTTTTTTGATGCAAAGTTAGCTGTATCTTCCTTGCAAGAGTTTCAAGCTATCCATGTGGTACATATTTTGGCTGAAATTTTGTTGGATACAATCTCATTTGAGGAAGGTTATGATGGCATGACACTTCAAAAAAATAGGGAGTTTTGCTTTCCAAAACTGGCCGATGAACACGATGATTGTTGGTGGAATGTTTTCTTCAAACCTGAGACAATATTTAATGTTGATGAGGAACATATATGGGCAGCATTAATAATATTACCTTTCTTGAGGTATTTTGTGGTCTTGAAGTTTGCCATACAAAGTTCAAAAATTCCTATTTCTTGTGACTAATCACTCTTTTTAACTTTGTATCTCAAAATTATAGGCCACTCAAATTTAAGACTATTTGCCAATCATTAAAAAATCTATTTGATCATTTGAATGAGCAAGGCAAAGGTTCGTCATCAACTCATAATACACCTCGCCTGTTTGTTCTTTCTCAATGTGTCAAATGTATTGCCATCTTATGCAAGTTCCATTCAATTTCCTTGGAGCAATGTCTGGCTTATCATGTCATGTTCGATGTTTTCAGGTAAATGTAGCGTGTTATAACTCATTTTTTCTTCAAACACCAACTTTGCACATTTTTGTTTCTAGCAATTATGCACGCGATGTTCACATGCTACAGGCGTTTCATGTCTATTTGTCAATACTCCAAGAGCAGTCTTCATCCAATCTGTCTTGTCAGCAGAACTTTAAAGATGTGTACGCTTGCATAAAAGAAAATCTTGCTTCACACGCCCGGCTGGTCAGACTGCTAACATTGAAGATCCTCACCACTTTTGATCAATTGGAGGCAACATTCATGCAGGTGTGGCTATATATTTTGTTTACACTAATATAAATGGCAAATAATAACAATTTTTATGTTGTAATTCTAGAACAACGATTGTTTGAAGTGTAATATTTTTAACGACTGTTTGCAAGTTGAGCTTGTACCTTTGACCTTCCAAGAATATCGTCGGAAATTGGTCTGTGCACAAAAACTAGCTTTTTCAAACACTCGTTCATTACCAAATGATATTAAAGATGGCCCGTTACGCTATCTCATTGGTATGCTGTATTTGAATTTGAGTACGATGTGGGATCCTGTGATGTCCCTCATTACCACGTATGCGATAGAAGAAAACAAGATGATGTTTTGGAATGTGTTTTATGAAAATCTTATTTTGGATCCTTCTCATTCCGGTAGATACACTTATAAATTGCAATTACTTCATGTTAATTTCAGTGTTGTGTAGATACTTGTGTGCGTCTATAACAGATCCCAGGATTTTTATTGGTAGACAGAAATAAGAAAAAGGGAGTTAATTTTCTCGTCACTTTAGAATTGCTCTTTGAAAGAGATTTTGCAACAGTCTTTTCTATCGTTTGTTTAGACAGAAATGACGAGGTGAACTTCCAGGGTGACGGTGCCCTTAAAGAGTTCTTTTGTCGTCAGTTTTTGTCTTTTGTGGGACCTCGAGAAGACAACAGAGTTGACAAACACAGCTTTCAACTTCTCTTGTGGAAAACAATGGCCAAGTTTCCTGAAATTGTAGAACCACGATCAAGACAAGTTGTTCCGTTATTTTTGGACTTCTTCAGGTAGCAAGTTTTTATAAATGCGTTGTACTTTGGTTTCAAACGAAACCGCTTTATTTTCAATTTATTTTATATATTTTAGAAATGAATGTTCTGTTCTCGATGAAGCCGGTAGGGTCTCTTATCAAGATTTGACGAAAAGCTCTTTACATGATTCAGATTCTAATTCAATGGTACCCGATCATGTCAGCGCTGATCACCTTGCAGACATCCATATTGATCCAACTGATGGCGAGCATATAACGACGGATTCCGAACTAGATACGAATGACCTGAATAATAAAAGAAATGGTCATGTAGTATTTGTAAATGATGGAGGAAAGAAGAGATCTGGTTCCAAGTATAATAAAATTATGACAAAGGCAGGACGTTCAATGAAAATGAAGACATTAACTGCTTGTCTCACTCTCTTTGGATTGTTCAAAAACCCACGAAAAATTTATGAAGAATCTGAAATGATGCGCGTCTACTTGACTTTGTTGACACAGAAAGATGGCGAGATACAGAAATTGTCTTTGGCTTGTTTGATGACGTATAAGTTTGAATATATGATGCCTTATAGAGAAAACTTTGATCGTTTGATGGAAGATAAGACGTTTTCTGATGAAATCATGTGTTTTAGTTCTGATGAAGAACTAAACGTTGTTATACCTGAACACAGAGAACAAGTTATTCATATCTTAATAAGGTAAGTTCTCTGAAACGTAATTACACTTGCTGTAAGTACACAAACTTTTGATGTTTCAGCATTTCTTCTTTTTAGAATACTTTATGGTAAAATGCAACGATGGACTGGTGTGGGAACCCGTGGCAAATCTGGTGGTAATGCAAGACGTTCATTGGTCCTACGTTTTCTCAATAGTTGTCATGGTGAAGAGATGGGTGTTTTTATGGATCTCATCACTCATAATTTCAAAGATATCTGTGGTTTGTGTGATTTTTAAGTTCATCATGCAACACTGTGTATTGTTCCACTATTTTCTTACGCATTATTTTTCCAGATAACGAGAATGTGGATGTATGTTTAAGTCAAGTTGTGCCCCTGCGCAAGCAATTAGGATTTCTAAACATGTTCACACAGATAATGGCAGTGCTTGGGAGCCAAGCCTCATACTACTTACCGCGTCTGCTCAAGATTCTGTTCTACTGTCTAAGGACGTCTAGAGATTGCTTAGGACAGCGCGAGAAGGTTAGGAATCCGAGATGCTTTATTGAATTTTTTCCTTTGAAATTAGTCACACGTGCTTTACATAATTCCAGAGAAAATCTTTCCTCTGTTTAAGCTACTTTATGTAATCCTTGATCTTTTCTCTCATGAGGTAACACCTGGGGCCGTGTCTAATCTCAGATCTGTTCGTCAACTGGCTATTCGTTGTCTTAGTATTTTTTTCGAGAGATTCCCAGACCAAGATTTTGGTTTGCACACATTGGATAACAGCTTCCAATTGGCTATTGCTCCACAGGTAACTGCGTATTTTTGTCGAAATTTCATTTTTTGTAAAGCAACAGGGGCGAATGATGTTCAATTTCATTGTACACTATAGGTATTAAAGTTAAGCTCCGAGGCACTTCAAACACCCACGCCTCTTCTTCGTCTACTCAATGTTTGTAGCAAGAACACCAGACTTCATTGTCTGCTTTCTCGTATTCCTACCGGCACACAGGATTGTGTACTTGGTCACGTGTTTCAATGTTTGACGTCTGATCACGTGTGTACTCCTGTTGCAACTATGGTATTAGAGATGGTAGATCGCCTAATGTCGCCTGCTAACGAAGGGAAACAGCTAATGAGTAAGTACAACACGGTCTGCTCTGTACGAATGAAAGATATTTTTATTTTGTTGGTTGAATTTTTGTGTTTTTCTCAAACATCTCTATAGCAAAATGATCGCAAAAGATAAGAATATTACTCCTCATAGTTGTCAACAAGTTCTTCCCTACGTTTCTATAATTCTTGAGTATTTGAATAAACGCATCCGACGTACAACGAAAAATCTTTCTAAAATGAAAGGGAAATTGTGTAAAACACATCTTGTAACGAAAACAGAACTTTCTGTACTGTCACGCATCAGTCCTTATATCGTTGACTCGGATCAATCTTTGCATCTCTGTCGTCTTATGGTGTCTATCTTGAACATGACAAACAAGGAAGAATCAAAAGTCGAAATGCTACAATCAATAAAAAATCTTCTGAAAAATGTCCAAGATCCAATGGTAAATGTTGACAAATAATTAGTCATGATGATGTTTTTATATTAAAAAGATTTTATTCTTATGCCTTTCTTTTGTGCTCTTTCTTTTAGATATTTTATAGTCAGTTTTCCAGATTGTTTTCCTCTCTTCACTCCCGTGAAGCGCGAAAAGAATTGTGTCACATATTTTCCATTATTGCTCTCAAGAATGATGTAATATCGGAGCATGCGCAGCTCTTACATGGTCTCAACGCTTGGAATAGAAGACAAGTTGATGAAGTTGACTATGAAACAAGGTAATAAGACAGTTTAAAATAACCAAGTGAGTGTTGTAAAAACAAACAGGGAGGTAGCGACAGCAAGATATCAAAAAGTCCCGTTTTATTTACAATTTGCTTAATGCTTTATAAGAGCTGACGATATCTTCGACAGACCATCACCATTCATGATATATATGTATTTTATATATGTAGGTTATCGTCATTTTCACAGTCTTCAAAGTTAGTAAAATTACCAGAAGCGAAGGGAGAGTTGATCATGCCTTTATTCCTTAACGCTACTCACACAGTATTTACCACAACTGATCTAGCCCTAAGGTACAGTGCTCTGGGATTTATGAAAAATGTTATTGATGTTATCGAGGAGAAAAACGATGATACGGACTGTAACTGGTTCAATGTTATTGTCTTGGGTTGTCTGTTTCCTGCTATACGTGAAGCTGTCCAATCACGTCATGAGGTAAAGTACACGTCATTGTTTTTATGTTCTCAACACAATTGACGTATTGTGTTGCTATCTTACAGGCTGCTCGTAATGAGATGGTTCTCATTCTTGGACGTTTAGTAAAAACTTTTCATCACTCGAAGTTAAATGAACTAAAAGTTCTCTGGAATAATGACCCTGAAGTTGATTTTTTTGAAAACATTGTTCATATACAAGTAAGAATTTGTGACCATAAACAAACATTGTTCATTTTTATCATCGTATATGTTATCCTTTTCGTCAGATTTGCTTCAACTTTCACCTTTCAGATACATCGTCGTGTCAGGGCATTGAGAAGGCTTTCCAGCACATGCGCAAATACGACTTTCTCAAGCCACACACTAACCAGTATAATTCTACCACTTGTCTCACATTTTGTGTTTGAGTACAAAGCCGTCAAGGACCACAATCTTGTCACTGAAGCTATCAACACCATCGCTGCCATTTCAACACAGTTACCATGGTCCAAATATTCTTCGTTATTACGTCATTATCTCAGGTTGTTAACACGTGATAAAGAAATGCAGAAAGTTATATCAAGGTAGGGAACGGGTTGGAAATGGTTCTTTTATGAAAACCTTTCAGTGAATGAAATTATTTTTGTTTTTAGAGTTGTTGTTTCAATACTGGATTCATTTCATTTTGATTTGAGGTCGTTAAAAGAAGAAGACATTAATGGTTCGTTTATTTTGTTCTTTCATTTTGAAAACGTACGAAACTTTTACTTTCTAACTTAATTTTGATTGTGTTTAATTATGTTGTGTGCAGGCGTTGACATTGTGAAATGCCAACAATCTGAAAGTAAAGAAAAGATGGAGGAGATGGATGGCCAACAATCTGAAAGTAAAGAAAAGATGGAGGAGATGGATGACCAACAATCTGAAAGTAAAGAAAAGATAGAGGAGATGGATGACCAACAATCTGGAAATAATGAAGAACAAGACGAAACTGAAGATATTGAAGAGGAATCTGGGGATCCACATGAGGATTCCTCTTTTGAGTTAAAGCTAAAAATCCATGCTGTAATTACTTCGAAAATCTTACCACAACTTCACAAATGTTTAATGAAAAAGGTTTGTTCCTGTTTTGGAGGTGTTTTTTCCAAGTCAGTTCATTAATACAATGAAATTCGTGATAAATACAAGCAATGTCTGTATTCTGTATGTAATAAGATTGAACCTTACTATTTTATAGCTTGATTCAAATGACTTTCATCGTTTAAGTGGACGTAAAGAAGATGATGAAAACGAGATGTTACGTGTACCCATGGTGTTAGCTATGGTTAAATTACTGCAAGCATTGCCTCAAAAAACCTTAGAAAGTAATCTTCCAGGGTAAGTTTATCAAATATCGTAAATGCTGGCTCTAGCATCGCGGCGCTTATTTAATTGAGCGTGTTGTAATTTATAATTTCATACATTCAAAACAGCGGGAATGAGTTTTTATTATATCAGTATATTGTGTTAAAACGATTGCGTATTGGACTAAAAGCGCTCTGCTATATTCGTCGTCATTTCTACTTATCTGATAAATTATTCCGCTCTGCATGTTATAAATATTTTATTAAGATTACTTCAAAGTCAACAGATGTGTCTTTGATTTTGAAATGTTTTTAAATCGTTGTTTTATGAATTACAAACGGTTGTAAAGAAGATATGATTTTCTCTTATTTATTAATCTTTATTTTGACTTGGTTGTTTATTATCGATCAAAGAAACGCTTATGGAAAATTGTGTACGTCACATAACAAATGTCAGACGAGCCACAATCGTTTCTGTTGTCGCAATGCAGCTGTTGCTTATCCGAGAATTTGCAGATCAAATTGTATAGGAGAGTATTGTGCTAGTGACTACGATTGTGGTGGCTTGAAAGAATGTTGTAACACTTCAAGTAATCGCTGTACAACCAATTCTTGTCCTCCTATTTGTACTATTAATAATGACTGCAAAACTGGTTCACTATGTTGTCAAAAGGGAAGCAGGAAAATATGTATTAGATCATGCAGCAAGGAATATTGTCAGCCCGACATTTACTGTGGCCAAAAAATGGATTGCTGTAACCAATCAAACGATTGTACAAATAATGGTTGTCGCGATGAGTGTAAATCAAACAACGATTGCTCAAATTCAATGGTTTGCTGTGTTAAACCACGTCGTTTGGATAAAAACATTTGCAAATCCTCTTGTTTGGGAGAGGTTTGTCTGACAGACAATGATTGTGGAGATAAGCAACTTTGTTGTAACTTGAACTTATGTTCAGATAGTTGTTCATCCAATTGGCGTGTTCTTATTATTGTGTTAACTGTTTGTTTTTCGTTTCTCCTCATTGGAGTTCTGTTTTATTTTCTGTATAAACGTCACAGACGACGTATACAAGAAACTTCGGTCAAATATTCTGTATCCATTCAGTCCGTTTTAACGACAAAAACCAATACGGCTGTTGAATCTAAATCTCAGATTCTCGATTCCGGGAGGTCTACTCTCTTGTCACATGGGAAGCCTGAAATTGTCATTTTGTCCCGTGTTGAAGATGAGGTCCCTCCTGAAATTCCTCCAAGGAAGCGTGCAGCTAAAGAAAGACGAAAGCCACCGTCACCCCCTGTAAAAAGGAGCACTCCAAAATCTAGGAATAGCGAAGAGGAAGAAAGTTTTATTTCACACAAATCTACATACGGTGAACACTCTTCATTACCTCGATCATCATCTTCTTCATCACTTCATGCTACAACGCCTCCAACATCTCTGTTAGCAACTGCATTACCTCGCCATCGTCCTGTTCCTTTACCACGTACAATAAAATAATTATTGTTTTTATTGAAATTGTTGGATATGATCGAACAGAAACAAGGACATTTAAAAGACAGACATTTTATTTTATATTTGATGAGTTTATATCACTTTATATTGTTATATTATTGACTTAACAATGTAGCTATAATAACACCGCGCCAGCTTGTGATATTTTACAGAAAAATGAATGTTGAAATGACATAAACTATTAATTTTAAATGCGTGACGAGCCTTAATTTTTCTTTCTGTTTTTTGTAAGTGTTAATTTTTGATATTTCCTTGTGGTCTATGAAAAACTGTATCAAAGTATCTGTTAGTTGAACCTTAAGTGGAGATTGATCGGAATGATTTTGACTACATTTATTGCTATAACAGTTGTGACCTGATGCTCCACAGTGTATTGCGTTGTTCCCATGTGCCTTACTTTACCATTTTTATTATTTATTTTTAGTTTACTTATGCGAGTGTGTCAAGCTTTAAAAAGTCGCGCGTTTGACGTACGTGAAACAGCAAGAGAGACACTTTCCAAGATTACTAACTCTCTTGGTCTTTATTATTTCCCTTTCATATTGAATGAACTTCGAAGTTCCCTGACAAGAGGTTATCAGGTGAATTAAATGTTGTTGTTTTTTTATGTAAACTAGTGGTACTTGTTTTATTCGTCTAAATGTTGTGATTTCTTCTGTCTTCTTTAGATTCACGTTCTTTCAGCATCGTTATTTTATATTTTAAATAAGTTTCAAGAAAATATTTCAGATGGAGGTCTAGATGTAACTATAAATAATATTGTTGAGGTAAAGCAAAAGTTGGTTTATTCATTTTGTTCGTCTTTTCAGTATACTCTTTGTAAAATCTCATTCACATCGACATTTCATTTTTAGATTCTTGTTGAAGATCTTTTTGGAGAACCAGCGAAAGAACGTGAGATTGACAAAATTGCCACAAAGCTACCTGAAGCACGAACGACGAAGAGTTTTGACAGTTTTGAAATCGTTATGGGAAAGATCTCTCCTGCCCAATTAATGACAGTTATAACTCCTTTAAAACATGTAATTGATTATTTGTTCTTGTGCAAGTCATGCTCTGTTTTAAACTTATTGTTGTGTTTAGGTTTTAGATGAAGCGTCCAATCACAAGATATCCCTTCGAGTTGAAGAAGTATTGCGCAAATTGAGCGTTGGTTTACAGAGAAATCTTCTGTTTGTACCTGAAAAGATGTTGATTTTTGTTCATAATTTAGTCACTGAGAGGTTACCTCTAATGAAACCTGACGTAAAGTAAGCTATAATCTGGTTTACTTGTTAAACCTGTTGTGTTGTCGTCTATCTAGTCAATTTCTTCAATAAGACAAAATGTTCCTGCATTATTTACTACCTAGGGGACTACCCGTGGTTCACGATGAGCAAGATGAACGATTGAAACCTTCGAACACCTATCTTATCCCATTGCAACCCTTGCGTGGAGGCAAGGTAGCAGAAGTGAACCATAGAGCTAATACTTATATCTTGATTAATTTTGGATTACAGGTAAACTATAATTATTATTATATTGAAACATTTAGCTGATGTTGTCAAAATGGCGTTTGCTTTTCCTTCTTCACAGCTGTTGCACACTGCTTTAAAAAGACAAAAATTAATGGCGACCGAGGAGAAACATTGTAACATGCTTGATCCGTTTGTTTCCATACTTACAAATGCTCTCAAATCAAACCATGTCAAAGTACAGTAAATCTCTACCTTCATCACATGTTGTCTTCTCAATGCAGCCAGTTGTAGCAGTGTTGTTTTTTTTCCTTTTAGATAACGACCATTTCTTTACGTTGTATTTGTTGGATTGTTAAATATCCTTTACCTTCGTTGCGACAGCATGTCGTACATATTGCTGCTCGTTTATTTAAACTTCTCAAGAATCACGCAAAAACGGGGGGAGCTTCGGGTGATAATGAAGAAATGGTGTTGTCATCATTCAAGGTACCTGATGATCCCATGTTGTTCTTTTAAATGACATCTTTTCAAAACATAAATCTTCTAATATCTGTTATTCTTCAGACTATTACCGTTCTCATTCGCGATTATGTTGAACTTAATGTTACAGAACAACAACTGAGGGTTAGTTGTAAATGTTGTGGATCATAATGGATAGACGAAGAGATTTTTAGTATGTCATTGTATAACGGTCATTTTACTGTTTAGATTTTGCTAACATTCGTTGAAGAAGATTTGTATGACCACAACAGACGGAGCTGCGCATTTCCTTTGTTGAAGGTTAAAATAACACTTATTCACATGTATGAATGTGTAGCTTTCAGTGCAAAGTTACTTTGCAGTGTTGTTATGCGAAGAGCGATTTGTATAAGAACTATACATCAGAATAAATGAAATTTTTCATGGTCGGGTGTCAGCGATCTAGTTATTCTCAAAACCGTGCAAAGAATGTTCAGTTGATTGGTATAAAGTCCATTAGTTGGTCGAGTGGACTGCGAAGATTTTCAGTCATATTATTGGCATCTTCTCTATCTTCTTCGCCTTGTTTCCACCTAATTCATTTTCGAACTTGTTGCCTCAATGACCGTTACAGGACTGGTGTGCTTCCACCATTTGTAGAAGCAAATTAGTCAATACACTCCGTGGAGAAAATGAAAATTGCTTACATGTAAACTAATTGCTTACGTTTGAGACATCAAGTTGTTATTTTGATTATAACTTTTGATTGCTTTTATTTGTTTATTATAAAATCACTTGTTGTTCACCTGATGACACATGAAACAAAGTTAAATTCGAGTTGATGGAGAAATGAAATAATCAATGAATGGTCGATTTTAATTAAAAGAGTTAAGAAAGAGCGTGTTTTTGAAACTTAGTGTTACTGAAAAACATTTGCTTCTTTTAGGCAATATTGTCCCGGAAATTGCAAGTTTCTGAAATCAATGATGTAATGCTTAAAGTGTCTGAGCTCTCAATTGTAAATGATTCACAGTCAGCGAGACTTCAGTGTCGACAGGTTTGTCTAATACTGGTATGAACATCGTCTTTCAATCTATATTTAAAGTTCTTTAACTTTTTCCATCGATTTTATAGGTTTTATTACAATACTTACTGGACTATCCTGTTGGTAAAAAAATGAAACGTTACATGGAGTTTTTCATTCAACAACTGCAGTAAGAATATCACGTTCCTTTCGTTTCTATTGTGTTTTTTTTTCGCGTAATGATGTATCATTTTTTATGAAGATATGAACACGCAAGCGGTCGAGAGTCAGCTTTAGAAATGTTGATATCAATTGTTAATTCCTTTCCTGAGGTATTTTATGTCCTTAAGCATTTTTTCATCGACGAATTGGTGACGTGTACAATGACGAAGCTAACTCGTTAATGGCGAGTGGGTGGGGGCGGCAGTATTCATACCGATATGCATGTTTCGTCCGTAGAAATCGATTTGTTTCAAAGGATCTTAACAGAACATTCATGTATAAATATTTACCCTTCTCCCAATCATCGTAACGATTATATTGCAACGTGTTTTGATTATAGAAAGTGGTGTTCTTGTATTCTGGCCTATTTTTTCTTCCGCTGTGCACAAGGCTTGTAAATGACGAGTCAGCTAACTGTCGGAAGCTTACGGCAGTTGCTGTCAAGACTTTGATCGGAAAAGTAAGGCATGTTTGATGTTGGTATCAAAAACGATTCTTGGCGATAATGTTCGTATTTTATTATGTATAGCTTGATCTTGAACGTAGAGATAATTTGTTTCGCATTGTAATGACTTGGATGGATGATGAAAAGGTGATGCTAGATCAAGAGATTGAAAGAACATAGTCGCATTTATAGAGCGTTACGTGATCTTATTGTTCATCGCTTACTTTAGATGAGCCTTCAAAGATTGGCGAGTCATGTCTGCGGTCTTTTCGTGAACGTCGAAGGCAAATCATTTGAACGTCGTGTTCCTGAAGTATTACCGAAATTATTCACGATTCTAAAGCCAGAGAATTATAATTTGAAGTCTAAACAGGCCGAAAAAAATAGTGATAATGTTTTGATTAATGCAGTGATGTGTCTCATGAAAATAACACAAGAATGCTCAATCTTGTCGGGAAAAGAATCACTAAAAATATCCAACAGCGCATGGGGTAAGGTTTAGTTGATGGGATCAATTTTTTCCGCGAAAATTCTATTTTTTTTTTGCTTTTAGATTCTATATTATGCCATTTGACATACCCACACACTTGGGTCCGTTTGATATCATCACGTCTTTTTGGCCTTCTCTTCTCTCAGCATTCACCTGAAGACATAGCTACAATATCTAAGGATTCTAGCCCACATGAATATTTGAGTCTAGATATAAAGAAAAAAATCGCCTCGCTATGCGAAGCGTTTCTGGAGCAACTAAAATCGCAACATGTTGATGAAGATTTAGGTGACCAAGTAAGAGATAAATTATTGCATGCTATCACAAAAAATATGTTGAAAAATATAACCAGTTTTTTTATCTTTTAAAAGATTGTCAAGAATCTGTTCTATTTGAGTAAGGTTATAATATTAATGAACAAAGATGACGTGAATTATGGACTAAATGATGACACAGAGGATTCAGAGGAAGTTAATAATGTCACTTTATTGTGGTTATTAAGAAAATTGTCGAATATAGCAAAATACGAGTCTTCTCAAACACCGAAACTCATTCAAAAGGTTGGATCGTCTACCTTGTAAATTGATAAGTTACTCGTTTTTTCTTGGTTTTATTTTTTTGTTTATTTTTGAAGTCATAAATGATTATGTTTTCACAGCGTTTGAGTGTATTTCGCTGGATTGCTGCGATTGCTTCTCATCTTGGCAGTGAAAATATTTCTTCCTATTTACCTGAAATGTTAAAACCAGTTCATAGAGAGTTGGATCATGGCTCAAATTCCGTTGGTAAGTTTTCTTCTGTAAATTCCTTGGCCAGTTGTACAAATATTAGACGGTTCTCATTTAAAACGTTTGTTTTTCCTGTTCGTTTGCTACAGACGAAAAATTGCGAGGTTTGGCGCTAGAAGTCGTTGAACTGCTTAAAAACATTGTTGGTCATGAAGTATTTTCAAAAGCTTATGCTACTGCCAAACAATGTGCGTCTGATATGAAAACAAAACGTAAAATGCAGACTGCGTTTGAGGTTTGTTGCTAAAAACACTAGTTTTCATTTGTGAGTCAAAATCTTTGTCAGGAAACGTCATGTTGTAATGTTTTTTACAAGATGGTAGCTAATCCCGAAGCAAGTGTAGCAAAGAAAATGAAACGAAATTTGGCGAAGAGAGAAAACAGAAAAAGAAAATTTGAGTCAAAAAAAGCGTTTAAAAAATCAAAGAAATTGAAGATATGAAAAACGCAGTATTCATATTTGTTAAAGTTATGAAGGTGAAGAAGTGATCTACGGCATGTATTTGAAACAAGATAATTTGAACCAAACGAAGTGAAGCCTGCTACATCTTTTGATTTTTATATAAAGACATCTATTTGATGAACAGAAGAATCAAACATAAAGCTGGCTCATTGTGTGAGGTTTTGAAAGAATAAAAATTGAATGTTCCTTTATTATAAATCATGATTTCTCCGGGAAATAGATAACAAATCCATGTTGGTTTTGTTCTGTCCATCCTGGTTTTATACGTGGGCTCGTTTACCATTACACATACAATAATGGTAATTTTTTACCTGTGATGAATGTTTAGTTACATATACATACAGTTAGTACCTAAAATAATCGAAAGTTTCTACCTGTGAATGGAACATGAACTAATCCTTCTACAATCTCACGGAGAACCCGCCACAGTCTCTGTTGGTCCTTGTACTATCCCTCGTCAATAACATTCTTAGAGTACTCTTCTCAAAATAATCTTGAGTTTGGAAAAGGACAGATCTCCAGAACAGCTCGAGATCTTGAGACTAAGTACATGCACAATTCCAATGAATTAACGTTGTGACATCGCAGTCATCTTTAGTTGTGTCATCTTTGCCATTAGATTCATCAAAGATGCGACAAAAAATATTAGAACTATTAGAAAATTGTTAGAATATAATGCACGATGCCCCTAAAGCGCGGGGCCCGTGGGCGTACGCCCCTTCTGCCATATGATTAATCCGGCCCCACCATAAGTGTGTTATTACAGTCTGTGGTCAGCATGCATCAGAGAAAATTCATTCGTTAATGGTGTTTTTACCCCAAGATATCTAGGGAATGAATGAAAGTCGTATAATAATTTAGTTCACGCACTGATTCGTACCAATCAATGGTCGCATTTCGTACCAAGAATAGCAGGTGGTTGGAAGTGATACAAGGTGATAGATAGGGATGGAACGAAACTGTCCATAACAACATGGCGAAAATTACCGAGATCATCGAAGATGAAAATAATAAATCTATTAAACGGAAAAAAAAGAACTCTAAAATTAATAGGAATCGTAGCAAGGCAGAAGAGATCTCTGGTGTGTCGATTTTTCAAAGAATACTAGCGGTTATAGTGATTATAACAGCATATTTGTACTGTAGAAATTATTTTATGAAGCATTTATTAGATGACCACGGCTTTCTAACTTTTGCCAACGTTTCCGAATACATTTCCGAAAGATCCCAGTTTGTGACTTGTTCTAAAGACTATGGCAACAAATTCAAAGGTTGTGTGCCAAAGAAATGTGGGCGTTTTGTTATGGATTCTGTGATAAGTAAACAAGAAGCCATGAATTTGAAAAAATTGGCAGAAAAGGGAATGAGTTATGGTGGTGGAAGTGGGGGAGCCACAATACTTGACTTACACACGGGAGCATTATCTTTACAAGATAAATTTGTCAATATCTACGCAATCACTGGCAAGAATAACAAAACAGTTTTTACTACAGGAGATTTTGAGTTGTACAAGTCGCTAAAGGACAAAATACACAAAACCGTGGCAAAAAAATTTGGTATCAATCCATCATTATTGTATCTAACAAAGCCAACATTTTTCTCGCATGACATCAAAAGCAGCAATAACACTACATGATGAGTATTGGCATCCACATATTGATAAAGTCACTTATCGTTCCTTTTATTATACATCACTCTTGTATCTTAGTGACATGGAGAAAGATTTCAATGGGGGCCGTTTTGTTTTCATGGATAAAGAGAACAATGTCACAGTTGAACCAAGGTTTGGTCGACTGTCGTTCTTTACCTCAGGTTCAGAAAATCAACATTATGTGCAGAAAGTTGTTGGCGGTACAAGATTTGCTATAACAATCTCATTTACTTGTAACAAAGACTTTGCAATTAATGATCCAAATGGAAAAGTGTGAAAATTACACGATAATGGTGTGCTTTCTGACTTAAGGCAATGAACACAGTATTTTTTCTAAAATCTTTTCCTTAGGTAAATGTTATTCAGTAATAAATGTTGCATTATTTATCATCAGTTCGTAGTTTCTTCTTGCTTTGTAATTCTTAACATGACGCCGACGTCTTTTTCTTTTGGTATCAAGCCTTGTGTCCAGAATATTGTCAACTGACTCTATTGGCAAGGGAAACAGATAGCAATTTCTTTCGGCATAGCTGAATAAACAATCATAAAATTTGCAATTAGTTAAAGTTTTTCAAAAATAATGGATTCATGAAAAGAGCCTGTTTAAACCTTTTCATTTCTTTATAAAGCATTAAGCTTGCCCAAGCATCAGTGCATGCATAATGTACTTGATTCATAGACAACTCGCGTCGATCCCAATTTGAGGTTTGCAATCCTTTTGATATCCTCCAACCCAAGAATATTGCACACAAAGCATGCAAAGTCAAAGGTTTACAATTCATCTCTATTGCCCAAGGCAATGTATCAAAGATATGTTGTGATGTGATGTTGAATTCATTCTTTAATTGGACAACATCTTCACTTATTGCATGGCCAACCTAGACATGGGATGAATAATATTGATAATTGAATGAACTCAACTATCCCTTGTGTACACCATTGTACCTTAAGAATGTCTGATTTCAGGAAATACTCCAATGATGATGGTAAACCAGGAAAGTTTCTCAACTGCCACAACATTGCATCAGTTTCTGATGCTATTTGAACAACTTTGATCTTTTTTGTATGTTTATTTAAGGGAAATAATTGAATGGATTCTACCATTTCAACATCAAGTCCTAAAACTGACTTTTTCTTTAGTCTATTAATGGCATTCTTTATTCCCAAATCATGCTCATGTGAAGGTCCTTTTACAATATGTATGCTGCCATCGAAACGATTAATTGGATAGTTTTGTAACTCAGCTTCTTCCAGCAGTAATTTACGGCATGTGTCGAAAGGTTCACTCTTGACTTGTTCATTAGCATTTTGGTCAAACCGTTTTTGTTCATCGCCAGTAGATCTCGTTGTACTTTTTCTGATGTAGTAAAGTTTGTTTGACACGTGATTTGCTTAGCTTTAGCGCTTTTGTAATCTAAACATTTTGATGCATTATGAGAGAGGAAAGTCTTCACTCCTCTAATAGTCGCCATATTGAATTACGAAATAATATTGTCAAAGTAAAACTTTGGTGCTATTGCCTTTGGGGAAGCTAAGGCCAGTTACCAGTTCTCCTTTTTCCGACATTGGAAACGGAAGTTGTTTCTTTTTTCGCCTTTTTTCGAAGGACCTTAAAAAAACATAAGATCTGTTTCAAGGTTTTTGTAATTTTCCACACTTGAGCCACAAATGTGCGTTGCACGCGCGATGATTTATTGTGACTGGCCATTGGTTATATTTATTTGACAATTGGTATGCTCAGTATTTGACATTTGTTTTAAATAAACCCAAAAGATTTTCTAAGAAATACAGCCATACTTTTTGAATGTTGCTTTCATTTTTCATTGCGCAAATGTCTTATTGTGCCCGCGAGGAAATTTCGAGACACTCCTGTGTCACTCAGTGACGAAGATAAGAAATATGCGTCACGTGTTCTCCGAGCAATCTTCGTGTTGTTCGTGCACGAGTGTCATGGCCAAAATAGGTCTTCATATCTTATGTTGTGTTAAATTGTAACACACGGGGATTCGTCTACGTTCTTCGTCCAGTGTATTCACTGAGGGTGTTTCTTTGTCGATTTCTCATACACTTCGTCGGTATATATCGTGAAAAAACCACAGTTTTTGTTTTATTTTGTAATAAAGCGTGCCCTGTCCAACTTACGTCGGGTAAGTATGTTTAATTATTTGTCTACATCTATAATTCTCTAATGTCTCAAGTCTGTTTAATGCCAGTCGTAGTTATGTTGGTGTAATGAGAACCTGTAAATTTAGTGCATTAATTTTTTGAAGTTTCTTGTGACACGTTAATGTTTGGTGGGAATGTTGTAACAAAATATTTGGTTTGGAATTTAAATCGGACTTAAATAAAGGAATAGACATAGTGAAGCGTATCTGTAAAAGACGACTAGGAACTAGTGTACGATAGACGTATTTTCAACTGATTGTTTTTAACGTGTATGAGGTTCTGTTCGCATGATTATGATATTTTAAATGTTTGTACAAGGCTACATGCGGGACAGTCCAAGCCTGAACAACACACTATGACAATAATGACAATATACAAATCGACAGCTGGACAGACCTTCGAGCTGTTCTCATCATTAACCATCGAGTATTATTGAAATGCACATGGAAAAGTTAAACTTATATAATTGTATAAAAGATTGGCAGAGTTATTTGGTCTGAGTTATTTTTTTGTACTTTGCCTTTGACGATATTTGCACATAAAAACCTTTGTTTACTCGAAGTATAGCAATATAAGAGTTCGAATGTAAATGAGGAAAGTCTCGATACAACGAGTAATGTGTGGTTGAAATAATTAAAATGTCTGTACGATATTCTTCAATTTATATTTGCTACAAGCAAATTAAAAAAATGCCATAATTACGTCCATACAAAATGTCAAATTGACGTTAATGTATTGTTTCATGACGTTTTTCTCGTCTATGATTTTCCCTTTGTTCTTAACAGCCGGTCGTCATTTTTATGCTAAGGCAATTCTTTATCAGCGATAATGAAAGAATCTGCGAATACATCTTTTACATAATCCGAACTATTCAACATGCACGAAGAATGTTCAAATATTAAGTAGTAATATGTGATACGGTCTGGCTACATGCCATACTTTATGCAAAGTATAAGGATATTCAAATGGTATGTTTCTTTGTATAATATCAAGCAATCTGTTGACAATATCCAGAGTAGAATATCTTCATGATAACGAACTAACATGATGAAAAGTTCATATCAATAAATCTTATTGGTCAACGCGAAGACATTTTAAGTTACATAAAAATATTTTTATATGACGAAAGTATTTACGTTATGTTACGGGTTTGGGCATTCTAGAGTGGTCTTCAATAACAATATTGTGTTGTTATTAATGATGTAAGACTGTTTTGTTCAGCCTGCTGCCCAATTTGTTTTAAGCGTATTTTATAATGACATAACGCAGTTGTCTTTGGAAGAGTTTGTATATTATGATAAACGGCGAATATGACAATAATACCTGTGTTCTATTGATTTGAGGTTATTCACGCCTTACTTGGTCTTATGGAAATGCTATGACTTCAGATTCTACAATTTTAGTCATTGAATACGCGGATGTTACGTCCATCAAACATGTGCCATTTTAAATGTATTGAAATTACTTCCTTGCAATGTTTTGTACAAGCACAGTATTATCTCAATCCATAACGTGTTGATTGATATTGTGGTGTATGACAAAACAAGTTATAATGGTTGAAGAATATTTTTTTATAACCATCATTATGTCTATGGTTACGACAAACATGTTTAGGACATAAATGACGTATTTGCACAGAATAAAATTTACATATTTTGCGCTACAGTACCCTATGTATGGGGATATAGCACATTTGAACGTGGTGGTTCTTTTCAGCTTGGTACTTAGATCGGAAATGAAAGTACAAAGAGCTTTTCACCGCGTTGCTATTTTGTCTTTCAAGTACAATCAATTATAAAGACGCCTGCCTGTTCACTTGTGAATTTCGGCATCGCTGAACATATGTGTGCATATTTCCCTACTTTTGTTGAATGTTTTTATTTCTTACAGTTCTTTTAGGACTCGAACTCCCCGGAGTATGAAAAACACGATACGTTTCGGGCGATACATCAAAAAATCTTCATTGCACTCGCGCATTTTGAAGTAAACAAATTTTTACTTTTCGACCTTATGAAATCATGATGAACAACATCAATAATGTCAATGTTCCTATAACTTTGAAAGTAAACGTTTCTGATAAAGGAATTTTGGAGGCAAGTATTTCTCGTTGGTGGAAATAAATCATAAATTTGCTAATGAAGTTTCGTTTGTGTTTTAGGAACAATTTACTTTTAATTCGAATGAAAATGTTTGGTCAGCGAAAGAGCGAGTTATTCACGAACTGGGGAAAGTATGGATATAGAATTTTTCTTAGGGAGGGGGGGCTTGGGACTAAGTTTTTTTCGTTTTCACATCACGGACATGGAACACACATAACTAATTGAAAGTTGCAAAGCCCTTGCTTTTTAGCGTCAGTTTTACTTTGAAAATCTACTTACTATGACGTATATTTTGTAGGACTTAAAAAACATCCAAAACTATGGGTTTTATGTGCCTCCTGACAAAGGCAAAGCAGGAAAATTTATGGATGAAGGAAGGCCTTTGTCGGAATACGTTAGTCCTGAAAAAGACGAAATACTTGAGGTATTATTTGCGCACAATTCCTCTTTATTGCACACAATTGATGAGGAATTTTTCTTTAACGAATGTCATCTTTTTTTTTGATAAGTTTATGCTTAAGAGAAGAGTCTATCGATCCATGGCTTACAATGAAAACAAGTTAACAAAAGTTAATAACAAGGTAGCTACAATATCTTGATTTGACTTCTCCCCTTTTTGCATTCTACTCGCGATTCGGTTGCTATTGCCTTCTATTTTTCAGCATAATATGAAGAAATTGATGGAGTGTGTTGATCATAATAACGCTGCCCAGGTAAATCAACTATTGGAAAAAGGACTGGATCCGAACTTCCAAGACATAAAAAGTGGAGGTAAGGATGGTTGTTTGTTATAAATTTGTCTAGTCTGACGAGTATTTGTAATATTTATATTTAATTCTATTCATTTCAGAGACACCTCTCACAATGGCTGCAATGAAAAACAACGCTAATAGTCTAATCATGTATCTTATCAACGGAGGAGCTTATTTTGATTTCAAGAATCGCGATGGTTTAACTCCTGTTCACAAAGCAGCCATTGCGGGAAACTCACATAACATGAAGGTTTGCTTCATTTTGCCTCGTTTTTTAACCTTTTACGTCACATCTCTTAAAAATATTTATTTACGACAGATTTTTCTTGATCTGGGCGCTTCACCAAACTACAGAGATTTAAAGGTAAGATTGTGTAAGCATAACCAAGTATTTGAGCGTTCATCATTGGCTTATTTTTTGTACTAGGGTCTTACTCCATTATATCATGCATGTCTTTCTGGTAAAAATCCAAATGTTGTTGAGCTTTTGCTTGCCGACCAGGCTGATATTGGCGTCGTTGACTCTCAAGGATGGCGAGAAATTCATCAGGTATTTTGCATTGGCTATCAAAACGTATTTCTGATTCACAAATTGATTTTTAACACATCACTGTCTCAGGCTTGTCGCTATGGTTACGTCGAACATGTCGAGCAGCTTATCTTTTATGGTGCTGATCTCAATATCCAGAATGGATCTGGCAATACACCGCTCCATATATGCGCATTATATAATCAGGTGAATATGACAAACTATTACTAGTGTTCTTTTCGTTTAATGTAAGCGTATGTAATGTAACGTATTATAATTTATTATCTTAGGAGAGCTGTGCTCGTCTTCTTCTTTATCGCGGTGCAAGACGGGATATCGTAAATTTTGCAAAGCAAACTGCTGAAATGGTGAATAATTGTATTTATGTAGATCTCTTTCCACATAAGGATTTTTTAACTTTTCTAGATTAAATTTTAAATAGGTTGCTGTTGTTGCTACCAACGGAAGTCTTTATTCGTTTATAAAAAACTACAAAGAAAGTGATGTGGGTATGTCATTTGTTGTCTTTGTTTTGTGCAACAATTAAGCAAATATTAATGCCGTTTAAAATTTCTTATTTGAATAGTTCCTTTTATTGACAAGCCAACGTACAGTACCCGACGTCGAAATCAATCGAAAAGTCGACCAACGGCCAATTCCGTCTTCCTCCGAGGTTCCACTGACGCTTTTATATTTTGTACTGAGTCCTTGAGTAATACATCATCTACACCATCTATTCACTCTGAGAACTCCGAGCCAATGTCTCTTGATCTTTCACCGCGGGAAATTGTACCATCGGTAAACGTATTTTCTGTCAACGTAAAGTTTTGATAATTTGTATAATTTCTGCGTGATAAAGCAGATTTTTTGTCTTCAGGTCGACATAACTGAAGTAAAGGAAAGTGTAGAAGGGAAGCCTCGCCGTCAACGTACGTTAAGCGGGTCTGGCTCGGACTCTTCCTATGCATCTGATTCAGGAGATGAGAATAGTTCAAAGACCAATACTCCAATGGTAACACCATCCAATGACGAACTAACAATTCGCTGGAGGACCTATTCCATATCGTCTTTGAATAAAGAGGAACGGGGAAATATACCTCGGGTGAAGGAAGTAAAGGGAGCTGCAAATATGGAACCTCGTTCTAGTAAAACGAACTCTCGTAAGATGTTTATTGCTGTTACAAACTTTACTCCAACTCAAGCTGGAGAATTGTCTCTCTCAGAGGGCGATCTCGTTGAAAGTAAGTGTTTTATTAATGAAGGGGGAGAGGTGTGTAAGTAAATGGAACTTAAAGTGTGTAAGTGTTTAACTGATGTAAGGTGAGGGGAGGGTGAGTAAGGTGACTGAAAGTAATTGTTTTATTCATCTAAGGGGGAGGTAGGGGTGAGTAGTTATTAATTTTATGTTGATGTTTGTGTTAAATTTTTTTTCTCAACAGTCATTACAATGGGAGAAAAAGGCTACTGGCAAGGTTCTGTGGCTGGTAAAACTGGATGGTTTCCTGCCAATTGTGTTGAAGATCTCAAAAAAAGTATGATGATTTCTTGATTCTTTATTATAATTTATCATAATGTGTTAATGTACATATGAAGGTCAATTTCATCTTTTCCTTTAGGAAAGCAAATCAAATCAAAAACCTCGCTTCACAAACCTGCTTCAATTGCAAGTTCTCTAAATAAAAGGTATATTTTACATCTCAAAGACATTATTTTTATTTTCAACTGAATGCTTAGGCATAATTTGATTTTTTTTCATCAGTAACACAAGTTTGGATCAACCGTACAGTGTACCGTTACAAGAAGTTGCTAAACCACGGCAAGTTATCTTGCATAAATCGAGCGCTGGTTATGGATTTCAAATGCGTGGAGCCAACAGTAAGACTGCGTTGTATCAGCGGCTATTTAGCTATTGATGGTAACATTATAAATATACTGTCTCATTGTAGTTCCTGCTGTCAATAAACTGGAATTCAAACCGTCGGAAAAAATTCCTGCTCTTCAATACGTAGGCGATGTGGAGCCCGGTAAAGAAGCAGATAAACGTGGTATAAAGAAAGGAGATTATATATTAGAGGTATTTATGAAAGAGCGTTAGGAATTAAAGCAGTTTCATTAGTCGAGAGATATGGTCTATGAGAGGAAAGACGCACGGATTGAAGTCACGAAAAATTTATTGTTTTTTAATTACAAACGAGTGTCGAAACTGTTTAAATATTTACTTGAACTCATCCCTGATTGGGCAAAAGAAGACCTTAAAAAAACATAGTTAAGATAGTTAGGTTGACGGTTTTCTAACGTGGAAGGTAACAAAAACAAACTGTTTGCATGTTTAATTAGGGAATTTTTTTGATTTTATTATGGAAAACAAATAAATCCGTTGCTCGTGGCAACTGTAACGTATATCCATAACTGTGCAGACAATAGTTAAACGAAATCTACTTTTTAAGTTCCTCTTACGGATAGTTCCTCTCTCAGGTGTATCTAACTTGCTCAACTATCTTTTCAGGTCAACGGAAATGACGTCAGAACGGCCAGTCATCGTCATGTTGTTAGTCTGATTAGAAAAGCTGGAGCAAGTTTGATATTGAAGTTGATTACCCTTGACAATGACGAGAATAAAATATCCAATAATCTTACGAAAGAACAACATACCAATGATTCATCATCACAAGAGTCAACATCACCATCATATAATGCTATGTCTATACCACCACCACCACCGTCGTCGTCGTCATCAGTTCCAATCAACAATAGTCATCAACTCGATCACAATAATGTGCTTACCAACGGTTCTCATACTGACGGATCTAGTTTAAAAATCCCGCCTCCCATTCCATCGCGGGCACCTACAACCTCTCTGTCTGTTAGACCAAAACCGTCAAGGACATCAGCCTCAGGTACGTTTATGAACTTGTTGTCAAGTTATAAATTGCTAAAATCTTGTACTGTGTATTGGGTATTAGCATTTTTATGAAAAAATTTATCATTTCAGATATAAATTTTGATGAAGCACCTGCTGTTCAAGAAGATCGTGTTATTTCAGTACCCAGGGAACGTGTTACTGCCACAGAACAGCAATGGCATTCACCGCTGACCGGCTATAGCTCGTTGCCACGAAGACCAAAAAGTTCGTACGGTGCCATTATAGGTAGCCCTCACACAAGTCCAACGGAATCGAAAACGTCTCGGAATTTTCAGTATGACAACAATATGCATGGTACTACTGCTTCAACTATCCAACCTTTGAAAGTTCATGGTAAAGAAAACACGATACTTCATACCACTACTTTAGATGACTCTGCTGTCCTTCGTCGTAGACCTGGCTCTGCTCGCTCAGCAAGGGATCGTCCAAAATCATGGATGCCAAAAGTTTTACCGACTGAGCCACCACTTATATCCCCTCCTATCCCCCATCAGCAATACTCGCGTGGACATCATGACGATGAAAAGTCCTTACCGACAGGTGAGTCAAAAAAAGACAAAAAACGACGATTTTCATTTCGTAAAAAGAAAGACAAAGACTATTTGGTTACCACCGAGTCGAGGGAATCTGAAGAAAAAGAAAGAAATGAAAATAACATTGTTGGGAATGATGTTACGGAGAATCTTCACATTGAAGGAGAAGAGACGAGACCGAATTCATTACCAGGACTTCCTAAACGATTGTCTACGTTCAAACCTATAAATATTCCTCAAAGACCTACCGTCCATCATGAAGTTGTGTCTCCTGAATTGTCTGAAGCTTTAGAGAAACGTATGTCCAGGGTAAAATCCACAGGTGACGAAGAAATATCTCCAAGATCACCTTCAGCAACTCCAGTGTTTCCATCACCTCCAAGTGAGGCTCCTCCACAGCCACCCAAACATAAATCTTTAGAAGATTCTATTAAAGAAGAAATGATGCGTCGTAGATTAAAAAGCGTTTCATCTTCGTCTGTCCCTGAGAAACCGCGACGTACGTTTGAATATAAGAAGTCTAATGGAGATCTTGAAGAGGCGGTGAGCAATTCTGGACACGCTGAAGAGCTAGAGTCTGAACTTGCAAAAGCTGTTGCAAAACGAGCTGCCAAGTTGTCAACGGGAGATAGGGATTCTCATATTTATGAAAACGTACAAGACTTACATGCAAATCAAACGAAGGAAACTGGTTCAGATGTTGAGGAACCTCCTCCAATGACAATACAGGAAAAGTTAAAGAAATTAAACTTAACTGGTGAAGCAATTTTCCCCAAAAAGTTTAAACCTCCTGTCGCAACTACTCAGAGTAAAAGTAACAAAAAAAAACCGCCAGTACAAATACCCAATGAGAAAACATCAGCTAATGAATCGGGGAAGTTTCCGCCTACAACGTTTCCCAAACCGAAAAAGAAAAGTTTTTCTTCAACTTCAAAAGATGATGTAGAAGAGACAACCAGACCGAATCAGATTTCCGTATCGTCGGATGATTCTTCACTTTCACCATCTCTTTTATCACCAGAAATGGTCGCCACAAAGTTACTAGATGACGTCATTAAAGAAGAAGAAGAGCGTTCCAATTTGGAGAAAGATACGAGTTCTTCAGAGAAGTCTTCTACTATTGTTGGTGAGGATCTGACCACGAGTACGCACTTTAAAACAATAGGAACTGAACCTGTTGTTTCAAAAAGTCAGTCAAGCAAGAAATATATTTACAAGATAAAATTGGTCACTGAAAAACCCTCTGTTAGTATCGAGGGGACTCAGACGATTACCCATGTAAACACCAAAGACACATCGTATCCAGAAAACCCTGAAACACCCTTACCATTGCCTCAGCCACCGGCAGAATATGTTGATGAAAATCATGGAGTCACCATCAACCACCTTCCCTCATTTTCAAGTCAACCGCAAGTAAAAAATATTGATGAAAGTGTTGAGGCCTCTATCCTTCATCTTCCCACAACTTCAACTCAACTGCAGTTAGAGAATGTTAATGAAAGCAACGATCAAGACGTTCTCAATCTTCCACCACCTTTAACACAATCAATGTATGTTAATGAAAGCAACGAGGAGTCCATCCCATTACCTCAAACACAGATAAAGAGCGTTGATGAAAATACCGAGACTAGCTGCCCTAACCCGCCTTTGTCATTTACCACACCACCAATAGAGTACATAGATAACAAAAATATTTCAACTTCTTCTGATGTTCACCCTCCTTTAGTTAAGCCACCATCAGAATATGTTGATGACAGGAATGAATCGTCAACCTGCCATGACCCTCCACCTTTTGAACCACCATTGGAATATGTTGATGAAAAGCAACTACCATCAGCAGTTTTTACCCCACCCTCGTCACCTGTCACAGATTCACCTCCACAATTTTCACCTCCCCCACCTGTTTCATTTTCACCTCTGCCACCACCTGTGCTCGACGAGGATAACTTGCCTCCACCTCCACCTCCAGAATTCTTAGCAGGTCTTCCGGAAAGTTCTGAGTTAAATGAGGAAAGAACCGAGTTAAATGAGGAAAGAACCGAGTTAAATGAGGAAAGAACCGAGTTAAATGAGGAAAGTACGAAGGAGCTTCCTTCACAGGTTACAAGAACAAATGATGTTTTGTTAACATCTCATGAACATTCCACAAGTCCTGAAGGAAATGGACGTATGGAGAAACATTCTCAAGTTTCCACTGTCTCATCTCCTGATAATTTGACATCCGACGAATCTTTAAGTGTCGTTGTTAACTGTACAGACGAACACAAGGCGAATGGTCCAAAGCAGACAGTTCAAGATGAGGTTTCCAACCACCAAGATGGCTTCAGTTATGATAAAAGTGAATCATCAAAGCTTGAGCAAGAATCGAACGGTGCGCTACAATTTTTGCGCAACAACGGAACGTATATTTTGCAATGAATTTAATATTTTGCAATGAATTTAATATCGTGCTTATTTCTTTACAGTTTCATCCATGAACATTACTGATGGTAGTTCTCAAGATGTACTTGGCAAGAATGTGCAGGCACTTTCACATTCCAAGGATCAATATGAGAATATTCGGGAAACATTTGCAGCTGAAGATGGGAAGGTCCATAGGATATTACTAAATATACAGAGCAGAATTTTTGCTGCCAGAGTTTGTTTTTTGTATGAAAATAATTTAGTAGTGCAACTTTGTTTTTAGGAGCAGGCTCCTTCCACAACTGATTTGTCGGATGAAACCATTCCTAGGTGCGAAGAATTTCATGTTTTGAATGTTGATCATGTATTGAGGTACTTTAAATATTTCAAGACTTTTATTTATCTTACAGATCTTCCTTTCGTGAAGTACCTTATGAGGATTGGAGCGGTGTGCATGTATGTGAATGGCTGGTTTCCATAAACATGGCTGAGCACTGTGATTTATTCAGAGAGAATGATATAAGAGGCAGCAATCTTGTGAAACTCAATAAGGAAGATCTTCGAGAGCTTGGAGTTAAAAAGTTGGGACATCGAATGACGATAACAAACGAAGTCAAAAAACTTAGTGCAATTAATGGAGCATCTACTAATTTATGATTTAAGAAAGAATATCATGATTTGATGGCAAAGATTTAATTTGTGTTTTGATTTTTTTTTGACAAAGCAATCAAAAGGACATCGGTATCAAGATTATTGAGAAGAAAGATAAATATTATTTTATCTGTCATTTTGTTTTCAGCATTTGTTTCTGTAGAAAAGAGCTCTAAATTTCCTTATATATGAATGAAATATGAATTACCTAAATCAATTATATAGTTTACTTTTGAGTGATAATATTATTTTGTAGTTTTGTATGAAAAGATATATAATAAAGTCACAATTACAAATGCACATGGTTGACTATTGTACTCCTATTCTTGCTTATGGCTAATGACAGGGTTGTATAAACCATACTGCTATAGGTGTGTGATTGATCACAGTCTAACTTTCTCTTTAGCTCATTGTTGTCATGAAGACAACAACAAGTGTTGCCATGAACGTCGTTTGGTAGATGGGAATCAGTCTCAATAGTCATGGCGTCCAGTGTTTGTAATGTTTACTTACGTTTCGTGTTGTTGAGTTACAGCGACTTTTTGGGAAAATATTAAATCGTTATTATGGAAATATAAATGCTGTAATTATGTGGTTCACGTATGCAAAATATTTGAGTGCAACCTACAAATACTTGACGTTCCAGTTGGCAGGAGTCTCATCAAGACATTAGTGAATAGTTAAGGACATGAATATTCTCTTCTGCGTTGTAGTGAAGTTGAAGAAAGGATGATGGCGAATCGTATACTGCCGTTGGAAATGTAAGAGCTTAAGCAAATTGTATATCTCTCTTTAAGTAGATTTATTTTGAGTAATCCTTAGGGTTCGAACTGGGTTTTTGTTTTCATCAAAATCACTTCATTCATTTTGATGGAAAAGGAGCATAAGAAAGAAATTATTTATACAATTTCCCCACTATATTGAAATTTGGAAACAAACTATTATACTCTATTTGGTACACTATATTATGTCCATATGCTTTGTAACCAAATTGTTTTTTCAGTCGGGGTTTTTCCAGGGGCAATGCAGAGCTTTTGCGACCACTACCAGAAAAGCCAGAAGAAGATCTTCCTTCAAATTATGTTCAGACTGTTCGAGATGCTCTTGGCAGTTTATATTTGTCTGAAGAAGGGGAAAGTGGTTTATCAACACCTGTAAATGAAACATATCGAACTGATGCATCTGACAGCAGTTTCCCATCAGAATCAAGTCACGATTGGTCAACAACTACTGGTACATTAACTGGTCGCAGTAGTGTATATTCATGGGCAAATGACAATGTATGTTGAATGATTGAGTTTTTTGTGAAATCAACAATGTTACTTCCAATTACATTAAGATTTCTCTTGATTTAGGAGTTTGACAGAAAAGCAGCAACATCAGTACAGAGAATGTTTGAAGAAATAGAAAATATGTTATATGAAGGAAAGCAGTTTGATGGTGTGTGCTTATTGCATATTTATTTTTCTATCTGCCTACATTGGCAAATAAAAAGATTATTTATGTTTAGTGAATTTTTTTTATCAGGTGGTCATTTACTAATGGCAGAGTGTGAAGAATGGTATCATAGATTTCCACATTTACGGTAATAACACAAGACATCCTTTATAAAAACATTAAAAGCAAATCTTACTGAATTCTTTTTTTTTCATCAGGATCCGTGGCATCCAGTTGTTGCCATCACAAGAAAGTGGAACAGAGGTTGTTGCTTTAGATGATGATGATCCAAGAGTTTACAATAACAGACCCCACACAACTATAGTTGACATGGAAATGGAGGACTGTGCTGCTTACCAACAGGATTTTCAGGAGTGAGAACAGTGTTTTAGAAAATGATTCATTACACCAATACGTAGTTTGTGTTCTGTCTACAACTGTAATAAGTTCATTGGCATAGTATGCACTCAGTATTGCGCAGTAAAGATAAATTAAAACAATTTTTAAAAACTCTAATAACTTAGGCCTTAGGCACATACTATATAGTGTAGTGAATTTAACCAAACACTCTAAAAATCCTAACTCTATCATAAGTTTTATTTTATTTAAATAGAAGATCCAGCAACATGTAAAAATTTAGATAATGTCAGGAAATATGTATCTTTCTAATTTGACCCACATTAAAACAAGTATGTGTTTTTTCCAGACTGGCTGTCCAAGGGACAAAAGCTCAAATTTTTTATCAGGAAGATGATATTTTGCAACCAGGTTGTTAAATTTTTGATTTTTCATAAATTATAATTCTTTGTAAAAAATAAAATATCCTTCTGTATTGTTTGTATGTCATGACAGAAGTTGTTGAAGAGATATTTGCTCAAGATGGATGTGTAGAGGAATTCTATGCTTGTGATGAATGTTTAAGGTTTGACATTTAATTGTATTTTTTTACAATCCTTGTTGTAAAGTCGTCAAAATTGTAACTACGTAAGATGATATCTGCAGCTCTGATGATTTCAAAAAACAAAGACTCTCGAACCATCAACAACGTCATTCAGGCTTTCCACCAATCACACCAAGTGCAGTTGCCACGGATACTATACTGAGTCAAATGTTTGATCAAATCTGGGGAGAGGTAATTTTGTTTTACAGAATATTAGAGAACTAATGACCACTAGTTCCTATTGGTTACAGGTTTATGTCATATATTTAATAATTACATATTTTTATCCAATAGATTGTTCTGTGGTTACGAGGCTTGCTTACTCATTATTTAGAAAACTATCATCCTGGTGAATATTCACTTTAATAGTTCTTAGTTGCATCATATTTTCTTTATTTTAAAGACAGCTATAGCTATATATTTCTCATTAATTAATCATGATAATAATTTCCTCTGTTTTCATCAATTACAGTGCATTCTGAAAAGCAATCAGACTTCCTCAAAGAATCAACAGCTATTGATACGAGACAAATATCGCATGATAACGTTAGTCTTGTATATTGAATTATAACCGTCCAGTGTTTGCTTTCATCACCGTTGTCTAGATGTTAGCTACGTTGTCTAGATGTTAGCTACGTTGTCTAGATGTTAGCTACGTTGTCTAGATGTTAACTACGTTGTCTAGATGTTAACTACGTTGTCTAGATGTTAACTACGTTGTCTGGATGTTAACTACGTTGTCTAGATGTTAGCTACGTTGTCTAGATGTTAACTACGTTGTCTAGATGTTAGCTACGTTGTCTAGATGTTAGCTACGTTGTCTAGATGTTAACTACGTTGTCTAGATGTTAGCTACGTTGTCTAGATGTTAGCTACGTTGTCAGATGTTAACTACGTTGTCTAGATGTTAGCTACGTTGTCAGATGTTAACTACGTTGTCTAGATGTTAGCTACGTTGTCTAGATGTTAGCTACGTTGTCAGATGTTAACTACGTTGTCTAGATGTTAGCTACGTTGTCAGATGTTAGCTACGTTGTCAGATGTTAACTACGTTGTCTAGATGTTAGCTACGTTGTCTAGATGTTAGCTACGTTGTCAGATGTTAACTACGTTGTCTAGATGTTAGCTACGTTGTCTAGATGTTAACTACGTTGTAGATGTTAGCTACGTTGTCAGATGTTAGCTACGTTGTCGCTAGATGTTAGCTACGTTGTCTAGATGTTAACTACGTTGTCTAGATGTTAACTACGTTGTCAGATGTTAACTACGTTGTCAGATGTTAGCTACGTTGTCAGATGTTAACTACGTTGTCTAGATGTTAACTACGTTGTCTAGATGTTAACTACGTTGTCTAGATGTTAACTACGTTGTCAGATGTTAACTACGTTGTCTAGATGTTAGCTACGTTGTCTAGATGTTAACTACGTTGTCTAGATGTTAGCTACGTTGTCTAGATGTTAACTACGTTGTCTAGATGTTAACTACGTTGTCAGATGTTAACTACGTTGTCTAGATGTTAACTACGTTGTCTAAATTGTCAGATGTTAACTATGTTGTCTAGATGTTAACTACGTTGTCAGATGTTAGCTACGTTGTCTAGATGTTTAACTACGTTGTCTAGATGTTAGCTACGTTGTCAGATGTTAACTACGTTGTCTAGATGTTAACTACGTTGTCTAGATGTTAGCTACGTTGTCAGATGTTAACTACGTTGTCTAGATGTTAACTACGTTGTCTAGATGTTAACTACGTTGTCTAGATGTTAGCTACGTTGTCTAGATGTTAACTACGTTGTCTAGATGTTACTACGTTGTCTAGATGTTAACTACGTTGTCTAGATGTTAACTACGTTGTCTAGATGTTAGCTACGTTGTCTAGATGTTAACTACGTTGTCTAGATGTTAACTACGTTGTCTAGATGTTAACTACGTTGTCTAGATGTTAGCTACGTTGTCAGATGTTAACTACGTTGTCTAGATGTTAACTACGTTGTCAGATGTTAACTACGTTGTCTAGATGTTAACTACGTTGTCTAGATGTTAGCTACGTTGTCTAGATGTTAACTACGTTGTCTAGATGTTAACTACGTTGTCTAGATGTTAACTACGTTGTCTAGATGTTAGCTACGTTGTCTAGATGTTAACTACGTTGTCTAGATGTTAACTACGTTGTCTAGATGTTAGCTACGTTGTCTAGATGTTAACTACGTTGTCTAGATGTTAGCTACGTTGTCTAGATGTTAGCTACGTTGTCTAGATGTTAACTACATGATCATTTTTCAGTGTCGCTTAAAGTGTGGTATTCAATCTGATGATCTTGGTAGTTTGAACAATTTAATGACAATAAGATCACTGCCATTGCAGCAGAGAACCGCAGTTTGGTGAGCTTTTTTGTGTTATAAGCTTGCGATGGATTCACTTTGAGAACTGCTTAGCAAACCTAATTGTTATATTTTCATATACATCTTTTTTACTGTAGTGAGGGTCGCGAAAATACGCCTCTTTGTCAGGTAAGCATTTGAAATCACAATGATATGATTTTACGTTCAACATTATTTGTGTTATTCCATTTCATTTTGTCTGCAGATTCGTCCAGGTTCAAGTGGCGTGATCATGTCAAAACATCAACGAATACTGCACTGGCGAAACTCGGAACAAACTTTAAACTCAAGATTATCATCAGCAAGAATCCTAAGAAGGTTAACTTTGTAATTTGTTGTTTTTACCCATGGTTGAGACATCAATATTGACTATTATAAAATCACCAATCTTAATTATGAGTATTGTTTAAGATTTCGGTCGGAATATACGCAAAACATTAGATTTTAAAAAATCTTTTTGTTGTTGACATAGAAATCCTTCAATACGACTTCAACCTATAGATCGATCAAAAACACCCGCTATTCAGGTTAGATGGTCTTTGAGAGGTAAAGTAGATAAGAACTTCACAGGAAAAATTGTTTTTCTGATATTTTGTAGTTATTTTCGTAACAGTAGCATTCTAATCTGTAAATTTTTCTTGGGTTTATTTTAAAATGGTTGTGTATTTAGATTGAGAATGATGTAATTTGTGAAGGTGTGCGAGGAACAAAACTGTGAGTTTGTAGATAAAAAGATGTAATATTTGGATTTTATTACTCTTTGTACCAATTGTTGCAAATTGTTTTGCAGTGTCCCTGGAAATGATTATCTATCTTTACCAACGTCAACTTCTCCCCAACTATGGGGTTCTAGGAATGGAACTTTACCACCAATCGACAAGACAGAAGGATTGGACAATAGTTCTCGTGAAAATGGGGTAAAATCATTCATAGTTTAATTAATAAGATTTTGTTACATCTTAGGAAAACTTTGAATCCTAATGTAATAAATTTGTCGATACGTATATTGAAGTACAGCATATTTTACTTAAAATTCTGTTTGTGAATGCTCTCTTTTAGAAAAGCAAAGTCCATTTTTGCCTTCGTGCAGCTAGTGCAGCTTTGAACGAGTCAAGGTAATAGATGTAGCAATCTTCTTCTTGTTTTGTTTATTTCTTATATTCAACGTAGAATTCGTCAGATTAAGGTTTTTTCCCCTAATGAATGGTTTGATGTGTATGTTATGAACGAAAAGACTTTTAGTTAGGTTTACTTTGTATGTATATTTCTAAAAAATCATTAATGGTTAACTATTGATGTTTTAAGAAAATCGATGAAAGAAAAGGAAGTTTAATAAAAGATTCAAGACCAAACACTACTCATTCGTTTCGAGTAAGTTATTTCTATTGGTAAATAAACTCATTTTATCAATTATCAAAATTAATATTTTCTGCTGTTTCAGCCGCCAGATGGCTCATCCACTCGCCGTTATTCTACTCCTTTGGGCTCTATAACCGCTAGAAACAATCAACTACGTCCTGCAGGCTCGTTTGGATATACTGGACAAAGTATGATGACTGGGATCACAGGTGTTAGCATGCCTATATCCAACTCTCATCCCTCGACAGACCATGTTGTCCATGGACATTCACATAAGCAAAATAATTGTTTGAAAGATGATGATTTGGCGGGAGAAACGGACAATTTTGATGACTCTTTAATGTGTGGTTAGTGATTTCTTCTTTCAAGGACGAATTCGATATTTTTGCATGATCATGTATTTAAGAAAATATTTTCTTATCTTAGGTCATCATCAACCTTCAGGGCCAATCAATAATCGTAAAATACGTCATAACTCTTCAATAAGGTAACACTGAAATGGATTTTTACCTTTAAATGGCTTATCAGTCACGAAAAAATATCAAGATTAATAATTCGCCATGCTATGTGGTATATTCTGCGACACTATGTATTTTGATGTTGCACTGAGAATGAATTTACTTTTACTTTAATGGCACCGAGGTATTTCGCAAAATTCCAGTGCTTGCATGTGTTGCTTTTAAAAACAGCCGCAAAACTACGGTCTTGTAAATTTTAGATTGAGTCTGTTGATTATTCGACAGAAAGAAGATGTAAATCATGTTAAATAAAACATACCATCGAACAGTTTAAAGCATGTATATAATATTTAATGTTTTCATCGTAAAGATGATCGAGCATTATAACAATGTTAATGGCGTGAAACTTTATGTTTTACCTTCTCATTTATGGCGAGATTGTTGATGAAAATTACAAAATTTGCAATGTGATTGTTCTTGACACATCTCATTCATAAAAAAAGCATCAGTGGTTTGTGTGTTTCATAGGAGAATGTCTTAATTCATGTTTTAATGCTTTTTGTAAAATGTGTAATTACTGTGATTTGGAGACCTTTAGAAATATACTCCATTAAACATTAATCACTATTGCTTTTGGTGTATTAGTATTTTGTAGGGAATTTTGCAGTCCTTTTGCATCGCCTATAGCCAAGGCGAAGAGGGACGTGCACCACTCTGCACACCCTACCCTAAATCCATCCTTGCGCATAAATCATCCAAAACATACATGTACATTACAGTGGTATCTATTTCTTCAAGAAATTTATCCAGTATATAATATTGAATATGAGAAAAGCAATAGGAAAGGGAATCCTTGAAATGCTATCAAATACGTTATCGTGTATGGCAATCTTGTGAATTGGCGAGGAGCGTTGTCGAAGACTGGTATGGAGTTGATTTTGTCGTCTTGACTGTACGAAGTGACTGTATATTAATGACGAAGACTTGGCTGTTCTAGAAATTGTTGGACGATTCCAAGTACCATTATTGTTGTTGTATCGTCGTGGTTGTTCTTCAATGGATACTAGCCTTCTACCATGGTTTACTTGAATCCTTAACGAAGGCATATAGTCGTCCTATAAAATACATTTGTTCTCTCAATATGAATTTCATGTGTTCTCCCAAGTGTTTTTCTTATGTGGAATATATGGAGTGTTACAAATAAAAGAAAAGGTCCCATGGAAATTACTGAATATTAAAATCGACGAATGATATTGATTTATCATTGGGCTGTACATACAGTCGTTGGCTGAGCTTGTTCTCCTTGGCTTTTGTGATGCTTCAAAACATACTCCAAATTTGTGAGGAAAATAAAACCAAAACAAACCAGGAAAAATTATCAAGTGATTTTAGGCAAGTAACTTTTGAAAGATTATTGTTTATGCTCGCCAGCATATACACCTGGAAAAATAGGTGTGATTGTATAAAAACGTTTAGTAAAGAATATTTATAGTTTTGCTTTGTGCTCTTTTTTTAATACCTTACCACATACCATTGTTAGTACTGTTGTGATACCAAGACCTGTTCTCGCTGGTACTGCTTCCTGGTCAATCCAAAAACCAGCTCAGGATAAAACAGTGATACAAATACATGGTATATAAAATTGATAAACATAATATAGCCAACGTCTTTGAAAGGTAAATGTTACAGTGAGACCTGAGAAGGTTTCTATCTAAGGAAAAGACGTATTTATAAATACGATTGTGAAATGTCTACTCATTGAGGACGAATAACAAACAAACCAACCCGAATGATAAAAGGATGCTTTTTTCTTCTTTTTACTTTCGTCAGAACAAATTTAGACATTTCTTGATCGTAAATAAGTACGGTACTGTTCTTTTTCCACTTGTACATTAGATCGAAATTCTCGTATGTGTCTTCAGAGAAGAGAAAATTTCAAATTCATTTTCGATAATTATATAAAACATATTGGAAAATTTTTGACGAAACTTACAACTTTCAAAAGGTAAACTGCATTGCTGAGCATCCTTTCGATAGTTTCGTAAGTCCAGTTTGCATGTAGAGGTGACCATCAGTCTGAAATAACTACCGAAAAATAAAGAAGTTGCTTTATCTGACCCTTCCTAAAGTGTATCAATATGTTGTTATAAAGGAACACACGTAATACCTTCCTACGCAATCTTAACCATACCTTAGCCATACATAGGACACCTTAGTCGACTGTTAGTACAATTATTTAATATTAATGATTACATGAAGTACGGCACGATTCATAATGGCGGAAAATTTGAAATTAATCGAAAAAGTCGTTTTTATTATCACTAAAAAATATTAACATCACCGTTTAGGATGCTGACTGAGAATGAAGTGGCGAATATCATGAAACGAAAGCTTCCCGAAGTTTGAAAATGAACAGCATTGAAAGGTTTGTCAAGTTTTTAAATTTTAAAAATGAAAGTAGTTGACATCATTAGAATAAAAGTATGCATTTAACATAAGGAAATATTCAACTTCCTTCGGCAGTTTACTGTTGTAACGATTACCTTGACGTGTGCATGGTCCAACCATTTGACAAATTCATGAAGATTTTTTGGTTTTGTTTCGTCAGTTTATGAATTTGAGTCTGCACAGCGTTGACAATAAACGTATCTGGTATCCAAATTTTCTTAACAAACTCATCGCCCATTGTGTAATTCTCGTTTATACCAAATGCAAAACGATGATCATACCAAAACTGACCAAGATAAAAATCAACTACAAATTGCTGTGAAATTAAAATGAAATAATTGTCTATGTGTTATGAATACTTTAAATTAATATGATATAAACTCATATTTCCACGTAAAAATATAATATTCAGAAAGAACAACAATATTATCTTTATTAAATTGTTGTCTTTAATCTTGGACGGCTATTTGTTTTGTCAATCTATTTCAATCATCTATTTTAGCAGATAACTGGATAAAATAAAATTGTATATACCATGTTGGTTTCTTTGATATCACCAAATGAGATGATGAGAATGTCTAACTCCACGTCAAGAGGCTTTACTGAGTATAAAAACGTATATTTTAATGACAAAATGATATTTAAGTCAAAAAACTTTAAGCGCTTACTCACCTCCGTAATATGGTCGAATTTTTCTGTCGTAGTTCTTCAAGATGTGTTTTAATAATTTCGTCAACCTCCATCCTTGTCGAACATCTCCTTTTTGTGTTCATCAAGTACTTTCATAAAAATTATTCTTTCTAAAGATTGAGTAAATGTATAATTACGAACGTGAGGATAAAACCGCTATTCATTTTGCGAGTGATTTAGCAATTAACAACAGAACGATATTTAAAGCACCTTGTTGTTTCTGAGTTCTTCTCATCTCTTGATTTTGTTCCTTTGACGAAGATCGTCATTAGTAGATAAAATACTTGCCAATTCATTTCTGCATATGCGACAAAGAATAGAAGTTAGCTATTTTAGTAATATTGTAATATAGTTCCATTAAATTCGTCCATTATAGTGTGACTTTAGGTTTTCTGTAATTATAGTTATTGATGTTGCTAGAGAAACCCGCTACGTTTGTTAGGAATGTATTTTTTGTGAAATTATTCTAATGATTAGATTTCTTGATGTTGATGTTTTTCGTTATGTGAGATTTTGTTGTGCAGTCAACTTTTATAAATTTTGTTTATATCCTGTAAATCTTTTCAAACGATTTTCTTTCCTTTTAAACTTCCCCTGTTCTGGGAGCAAACATTTCGTTTTTACAACTTTAGGGTCGTAGTTTAGGGAGACGCACAATTTTAATCAGTTTTATTGATGTCATTGACGATGTAATCAAACTTTTAAATCTTCATATTTTACACTTTATGAAATATTTGATGAGCTAGTTCCCAGGCCACATCAACATGAATAGACTATCAAAAGCCATACTGATTAGTGATGCTTTCAGAAAATAATCTTTTATTACTATAAAAGAGTTTTTACGTAGATATATGTAAGAATATGTACGAAATGGCGTCAAGCTCACTGTTTGTTTAGAATCACAAGAAGATTATTGTTACAGAATTGTAATGTGCAATGAATGTAGCATACAAATAAGATCTTTAATGATTTTAGATAGACCTTTCCTACTTCATTACTGTAATTAAGCTTTTTTACTTTTTGTTTACTTAGTCTTTCCTCTGTGTTGGTTTTTTAGTTTTATTTAAACGCTTTAAGGTGTTATTTAAAGAAATTTCATTCATTTTCCAAGCAAAATTCACATTAATGTGTTTCACATAAATGTTCGTTCACATAAAACCGTCGTTTGTAAAGAACTCCATTTACCCATTGGTTTACCACAATTTTTCTTGTGAGAAACTTTCATCGCGTTGATATATTGATGTTTGTATCGGTAGTGCATGTGTGGTGCATGTTGATCCACGATGAAGAAGATTAAATATTACTTTACTCTTTTTTAGGAGCACAGATATCAAATCCACGTCAGTTTTGCATAAAGAAAGCAAAATTAAGAAATTTTTTACTTGATGCGTAAGGATGTCTTTCATCTTGTTAATGCATAGTAAGTTATTTTACTCCAAATGGATAAAAAATTAACCCTTTTGTGTGTGTATTATGTTCCCAACGTTATTTATAATGCGTTATATTTAGAATGTTTTCTTATGATTGTTTATTGAATTCAATATTACATGAACTGATTGCTATCGTTTTTATGGCGAAATGCAATTAATTATTCGTAGCTATATGCAACGTTCAGCTGAATGTGTAAATGCTTACCTAACGTCGTGATTGCTCTCTCTTAATGGTTTCTGTTGATTTGTTTTAATGCAATAAATTAAAACAAATTCGGTTTGCAGAAGTTGTTAAATCATGTAATTTTTTTTGAGTGCAAGAACAACAATGCTCTGTCGTCCATTGTGACCATAGCTATGGCATTACACAACTCACCTTTAAAACACGTTTCGTATTACTTACATAAAATAATCATTGACAATACTAGATATAAAAACATAAATTTTCTGATGTCTAACTTTCCTTATCTCTTAATATATCAGCTTTGGTATCTGATGCTATTTAAATGACTCCCGACTCGCTATATTAGAACTCTCTGACGTTTATTGAAAGATTACAATTTATGTTGAACGACATTGTTTCGGAATTCTTTATGATAAACAAACATAATCAAAGAATATTCAAGAAATGCATGAGTTTAATGTATATTATGTTTTGTGTGTATGTATGATGGTTTTATCGTAAAATAGAAGCTCTACGCTTACCTGAGATACTGAATAAATGTGAATACCTTAATCACAGAGTCAATATTTGTTGCTTTCAAATTTTTCATTGCCTTGTCGTCTCAGATATGAGGTTTTATCATTGAAACATTTTACAGTACAGAACGCTCCTCTATCATAAATAATCGAGAATAACTAACAAAAAATAATTAACAAAAAATAATTAACAAAAAATAATTATAATGATTGTTCATTGTGAGCTCTAAATATGCTACACGTTAAACAAACAGCCATGTTGAAATTTGAATAAAAGGTCCTCAATATTTTCATGCCTTATGTAAAAATGTTATGTAAATCTTCCTATATTTCTATATAATATTTCATGCATGCGATATTTCTATTTAATCGAAGTATTATACCTCGCAAACAAAGATAGAATTGTTACAGATTTAATCCATCCTGAAATTGAAATGTTTCTTTCTTGTTTGTGCAGAGGATTTTGATATTTATTTGTAAAATAACTTGACTCTCTTAGCTGTTTACCAGATTTCAACGTTTTTCCCACCTAAAATTTTTTAATTCCTTGTAGAATACTTGTATTTTTAATACACTTAATTCATACTCATAGCTGATTAAACTTCACATAGAGATGTTTAATGTTCTTATTACACTTATATATTGATCAACAGTGTAGAATTTCAAGTTTATCCTTTAGATGAATGATCTGTTTAAATGACGCTTAGAAAGTCAGAATTAAAGATTTTTTATCTTACAATATAGTGATAGCAATCGTTTATTCAAAACAATAAAACCTAGTTTAAATATTATTATCTAACACTGGACAAAAAGTGCATATTTTCATTGAAAAATTCACAGAAAGAAGTTGACTTTTTAAGAAGACATGATCACCTGTCATCGATAAAAACACATTCGTGTTTTTTACCACGCATAAAGGGAATTTATAATCCTATAAAATAATCATGTAATCTTTTGACTATTCCTCGAAGCCCTTCCCTTAACAAAAAATCCTATTTCCGTTTGGCAGAGCATGACGTTAGGAAACATATTTTTTCATTTGTGTTTTGTGTTATGCGCATGACGCGGTCTCTTTTGATGGGTTTTTTTTTGTCCATGTTCACACCCATAACAATGTAAATAAATGAAATCATCATTTGTTTTTTTAAACTCAATTTAGCTGCCCTCAAATATTCATACTGAGGCAAAACATAGTTCATCCGTAGGCTAAATGTCTTTTGTCAACGTCAAACATTTTTTGTTATCTATACTATCATAGTAATCTACAGTATTTGTTATTATTCCACTGCAAACAACATTTGACGTTCATTTTTGTTGAATGCATCCTTAATTCGCAGAGACACGAGATATGGAACCCCGCAGAGCTTCTTCACACTTAGACGGATGTGGGTTCGTTGAGAATTGTGGATTTTTTTCTAGAACTTTGCAAATTCACTGCCAAGTTCAGAAGTTTATAACGAATTTAGAAACATGTTTTGTTTACATGGCCTCCCATCAACTACTTACGAAACTGGGCAATAAAATTTGAATTCGTTGATGCAGGCTTTGTTTGACAAGAGTTTTTTTTTATTGAATATTACCAAGTATATCAACTAAAGGAATATATAATTTGCGTTCATATTCAATACCACTTGTATTAGCTTTACGAATATTCACCATGTTATATATTGAATTCATTGATCCAAATCTTTTCCCACCAACTTGACCAGTTACCGTTGAAAAAAAGCAATATTTAAAGCTTGTCAAAGGAAGCATTCTTATCCCTATGCTTGTGTACTAATGTAGTTAAATCACATCGGGATGAAATTAAATTTTCACCTGTCACACAGATGTAATATTGACCGAAGTTCTCACGTTCATCTAAGACATAATTTTTCAATATTGCTCTAAACAACGTATTTGTCACGGTGAATGACAATTGAGTATAGTTCTTAAATAGACTTTTGAAAACCGAAATAAAAATAGCAATAAAATTAAATAAAACAAAATTGTTCTGATCATGTGCCAATGAAAACGAAATTTTACTTCAATTTATAATGATGAAGACAAGGACGATAATTTTTCATCATTTCATCTAGGGGTCATTAATTATGCAATGTCTCATGCTGAAAGTGAGTGGATGTATCTTGCAGGTAATTTCCATTCATGTTGTGCAGGTAAATAAAATTATCAAACTCTGTTTGATTTGACGATGACTTATTTGTGTGTGTGTGTGTTTTTTTTTCATCGTAGATTCCTGTTCCAATGGATGGTTTTAACGAAATCATTTCTCACTCAGTAAGTCTTTAAAATGAAACAGCTGCATTCGATCATTTATCGCAACAAAGTTTTATAGTTTGTAGATATTTTCCAAATTTTTTCACCAATTTATTTTTTTAACTGTGAAAATTCTAATTGTGAATATAGCGATATCAATTTTGTGTTAGCGATTTTTCAGACGAACTATGAAAGGGAAAACTTCTATGTATCTTAAACTAGCTATGTATACAGGCGATTCTCTGTAGAATCGTTTTTATGCTCAATCCTTTCCCTTGAGTTGTCAACAGATTTCTTTTGGGAAAAAATCCTCGCCTCCTTGATTCAATGTTATTGAAAAATTAATTGAGCTGTCTTCTTTTAATATTGTTAACTGACCTCGATAATATGTCCATTGTCAATTTTTGCTTTTCTAATTTGCATGCGGATGTTTTGCTTTACTAAGGAAAATTTCATCAAAATAAAGTCGTGAGATTGAGCGTATATATATATATATATATACAGCATATTTATACGTCATTTTAGACTGTTTTAAACGTCAATGCATATATTCTTGAATATCAACTTTAGTTAACCACACAGCAAGTGTGATTTGTTCTACATTTTTGAAATCGCAGGACAATCTGTGTGGAGGGATTTTTGTATGATACATCAGCTGTGTGGAAGATTAGCTGTATATTACTGCTCTAGATTTGTTCATTAAACTTTCATTGCAAAACCTAAAATATTCATGTGAGAAATACAATTTTGTATATATACATTGGCATGTAGATGGTTTTTGTTGGAATGATTGTAAGATGGACTTATGAAATTAGAAAACTTACTCTTGAATAGTTCTAAAAGTAAAATGTTACAACAACTGACGTTAGCTTATAGAAAATATTACATTTAAAGCAACGAAATTTAAGTTTATATACACATGACTAGGCTTTATTTTTTATTCAAATTTAACATCTTGCAACATACATAAACATCAGGATTTTTTTTAATTTATGTCAGTAGACAGCTGAATATTTTTGACGTTTTTCTTCAAATTAATTTCTTCTGTTTGCATGCATGTGAAGTGTCAACGTGCTTGTATAATGATGGCAATATTACTTAATTTTTGATAACGTATGACGCATGCATAATCCCATATGTACTTCTAATTCCTAAGTTTTTATGAAAGAGTGTCTTAACTTTCTCTATGAACGAGTATTTGACAATAGGGAATCTTTAGACTGTTTTCATTGGAGATTTGATGCTCTGTAAGTTAATTTCGGGAAATGCTTTGTGGTGTACAATTTTTTGGAAATTGCACGATTTCGGCATGTTGTATATTTCCATTCTTTGTTTTTCTAAAATAAGTATAAACTAGATAATGAATGGTTTGTTTGTAATTGATAAAATGGAAAACAAAAATTTCTGCGTGTTTCAACATCTTCACTTTAAGTGGATATTCATCAAGTGGATTAATGGCGCACGAGTTTATTAAAATATCCCTCCATTATACCTGCTGTCTTTATATAGGCACGAACGACGACAATAAACGTTTGGAAAGTTGAAGATGTGCCACATCGAGTTGTGTGTTAGCTGCTTCACAAAGAACTGATTTATCGCTGTGTCAGATCAGATAATAAGTACTTGCTGATAACATGTAGGATTGAGCTGTTTCTTTTTATAATTGTATTCATCTCATGCTGAGGTAAATATTCTCATCCATCATTTTTTGCTTTTCTACTTTGCATTTCAATAAATAAGATAATTATAACATAATCAATGGATTCCTAAAGAAAGTATGGGTAAAATTCTGCAATTATGCTTATAATCTCGCTCACGCTAACTAGAATTTTCCAGAAGTTTCAAACGTCTTGTCACTTTATGAAACTACATGTTTCGATTTAGTTAAGCTTGTGTTAGATTTTTATTTTCCTATGTCTGTATATTACTACTTCACTCGTCTTAGCTTTTCCTTTTATTTATTTTGAACCCAAAGTTCACATGGTGGAAGTACTGATTCAAACACAGCAGGATGGGTTTGTGTAGGGAATGCGATGTTTTCCTTTAAGCCCTTTCAAAGCCTACTTAAATAATTGGTTTTATATAACTCGTTTTTCTCACTATATTTACTAAAATATTCAAAGCAATATGGTTATTAAACGCTGCAATATGGGATTGGAAAGACAATATTTTGAAATATAACTGCACATCACCATATTAATTGTCAGGCTGTGAGAAAGGTCTTCCCTCTGTCAAGTTTAACCTTTAACCAAATGAACGACATTTGAGGTCCTTTTTTGCTCGGAACATGTATTTCTAATTATTAACTCATGCATATTTGAAATGTTTAGGTGTTGGCAGTATATTATGTGTCAGTTAATGCTATCCTCCCCTCTTAACAATCCTTTTGTCAGTTCTAGTATTTCTCACCTCTCTGCTTATTTTTTTCAATTGAACGGCATCTTGCAATGCTATAGCTTGTGTGAAAATTTTTAAAATAGCAAACTCCAGTTATATATAGCGACCTTTGTTGTCTTTGTTTTGATTAAATCATTTAACTGCTGGCTTTCGCCTCGAGACCGAATGAGTCGAGGATAGTTTTGCTATTGAATGTATGAATTGCGTATAAATTATTTTATTCTGTTTGAATTTAATAATCAACTGTCGCTATATTATGTACGATAAATGAACGTATGGTTTTAAATGGACCAATCCACGTTCATTTATTTTGAAGATCTTGTTGAACCAAGTGTTGAACGATATGATGTGTCGTTGTGGTGTCTTCAATATGGTATATCGTGACGACAATGATTCCGATTATTGATTACACATCATCTGACTATCATATAACTTCTGCTCTGAAAAACCTGGGAAAATTTTGTATTATACTAATGGTTGTCTAGCTTCTTGTCAAAAGTCCACTTATCTTTTATCTCGATCCACGAACGTGTCGTATACTTTGTAATTGATCTGCATGGCATCGTAACACTTAATTGTTCAAATTGAACAAAACAGTATGAATGGTTGAGGCAATAATAGGGAACAGATTTCCGGCATCCTTTGCTATGAATTGAAGCTTAAATACTTTATAATACACTTGTAATGATTTGTGTAATTTCTTATGGAGCCGCTCCTCGGTGAATAGAGCGTACAATGATTGATATCATTTTTATGTAGGTATCTATTGAAAGAAGACTTTGGGCAGTACTAACGAACAATGGAGAATCTTTTTCACATCTCATCATTTTGTTACCTTTGTTGCTCCGTAATGTACTTCGTTCAACCATCGTCTCAAGTTCAACTCTTGGACCAGCAGTGCGTTATACGTAAGTAAAAAAGCGCATTTATTAATTATTTTTTAATCGAAGAAGAAATTTAGGCATTTTTTGTGTCTTCCTCACGAGTTGAAATGTAAATGAGTCATTCAATATGAAAGGGCGCGTATGCTGTAATTCAGTATTTGCTCAGGATTTTTTTTCTCGTTTTGATGCTTTGATCTGCTCTTTATCATCAAAATCACCATTGTTATTATTATCGTTCTCAAATTTATTTATGGAGGGTATGCACAAAGTAAAAAGCGACAAACCATTAGCCATCCAATAATAAAACTTACATACAATGTATGCATAAATGGATATTAAATACTCTAAAAACTGTATTTATGAGCTGTTCTATAAAGTAAAAACTGTGAATCATATTAAATTATACACAATATTAAATCTACGTCAAATTATTGTAAACGAAAAGTTTGTGAACTTTGAACACATATCTGCATATGCATTTAATTCAACTTATTAACGTAATTCGTAGAAAAGGATCATACATTTTACAAGATTTTTTCGAATTCGTACGAATTTCTATTTTCTATTCGATTTTAAATAATGTGATAAACTATTTTGGCATTGATGTAGTAAAGATCTGTTTGTATTAAGTTCTCACTATCCTTCATAAGAAGTAATGAGAAATTTAATATACAAATTTATATAATATCATGTCCACGCAGCTCGTTAATATCTCACGGAAACCAACAGTGATAATTCGAAAAGGGATTGTTATTACAACGTGATAATTTCTTTGATTTTTTACCGCAAAGGCAAATTATAAATTTATAAATGATTGACTAGGCGATTTAATAAATGAAAATGAAAGGTTGCATGGTAATGAAAAAGGTCCATCCCTCTATTCTATAATATAAAATTATTTAGCAACAGAAAATATGTATGTAGATTGTGTTTCACATTTATATATTTCTTAATTATTTTTTGACATAACGTTAGATGCTTCCTTGTCGAAAAACATTGTTCTAAAGCTTTTAAGTCAGTTCCTTTACAAGCATTGTCAAATATGCTCTACATTGTCAACGATTATTTATCATATGAATTTTCTCTCATCCAGCTTATAACGACAAAATCCACAAGTAGAGAATTTAACTTTTACAATATAACCTCAATAGTCACTCGTTTGCTATGCCTACACTTCACTTGCTGATCCGATCATTAAAACTTCCGTTGATGATTCAAATAAATCTATGTTGATTGAAGACAAAAATGATGGTGTTCACGACGATCTCTCGTGTCTATTTTTGTTACGTTGAACTGATATTTTAAGTTTAACATCTGGAATTCTTTGGTGTGTTTTTTTTTGTATCAACGCATGGTGATTTTGAAAACCTTTTAATTATTTTTATATTCGCCTTTCACTAGGCGTCCTATTTCTCGAGGAATTAAGATTGAATTAAAAACATGAGGCTTTCTGTTTTTATAAATAGCATTTTCTACTTCATTATTTTTACAGTGAACAGTTGCGTCAAGAGTTTGTAGTTTTTACAAAATATGATTGTGTCCAGACATATTTGACGTCTCCCAATGAATAACAAACGATGTGTGAAAAGATGTATGTTAGATCTCAAATGTTCGCCATTTCAACACCTCTACATTGATAATTACATTTGCTTCAGCAATCACAATCGAACAAATTATTCTCTCCCTTTTTTACTAGCAATTTATCATTATAAATTTTAAAATAGAGACTTTGTCGTGGTGACAAATCTGAAAATAGTTCTTTAGAAGTATTTTCACATTATAAATTTGTTCACCCCTGTACAGTAACACAGCAGTGAATACATGTTTCTATGGTATTTTCTTTTCATGTTCACTTTCACTGGTTTTTCTAATGAACTTCATTTTATTTCTCGACTAATAAGTAATTTCTTCACTTTAAGTCTCGCATAATCTTTGACTTTGTAATGAACGGATTAGAATTCATGTACTCCCTACATCCTTTGAATATTTCTAATTATTTGGTAGACTCACCGTAAATTCATTGTTACCGGTAAGTGTTGATGCTTTTTTTGATGGGGTTTTTTTTGTGTTCTATTGAGTTTCTCGTTGCGCAGCCATGGAGCTGACAAAAAAACCTACTTAATTGTACTTTCTGGCAATAGTCTCTCTTGTTCATAGCGCAATTTAAACTTTATAAAGTTTATTTAAGATGTAGTTGTATGCTGTAGGAAGTTTTCTTGTCATTTGCTAAATGCACGTATTTTAATGTACAGATAAGGTTTATATAGCTACTGAAATATATAACTACACCGCTTGACTGACACTTTTAAAATCTGATTATACACTTTTCAGATTCATTTCTAAAATTAGTTAATTATTGAGTAGTTATAAAAATAGACGATGTTTTTATTTATCTTGTTATCATTCCTTTTGTTTTTAAAGCAGAAAACGCCGACAGAGTCGGTATATATCTGTACAGTAAATTGAACATTAAATATATAGTAAATTAAGAATTCCAGTTCTCTTTATTTTATCTTTTGTCTTTATTTTATCTTTTGTACGTTGTCATCAAGCACGTCATGATAAATCCGTATTTTATCTCTCACAAGGAAAAGGAAGTAGTTTGTTATTTTAAAACATTAACAGCACATATATGTATGCTTTGCTTTGCCCTTTAGGGATTGGGATGATATCATGGTTTTTTTTCCTTCAGATTACTCTTCATCTTACAAGAGAAATTCATCACACCACGAAGGCAACAGCGGTGACAAAATAATTGACGGACAAGATGAAACATGCTCTTTGCCTTTAAAAAAGTCTTCGATAGATTTGATTCAAAGTATAAATGTCACGTATATTCAAGTGAAGAACTCTCAACAACATCCAACATCTATACGAATTTACGTTCGAAAGTTTCGTTATGGTACAGGACATGCATGCGGTAGAGATCATATTATTGGTAGTGGTGAAAGAAGAATAATTTCTTGCATGTCGTTATTTGGTCAGTCAGTAAAAATTGTACCTGGAAGAAGGAAAAAATCGTTTTCACTTTGTGAGCTGCAAGTCTTTAATGATTCTGGTATCTTGATGTGTATTTTTATAAATATATTTATTTTACTTACCCACACTCTCTATCGATGATAATGTATGCCAATGAGATAATTATTTTTATTGTTTTCAGTCAAAGTGACGGAGGGGGTGAAGTACGAAATTTGGTTCAATAAGACCAACGATGATTTTTCTTTTATAAACACTGTTGCTCACAGTGTTTCTATATTACCTACATTTCAAGCACCAAGGAATATCAGTGATGATTTTGGTGTCCGATTAACGACATTCTATAATGTAAGTTGTTCTTGATTATTAGTCTCTACAGCTTAATGTTTTTCTGATCTTCGTATATATCTTTTGGATATCATATGGTCGATTTCAATGTTTGCCTTAACAATATCCCTGTATATCATTTGCTATCATCAGTATTGTCCATTTTGTTTCTATAGGCCCCACAAACAGGTTATTACGTTTTCAACATGTCTTGTGATAATAAATGCAAACTGTACATTAGAAATGTTGAAACTCAAAAGAGAGCTAAAGTACTGGCTGAAGTTCCTCGCGATGATTCTGTACCTGATTGGACGCATTACAACTCTTGGAATGAGTGAGTAGATTTTGTCAATGCACGTTGTCTTTTCATTTGAATTGCGTTTAAGAAATAAAACATGTTTATTGTGTTTGCACAGGCTTATGCAAACACCAAGGAGACCTTTGGGAGAACTCGATAGCAGATTAGTGCAAGCTTAGCACCAAAGTTCGAGGTTGGCACGTGCTTGTGAGTTCTCCAATACGTCTCCAAGTTTTGCATAAGCTTGTGCAGATGTAGTAAGCATCTTTCTTTCTTTTATAAAATAACAGTAATGCGAAACGGATATATTTAAAACAAATGTTTTGATTTTTCTTCGATTAATTGATTGATTTGATTGGTTGAGCTCAGATCGGTTTTCACTGGCTAATGCAAACTTAGTTATAGACCAATCAGCGCACGCGTTTCATTGTTGTTGTTTTATAACATAGGTTAACGTTGGTTTGGATCTTTCACATAAATATTTATGATATATTAATGTTTATCAGTGTTGTAGCTACCGTTATCTCCTTCATTTTACTACATTATGATTTTCAATGTTGTTTTGATAATATTTTTGCAGGTCTTGGTCGAACCCTAATCTTCTTACAAAAGGTGAAGTTTATGAAATCACTGCTCTGATGGTTGAAAAAACGGGAACAGATCACTTACGTGTTGGTATAACATTTCCTAACGGTTCATTTCAAGGTCCTATAAGTGCTCGGATTTTTATCAGTAAGTTAGTAAATGTATTTACGCTTAAGTATTGCCTGGGGTCTGTATATGAAAGTATTGCTTGGGGTCTGTATGTGAAAATATTACATAAGGTGTGTATAAGAAAGTATTGCCTAGGGTCTGTATAAAAAATTATTGATTGGGGTCTGTCTAGGAAAGTATTGCCTGAAGTCTGTATGAGAAAGTATTGCCTGGGGTCTGTATAGGAAAGTAATGCCTGAAGTCTGTATAAGAAAGTATTGTTTGGGGTCTGTATAGGAAAGTATTGCCTGACCCCTGTATACGAAAGTATTGCTTGGGGTCTGTATATGAAAATATTGCATGAGGTTATTGTACAAACTAAGCGGTGAATAAAGGAAGTAAATCTAAAATATTGCTTTGTTATAGACATGGAAGCTTCTCGATCCCTTACGAAAAATTTTTGTCCAACGCCAGGTAATCTTGTTGGAATTTCTTGAAGATTATTTCTCTTATGTTAAAATTATATTTCATCTCTTTAGACATTAACACTGGTGGTTTTTACTCTCGCTTTTTGGATGTACGTATTTACTAACTATTTACTTTATGTGGAACTTTTATTTAGAATTTTCGTTTTATTTCAGAATGCAATCTTGAATGCTATTCATCGTTTGTTGAATGACCAGGGGGACGGTAAGAAAATGGAGGTTCGTACGGATTATTTGTACATTCTTTCATGATGTGTTCACGATGTGTTCATTTTGTGTTCACAATGTGTTCACAATATATTCACGCTGTGTTCAAGATTTGTTCATGTGTTCATTTAGTAGTTATTTTATTCTTCTTTTTTCTAGCTTTTCATGCTGTTATTTAACATTTCAGGTTTTAAATGAGTTGGAGAGGTTGGGTTTTAAGAAAGCAACGACACTAAATTTGGAACAGAAAGCATTTGTTACATACCTTGTTCAAATAAGTCACTTTGGTACGAGGTTCTAACTACGACCATGCTAAAGCTCTTTAACTTATTTGTATTTTCCTTAATTTTTCTCTCATTTAGTTTTTGCTTCGGTCGTTATGAATTTATCAAAAAGCGATGGTTTTAATTTTCCCGAAAGTATAAAGACATTTCAACCATTCCCTGGATATTCCAGTATAAGTTTTCCTGATGGAGCCTTTCCACTTGGTACAGGTACATAAATATGATCATATTTACGCCATGGGATTTCAAGGCTACATTTCAGATGTATGATTTTAAAATTTTTTTTCTTTATGAAGGAGTAAAGTCGGCAGTTTACATGATGTTCAAGCCTATTGAAGAAATGAAGAAAACGACAGGAAGTCGTGATAATTATCTTGGAGATAGAGTAGTTAGCGCTAAAATGCAAGACGATGTTTGGAGAAATATGAATTCATCATTTACATTAGTCTTTCAGAATACTCAAGTAATTTCTCTTTCAGTTCTTCTCCATTTGTAGAAAATGTCATTCGATGTAAAATATTGTTTCGTGTATGTATGTGATAGGTGATGATTGGTGATAGAAGACAATGTGTTTATTGGATCGAAGATTCTCGGTATGTATGAACAGTTTATATGAATTTGTGAAAGAATAACATTTGAGGATTTAGTTGTTTGAAAACTGAAATTAGGTAAATTTTATTAATGTAGGCACAACAAAGAAGATGAAAAATATGGACGATGGTCCGGTGATGGTTGTTCTCTTTTTGACAAAAATGAAACTCACACGATCTGTAAATGCGATCACCTCACTAAGTTTTCTGTAATGTTTCCTGTTGCAAAGGTATTTATTCCAGGCATGAAAATTTACACATATCCTGAACCCCCTCGCTAAGATTAGTTGGGATATGCAAACCTCCTGCACATCCAGTAACCCTCTAGTTAAGATTAGATGGAGTGTACAACGCTCTCAGCACACCCTCCCTCTCAGCTAAAACAAGAGTTAAATAGAGTATGCAAACCCCCATTACACTCTCCCCTCCCCCCCCCTTAGTATATACATTTCTGAATCATGCGTTTAAAGCCATCCCATTTTTTTGTATCCTTTCTTTCATTGGCAGACATCTGCAAAAGATGAGAAGAATCTTGAATTGATCACTTACGTTGGTTTATCGTTATCCTCTGTTGGTTGTTTTCTTACACTTATCTTCTACTTCTTGCTAAGGTAACCTGCAAGCTGGCATGTGTTGTACTCCAACGTACTATAATGTACTTCTATATCCATCACTAGAATCACGAGAACATTAAAGACAATTGTTCATCTTAATCTTGTTTTATCTCTTGGTCTTGCTGACGTGGCTTTTCTCTTTGGGAACTTTGCGCGAAATCATAAGGTAATAGGAATTTTATTTTTGGTTTCTGTTGACAGATCCATAAATCAAGCAAACTCGTTTATTGGGGTTGGGGTACCGCTGTATTCATATATGCATGTTATAATCTGTGAATCTCAAGACGGCGTATCATGCGTATATGAACATATCACACTCTCCCCTTTAAAAAAAAGAGAAAGCTTATCGATCATTGGAGAGAGCAACTAATACAAACCAACTTTTACATTTTTACTTCTCCACAAAAATTTGTAAAATAACTTTTGCATTTTTGTTATTATCGTCATCTACGCAGGATATTTGCTTTGTTGCAACAATTCTCACATTCTACTTGTATCTGGCTGTGTTTGCATGGATGTTGGTTGAAGGTGTTCATCTTTACTTCTTGATTGTACGAGTGTTTGGTCGTAATGAACGTCACAGGCGAAATTATCACATTTTTGGCTGGGGTAAGAACTTCACTTTCTTAATGCATGAAATTGATTAATAAAATACTTGATTGTAGTGCAGTTTATCTTTTATTACGCTGTGAAAAGTGTTGTTGCTCAATAGAAAAGCTGTAATTGCACTGTGAAAATGTGTCATTGCACTGTCAAATACTGTAACATGATTGGCTAAATGGCAGTAAAAGCCAAACAAACTTCTTTTCAATAGAAAAAACATAGCGGCAGTTGTAACTAAAGTGAAGAATAAGGCTGAATTGAATACCCGTCCACTCAGTTTTAGTGTTAGGGTTAATGTTAGGGTCATGTTTATATTACACGTGTATGAGTGGACAGGTATACTGCAATCGCTCCAAAAATAAAAACAGCACAGCAAGTACTTTTTTGGTGGTAAATGTTTATAAAACTTGGGCCGTGCAACGAGGCTTTCTGAAGCGATAAATAGTTAAAAAGCGAAACAAAGGTAGAAGCCATTTTGTAAAATGTCTCACAGTATATTATAAGCCATTAATAATATAGTTTCTTTTGCAATTACGGCAAAATTAACATGCACTCGTGAGTTTTTTAAAGACTGTAAATAACTCGTTCAACATGTTCAGATGTTTTAATTTATTCAAAATTAACATGCACTCGTGAGTTTTTTAAAGACTGTAAATAACTCGTTCAACATGTTCAGATGTTTTAATTTATTCAAAATTAACATGCACTCGAAATTATTCAAAATTAACATGCACTCGTGAGTTTTTTAAAGACTGTAAATAACTCGTTCAACATGTTCAGATGTTTTAATTTATTTCAGGTGTTCCAGCCGTTATTGTATTAATTACAACTGCCATTTTACGGCATGACTTAGTATCTAAAGATCAGTAAGTATTGGTTTTTTTAAATTGTTTTTCCTCTCAGAGAAATGCACATCATGTTTCATTTTTCTAGTTGTTGGTTGTCCATCGAGTCATCATCGATATGGATTTTTATAGTTCCTGCTCTATTTGTTATATTTGTAAGCAGAAATTGTTTGTTTTTGTAAAAGGGAATTGTTTGTATTTCTAAGGGAAATCATTGTGATTGGTTGATTGCGGGACAGTTTAATTGCAATTTGAAAAGATGTATTTGAACTTTAGAAAAGCTGTAAGCGCACTTTTTAAAGTGTAATTGCACTGTAAATACTGTAACCTGATTGGCTAAAAAGCAGTGAAAGGCAAACACACTTCTTTTCAATTCAAAAAATAAACATGGCGACAGTTGTAAGTACACAAAGATTTCCCATATTGCAAAGATGGCGAATCGTTTGAAATTCAGGAATTTCGAAAGAATGCAAAGAATAAAAACAAAACAGCAAGTACTGTTTTTTTGGGTGAATGTTTTTAACAGTTAGTCCGTGTATCGAGGCTTTTCTGAAGCAATAGAGAGTAACAAGTCGAGACTTAGTTAGACTGTATATTCAAGAAATTATCTCAAAGTATATTATTATTAAGTATAGTATAGTTTCTGGCGTAATTACGGCTAAACATGCACTCTTGAGTTTTTTACTAAGACTGCAAATACTCAAAATTATACTATTACCTATACTAAGCGCGTGTGTTTGTGATGAAACTGACTCAGACTGTACAATTTTTATTCAGATAAATTCATTGGTGTTAGGAGCTGTCTTAAGAACAACAATGAAGTTATTACGTAATGACCCTGGTTATCGAAAGGAAAAGTAAATAATTATTATTTTTCATCGCCATAAATTTTTCTTTAAAAAGCAAATAAAACGAAAACAAATCTTCTTTACTTTAGATCAGCTCTACGTACGTTGATAATGCTTGTACCGATCCTTGGAACAACTTGGATATTTGGCATCGTGGCTTTTGCACAGAAATCCGTCATCTTTCAATATATATTTGCCGTTTGCAACGCTTTCCAAGTAAGTAAAATGTACTTGTATTCCGATTAATTTCACGCTAAAAATTATTCAACACAGTTTTGTCAAAAGTCTTTGTTTCTGTATGTTGCTGAATTTAACGGATCGACTTTTTATTTACAGGGATTTTTTATTTTCATTCTATATTGTGTGTTAAATGCAGAGGTACATATACACTTTTTTGGTCGTTTCATCTCCTTTCTCTTTTAAATTTAATTTTTCTTCCATTCAAGATTCGTAGTGAAATTCAGAGACTACGAAAACGTGGAAGACGGAGAGAGAACTGGATTCTAAACGATCACCACAGAATAACTCGACTGACGAATAACAAAATAAAAGGTGACAACAATCTCGTGTCCAGATCCCTTCCTAATTCCTGACAGTGTCTTCATCTGAGCAACACGACCAACATACTTTGCCGATAACCAACCAGTTTTAATATTTGCTTGAAAAGATTCGCCCACTCAGTTGTGTTTGGCTCTTACGTACGTTGATATCATAAACTAGATTTGTCAAAAGATTATTTGACATCTAACACTCAAAAAATAGGGTTTTTTTACGCCTACGTCAGTCAGTGCACGTCATATCACATAACGCCAACGAAAAATACGTCAACCATTTGGAAACACTGATCTCATAAGATCAGTGTTTAGAAAGTCTATTTTCATTCGAATGTATTTACACTTAGAGTACGTATTTGTATATTTTAAATAGTATCTGATAAATTTTGCTTTAAAATGATGATTGGTTTTAAATAATAATAAATGGTTTTAAAAAGTAATAAAATGGTTTTAAAAAGCACTTCAGCGACAATTTATTGTCATGATGTTTGTAAAAAAATTACTTTGTCATATTGTGCCAGCTGCTTATAATTTGCACTTTACAAATTGTTTTTGAAACTAATGTTAGTTTCGTGTGCTGAGCATTTCTTTGATGTCGAAGATAATTTTTTCAATGCAAACAACACAAAGTGGTTGATTATAATTATTTATCTTACTTTTGCTTACTTGAGCATTATAAGTATGCGTCAATTTAAGGTCAGATCAGATAAAACGCCCACTTTCCGCAACTTAACGCATGGATTCTTAGTCTAAAATACTCTTCATTAAAAAATGAAAAATTCTTCAGTCGTTGAATCAAAATTTCTTTTGTTTACCGAAGCTTCTTTTACTGTGCTATGCAACAAGTGTTTTCAATGCTGAAGAGAGTTTTAAATGACTTGAATTATGTTCTGTCTTAAGGAAATTGTAAAGGTATTATTTTTATCTTATAAATAAATTACAGAATTGCTTTGATACTTGATGAATTAGCTTTATAACACTTTTGTTTTGTTTTGTTTTGTATGTACAGGATACTGCATCAATAAACAAATATTCTCTATTGAGTTTAGTCATATAAAGAGGACATCAAATTATCAACGGATCTTCGTTAAGTCAGGTCAGTTTATGTAGATATTGTTGATGATTTTAACAACGCAAGCGTCCCGAGGTCTTCACAGGTCTTTAAAATTGAATTATAATTCATTTTTCTAATGACAGCTTTCACCTGATATTTTTATGAATCACACGGTTCCAAAAACAAGGAAGAACATATATCTTCATTCATACTAGAAAATATGATTGTTTTTACACTTAGTTGTCATTATTTTATTGATAATACAAGACCATACCCCCTGTGTTTCATTTCAAACAGATATTTACATAATAATTATGACGAATTGAAAGTATAGTGAAATATTTGTATTGAATTAAGATCGCAAACAATTGTCTATCTCGACTTGTTTCATTTTTTATTTTCCTGACATAGGATATTGAGAAAGAAAGCTGGTGGTTGCTGTAAAAAAAATTGGAATTGTGAATTATATACATAAAATATCATGCATCCTTTCAACTTTAAATTTTTCTTATGTGGACTTTCAATCCTTGCATTGGTGATGTTATTTGGAATTATTAAAACTAAAGGTTTGTCTAGTTTATAAGACTCTCTTTATTACTCTTGTTTTATCTTTGAAATTCACGTAGTTTGTCTGCTTACTCTAAGTCTTTGTCGGTCGAGACTGCACATATAGCTAAGACTTAACATAGCAGTACTTCGAAATTTCACGTCAAAATTCTCCCAATGTGACATGCTCAACAGAAATTATAAAATACTGCACTGAGACGATAAAATTGATCATTTTGGAAAGCAAGCATACGAACCAATCAATTTTACGATGATTGCTGAAATAGTTTTTAAGAATAACTTTCGATTTTGGGAAAGAAGGGAAAGAAGTCATTTCTGGAATTATAGACACTGTGGCCTCCCAGTGTCTATATGGATTTTTACTCGTTTATCTTAATAAAACTCATTAGTTTGATAAATAAATAAAAACATTCTTTCGTCTCATTCTTTGCGTTATTTATAAGTGCATTGTTATTCATAATAGGATCGAACGTCGTATGCCAAGAGAAGTACGCTGCCTCTAAAAGAATTCCTTACGAACTTCCTTCTTTATTTGTGCGATGTACAGCTGCGACGATCATTAGAATAAGTAACACTGACGGACAAGTTTGTTACTGTACTGCAGAAAAAGATCACATCTCCTATCAAACTTTCGACTTTGTGATCAATCACCTTCCTTCAACAATACCATCACGATATCTACAAATGAAATAAATGGAAACAACTGCTCATTTAGACCACTTGCCGACGATCCTGGGTTTCCACATTTTAACATCATACTTCCTCCCGTAAAAGTCATTTCATCAAGTGATATGATCTCTCAATCTTTCACTACATCGTCGAAGTTTTATGTAAAGTCTTCCGTTACAAAGTTCATTCGTGCTACTAGATCAATATCTGTGATTCGTCAAATCTCTGTGACGTCATTAAATTTGCTCAATGCAACGATGAGGTTTGTGACAAATAAAGATATTTGAAATAAGAAGAGGTGCGATGTTTTTTCAAATGATAATTTTGTGATGTTGGAAAATGCCTGTTTTTATATAGAAGGACACAAGCCTCAATGAACACGTCATTTGGTGGATTTACGTTGTTAAGCACGTCACCACCAGTATCCTTGACACCATTGTTGTCTGAAGAATCATACATTTATACTTCAATGACTAATGGCACCTCTAGAATCATAAAAGAACCATTCCTAACATCTTCATCTACTGTCATAAAAGAACCATTACTAACGTCTTCATTTACTATCATAAAAGAACCATTACTAACATCTTCATCTACTATCATAAAAGAACCATTACTAACATCTTCATCTACTGTCATAAAAGAACCATTACTAACGTCTTCATTTACTATCATAAAAGAACCATTACTAACATCTTCATCTACTATCATAAAAGAACCATTACTAACATCTTCATCTACTGTCATAAAAGAACCATTACTAACATCTTCATCTACTATCATAAAAGAACCATTACTAACATCTTCATCTACTATCATAAAAGAACCATTACTAACATCTTCATCTACTGTCATAAAAGAACCATTACTAACATCTTCATCTACTATCATAAAAGAACCATTACTAACATCTTCATCTACTGTCATAAAAGAACCATTACTAGCATCTTCATCTACTGTCATAAAAGAACCATTACTAACATCTTCATCTACTATCATAAAAGAACCATTACTAACATCTTCATCTACTGTCATAAAAGAACCATTACTAACATCTTCATCTACTATCATAAAAGAACCATTACTAACATCTTCATCTACTGTCATAAAAGAACCATTACTAACATCTTCATCTACTGTCATAAAAGAGCCATTACTAACATCTTCATCTACTGTCATAAAAGAACCATTACTAAAATCTTCATCTACTATCATAAAAGAACCAATACTAACATCTTCATCTACTGTCATAAAAGAACCATTACTAACATCTTCATCTACTGTCATAAAAGGACCATTACTAACATCTTCATCTACTATCATAAAAGAACCATTACTAACATCTTCATCTACTGTCATAAAAGAACCATTACTAACATCTTCATCTACTATCATAAAAGAACCATTACTAACATCTTCATCTACTATCATAAAAGAACCATTACTAACATCTTCATCTACTGTCATAAAAGAACCATTACTAACATCTTCATCTACTGTCATAAAAGGACCATTACTAACATCTTCATCTACTATCATAAAAGAACCATTACTAACATCTTCATCTACTGTCATAAAAGAACCATTACTAACATCTTCATCTACTATCATAAAAGAACCATTACTAACATCTTCATCTACTATCATAAAAGAACCATTACTAACATCTTCATCTACTGTCATAAAAGAACCATTACTAACATCTTCATCTACTATCATAAAAGAACCATTACTAACATCTTCATCTACTGTCATAAAAGAACCATTACTAACATCTTCATCTACTATCATAAAAGAACCATTACTAACATCTTCATCTACTATCATAAAAGAACCATTACTAACATCTTCATCTACTGTCATAAAAGAACCATTACTAACATCTTCATCTACTATCATAAAAGAACCATTACTAACATCTTCATCTACTATCATAAAAGAACCATTACTAACATCTTTATCTACTGTCATAAAAGAACCATTACTAACATCTTCATCTACTATCATAAAAGAACCATTACTAACATCTTCATCTACTGTCATAAAAGAACCATTACTAACATCTTCATCTACTATCATAAAAGAACCATTACTAACATCTTCATCTACTATCATAAAAGAACCATTACTAACATCTTCATCTACTATCATAAAAGAACCATTACTAACATCTTCATCTACTATCATAAAAGAACCATTACTAACATCTTCATCTACTGTCATAAAAGAACCATTACTAACATCTTCATCTACTATCATAAAAGAACCATTACTAACATCTTCATCTACTATCATAAAAACCATTACTAACATCTTCATCTACTGTCATAAAAGAACCATTACTAACATCTTCATCTACTATCATAAAAGAACCATTACTAACATCTTCATCTACTATCATAAAAGAACCATTACTAACATCTTCATCTACTATCATAAAAGAACCATTACTAACATCTTCATCTACTATCATAAAAGAACCATTACTAACATCTTCATCTACTGTCATAAAAGAACCATTACTAACATCTTCATCTACTATCATAAAAGAACCATCACTAACATCTTCAACTAGTGTCATAAAAGAACCATTACTAACATCTTTATCTACTGTCATAAAAGAACCATTACTAACATCTTCATCTACTATCATAAAAGAACCATTACTAACATCTTCATCTACTATCATAAAAGAACCATTACTAACATCTTCATCTACTATCATAAAAGAACCATCACTAACGTCTTCATCTACTGTCATAAAAGAACCATTACTAACATCTTCATTTACTATCATAAAAGAACCATTACTAACATCTTCATCTACTGTCATAAAAGAACCATTACTAACATCTTCATCTACTATCATAAAAGAACCATTACTAGCATCTCCATCTACTATCATAAAAGAACCATTACTAACATCTTCATTTACTATCATAAAAGAACCATTACTAACATCTTCATCTACTATCATAAAAGAACCATTACTAACATCTTCATCTACTGTCATAAAAGAACCATTACTAACATCTTCATCTACTATCATAAAAGAACCATCACTAACATCTTCAACTATTGTCATAAAAGAACCATTACCAACATCTTCATCTACTGTCATAAAAGAACCATTACTAACATCATCATCTACTGTCATAAAAGAACCATTACTAACATCTTCATCTACTATCATAAAAGAACCATCACTAACATCTTCAACTATTATCATAAAAGAACCATTACTAGCATCTCCATCTACTATCATAAAAGAACCATTACTAACATCTTCATTTACTATCATAAAAGAACCATTACTAGCATCTCCATCTACTATCATAAAAGAACCATTACTAACATCTTCATCTACTATCATAAATGAACCGTTACTAACATCTTCATCTACTATCATAAAAGAACCATTACTAACATCTTCATCTACTATCATAAAAGAACCATTACTAACATCTTCATCTACTATCATAAAAGAACCATCACTAACATCTTCAACTAGTGTCATAAAAGAACCATTACTAACATCTTCATCTACTTTCATAAAAGAACCATTACTAACATCTTCATCTACTATCATAAAAGAACCATTACTAACATCTTCATCTACTGTCATAAAAGAACCATTACTAACATCTTCATCTACTATCATAAAAGAACCATTACTAACATCTTCATCTACTATCATAAAAGAACCATTACTAACATCTTCATCTACTATCATAAAAGAACCATTACTAACATCTTCATCTACTATCATAAAAGAACCATTACTAGCATCTCCATCTACTATCATAAAAGAACCATTACTAACATCTTCATTTACTATCATAAAAGAACCATTACTAGCATCTCCATCTACTATCATAAAAGAACCATTACTAACATCTTCATCTACTATCATAAATGAACCGTTACTAACATCTTCATCTACTATCATAAAAGAACCATTACTAACATCTTCATCTACTATCATAAAAGAACCATTACTAACATCTTCATCTACTATCATAAAAGAACCATTACTAACATCTTCATCTACTATCATAAAAGAACCATTACTAACATCTTCATCTACTATCATAAAAGAACCATTACTAGCATCTCCATCTACTATCATAAAAGAACCATTACTAACATCTTCATCTACTATCATAAAAGAACCATTACTAACATCTTCATCTACTATCATAAAAGAACCATTACTAACATCTTCATCTACTATCATAAAAGAACCATTACTAACATCTTCATCTACTATCATAAAAGAACCATTACTAACATCTTCATCTACTGTCATAAAAGAACCATTACTAACATCTTCATCCACTATCATAGAAGAACCATATCACACATCTTCATTCTTTAAATCAACAAACCTTGCCTCTTCATTCATTTCTACGGCTGTGAAACCTACACCAACTTTGTCATCTTTGTCATCTTTGAGCTCCGTCGTACTAGTGAATGACATGAAAAAATTGCAAGAAGGTAGGGAAGAGGTTTTTAACATCGATTCATAGATAGGATCATAGACATCACGTTGGTAAAACACAGTCTGTTTTTCAAAATCCTAGAAAAAAATTTTAGTATCCTTATGACGAAATACATTTTATATTTCATTGCATAGATTACAATTTTCTTGAAAATCTCAACACGTCTGAAGTTAACATAAATGACGATAAAACAATCACAGTAAGTTCAATTATGTTTTATTTGAATGAAACTTATGATCACAATGTCTTGTGTGATATCTAATGATTGAACATCTTGAATGTTTTTTTTAGTCTATTTTGGATGCAGCTGCGAATTTGATTGCTACAAATTCTACGTTTCAAGAGGTTGGCGAGTGTTTCGAATAAACTTATAAAATGAGCTTTTGTTTTTCTAAACGAGTAAATTTTTTTTTATTTAGGATGCAGGAGGAAAAGCAGTGCAAACATTAGAAATACTTGGGGATTTTTTGGCACTGCAACTTGTTCTTGGAAACGAAAGCTCTGTTATTTATGAGAAAGTCACGAAAGATTTGGGTGGGTGAAATATAAATATTCTCAATTTTGACAGCTTGAATTTATATATACATGTACATGGAGACGATTTATATTACATCCTGGATGGACTGTATTCAAAAAACTATCCATGTGCTTGCACTTTGGTAGCCTCAACTATCCGTAGATATAAATGTATGGGGATGGATTATATTCAATTATCCATACATGTACATGCAGTAAAAGTGATTATGTGTTCTTGTTTTTTATTGATTTAGTATTCGGTGTTGCAGTTATCAATACATCTTTTGAGATAAATTTTAAGTTTCCCATCACTGAAATGAAAGAACTTGGTGATGATAACATAAATATTCCAAACTCTGTGTTTGGATCTGAGTCAGGTAACAATAAAGACCAGTATTTTATTTATTTGCTTATTGTTTTACTGTCCTTGATCTCCTTTTTTATTTGCCAATAGTATTTTGTTGTATTCACAAATGTTATTGTCTTGATTTATAGATCAGTCCTACTTTGTTGGAATCATTTTCAAAGCTTATCGTGAAATGCGTGAAAATACAACAGGTTCAACTGTAGGAACGAAAGTTATAAATGCCAGAGTGTCGCCATCACCGAGTGCTAATCTTGTTGAACCTGTTGAAATGTTGTTTGAAAAAATTAATGTACGTGTGTACTTTAATTGTTTTATTTTTGGTTTGGGTTTCTTTATTCGTTTGTGTATGTGATTTACTTTGATTTATTGTGTGTTTTTTTCTGTTTCATGTTATTTAAAGATGAACTATGGTACGATTTGTTCACTTTGGATTGAAAATGAAAAGTAAGTATTTTCACCTTGACTGTTTTAATAACGTTAAAATTCTTACCTATTGTTACTTTATGTAACATTGTTATTATGCAGCTTGATTGGTGATTATGGCAGATGGTCTAGTCGAAATTGCTCAAGAAAATATGAAAACGATACACATATTCTTTGTCAATGTAATCATTTTACAAATTTTGCTGTACTTTTCAGAGTCAGTGATGACCAGGTAACTATAACTTTTAGCAAACACATTGTTGAGTGATGTTTTATCAAAAGAATTTTTTTGTAGATACTGTTGTATGTATTTATTACAGGATTCATTTACTTTGTCTATTATAACTTACGTTGGTCTTGGTTTTTCGATTGTCGGATGTTTTTTAACTTTTCTTGTTTATACGAACTTGAAGTAAGTTTTGTTGATTGGTCTCAAAGTAATAGCCGTATTTTCCACTATTTGCTGCTTATTGTGTAGTTTCAATGGCTGAATTTTCCCTATAAAATTTTTTTCTAGGAGCGTAAAAACAGAGAGAGTGACAGTTCATATAAATCTTGTTTTCGCACTTGGTCTTGCTGATGTCATTTTTCTAGTGACTATTGCTTTAGAACCAGACGGGGTTGGTCATTAAACTTTTATTGACAGTCTATACCATGCACTAAGTTATCGTCTGTAACTGTTATCTCTGTTTTAACCTCCTTTTTCGAACTTTAACTAACCATTCTTTCTCGTGTTCAAGAACTATTGTCTAGCAGCATCCATGTTGGCATTTTATTTCTACCTTGCCGTATTTTTTTGGATGTTGGTCGAAGGTGTTTATATATATTTGATGGTCGTTGAAGTCTTTCGTGGTAACGTCACCAGAAAAAGGAAAATTGCTTACCTAGTAGGGTGGGGTGAGTATTGACGTATGTGTTAAGCCATTTCAATTTTGTGCATTTTTTCACTGTTGTGTTGACTATTTTCATATGTTATTTATATAGTATTACCGCTGTGCATATCACTTGCAACCTGGGCTATAATGAGAGACGATATTCTTTCAAAATATCAGTAAGTTATCATGAAATGAAATGTAATTTTGATGTTTGTAATTTTTTATCCTCATTAACATGTGGATATTTTATAGTTGTTGGCTGTCTGTGGAAACTGGAGCGATTTGGTCTTTTGTTGCTCCGGGTTTAACGGTTATATTTGTAAGTATGTTCTGTTTATTATTGGTTTGTATGTATTGATTTGATGAAAATTTATAAAATTATTCCTTTTTTTGCAGATCAACTTTATCATTCTTTTAATTGTAATAAAGAAATCTTGGAAGAAATTTGTAAATGATAAAGAATACAATGGATTGAAGTATGTTTGTACTTTGTAGGATAATGGATTGAAGTATGTGTGTACTTTGTAGGATAATGGACTGTAGAATATGTACTATATTATAGTACATTGTTAGATTAAAGATTAAAGTAAGACATCGTTATCAGTAACATGCATAACTAACATAAAAATTCTTTATTTTCCAGGTCAGCAATGAAAACATTTGCTGCAATCATTCCACTGTTAGGGATAACTTGGATATTTGGTGTTATGACGTTCAACGAATCATCTCTGGTTTTTCAATATATTTTTGCTGCTACAAATTCCGTTCAGGTTTTTGACAAAAGATCTTCATTTTTAACTGAGATCATAAATAACATTGTTATACGTTTTATTTTATTATTTAGGGAGCTTTGATATTTTTCCTCTATTGCATTATTAATAATGAGGTAAACTCTCTGTTTTATAACCCATTTACTGTAATAAATTTAATATCTTGCAATATGTTGACCAATCCAGGTTCGAAATGAATTGAAGCGAAAGTTTGCAAACTGGCAAACACGTCGTGATGTGTCGTCTTCAGCCGGTGGTGGTCGTATGTACAACGTGCGACGTCACAATGACGCAATATCGTCAGAGAATTACACTACATTTAATCGGACAACTTCATTGGAGCATACTCCCGTTGTTGTTCCTGTTTATCCATTAGCTGAAGTGAATAAAGTGTATGTGGACGAATAAGGACTACAAAAAGTCAGAATGGTGATGTTTTGTGCATTATGTCTTGGGAAGCAAAATGGTGAAAAAAAGTTTTCATCTCAAAGACTGAGAAAGAATTAGTTATGAACGTCGAAACGTTCTTATAGGTGAGCTGGAAAGACTTGAGACGAATGTGTACGGTACTTGGTAGATCATCGCAATTATTCTTTGCAATATCCACTTGTTTTCTAGGTTTGATTTTGTTCTCATGATTGAGACTTATTTTGAACTTATGATACATTGTAAAGTGTATAGTTATTTGTACATAAGATATTTATTGAAGACTAACACCAATGACATTTTCATCGTTCTCACTTCAACTTAACCTGTTTGTTCCTGCTCATAGTAGCAGCAATTTGCTAAGCACATAAAGAAAACTGAAAACATTTTAATCAATAATTTAATATTTAATAACTAATGCATAATATTTAATGAATAACTGACCAATAAATGTGCATTTTGTCAAAATAAATTTCAAGTTGTTGACGAGTGGAGAAGTGTATTCAGTTTAACCTTCAAGTCTATTTAAGTCTTATAGTCTTAGTCTACTTTAATACTACAAGTGATGAACAACTGGAAAATTTTGTTTGTATTAAGAGCATTTTCTAGGGCGATATACAGTATGCTACTGGTCACTAACACGCCTTAGTTGTGGATCTCTCAATGCTGGCGACGTGTTTTTGTTCCAATCCAAAAACTTTGATATCGTCGCTTTTTCCCGCAGTCTGTATTCACCATCTTTAACACTTTTCAAGTAAGTTTATCATTGTTATTGTATTCATGTTAACTTTTACTATTTCTTCATTACAGTCTCGTCAGCAGTCTTTGTTTCTACATGTTTCTGAATTTAACAGATCGACTTTTTATTTACAGGGATTTTTTATTTTCATTGTATATTGTGTGTTAAATGCAGAGGTACATATACACTTTTTTGGTCGTTTCATCTCCTTTCTCTTTTAACTTCAATTTTTCTTCCATTCAAGATTCGTAGTGAAATTCATAGACTACGGAAAACGTGGAAGATGGAGAGAGAGCTGGATTCTAAACGATCTCCACAGAATAACTTAACTGACAATCTAAGGTGACCTCGATCTCGTATTCAGATTCGTAATCCCTGAAAATGTTATCATGTGATTTGTGAAATTAAGTGTCGACTGCATGCAAACAGACATAATTTGACCCATTTTATCGAATGAGTTTTCATTTAAATATCAAAATTGCTTGCTTTTTTTTCTTTCTCAAAGCAAGTATTTAATAGAACATCATTTCATATCACACAAACTGAAAATACGCCAACCACTCGCGCTGTCTCTTTTATAAAATAATTTGCATATAGATAACGTATTTGTACATTGTATACACAATATATATAAACATATTAAAACGATCATATTATGTTTACGTAAAGAAATACGTGGTATGAGAAATTTATGATGGTTCGTATGCAGTAAATAAAACGCCCACTTTCCGCAACTTTACGCATGAGTTCATCGTAGACAATACAGCATTCACTAAAAATTGTTCAATTCCGTGTATGATATCGATCTATCTTTGTTTACAAAAGTGCTTTTATTCTGGAAGAGAGACTTGTGCTTACCGATTTTACTAAAGTGCTTTCGTTCAGGAAGAGAGACTTGTCAGTTGCAAGACTTGTATTATCTTCTGTTTTTAGAATTAAAAGGTACTATTTTTATATCGTGAACAAATTATAGAGAAATACTTTGATATTATATGAAGTAACTCCATTAAGTAATTGAGTCGTTTATAATTGTTGATATACGAGATGATATGGAGTCGGTGTAATGAAAAAAGTATTCAGTGCTGAGTTCAGCTTTATATAGAGAACATTAAATTATCAACGGATCTTCGTTAAGGCAGGTCAGTATATGTAGATATTGTTGATGATTTTAACAACGCTATCGTCTCGACTTCTTAACAGGTCTTTATAATTGAGTAATAATTCATGTTTCTAATGACAGCTTTCACCTGATATTTTTATGAATCACATGATTCCCACGAATGCTTTGATATATCTTCATTCATAAGAATATGTCTGTACTTCAAATTACCACAGGAAACTTTAGAACTTTTAGCCAAGGTGATAGAAAATTATGGCATTATTTTCATGATAATAACAAGACCATACTTCTTGTGTTTTATTGTAAATAAATATGTACATAATATAAATATGACGAATTGAAACTAATGTGAAATATTTGTAAAGAATTAAGCTTTCAAATAATAGTCTGTCTTGACTTGTTTCATTTTTTATTTTCCTGATTAGGATATTGAGAAAGAAAGCTGGTGGTTGCTGTAACAAAGTTTGAAATTGTCACTTCAATGCATAGAATATCATGCATCCTTTCAACTTTAAATTTTTCTTTCGTGGACTTTCAATCCTTGTATTGGTGATGTTATTTGGAATTATTAAGAGTAAAGGTACATCTAGTTTATAAGACTCTATTATTATTAATTCTTAACCCCGGGAGAAAGTACGTTATATACTTAAAGATTATTATCAAATTTTACACGTAGTGTTTGAGAATGAGAGACACAAATCCTTTGAGACTTAGCAGTCTGCTATGATTTCCCTAGTAGTATTTGACAAGTAGAGGGGTTACCACATTGATCTTATGGCTTGCTTTATTGTAGACTTTACAGATACCGAAAATTCACGGCAAAATTTTCTACGGTTTTTTAGCGGAAGTAATAAAATAGTTGACTTATGCGATGATTATTCAAGCAAGAAATCAAACTAAGCACTATCAGGATGATCACTGATTTATTTTCTAGGAATTATTTTTGTTGTCATTTTATGAAAGATCTATTTGTCAGTTGTTTCAAGAGAATATTGCCCTTATTACCTCCTCAAAATGTCTTTTATACTCTTTCTTCATTTGTTAAATAATGTGGAAATTTGACATAAAAAATTAATCATCTTGCTTTTTGTGTTGTAAAATAAATATGTTTCTTTTCACAGAATCAAGTGACACGTGTTTTCGACTAAAGTACAGTAAATCTAGAGAGTTTAGAAGGTTATCTGTCCTTAATGTGTCATGTTCAGCTGTTACGGTCATTGAACTATATACTAACAAGAAACGTTGTACGTGTCGTACTTTTAAGCCTGGAACAATTATTGAAAACATTAGGCAGTGTAGTTCGTTGAAGTATACCATCACAATATCCACAAATGAACCTCTGGGAACCAACTGCTCATTTAGAAGACCTCGGAATTCGCGCTGGATTGTTCTCTTAGTAGTCCCTCCTTTGAATGTTAATCAATCAATTGATATGATCTCTCAATCTTTCACAAAATCATCCAAGTTATATGTAAAGTCTTCCGTCGCAAAGTTCATTCGTGCTACCAGATCAACATCTGTGATTGGTCAAATCTCTGTGACGTCATTAACTTTGCTCAATGCAACGATGAGGTTTGTGACGAATGAAGACATTCAAAATAAGTGCGATGTTCTTTTCAAATTACAATTTTGTAATGTTAGGAAATGGCTGTTTTTATTTAGTGGGACACTAGCCTCAATGAATACGTCACTTGGTGAATTTACGTTGTCAAGCACGTCACCTCTGGTATCCTTGACACCATTGTTGTCTGAAGAATCATCTATTTATACTTCAGTAATAACTGCCATAAAAAATACTGGGACCTCCAGTATCATAGAAGAATCATCACAGACATCTTCATTCATTAAATCAACAAACCTTATCTCTTCATTCATTTCTACGACTGTGAAACCTACACCAACTTTGTCATCTCCATCAACTTTAAGTTCCGTCGTTCAGGTTAATGAAACATGGTCTTCTTATACTTCTGTGACTTCTTCTTTAACAGTTCCATTACAAACATCTTCATTCATTAAAACAACAAACTTTATATCTTCATTCATTTCTACGACTGTGAAACCTACACCAACTTTGTCATCTTCGTTAACTTTGAGCTCCATCGTTCAAGTTAATGAAACATGGTCTTCTTATACTTCTGTGACTTCTTCTTTAACAGATCCATTACAAACATCTTCATTCATTAAAACAACAAACTTTATATCTTCATTCATTTCTACGACTGTGAAACCTACACCAACTTTGTCATCTTCGTTAACTTTGAGCTCCATCGTTCAGGTTAATGAAACATGGCCTTCTTATACTTTTGTGACTTCTTCTTTAACAGTTCCATTACAAACATCTTCATTCATTAAAACAACAAACTTTATATCTTCATTCATTTCTACGGCTGTTAAATCCACACCAACTTTGTCATCTTCGTCATCTTTGAGCTCCATCGTACAAATGACTGACATGAAAAAATTGCAAGAAGGTAAGGAAAGAGGTTTTTAACATCGATTCATAGATAGAATCATAGACATAACGTTGGTAAAACACAGTCTGTTTTTCAAAATCCTAGAAAAAAATTTCAATGTCGTCATGACGAAATACATTTTATATTTCATTGCATAGATTACAATTTTCTTGAAAATCTCAACACGTCTGAAGTTAACATAAATGACGATAAAAGAATCACAGTAAGTTCAATTATGTTTTATTTGAATGAAACTTATGATCACAATGTCTTGTGTGATTTCTAATGATTGAACATCTTGAATGTTCTTTTAGTCTATCTTGGATGCAGCTGCGAATTTGATTGCTACAAATTCTACGTTTCAAGAGGTTGGCGAGTGATGAACATCAACTGAACGATGATTTCTGTTTTTTTTGAGTAAATTATTATTTTTTATTTAGGATGCAGGAGGAAAAGCAGTGGAAACATTAGAAAAACTTGGGGATTTTTTGGCACTGCAACTTGTTCTTGGAAACGAAAGCTTTGTTATTAATGAGAAAGTCACGAAAGATTTGGGTGGGTGAAATATAAATATTCTCAATTTTGATAGCTTGAATTTATATATACATGTACATGGAGACGATTTATATTACATCCTGGATGGACTGTATTCAAAAAACTATCCATGTGCTTGCACTTTGGTAGCCTCAACTATCCATAGATATACATGTATTGGGGTGAATTATATTCAATTATCCATGCAGTAAAAGTGATTATGTGTTATAAAATAAGCGCAATGAAACGGGTGCGCTGATTGGTCTAGAGCTGTGTTTTAGCCTGTGCAAAACACATCTGAGCTCAACCAATCAAATCAATCAAAACAATCAATCAGTCAAAGAGAATTTGTAAATCGATCATGAAGAAAAATCATTTTCAAACCTCGGAGACGTTTGTGAGAAGTCTCGAGCTTGTGCAACCCTCGACCTTCGGTCTCGGGCTTGCACTGATCTACTCTCGAGTTCTCCCAACGTTCTCCTCGGTTTGCATAAGCCTGTGCAAACACAGTAAACATCTTTTATTTCTTAATTGTTGTTTTTTATTGATTTAGTATTCGGTGTTGCAGTTATCAATACATCTTTTGAGATAAACTTTAAGTTTCCCATCACTGAAATGAAAGAACTTGGTGATGATAACATAAATATTCCAAACTCTGTGTTTGGGTCTGAGTCAGGTAACAATAAAGACCAGTATTTTATTTATTTGCGTATTGTTTTACTGTCCTTGATTTCCTTTTTTATTTGCCAATAGTATTTTGTTGTATTCACAAATGTTATTGTCTTGATTTATAGATCAATCCTACTTTGTTGGAATCATTTTCAAAGCTTATCGTGAAATGCGTGAAAACACAAAAGGTTCAACTGTAGGAACGAAAGTTATAAATGCCAGAGTGTCGCCATCACCGAGTGCCAATCTTGTTGAACCTGTTGAAATGTTGTTTGAAAAAATTAATGTACGCGTGTAGTAAACATTTTAATTGTTTTATTTTTGGTTTGGGTTTCTTTATTCGTTTGTGTATGTGATTTACTTTGATTTATTGTGTGTTTTTTTCTGTTTCATGTTATTTAAAGATGAACTATGGTACGATTTGTTCATTTTGGATTGAAAATGAAAAGTAAGTATTTTCACCTTGACTGTTTTAATAACGTTAAAATTCTTACCTATTGTTACTTTATGTAACATTGTTATTATGCAGCTTGATTGGTGATTATGGCAGATGGTCTAGTCGAAATTGCTCAAGAAAATATGAAAACGATACACATATTCTTTGTCAATGTAATCATTTTACAAATTTTGCTGTACTTTTCAGAGTCAGTGATGACCAGGTAACTATAACTTTTAGCAAACAGATCGTTGAGTGATGTTTTATCAAAAGAATTTTTTGTCGATATTTTAGTATGTATTTATTACAGGATTCATTTACTTTGTCTATTATAACTTACGTTGGTCTTGGTTTTTCGATTGTCGGATGTTTTTTAACTTTTCTTGTTTATATGAACTTGAAGTAAGTTTTGTTGATTGGTCTCAAAGTAATAGCCGTATTTTCCACTATTTGCTGCTTATTGTGTAGTTTCAATGGCTGAATTTTCCCTATAAAATTTTTTTCTAGGAGCGTAAAAACAGAGAGAGTGACAGTTCATATAAATCTTGTTTTCGCACTTGGTCTTGCTGATGTCATTTTTCTAGTGACTATTGCTTTAAAACCAGACGGGGTTGGTCATTAGACTTTTATTGACAGTCTATACCATTCACTAAGTTATCGTCTGTAACTGTTATCTCTGTTTTAACCTCCTTTTTCGAACTTTAACTAACCATTCTTTCTCGTGTTCAAGAACTATTGTCTAGCAGCATCCATGTTGGCATTTTATTTCTACCTTGCCGTATTTTTTTGGATGTTGGTCGAAGGTGTTTATATATATTTGATGGTCGTTGAAGTCTTTCGTGGTAACGTCACCAGAAAAAGGAAAATTGCTTACCTAGTAGGGTGGGGTGAGTATTGACGTATGTGTTAAGCCATTTCAATTTTGTGCATTTTTTCACTGTTGTGTTGGCTATTTTCATATGTTATTTTTATAGTATTACCGCTGTGCATATCTCTTGCAACATGGGCTATAATGAGAGACGATCTTCTTTCAGAATATCAGTAAGTTATCATGAAATGAAATGTAATTTTGATGTTTGTAATTTTTTATCCTCATTAACATGTGAATATTTTATAGTTGTTGGCTGTCTGTGAAAACAGGAGCGATTTGGTTCTTTGTTGCTCCCAGTTTGGCAATTATATTTGTAAGTATGTTCTGTTTATAGCATGTATTGATTTGATGAAAGTTTATAAAATTATTCCTTTTTTTGCAGATCAACTTTATTATTCTTACAATTGTAATAAAGAAATCTTGGACTAAATTTGTGAATGACAAAGAACATAATGGATTGAAGTATGTACTTTATAGGATAATGGATTGAAGTATGTACTTTATAGGATAATGGATTGAAGTATGTATGTACTTCGTAAGATAATGGGCTGAAGTATGTACTTCGTTGGATAATAGACTGAAGTATACGTACCTTTACTTTCCAGGTCAGCAATGAAAACATTTGCTGCAATCATTCCACTGTTGGGGATAACGTGGATATTTGGTGTTATGACGTTCAACGAATCATCTCTGGTTTTTCAATATATTTTTGCTGCTACAAATTCCGTTCAGGTTTTTGACAAAACATCTTCATTTTTAACTGAGATTGTAAATAACATTGTTATACGTTTTATTTTATTATTTAGGGAGCTTTAATATTTTTCCTCTATTGCATTGTTAATAATGAGGTAAACTCTGTGTTTTATAACCCATTTACTGTAATAAATTTAATATCTTGCAATATGTTGACCAATCCAGGTTCGAAATGAATTGAAGCGAAAGTTTGCAAACTGGCAAACACGTCGTGAAGTGTCGTCGTCAAACGGTGGTGGTCGTATGTACAACGTGCGACGTCACAATGACCCAATTTCGTCAGAGAATAACACTACATTTAATCGGACAACATCATCTGGGCGAGTTCCCGCCAGTGTTCCTGTTTATCAATTAGCAGTTGTAAATAAAACGGGAAACTGAAGACATTAAATCAACCAGGAGAATTAGTGAACCTGCAGAAGGTTGTATATGAAAGCGATATCGAAATAAAAGGCTTTGAAAAGTAGACATGCCATAAAATTATTGGAAAGAATCTTCATCTTAAAAGTGAGAAAGAATTAGTCATGAACATTGAGACGTTCTTATAGGTGAGCTGGAAAGACTTGAGACGAATGTGTACGGTACTTGGTAGATCATCGTAATTGTTCTTTGTAATATCCTCTTGTTTTCTAGGTTTGATTTTAGTCTTATGATTGAGACTTATTTTGAACTTATTATACATTGTAAAGTGTATAGTTATTTGTATATAGGATATTTGTTGAAGACTAACACCAATGACATTTTCATCGTTCTCACTTCAACTTAAGTTGTTTGTTCCTGCTCATAGTAGCAATTGTTAAACAGATTTGAAGAAAACTGAAAATATTTTAATTACTAATCCATGATATTTAGTATTTAACCGATAGTTGACAAATAAATAAATTTTAAATCAAAAGATCAAGCTGTTGACTGAAGAGAAGTGCATTCAAATCCATTAATCTCAGTCTACTTTAATACAACATGTGACGAAAAACTGTTTTCAATTGTAAAATTTCAAATCGCTTGTTTGTGTCGAGAAAATTTTTCCAGGAGTATACCTTACGTCAACACCAACACACCGTAGTTCCGGACGCCGCCGCAATTCTAGTGACGTTCCAGCTCATATTTAACGCGGAATGGAGAACGGAGTCTGGAGTGAAGTAACCTGAAATGGAAAATGGAATTTTTAAAAAAGGTTTAGCTGTGTTTATCAATGAAGGATGTTTTAACTACGTAGAGATGATTTGTTAAACTTTTAAGAATATTAATGTCATTTTAAATGATGGTTAAATTACAAGGTTAAATAGTTGGAATTTTATTAAACAAAAAGAAAGATAGCGTAATGCTATAACCAACAACTACAAACAATAACCTCATATAAGGGTTTCTGCTTTTGAGTAGACTTGTCTCGTTTACAAGGAAGAGGAGTGGAAGGTTAATTTCTCAAATGTTGTTAGATAAGGTCGTTATTGTTTGTAGTTGATGGTTACATTACGTAAAATCTTACAATAATGACCTTTCTATACTTGCTTTGTCAAAATTGCATTGATTTTTAATTAAGATCGTTATGAATATGACTAATAAAAACACAAATATTATCGATTTTTATAGGTGTAACTGGAGGGAAAATCCTAAACACGTAAGTTTAAAAGTTTGAGTTGAATTTCGTCGGTAAAAGTGTTTAAACTTTGCTATATCTCACACAAATTCTTCTCTTTTTGTGGCTCTGTTTTTACGTGACAAATTTGCCCCAACGATAGTCTCCATGTGAACGTCTCCTCACAGAGCATTTTAATGATAAAGATCTTTACAAAAATTTAATCTAAGAACGCGCAAATACTTACATACAGTCTTGAAAATGAAAATTACAAGTTGAAATATTTAACATTTTTCATTTTTGATCATTCCATTCGCGTTCCGTTATCGCACAATCCACGTTTTAAACTAGCCTCCTGCTTTATTTTAGCTTTATTAGAATGTGTTTCGACGTCTTCTTTGTGTTTACCTAACCCAACGTCGAATATTTAAATCCTTCACTTGATTTATTAACGATAAGCATGTTTTCACCTGCTGTTTTTATGTCCTTTTGACCTTCTTTCATTACAAACTGTGAACGAATGCTGTATTCGCGACTGTTGTCACCGTAAATATATGCAGACTTTCAACTTGCTTAGACAAAGGCAAGGTTAATTGTCTTCTCTCAATGAGCTTGTTGCTAACTTGCTATATTAGCATATTATTATAGCAGACCTTGTTTTATTGCTCTTTATACAGAGAAACGGTCGACCAAACATGGAGGTAAGTTAAAGACTATCCTGTCAAAATGAAGCGAAAATCTATAAGGTAGTAATCTGCAATCGACGTTTGGTTCTACAGCTTTGACAACGTATTCTGTTGATAAAGCGTTAAAAAACTGCATGTTTCTGGTTGAGTTATTACTGAATGTATCCTACTTTTGTACGTTCACCATTTATAGAAAGAAATGAGCAGTTTGAAAAGAATAATGGTATCTTTTTTGCTCTTCGCTATGATTTACTTCACTCAAGTTCACTGTGGTAAGCTTTATCGAGAAGAATGGTAATGAGTAAAACGTTATAGATATGTTTGATGAAACCCTTGATATTTAAGAACATGTGTTGATGGATTGTGATGGTTTACTTAATTCCTACTTTGACTAATTCAAATATCTACGGGACGTAGACGTACAGCTGACAAAATATCGTTACTGCATGCTGTGTATGTTTTGTTAACATGAAGTACGCGTCGGTAGTCTGCAGCGTGATTAATGTAGAAAATTTTCACGTTGTTTTAGATTTGATTTTAATATCGATGAAAATCGGAAATGACCGGGTTTTTTTAACACTTATTGAATTATCTAGAAGCAATATTGGAATAATTTGAGATTTTTTTGTAAGCTTAAGTTTTGAATTAGAAAAATTTGACTGACGACTAACCCTCATTTTAGGATGTTTTAAGCTCTCAACATGGTTTATGCACGTGCCTTCAATGTTTAAAGTGATTTCCATTTTTCATCATTTATTCGACAATTTGTTGCAAGGTTGAACAAAGTTGCATTTTTTGTTGATATAAAACTCCGAGACACAGAAAGTGGTTTCACTTACGCCAAAAACATTTTCAAGCAGGTTTTAAAGAGGCCCTTTCAGTAATGGATTAAAAAATATTAAAGCGTACGATTCTTGTTGAGCTTAGAATTAGAAAACCTTATCCTACTACTGTTTATTGTAGTGTTTGTATCCCTGTGTGAAATTTCATAAAAACAATCTTATGATTATATATGCAGTATATATAATCACGATTATTTTTATACAAACATGAAAGAGCATGTTCATGCTATAAATCTAGGTGCATGAACTAGACCATGCAATAACAAACAATGAAGCAGACATAATTCAATATAAGCTAATTAATCTATCTATTTTTGACCATTACGTTTGACTTTAATTTAACGTATGTTTGAAAGAAGAATTCATATGATCACTGCTGGACCTATGTTATTTTTACGTGAATAAAGTTTAAGCAAACAAAGTGTGGGTTTTACTTTAATTGACCTATAATTTTTGTTTCTCTTTCAGTGAGTAAAACCGTCTCGTTCAATCACAATCAATGTGTAAAAAGCAAGAAATATAAATCGGAAACAATGGTTGAGAAAGCATCTGATGCTCGTCTTCGTCGTGTTACGTTTCATTGTACTTCTGGTGAAATCGTTTTTAATGTTCGTTATTCTAACGGCTCACTTTGCGCTTGTGGAATTGTTCCCTTAGAGAAAAGATGCAGTGTATCTTGTAAAGAGAAGCTCTCAAGCCTTGACATCATTGTTCACATTTCCACAGACAAAATGGGAACGAAATCCAAAATAGCGTGTGATGTTGCTTTGTATTATTATCCAACTGGTAAACGAGATTTTCAACCGACACAGATGTACATTTGGCAAAAGCCAAGATTTTACAATCATTCAAAAGGTGGAAACTCTCGTAAAGTGGGAAAAATCCCTACACTACCTACTGCACCAACGAACATGTCTGTGGTTAATGAATCAAACCATTTACAGAAATTGGTGGATATCTTGACATCATCAATAAGATTATCAATGTTGAGGTAAGTCAATAACATATGCAGCTGATACATCAGTAAATTGTCCTTGGAATTGAATTTTACGAATATTTTTCATGCTCCTAAGGTTATGACTCAATATGTTTCATTCGTGTGTTTCCAGTTCCTTATTTAATATAACCTTCAGGCGTGCCATTCACGTTGTCAAAACGTTTACTTTTTTGTAACACTTTAAAACAACATTTTATTATAAAATAATTCTTAAATGCTAAAAATATTTCTTAAATGCTAAAAATATTTATTGTCTACCGTATTAGGACAAGTTACCCTAGGTGAGGTTAAGGTTATTTTGCTAAATGCTAATGTGACATTAACGCCCGACAAACGCATTTAAACGAAATTTCAAAAGAGCAAAATTACGCAACTGCAGGGCTTATGCTGTTGGCAAAATGACACGTTGGGTATTGCAACAGTTTATTGTTTATTCGAAAAGTAAATAAATATTTTGTTATTGGTCATTTGTCTACCGCCAGTAAAATGTTTTGTAGATTCGTCCTTGTAAGTAAATAAACAACTTTCTATCAATCGTGCTCATGGTTGCCATCAAAGCTGACGTTTTTGCCATTACCTTCTTTCTCTTGGGCATTTTTATTGCATTCTTTTGGGGGTGTTTGTTTGTTCAACTTAATATCAAAATAGGAGTGTGTCTCATCACAAATGGCTGACAATGTTTGCGTGTCTTCAAAAACGCAGGTCTACTTAACATGGTTTCTCGTAAATTCTTTATGAACTTCCCAAATCTGTATATTGGTTCATTTAAAATGCAACATAATTAGCATCACTCGTCACTTTGGCCTAGAAATTAGTTAAGCATCAGGCTGACATTTCGTGGTCGGTCACCCACTATCTTTTAATCTCTATGTCAACTTTACTTATTCGATCTTTGGCGCCGTGTTTTCTATATTTGTTTGAGTAAGGTGTGAATCATACAACTTGGTGATGGCGTCGCATTATTTTCAACTAATACCTGTTTAAACAAACGGATTATTTGCATACAAAATTATGTGGAAGCAAAATAAAGCAAACGATTGTCGTGCGAGTTGCTGCACAGTTGAAAAGTGAACCTTTGGTATTGTAAACCTATCTGCTGTTGTGAATATTACATTCTTAACTTCACTCAAAGGAGAACAAGGATTTCAAAGTCAAGCGTTGTGTTTTGTTTAAAGAGATGGATTTGAAACTGTTGAAGTTGTTTCTTTCAAGTATCGCATTAATATTTTATAAAGGTGAGTGGAAATTATACTCATTTGGTGTTATTTTATTTTTACGTTAATAATAACACCGTTTTGGATAAAATCAAAGTATTACACGATCGAAATACACGACCGTATTTTGACACAACAAGTATTATGTTCTACGGAGATAATTGATTTCATATTTGTAGACTTTGTTATAGTAATCTGTATCTTTAATTAATATCAAGTTTTCCCTCGGATGACATCAACTCAACGATTATATATTTTCCCATATTTTTACAACATAAATATTTGTATGGAACATATATATTCATTCTTTATCGTTTAAATTCTTACGTGATGTCAAGAAAGTATAATGTAAAATATTTATGAGGAGACTTGTAGCTCAAAATAAACTAAACGGAAGGGCTTGGTATGTTATGAATATTCCAATGTTTTTATGAGCTTACATGAAGAATATTTGAACTAATAAAACACACATGAAATAAATTTATTGTAAAAAAATAAGATTTTTTTACTTAATGAACAGGGAGGGAGTACAATCATTAGCTTAAATTTACTCTCTTTTTTTCTTCATCATTTAGCTGTTGTAACAAATGCATCGATATCGCCATCAGAACTCAAGTGTCCAAGACACAAAATGATTGTGGCAAAACCGTTTGTTTATACTGAAACTGAAGAAATCTTATCGCAAATAACTATAGTGTGCACGATACCAAACGTCGTCTTTAAAGTTCACTACACAAACGGTTCTTTTTGTGCTTGTGGTTTGATTCAGAAGGATCTCGTACGTCTTTCTTTCTTTTGCTCTGAGGCTCTCTTTTCATTGGATATCATCATCGATCTATCAACCAATGAAACTAGTCAAACGTTAGCTCGATGTGACGTATCTCTGTCTTTGGGTCTTGATTTGCGTCCTGTGCACATTAACTTCTTATCGTCAGCATCTTCAGACAATTTTAACGATCTCACTTTTCACAGTAAACCTAAACTAAGGTAGCTATAAATTCAAAGAACGAAAGTAGCCTCGTAGTCATAAAAGACGTCCAAAAAATGCACATGGTGTTTTCTTGTTTTTTAATTGTTTTTTTCAGTAGTGCGTTTAGTAAACTTACGTTTTTATATCCCCCAAAAGCAATTGTAAAAACAACCAAATCTTTGTCAATTCCTTCATTTATTCTTTACAGTTCGACAGTCGTTTCAAGAACGATTGCTGCACCGACTGGACATTCGTCAAAGGCAAATCTGCAAAACTTCTATACATCTGTGACAGGGAAAGAACTACTTCCATCGCAAGTTTCAGTTATGTTGACGTCATCAAAGTCATTCATTAAAACTCAATCTGTATCCCAACCACTGTCGATGGTCACTTCTCCATTTTCATCAACATCTTCCATTCTAGTGGCCACTTCAGTCAATGAATTAATAAAACCTACCGCTTTATCAACAAGCTTAACCGATATAACATCAACAGTTATCCAACCTTCTTCAAGTAAGAATGCAAAAACAAGCACTGTATCACAAATGACAGAAAAGATGAAAAAATTCAGAGAAGGTAAGAATCATTCTTTCAAACACACCTCAAAAAAATGCAAGTAAATATTAGTTAATATCCAAGGAACTTGTGCACTTCACATAAAATCACTTTAATTTCATGTATGATTTCACTAAGAGTTATGACTTTCATATTTTTCTTATTCTCTACATAAGATTTAGAATTCATTGACAAGTTAAACACGAGCAGTGTGAATGTTAACGATGTGGCAACTGTAGATGTAAGTATTCAATTGCTCTGATGGTAAATAATTTTAATCTCGTTTGTTCATTAAATGTCCTTGTTTTAGCGCATTTTGGATGCTGCTTCAAATTTAATCACTATCAATGAAACAATTGGGCCTGATCTTGAACGAAAGGTGAGTACAAATGCATATATAATCTGTAGCTTTCTTGATTTGAACAACTGCATCAACTAAATGAAACATGAACGATGTTAGGACCCGGGAATGAGAGCAGTGGAGGTATTAGAAAATCTTGGAAATACCTTATCACAGCAGCTTTTTCTTAGAAACAAGAGTTCTGTTATGTTTCAAAAAGTAAATAATGATTTGGGTGCGTTATTATTTATTTGATATTTTTGTCATTATTTTTAACATAACAAATATGTCTTTTAATGTGTAATTAATGCACCTTTTTTCATAGTATTTGGCGTTGCAGTTGTTAATGCATCTTCGAGTAAAGATTTCACGTTTCCATCTGAAGATTTAGCCATTTTTAGCGATGAAAGAATTACAATTCCGAGTACTGTTTTTCGTGCAAATAATTCCGGTTAGTGTGAGAGTTAAAAATATCTTTAACTTCTTTTTTTTTGTATGACTTTGAATCGCGAATACGTTTGTATTAAGGTCAATCCTATTTTGTTGGAATCATTTTCAAAGCTTATCGTGAAATGCGTGAAAATACGGGGGCTTTAAGACTAGGAACGAAAGTTATAAATGCTAAAGTATCGCCTGCACCGAGTAGAAATCTAGTTAAACCTATTGAAATGTTGTTTAAAAAAATCAACGTAAGTGTTGTTAGATGCTGAATTTTGATGTTTTTTTTCTTTGAGATAACTTTATTTATAACAGTTTTTCAACAATTGCCTATTTTTCTTTACGAAGGTTGGAAGCATTGCTTCATCCGTCTGCTCGTTCTGGGTCGAGAACCATGCGTGAGTTACAAAAGCATGTAAGCGATTTTTTATCAATTGTAAGTTTAGCTTATTTAGTATTTCTACTTCATTACAGAGATGCTGGTGATTATGGTAAATGGGCAACAAGACAGTGTTTTCACTTGTTTGAAAATCAAACTCATGTCAAATGTCGATGTTATCATTTTACAAATTTTGCTGTTCTCTTCAAGTTATCTAATACGCAGGTTTATATTCTAGTACTCATGTATACATTCTAAGACCCAGGGTATACATTCTAATACCCAAAAATACATTCTAATACTTAGTTGTACATATCATGCTTTCTGTTTCCATTTCATTTTAGCGTCTTTCGAAAGAGCATTCTTATAACTTAACAATCATCACATATATTGGTCTTTGCGCCTCTATAATTGGATGTCTTTTTACTTTTATTATATATTTAACTTTGAAGTAAGGATCATTTCATCACGTTATATATTCTATTTACAGCTAAATTATATTGTAAAATATTTTCATTTATTGTGTGTGTTTGCAGACAGGCGAAGTCCGAGAGAGCAGCAATTCACACAAACTTGGTACTCTCTCTTGGTTTGGCCGACTTAGTTTTCTTACTAACTATCATTTTTAAACCAGTGAAGGTTAGTTTAAATGAAGAGAAACATGAATAACTCCTTGTACCTCCACAAACGTATTCTCCTCCATTATGGGCAACACGCTTTATCTCACAGATCAATATCCTTTCTCGTTTTCAAGGACTATTGTCTAGCAGCATCCATGTTGGCATTTTATTTCTACCTTGCCGTATTTTTCTGGATGTTGGTCGAAGGTGTTTATATATATTTGATGGTTGTTAAAGTCTTTCGTGGCAACGTCACCAGAAAAAGAAGACTTGCCTATATAGTAGGGTGGGGTGAGTATTAAAATTTTGTATTTAGTTGTACCATATTACATGTGTGTGCCTAATGATGTGTGCGTCTCTATTTGAAGGCAGTCCATTTGTTATTGGGCTTTTAACCTGGATTATATTAAGAGATGACGTCATTTCAAAATATCAGTAAGTTATTGGTTATTTCTCAATCTCAGTTCTGTTCTTATTTTATATTAATTAATAATCATTGATTTCCTTTGCATAGTTGCTGGCTATCTGTTGAAACTGGTGCGATTTGGGCATTCGTTGGTCCTGGTTTAATAATAATTTTCGTAAGATTTCAATTTCATGTTATATTTTCATGTTTCAAAAATATGTTCTGTAATCAACCATAAAAAAGTGTATGCTATACTACAGTCAGTCATAGAGAAGTTCATGTTATACTGTAGTCAGTCATAGAGAAGTTCATGTTATACTGTAGTCAGTCATAAAGAAGTCCATGTTATACTGTAGTCAGTCATAGAGAAGTTCATGTTATACTGTAGTCAGTCATAAAGAAGTTCATGTTATACTGTAGTCAGTCATAAAGAAGTTCATGTTATACTGTAGTCAGTCATAGAGAAGTACATGTTATACTGTAGTCAGTCATAAAGAAGTTCATGTTATACTGTAGTCAGTCATAAAGAAGTTCATGTTATACTGTAGTCAGTCATAGAGAAGTTCGTGTTATACTGTAGTCAGTCATAAAGAAGTTCATGTTATACTGTAGTCAGTCATAAAGAAGTTCATGTTATACTGTAGTCAGTCATAGAGAAGTACATGTTATACTGTAGTCAGTCATAAAGAAGTTCATGTTATACTGTAGTCAGTCATAAAGAAGTTCATGTTATACTGTAGTCAGTCATAGAGAAGTTCATGTTATACTGTAGTCAGTCATAAAGAAGTTCATGTTATACTGTAGTCAGTCATAAAGAAGTTCATGTTATACTGTAGTCAGTCATAGAGAAGTACATGTTATACTGTAGTCAGTCATAAAGAAGTTCATGTTATACTGTAGTCAGTCATAGAAGTTCATGTTATACTGTAGTCAGTCATAGAGAAGTTCATGTTATACTGTAGTCAGTCATAAAGAAGTTCATGTTATACTGTAGTCAGTCATAAAGAAGTTCATGTTATACTGTAGTCAGTCATAAAGAAGTTCATGTTATACTGTAGTCAGTCATAGAGAAGTTCATGTTATACTGTAGTCAGTCATAGAGAAGTTCATGTTATACTGTTTGTATAAACGTCAAATGTTTCGTTTTGTTGTCAGGTGAACTGTATCATTCTTCTTGCTGTTGTAAAGAAAACTTGGTCAACATTTTCAGACAAGACTGAATTTGGGGGATTGAAGTAAGCTTTGATTAATATTTTTAGTAATCTTTGTAAAATTTGACTTTTCTTTGAAAATCCTGTATTTCTAAGGTCAGCATCGCGAACCTTTGCTGCAATTATTCCACTGTTGGGGATAACTTGGATATTTGGTGTTATGACATTCAACGAATCATCTCTTGTTTTTCAATATATTTTTGCTATTACCAACTCTGTCCAGGTTCGTGTTTACCTTGTTGCATAAAACATGAATAATGTTGTAATAAAGTTATTCTTTAAACTCTAATATTCTTATTTTTAATGCAGTGTTGATACATTCACCTGTGTACAACATTAAATATTATTTACAACTGCAACTTACCTCAAGAAAGTTTTTTTAAGCTTAAGTCAACTTTTCGCATTCAAAACCCAGGACGCCGAAATGTCATTGATTTGGGGTGTGTGTGAGGGGGTTGCGTTGGGTCTTTCATGTATTCATGGTCAGAGCTCGTAAAAACTTTAGTTAACTGTTTGTTGTGACTGCGTTTTTTAACAAAAGTAGAAACACCTAGAAAAGTCCAGCTATATATGTAGTTCAATGGGGAAAAGAGAAAATCCTAACCATAAAATCTAATTTTTCTATTTTTCGTTTCAGGGTGCCTTAATATTTGTCCTTTATTGCTTGGTGAACAAAGATGTAATTTTTTTCGTTTTTTCTAAAATTGCATTGTAGTTTTGGGAATTTATTTTGAATCTCTTGTGTTAAGGTGAGGAGCGAACTGCTTCGTCGACTCTCAATCTGGAAGATCCGCCATGATATGTCCTCATCTTCGACCGGTCGGCGCAACATATTTTCTCAATCGGCAAAAGTAGTTCAAGATTCATGTCAAGATGAAATTAAAAAGCCTGGCGAGAAAAAATTCTTACTTAATGATATTGTCTCTACAGAGACAAGCAAAGGTTATTTACAGTCAAATAATCATATGAAAGAAGAAAGTCGTGAAAAAATGGTATTATTGATTATTCATTAGACAGTATAGGGCATGTTTGATATCCACAAAAACTCATATCTTTATATAAAGCGTTAATTAACACATGATAAACTCTATTCGATAAAGTTACTTCTCAAACCTACTTTATGTACAAAGTCATTTTCTGTTTGGATCATTTTACGGGTCTCTTGCATAATTAGTCATAGCTGAATTATAACCATGACTAATAATCCTTTTCTATAGTTTCATAGATCTTCCTTCTAAAGTTGTATGAATTACCTATTATACAAATTCCATTCGTTCAAAGAATACTATCATCCATAGTCATGTGACATAGTTTCAAAGCGCTAGCTTACAGTAAAGATTTACGATCAATTGCTGCATCATGTTAATAAACTCTCAGCACATTTTATACTGTGTGATGTTAATAAATGACATGTGTCAATAAGTGTCATGTCATCACAAGAGGATTAGCATTACCACTTCATTTTCTAGCCATGCATTCATGTTTTTTTAAGGCTACACACATTTGTACGCAACGAGTACATATTTTGCAATGGCGAATGGAGAATACGTATTTGCGTGTTAATGACATGTCAATGGTTTCTATTACTATGTTCGTGACAAAACACGCGTGTATTTTTGCATACAGTGAACACTGAAAATAAATCAGGATTGTGGATGTGAACTGTGATATTGGAGATAAACAACGAATCATCTCTTATTTTGCATTTTTATAAGCTTTTATACCAAAGACTATAGTTTTTGCATTTTTACACACTTTCACGCCAAAGACTATAGTCTTTGTATTTTCACACACTTTTAGGCCAAAGACTATAGTCTTTCACTTTTACACACTTTTACACAAAAGACTATAGTCTTTGCATTTTTACACACTTTTACACCAAAGACTATAGTCTGCATTTTCACACACTTTTACGCCAAAGAACATAGTCTTTGCATTTGTACACACTTTTAGGCAAAAGACTATAGTCTGCATTTTTACATTTTATGCAAGACAGTCTTTGCATTTACACT